CTTCAAATGAAAATACACCTGTCAGTGTGTAGAGATGGGCTCACTGGTCCCAGGAGGTGGGGGACAACAATCTGTCTGAAGTACAGTTAACAGTGGTTTTTTTCTGATATGATTTATGTCACATTTTCTAGAACAACTTGCTCAGCAGCACTGCTGTATGGGTGACATTTCTAGCTGGAAGGAACAGGAATACAGTTGGATTTACATAATACTTTTTGCCCAAAGATTGTGTAATCAAATGAGACGGTACTTTTATCCTTCTCCAAAGTAAATACAGTTTTGATCTTCAAAGTGCTTGCCGGACAGGGGAAAAAAGTAACCACCTCAGGAAAGCCAAAAGGAGCAAAACGAAACAAAACCCGATTGTTTAAGGAACTTAAAACAACAGCTGTGGGGTTAAGCTGCCCAAAACCTCAAAAAGCTGCAGGAAATATAGAGAGAAATGCTATTGTGAAGGGGATCTCAGTAATCTTTGCTGCTGAGAGGAGCGGATTCTACTGTGAGCTGAAAGAGGAGGTAAACTAAAATAAAGAGTGGGCTGATCATTACATGGCGATGGGGGGCTCCTCAGATGAGCTGTGTATTGAGCATTCATCCTGATTTGCTTGCACAAAGCTGTCACGGAGGTCAGACACTGTCAGGTCTTTACTGAGCATTTGTTCTGATTTGTTTGCAGGGAGGTTATACGTCAGCAAACTGCTCACCTCCTGATGCCTACAGGAGGCCCCTTCGACATTCCACACTTTTCAATGCATTTCCCCATCAATTTCTTAACCACAAAAAACTGTTTCTTTTTCAAAGTGATTTTGTTTTGCTAGGGCAACAGAGCGCTTTAAATATGCAAACTTGAATTTTCTAGTGTGCGCTTGACTTCCTCCTGCAAAACATTGACCGTTTGGAGGTGCCCATGACAATGATAATTTACATAGTGCCATGAGTCATTAGTGTGTCCTGGCATTTTACAGAGTACTAGAGGGCAGGTCCCTCCCTGCCCCAAGGGGTTTACAATATATATTTCTTTTAAGCATAGGCGGGGAGAAATGCTAAAAGTGACTGTTTCAATGACATGTACTTAAGCCAGAGTTTCCCAAACGCCTGAGTTCATTGGCCCCTTAATACACTTATAAAGTTGTGTTCACTCTGGAAACTGTAGTTTATCCCCCCAACAGAGCTACAATTCCTTTAACAAACTACAGTTCCCAGGATTCTTCGGGGTAGGTGGAAAATGTGATTTAAATGTGCTTTTCTCATGAGCTGGCTGGTTGACTGTCAGGAAGAAGAGGATCCTGGCAAGGGATGTAGCTGGGACTAGGACATACCAGGGCAAGCAGGGGATGGGGAAGGAAGTACTTACAGGGTGACGGAGGATGGTGAGGGAATGGGGGTCAATGCACAGGAACCAGATCAGCAGGACCCATCACCAGAGCAAGAGGGACCCCTGTCCCCACAAACATGGCGAGTTCTGAGGCGTAGGGAACAGTGGGAGTGGCACTCTAGGAGGCTGAGGCAGGCAAGGGCCCACAGCCCAGCTCAGAACAGGTGAGGGTCACCTGTCTCATCAAACCCAGATGCTTCAACCAGAATGCAAAGTACAAAGGGAAAGCAGAGCTGAGATGCTGTGTCTGCTCAACTGCCCATGTTGATGAACCTTGGATTGGATTACGCCTGGACCTCTACTGAACTGTGCTTTGGGTTTGACCCTCGACTGTGTATTCTGACTGCTGGACTTCAGACTTGGCTACTTGGATTGACTCTGAACTGCGTTTCCTGGACTTTGTTTGTGTGGATTGACCCTTGGGACTTGGCATACTGACTTGCTGCCAGGTAAGCTAGGGCTTCAGGACAGCTTTGAACGTAGGGTATGTATGCTGCTAAAATTAACTAATTGCACCCACTGATGCTCAGCAGTATCTGCAGAAGAAATGGAAGACCTTTGAAGTGGTTTCCCCTCAATATTTCAGGGTCAGTAGCAAAAGTGTTTCAATACAATGCAAAGAGTAAACCCCACGATGAGCTTGTTAAACTTTAAGGGCCTCTCTGATAAGATGAAAAGGATTTTCCCCCTTTTCTCCTTCCCTCCCCCACCAAACCAGCTTCCCCATTTTAGTTTTGTTCTGATTGTGTTGACTTTAAGTTCAAAATAGTAATAGCAGTGATGATAACCTTGAAAAAATATATATGTGGGGATCAGGAATCTCTTCATTCTCATGTCCCACGTTGCCCGTCCTGATCCATCGATAGCTTGCAACTAGGTAAGATGCAGACATGAACACAGACCCAACCACCTCGGCTCTGACACTACTCAGACGAGCTCTGCCAGTTCCTCAGAGGAGGATCCATTTGGAGCACAAGCAATGGATCTCTCTTTCTCTCCTAGGCCCCATCTTCTAAAACAAGATCATACCACTTTAAACAGTCATGGCTTCCCTCGAAGAATCCTAGGAACTATACTTTGCAGGTGCTGGGAGCTTCTAGGAGACTTCACAGAGCAGCAGTTTCCAGAGTGGTTTAATAGTCAACCTGTCTTCCCAGGGAACTCTGTGAGGGAAATAGGAGTCTCCTAATGACATCCTGTGCCCTTAACAAACGACAGTTCCTAAGATTCCTTGGGCGAAGCCATGGCTGTTAAAAGTGATGCTGCTTTAAATGTATGGTGCGAATGGGCCCCCTCATTCTCAGGGTCAGCCCTTCTGCCAGGTAGAATTAAGCAGACAGTGGTAGCTCCCCAGCTGTTGTCCTGTTGGAGGACAGAGTTGTGGCTGCTACGTGGCCTGCCCTGAGACTGCCAAGTTAGCCTGCTGCCCCCATTCAAGTACCAGTCATGTGAAATCTCAATAATGTGGAAATTAACAATTAGGAAAAGGTTGAGGAAATGGAATAAACTGCCATGTGAATGCAGCCTATATTGTTCTGTCATTTGTTGTGCAACACTTAAGACATGGCCTAAGCAGTTCTAAGCCTGAAATGATTCAGCAAAGCTGCTTGTTAACAGACCACAGTTAATTTTCCAGTAAACTTGTTTTTAGCAACGATTAAAGAAATGACATGCATGCTTAACATGCTGCCTAATCCTGTGAGTGCTTACTCAGTAGAGAGTCCCACAGACTACTTGGGAGTGTAGCCTTAATTAATTATTTGTACAACATATTTAATTTCTATGGAAATGGAAAGCAGAAGGAAGTTCCAACAGAGAGAAAGATGTGTGTGAATTATACCACGTAGGCTGAATGAGCTCAAAACCACAGCTCATCTCTTGGGTGTTTAAATTTTGCATTTAAATTTAAATTTTGAATTTTCTCTAACATCCCTTCTTTTGTACCATGCTCTGTGCTGCTGCTGGGCGTGGTGGTCATTATCAGTACTATCAAAATGAATGGTGATTAGTACTATCAAAGTGAGTGGAGGCTTACAGGTTAACAGCAATAAGGTGGTGGTGGTGGTGGTGGTGGTGGTGATGATGATGATGATGATAATAATAATAATAATATATTATTATTATTATTATTATTATTTATACCCCGCCCATCTGGCTGAGTTTCCCCAGCCACTCTGGGTGGCTCCCAATCGAGTGTTAAAAACAATACAGCATTAAATATTAAAAACTTCCCTAAACAGGGCTGCTTTCAGATGTCTTTTAAAAATAAGATAGCTGCTTATTTCCTTGACATCTGATGGGAGGGCGTTCCACAGTGTGGGCACCACTATCGAGAAGGCCCTCTGTCTTGTTCCCTGTAACCTCAGTTCTTGCAATGAGGGAACCGCCAGAAGGCTGAACGATGGAGGTGGAGATGCTCCTTCAGGTATACAGGACCAAGGCCATTTAGGGCTTTAAAGGTCAGCACCAACACTTTGAATTGTGCTCGGAAATGTAACTGGGAGCCAATGCAGATCTCTCAAGACTGGTGTTATGTGGTCCCGGCAGCCACTCCCAGTCACCAATCTAGCTGCCGCATTCTGGATTAATTGCAGTTTCTGGGTCACCTTCAAAGGTAGCCCCACGTAGAGCGCATTGCAGTAGTCTGGAGTAGTCTGCGGGAGATAACTAGAGCATGTACCACTCTGGCGAGACAGTCTGTAGGCTGTATAACGGTGCCCCCAGCTCCCAGCCCCTCTAGACGGTCCAGAAGGATGTTATGGTCAATGGTGTCATTGATGGAATCCCTATTTGCCTGCAACACTCATGAAGGGTGGAAAAAGCCCCAAATCTCTCCTTAGAAAAAAAAGTGTGTCCATGCTTCAGATTCAGGTTTCCGTACCACAGCAGTGCCGCAAAGCAAAGGTTTATTTACCTTGGGTGTTGTGAGCTGATAGCCTGGTAGCTCCGCAGTGGATCTGGAACGTCTCCATGTGAAAACTACGATCACGAGGAAGCTAGGAAGTGGAGGAAAGTTGCTGCAACCCTGCAGAGCACTGAGTCTTTATTCAGCGTGGACAGTGACTTGAGGAGCAATTAACTTGCTGGTAGATTTGGGTGTCCCCATGTGAAACCAAGTAGAGCCCTCCCCCTGTACGATGGATCTGTCCCCCAAAAATGCTGGATCTATAATTTTCGCCATGCAATGCGCGGAAATTGGTTTGAGCTGTGACTCTAGTATTATTTCTCAATATAAATTAACGCGCGGAGATGCGAGGCATGGTGCCTTGAACCCCTGGTTTTGGATGTTTTTACTGGCATAACTGGGTTGGGGATTTTTGTGTGTGGCTTCCCTGCAAAAGCCGTACGTATGATCAGGACAACTTGCGCTGTGCTTGTGCCACTTTCAGCATGTGGAGGGCGCAGAGGATAAACGTCATGAAACCAAATACCCCTTGAGAAGCGGCACCACCTTAAAAAAAAAAAAAAAAAAGGCAGCCCGCAACAAAAGAGGGAGGGGGAGGGTGGCTGGAAACTGGCGGCTGTGGGTGGAACGCTGGAATCTATTAATTGTTAATATACAAGCCCCGCCTCCTTTGCTCCCCTGGCAGCCAATCAGAAACGCGAGGCGCAAATGAGGGAGGTGGGCCCCTTTGGGTGGATGAGCGAAGTTTGGAAACTTTGGACCGTCAAAAGAAGGCGAATTATTAGGTGGTTGCGGGGAGCGGAGCGAGAGGCTGGGATAGCAACCAAAGCAGAAAGAAGAGGCAAAAGGCTGCCTGGGTGATACAGAAAGGTGAGCCATTCCTAGATCGGGTTTTAATGAACGCTGAGAAGTCCCAGGGCAGAACATTGTACGGTTAAGAGGTCAGCAGGAGATGGAGGGGATAGGGAATAAAAGCGAATAAGGGCGTTTTTTAAGAAAACATCTGGGGTTGGGACTGTTGGCTCATAGCTCAGAGATCCAAACTCGGTCCTCGAATAACATCCTTGTTCGCAGAACGTGGGGTTAATTTTTGAGTGAGTCATCTATGGGGCAAGTGATGGGGGTGGGCTTGGCTGGAGATGCAGGTGGGCTGCTTATGGGGCAGAAGTTGAGAGAGAATCTTGGGGTGTGATATGTTTCGAGGCCTCAGAGTCAGTGATGGGGGGGGTGTCGTTCTCAGTGTCACTGTGAGGCTGGGTGGGATGAAACCAGTTTAGAATAAAAAGCCGGTTTGGCAGAAGAAGAGAGAACTGTTCGTGTAAAAATGAGGCAGAGGTGGACAGTACATGTGGACAGTATGTGTGGACCCAAGGGACTTTGACAAAGAGGATCATGACTTGTTGATTTGTGGTTTAATATGTCATTTTGCTACTGACTGTATATTGAGGAAACCCAGCAAAAACGCCTGTCCTTGTCAAAACGCATGTCTGTCTGGTGTGTGTGCAAAGTATTTAAAAGTGCCCTTGTGCAAAACACCCATGGAGGTGAAGGCTGATGTGCTCTTTAAGGTCCAAGAGGCCAGACACTGGTTGTGAACCTGCACATATGAGAGAGCTCCCTTGTACACGGAATCTGAAAAGCTCTTGTGCAACTCGAGACGTTCCCATGAGTGTAAATGTGTCATGGACAGCTTACATAAGTGATCCGGATTGCGCATACTTCTGTATGCATAACAATGATGAGCGGAGCTTGAACCGTCTTGCTGAAACAGGGTGTGAATGAGCAGATGTGACAGAGGCCTGTATTTTCACAAATGAAGGTGGCATACAGATGTGTGTGAACTGGCACTGCTGCAGATGTGAGTTATTAGCTCAGCCAATGGAAAGGCAGAGGAGTGAGTCTGTGGGTCTTGCACGCAAGAAGACAGAGATTTGTGAGAGAGATTATAAGAATCAGTTGCCTAAGGAGCCCAGGAAGTGAGCCTGTCTCTTTCTGAGAATCTATGATGCACAGCACCTTCAGAAACAACCACTTCCTCTTCTGATCTGCTCTGAGATCATATCATCTGTCCTGCTAGCAAGTCTCAGTTCTGAAGGATCTTTCTGAGGGTAGTGGGAACATGTGACGTACAGTGAGAATGCCTCTGGCCATGGGTAGAGTGCATTTTCTTCCATCACCTGAACAACCCCTGTTGCCCAGCCACATGTCTCAACATGAACAGATCCTTGTTGGCCCTGATCAAAAGTTCATCTGCTTCAACATCTTGCTTTATTACAGGGGCCAACAAGATGCCTTCAGGAAGGCCACACACAGGGCATGAAGCCTTCCCTGGCTGCTGCTCCCTGACAACTTGTATTCAGTAATATGGGTGGGACCCGCAGCAAAATGTTGTAGGCTAGAGCGCTACTGTTCAGAGTTCCAGCCAGCCAACCAGCCAGCCCTGACCTTTCCCAGGACACTCCATTCCAATTTCCCTTGCACCTGGTTTCCCAAGTCAGCATTCCATAACCACTGAGCATGTTCAGCCCTCAGTGGGCTGTTTCGTAGCGCCCCCTCAAACCACTTTTTTGGGGTACTTCTGTAAAACTTCGTGTAGATGTTGCTGCTTAGCTATATAAGGATCCACACTCAAAGAATGAGTTTGCTGCTGGTATATTCTAATCTATCTCTGTCTGTGGATCTGTATAGCTATCTTTAATGAGAACTTCTGCTTCTGAGAATGTAGCTTGAAACTTGCAAAGCAACTTAATTTGGAAAGTTAAATGGTGCCTGTCCTATACACTTGCCGCAGTGGTTGGTTGTCCCGCTGCATTCTCTTTTTCTGCTGTCTACCTGCTTTTTTGATAAACCTAAGAGCGGTTCCTCATATTGGACTCAGCTGCTGTGAGGCTGCGGTCAAAGCTTCAGAGACAATGCAGGCCACTTAGAGACAGTGCAGGCTCAGTTCTTGCAGCCAGATGGAAACCGTGGGGTTTTGGAAAGGGTGTGTGTGTGTGCGCGCGCGCGCATCTGGTGGATAGGCGTTCCAACTGACCAGAAAATAAAAAAATTGGGCCTTCCAACAGCAGCTTTTGATGTGCTGATAAAGCTTCCTACAATGTGGAAATAAAGATTATCCTTCCCTCAAACTGTTTTTAAAGGCATAGCAGGCTAAACAACTGGCAACCCAATGGAAGAATGGGTGGGACTGTTTTATCACATGGAACCAGTTGTCAGCCGCAATGGGTGTTATCAGTGAGGCCTGGATCAGGCTTGGGGTGTGGAGGAGAGGCCTCCATCCTCTCTGCTTTCTCCTTCCTTTCCCCCACCTCAACCAGCAAGGCCTGGAATGGAACAGGCAACCCCAAGATGACAGCCAACGTTTCCCCAGCAACCGAGTGAGCCACTGTTATGATTTCATCACTTTGGATTCTAAGTTACGGGAGAGGCCGCAACTTAGAGCTCCTTTTTTTAAAAAAAGGAAAATTAAAGAACCCAAACGAAATAACCTTCCTTCAGGATTGGTGTGGAGATAACAAACATGGGAGCATGATGAGGCTGGGAGGGAAATGGGCCCTGCCAAAAACAATCCAAACTGGATTTGTATTTTGTCTCTCTCCTTGACACTCTTCTCCTTCCCTACAGGACGACACAATGTCCCGCAAAGGTTGCATCGCTGTCACAAAGTACTTCCTTTTCCTCTTCAATTTCTTCTTCTTTGTGAGTACCTTTTTTGGGGTGGGGTGGGGGCCAGGCCTGATGCCAGGCTAGATGGGCCCATCAGTATGATTCCCATTTGCCCTTTGAGAAGCCCATTGATGGAGGGTGAGGAAAGATCTAAAGAAACTTGGAAGCAATATGTAGGAACATAGATTTATAACCTTCCCCCCACTCCTTGTTTCTTTCAGCTCCTCGGAGGACTTCTGTTTAGCTTTGGCTTATGGCTACTTTTTGACCGGGACAGTTTTGCGGCTGTTCTAGGTGAGGCTCGTCAGCGTGGATGTGGGTGGGGGGCTCTCAGTCCCATTTCACATACTTGTCTGTCCCTTCTCCTCCTTGGGTTGTTAATATTCCTCCGTCCCAACTGACACTGCACCCCACCCACTAGTCCCACTGGGGAAATTCTAGGAGAACAAAAAACAGACCTTTCCTTACAGCTGTCTACCAGTGCTTTCCCCGACCTTGGCATCATATTGGTCCTGCTTTCTCCTGCATCTACGCCTTGGGTTTTTCAGGGGAAAGGCTGTGGGGTAGCTCATGGCGGCTCATGTGTAGCATTTCAGCCCCTTAGAACATGCTCCCATAAGCACCTGTTGTTTCACCGAATCCTTATACCAGGGAAAATTTCCAGTCAGGTTGCTGGAGAGAAGTAGGCTTTTAACAAAATTGGGGGAAGGACTGTAGTTCAGTGGGGGAGAATTTGCCTTGTGTGCAGAAGGTCCCAGATTCAATCCCCTGGCATCTCCATGTAGGAGAGATTCTTGTCTGAAATCCTGGGCAGCCACTGCTAGTCATTGTAGACCAGGGTTTCCCAAACTTGGGTCTCCAGCCACTTTAGGATTACAACTCCCATCAACCCTATCTAGCAGGACCAGTGGTCAGGGATGATGGGAGCTGTAGTCCGAAAACAGCTGGAGACCCATGTTTGGGAAACCCTGGTGCAGACAATGGGCCAGTGGGCAGCTATTCTTCCTAAAAATATTCTCTGCCATCTCTGGCCTCTTGAGTTTCCTGTCAAGACAGGCTGGACTGATGATTTACCTATTAACTCCCTCTCCAGGGTCGGCGTATTATGCCCTCAAGATCTGGTCCTATATTTTCTGTGGGGTCGGCATCCTCACCATGTGGATGGGATTCCTCGGTTGCCTGGGTTCCCTCAAGGAAATCAAGTGTATGCTAGGATGTGTAAGTATGTGTGGAGAGAGAGGGGGGGAGTCAAAAAAAGGAACTCAGGCATAAGGGGTTAAAAGCAAGGCCTGCTGGGAGTTGGCAGGCCTTTTCTGGAAGCAGGACCAGGTGGGTCAAGAACGCACATGTGGTGGCAGTGGCAAAAGACAAATCCCACTCTTGGGAGTGACTGGAAGAAGTTCTGAAAATAAAACTGCCAGTAGCTTCACGATGTTATATAAATCTGTGGTGTGCTGCTGCATTTAGAATACTGCCTACAGTTCTGACCGTGCCACCTCAAAAAAGAATAGTGTAGAGCTGGAAGAGGTGCAGAAAGAGGCAAGGGAAATTATTTGGGTGGGTGGTGCTGCTGGAGAAGGGGGAAGGGCTGCCTACCTGCCACCCCATAGCAGCAAAGAAAATGGGGCAAAGTCGTAACCTTTATTGATCAGCATCTAAGATGGAGGATATCCCGAAAAGGGAAGGCTTGTGTTTTCTTCTGGACGCCAGCCAGTCCCTACAGCAAGAAAGGGTCCTATGCCTTGAATAGCGGCCTAACAAACAGCCAGGCAGCAGACACAGCATGCTGGGGACCCTGAAGCCCCACGGACCGTGCTGACGGTGTAGGACCCTGCCTAGAAGTAACAGGAGAAACATCCAGGGGCTGGGCCTCCCTCGTGGGGTATATTCTGTACCTGTGAAAAGCAAGGGGAGACAAAGACAGAGTAAAAAGCAGCAGTCAGGAAGGAATCGCTGGAGCTGCAGGCATAGAAAGTGTTTGGGGTGTGTGTGTGAGAGGAACCACCATCTCAGCTGGCATCCAGCCTTCTCCCGTGAGAGGGAGACTTGCAGAAGCTCACCTGGCTGTGGTGGGACGTTGGCTGAGTCTCACCATCCTCTCTTGTTCCCTGTGCCCCACCAGTACTTTGCCTTCCTGCTCCTTCTCTTCCTGGCCCAGATCATCATTGGAATCTTGGTATATTCGCAGAGCAAAACGGTGAGTGGCACTTGGATAAAATGTGAAACCTGCGTGTCTCATGGGAGGGTCAGCGCGGGGCTGCCTTCGGATTTTCCCCACCGCGGTCCAAATAAAAACATCAGATTAACTATCTCTCCGTTTCTCTCTCTCGCCACGCTTTCATCGCTAGGCTAGATACACGTAATACGTTTAAGGCACACATGCCATCCCCAAGAATTCTGGCAACTGTAGCTTACCCTTCCCAGAGCTACGAAATCCAGCACCCCGAGCAAACTATATCTCCCAGGATTCTTTGGGGGGCAGACGGGGAGAAGCAAATGTGTGCTGTAAACGTGTGGTGTGTATGGGGCCTCTACACACAGTGGAACGAGGTGATAAAGTGCAGAGGTGACAGAAGCAACCATACTGTCTCAACTTGCTGCAGGGGGGCAGCACTTTGTGCATAATAGTTTCCCCGAAAGTAGATGACCTAGCACATTGGGGAGAATGGGTTCTAGCTCCACTCACTTCCTGTGTGCTGGTTTTTCCACTCACAGAGAGAGTTTTGTTTGACACAGGGGAAAACATTTCAAAGATTCCCCCGCCGTTGTCTGAAGTGGAAAATTTCATTCTACCCCCTTACAAATCCGCCGCCTCGTTCTTTTTGCGTGTGCTGTCGACCGAGCCTCGGTTTCCTTGCCTGAGCAGAGGAAAGAACAAGCAGGGCACGCGAGAGAGGGCTGCTCATGCCCTTTGATCTCCCATTCCCTCTCCGACTGCTTGTGACTCACACGCAGGGGAGAGCAGGGTGAAAGCTGGGGTGAAGCAGGCCCACGCCTCCCTCCTGCCGTGGGTGCGCTTTTGATCTTTTCTCTCTTTTGGCTGGGTGGTGAACTCTTGCTTTTCCCCACCCTTGAGCCTCAGGCTCTGGCTCCATTGTAGATTCTTAAACCCTCCCTTCTACGCTTTCAGGCAGGCTCTATGTTTTTAAAAAAGCATTTCTGGGCCATTTATTTGGCACAGTTTTCTCTAAGTTAAATTATACTGGAGGGAGGAGGAATGGCTGTGTGATTGATGCAAGGGCCAGCTATTAAGCTCTGTGCGACCAGCCAGCTCCTATACAGTGGTACCTCAGGTTAAGAACTTAATTCGTTCCAGAGGTCCATTCTTAACCTGAAACTGTTCTTAACCTGAGGTACCACTTTAGCTAATGGGGCCTCGCACAGTGGCCGCACAATTTCTGTTCTCATTCTGAAGTAAAGTTCTTAACCCGAGGTACTATTTCTGGGTTAGTGGAGTCTGTAACCTGAAGCGTTTGTAACCTGAAGCATCTGTAACCTGAGGTACCACTGTAGTAAACAGGAAAACCCAATGCTCTCACATGTACTTCTGTTTAGGAGTTTGTGGGGCAAGTGTAGATTCAGAGAAGGTGTGCCACTCAAGAAGAGTACGTCACTTCTGTTTGGTTTTCAAGAATCCAGGGGGAACCGGGCACCACAATTTTTCAACCTTGTTTACAGGGGCTTCATTTTCCCCCTGCCTGTATCTGGGCAGCTGGTAAGGAAACAGCCAGCATTCCTTTGGGGGGTGGGGTCATGCCAACCCAAGAAGACACTATAAGAAATTTGCTATAGGGCACACAGAGAATAAGAGCACCCTAATGCCTGCTGCTGCTGTCGGAGAGCCGACTTTTTAACTTTACTTTTGTTCCCATGCAGCTCAACAGAAAGGTTGGTGACTATGTCACAGAAATAATTGAGCACTATGGGACATATAATCCGTCCACAGATGAGGAGGAGAGCTGGGATTTTGTGCAGATGGAGGTAAGATACTTTCCTCAAGAAGAAATGCCCACCCAAGTTTTCTATGCCTTTTTGATTCCTCCTGCCATGTTCATGGGTGGCTTTCTTTGGTTATTTACCATATTTGCCCATCTATAAGACACCCCCATGTATAAGCTGCCCCCTATCTTTGGGGACTCAGATTTAAGAAAATGGGGGGAGATATATCAATGTATAAGACGTCCCCCTAATTTTTGACATTATTTTTTAGGGGAAAAACCCTAGTCTTATACACAGAAAAATACGGTAATTAATTTAGCAAAATTAATGTACTGCTCAGTTGTGTAAAAAAAAAAAAAAAGCACCCAAAGCAATTTACTAAAAGAATAAAACGAGATTATCAGAGTTAAAAATTATTTGAAACATTACAAAAATGATTAAAAATCAACAAAGCAATGGGCTAAAAACCAGATTGAAACTCATGCCAAGCCTAATGAGGAACGGTTGAAGGAGCTGGGTATGTTTAGCCTGGAAAAGAGGAGATAGGATAGCCTGCTTCAAATATCCCAAGGGCTGTCACATGGAAGATGAAGCAAGCTTGTTTTCTCCTGCTCTGGAGGGTAGGACTCGAACAAATGGCTTCAAGTTACAAGAAAGGAGATTCTAAGATTTAGGATGAACTTTCTGACTGTTAAGAGCTGTTTGACAGTGGGACGGTCTCCCTTGGGAGGTTGTGGACTTTCCCTCCTTGGAGGTTTTTAAGCAGAGGTTGGAAGTCTAATGGGCGCTTTAACTGAGTTTCCTGCATTGCAGGGGGTTGGACTAGATGGCCCTTGGGATAGGCTGGCGCGCTGCAGGCCCCGTTGTGAGTGCCGCCCCCCATTTTGTCACCCGCTCGGTGGTGACACCCAGGGTGGACCGCCCTCATCGCCCCCCTTCCTCTGCCCCTGGGGTAGCTTTCTCTTCCAGCCCCCAGGTCTTCTTCTCATGGTCTCTCTCTTTTGCCTCCCTGCAGTTCCAGTGTTGCGGATGGATCCTCTCCAATGACTGGATGGAGAACAGCATAATAAAGAACTCCTCTTACCACCTCTATCCCTGCTCGTGCCGCGGCAACGTCTCTCAGCCTGGCCAGCCAGGGAACAGCACCACCGCTGCCCCCACCACCAGGCCGAAGATCGCAGGCTTCTGTAACTCTTACGGGCAACCGTGGTCCGTCTATGAGATGGTGAGTAGCCGAAGGCCGGGGAGAGGAAGCTTGCAACCCTTCTCTGGTCAGAATCCGACCCTTGTTGTGCTCTGAGCTTGTCTTGCATGGCTTGGAGAAAGTGGATAGAAAGAGGCTTTCTCTTCCCACCCTGTTAATTCTAAAACTCCCAAGTCACCCAGTGAAATGGATCGGCAGCAATCCTAGAAGACCTTTAATCTTAATAATTAGGTAAAGGGATCCCTGACCATTAGGTCCAGTCGTGACCGACTCTGGGGTTGCGGCACTCATCTCGCTTTATTGGCAGAGGGAGCCGGCGTACAGCTTCCGGGTCATGTGGCCAGCATGACTAAGCCGCTTCTGGCGAACCAGAGCAGTGCACGGAAACGCCGTTTACCTTCCCACCAGAGTGGTACCTATTTATCTACTTCCACTTTGACGTGTTTTCGAACTGCTAGGTGGGCAGGAGCAGGGACCGAGCAACAGGAGCTCACCCCGTCGCAGGGATTCGAACCGCCAACCTTCTGATCGGCAAGCCCTAGGCTCTGTGGTTTAACCCACAGCGCCACCCACACCCCTATTATTATCCTAGAAGACCTTTAATCTTAATCTTTAGGATTCTGCTATTCGAGGGTTTGGCAAATCGCCTTCCTTGGAAAAAGGTATCTCATAAACTGAAAGTACCTAAAGGGCAGAGCTTGAAGGACATATAGATATAGATGACATGATTTTATTTCTTATATAAATATTGAGGCACATGGTCAAAATGATATATGCAAAATGTCTGGCTCAGTTAAGGCTATATAGAGCCTTTGTTCACAATAATGATGGAACTTGGAGGCTGAGAGTACTTTTATAAGTTTTTATTAAGGGAACCTTGGCGTGAGTTAACATGCTATTATTATTATCTCTTTGGAGCTGTGTTGTTATCTTTTCATACTTTTGTCCTTCCAGGCTGCGATGCTTTATGGTTTAAATTTTTGATTCTTTGTTTTCGGTTCTGTCTGCACATTGGTTGTTACATCAATGTAAAAATGTGTTCTGGGAGGGGGGAATTGGCAGTCCATTCAGCAACAGACAAAAGGAAACACTTTTCTGCACGCTGTGTAGTTAATTTATGGGATGCACTCCCATGCAATGTGCATGGTGCAGTTTTGACCGTGCTAGACTGAACGTAATGATCTTACCAGGCAGTAGTGGGGTGGGGGAAGGGCTGATTTTGAAATTGCAACATTTTCACTTCACTTACTTCAAAATGCAGTAAGACAGCTTAGCTGCGGGGGCCGGTGATCCTCTGTTTCAATCTCCTGGGAGTGGGGGCTGGACATCTGCACCCCCAGTCCTTCCTTGCTGGCAACCACTGCTGGGAATGGCCACCGGTTTGGATGGCTTTAAATGGGTAATAAAGCAAGTTCATGGGACGCAGATGGCACTGTGGGTTAAACCACAGAGTCTAGGACTTGCCGATCAGAAGGTCGGCGGTTCGAATCCCTGCGACGGGGTGAGCTCCCGTTGCTCGGTCTCTGCTCCTGCCAACCTAGCAGTTCGAAAGCACATCAAAGTGCAAGTAGATAAATAGGTACCGCTCTGGCGGGAAGGTAATCGGCGTTTCCGTGCGCTGCTCTGGTTCGCCAGTAGCAGCTTAGTCATGCTGGCCACATGTCCCGGAAGCTGTACGCTGGCTCCCTCGGCCAATAAAGCGAGATGAGCGCCGCAACCCCAGAGTCGGTCACGACTGGACCTAATGGTCAGGGATCCCTTAACCTTTACCTTTAAGCAAGTTCATGGAGGATAGGACTTATTAGCCATTGTAGCCAAATGGAACCTCCATGTTCAGAAGCAGTGCATAGCTGAATACAGAACTTGTGGCAGGCTGTTGCCTTGCTGCCGTGTTCCCGGACTTCTTGGATGCATTTGGTTGCTGTCTGGGATGCAGAATGGTGGTCTTGACAGCTCTTCTCTTTTCAGAACACGCACACATGCAACCAAGCAGCCTTTTTAAACAAATACACCTTTGTCCAATTGTAGGGCTGCATGGACGGCGTCCAGACCTGGCTCACGAATAACATCGTCACCATTGTGGGGATCAGCCTTGGGATTGCGCTCATGGAGGTAAGAGGTCTGGGCGAGCTGCTGCAGGTTGGTGTGGCTGCGGTTCTCCGCAGCTGTGCAAGGAGTAGAACTGCTGGCATTGCCAATAGTAGTGGAGGTTGCGGTGGAGCTCCGCCGCTTCCCTGGCCTCCCGGCAGCTGAGTCGCTGCTGCTTACCAGGAAGGAGAGGGCGAGGCAGCAGCAAGGAGGCTGGCATGGTGCAAACGCACCACAGCAGCCAGTCTGGTGCTCCTGCTGGTGTGTTTGCACCACCCCTCTGCTGCCTCGCTCCTCTCCTGCCCAGCAAGCAGCAGCGACTCCACTGCTGGGAGGTCAGGTGAGCGCTGCCACGCCGCAATGCTACCTGCTACTTATTTGCTCGATCTGCCTCCTGGAAAGCCGCTAGAGCTATTTATCTTTCATTTGCCTCACCTTGTAATAAGAGGTGCTCACTTCCCAGAAAGACAGAGGCTCTAGGCCTTCAGTTCTGCAACCCTCTATTCACCCAGAATATATGTGGTTGAGCGAGTGGGGGGAGGGTCTTATCTGTGGATGCAGTTCCTACAGAGACCTGAGGGTGTTTCTGTTGCTGAGCAAAAAGGGGAAGCATACCAGTGCTGCCACCTTGGTGCTCTGCGGAGGAAAACCACAAGAAGTCCCTGTAAGTGCTGCTCCAGTCTGGACCACTAAGTGCTGTTGACTGTGGAATTATGCTACGTGGGTGAGAGATGGTCTGCCCTTTCCCCTCCTCAGCCTAAAACCTTTCTTGTAGTTCCTGCAGCTGCTGTGCATGATCCTGATCAGCGCACTAGAGTACAGGGACTTGCATAGTGATGGCTCCCATGAGATCCTCTACTTCCCCAGCAGGTGGCAGATGGGAGTGTATTTGTATGCATGCACTGATGTGGTTTTGCTCAAGGGCCTGCCTTGGTATATTAGCTGTGTACATTTGTGTTTACCAGTGCTGGGAGGACTTGTGTGTTGTTGTTGCTGCTGTTGCTGTTGTTTGCTTATTTCCCCTCTGGTCCAAATCCGATTTGTGTGGGCTTTTATTTGTATGTCCTGTGCATGATTTTGGTCTTGTGTGTGTGCTGGCCATCAAAACTGCTAGCATATTGAAGTCATTGTGAATTCCTTGGTGGATTCTTGGCCTGTGTCCCCTGAATTCTCAGATTATGGGGTTTTTGTGTGTGCCTGCAGGGTGGTTGGGAGGATAAAATGGGGAGCCAAAGCATCATGTGCACCACCTTGGGCTCCTTGAAGGAAAGGTGGGATATAACAGGGAGTGAGTGAATGAATGGGGTGTTTAGCTCCTTCTACTCTCGCCTCCGCCATCCTTCTGGCTTTCGTCACTGCCACCTCCAGCGGCTTGGCAGACTCTCGTCTCAGCTGTTTGGGCCTTTATATAGTGCGCTGTGTGATCAACACCTGCCCAGTAAGGGCATGTGGACTGCCCTGCTGGCACCGGCAAGTGGGGTGCTGAGGCCAGCTGTGGCCTGCTTGCATGTTTTGTGTGTTGGCTGCTGCAGTTATGTGGAAAAGCAGGTTGCTTTGTGGTTCTCGAGACCCATGCACCTCCCTGCCATGTGTCCAGGCATGCCTGTGAATGCAGTGTTTTGGTTGGCTACACAAAGCAACACACACACACACACACACACACACACACCAGGAATTGCATGTTTTCCTTGTGCTCCTTCCCCAAGTGTACTCTCCCAAACCTCCTCTGTCTCTTTGTTTATTTTTATTTTTTTGCTTATTTTAAACCCTTTTGCTGTTGCCCGCACAGGGACATCTACTTCGAGTATTGGCAAGGTAATTACTCCAGGTGAAGCAGGAAGGCTGAGCTCTGCCTCTGCCTGATAGGGATTTAGCTGCTGCAAATCTGTGTGTATCGGGGCCTCCTTTCCTCCTTTTCCTCCTCGCTGTCAATTGCCACGTGCCTGCCCTCTAGGCTGCTTCGCAAGGGGAGCCTTGATGCCCCCTCAGAGCAAGAAGAGGAAGTGTTTAGAGCGCCCAAGCCTCTACCCTCCATAAGAGAAAGAGAGAAGGGGAAAGAGAACGAGAAAGCGGTGGAGGGGCTAGAAAGAAAATTTCAAAATATAGCTAAAATGCAACAGGAGGGAGTTCAGAGTGGTTATTTCTAGGGAGGGAGGAATTATTACTGATAACCCACCCTGTTCCCTCTAAGATGCACACGCCATTCTGATCTCCTTCAGCATCTCCTTCCATTCCGAAGCCAGTATTTAGACCCGGCAGCTCTTTGAAACGCCAAGGCAAGAGCAAGTAAAAAAACCACACCAAATATCACAAAGTGAAATAAAAAAGCAAAACAAAAGAATAAAACAATATAGAATAATGCGTTCACCTGCTTTGCATGCAGATGGTCTCAAGGCAGGACTAAGAGATCCCTGCCTTGAAATCCCGGAGAGCCACTGCTGGTGTGTGGACAATGCTGAGACAAGGGTCTGACTCTGTACAGTGCAAGGCAGCTGCCCTGTGTTCCTGGAGTGCTCTCTCTGCTTCCCTGCCTGAACCACTGAGTAATTGCCTGCCTGCCTATTCAGATCTGGAATGAATGGCAAGTAGGGCTTTCCAGGTCGAAGTGCAGATTGAACTGAAGGTGGAACCCAACATACTTCCGCTTCGTAAACCAAATCTGAATGTTTTGAATAGACTTGGTCTGTAGCGGAACAATGTCTGTTGTCACTAGCACAAGGGCAGCATTGCCTTCCAGAGTAGAAGAAAAGCAGGGTGTTTTTTTTCGTGATGGTAACAAAATAATTAGCAATCGTGTAGTGCTTCCGAATGTTCAGAGTGCTCTGTATGCATTGTCTTGTGATCCTTACAACGTCAGGCGTTGCATGTTTCCATGCTGGTCTGTGGCCCACTCCAGATGCTGTATGTCCTTTTGAGTGCTGTAGATGTGTGTGTAGATGTAATAGCCTTGGCTATTAGACCACTTGGAAATGTGGTGGCCAGGGACTGCATCCTTCTACCTAAGGAACGGCGCTTTAACTGCAAGAATGAGACGGTTCTGGCAAGCCCCGCACTGTGTTGGCCTTGGGATTGCCATGGGTGTGGAGCGCATGTGTGTGTATGCATGCTCCTACAGATAAACTGCGGGTTGCTGGGACTCGGATGCTCATCCTGAAACTCCTACCTCGGCCTGTGCTGAGATGGGCCTGAGTTGAGGTGCAAGTTCTGGCAGGGGAAACAGACTGCACAACTGTGTAGAAACTGTTTTGCAGGAGATGCGAGCTCATGTTCAGCCACTTCCACGAATAACGCACTGAGTGAGGCACTTCCTCTCCACGTGCAAAATGGGTGTTATGATTGCCTGCCTCCTCCTTGGGGTTGCTGGAAGGATAAATGAAAGTGTAGCTTTAAAAAGAAGAACCCTCCCTCTGCTGGATAATCTGTAGACAGTGTTAAAAACTTTTAGATATACAGTGGTACCTCAGGTTACATACGCTTCAGGTTACACACTCCGCTAACCTAGAAATAGTGCTTTAGGTTAAGAACTTTGCTTCAGGATAAGAACAGAAATCGGGTTCTGGCGGCGCAGCGGCAGCAGGAGGCCCCCATTAGCTAAAGTGGTGCTTCAGGTTAAGAACAGTTTCAGGTTAAGTATGGACCTCCGGAACGAATTAAGTACTTAACCTCAGGTACCACTCTCAATCGCCAAATGGCACCTTAAACTTGGGTTACGGTTGCCACAATGGAACGTTTGGGCGACTTTCCTCCCCACCCGTGGGATTTATTATTATTATTAATTTCATTTCTATACTGCTTTATATTTTAAATAAAAAAATCTCAAAGTGGTTTACAACACATCAAAGCATCAAATAAAACAACCCATAATAATAAAAAAATCAGGCATCAAGGAAAATATTTCAGATCCTTCTCTTGATATTTTGCTTTCCCCATATTTATTTACCTACTTAATTCATAGAGCTGGCCTGTAGCAGGAATCTAATAAGCCAGTGAGGTGTCATGATTAAAGTATCAGACCTGAGAGATCAAGGTTCAAATCCCCACTCAGTCATGACCTTGGGCCAGTCGCAGCCTCTTATCCTTCCTCACAGGGTCATTGTAGGGATTAACTGAGATGGGGGGGGTGAACCATGTACTATTTGGAGGAAAAGGTGGGATATAAATGCAGTAAACAAGCTTTTCTGCTGACCTGTTTTGCTTTACCTAGGTCGAGCTAGGATTATAATACATCAGAATTTTGGGGGTTCTACCCTTGTTTGAATTTTGGTCATTTAAAATTCTATTTCCTTCTGAGGAAACTGAATACTTCAGTGAAACGAGGTTTGTAGCCGGCATCCTGTTAAGGCTTTGTTCTGTTTTAGGTTTTTCTATTTTTTTCCCTTAAGCTTTTTGATTTTTATTATTTAGTTGATTTCCACAAGAAAATATTTCTAGTCGGTTACTTCTTGTTTCTGGGATTCTCACGGTATTTCATTTGTTTTGTGCGACCTGTTTAAGAAAGCTGGCAGGGCCAGCCAGATGAAGATGTCAGTCGCGAACCTGGCATCATCAGGTCTCCATGTGGTCACAATTGGACCTGCACTAGTTGGCACCTGGGGGATTTCAAACACTGTAGATACCGTATTTTTCGCTCTATAGGACGCACCCGACCATAGGAGGCACCTTGTTTTAGAGGGGGAGAAGAAGAAAAAAAATTCTCCCCCTCTCTGCTCAGCGCCCCTTCAGCGAAGCGGCAGGAGAAACGGAGCCCCTTCCATTTCTCCTCCCGCTTGGCTGAAGGGGCGCTGAGCAGCTCTCCCTCTCTGCTGAAGCCGGGAGACTCTTGCTCTCCCGGCTTCAGCAAAAGGAACCTGAATGACATCCCCACTCAGTCATGACCTTGGGCCAGTCGCAGCCTCTTATCCTTCCTCACAGGGTCATTGTAGGGATTAACTGAGATGGGGGGGGTGAACCATGTACTATTTGGAGGAAAAGGTGGGATATAAATGCAGTAAACAAGCTTTTCTGCTGACCTGTTTTGCTTTACCTAGGTCGAGCTAGGATTATAATACATCAGAATTTTGGGGGTTCTACCCTTGTTTGAATTTTGGTCATTTAAAATTCTATTTCCTTCTGAGGAAACTGAATACTTCAGTGAAACGAGGTTTGTAGCCGGCATCCTGTTAAGGCTTTGTTCTGTTTTAGGTTTTTCTATTTTTTTCCCTTAAGCTTTTTGATTTTTATTATTTAGTTGATTTCCACAAGAAAATATTTCTAGTCGGTTACTTCTTGTTTCTGGGATTCTCACGGTATTTCATTTGTTTTGTGCGACCTGTTTAAGAAAGCTGGCAGGGCCAGCCAGATGAAGATGTCAGTCGCGAACCTGGCATCATCAGGTCTCCATGTGGTCACAATTGGACCTGCACTAGTTGGCACCTGGGGGATTTCAAACACTGTAGATACCGTATTTTTCGCTCTATAGGACGCACCCGACCATAGGAGGCACCTTGTTTTAGAGGGGGAGAAGAAGAAAAAAAATTCTCCCCCTCTCTGCTCAGCGCCCCTTCAGCGAAGCGGCAGGAGAAACGGCGCCCCTTCCATTTCTCCTCCTGCTTGGCTGAAGGGGCGCTGAGCAGCTCTCCCTCTCTGCTGAAGCCGGGAGACTCTTGCTCTCCCGGCTTCAGCAAAAGGAACCTGAAGCCTTCGGAGTGCAGCGCGAGTTCCCACTGTGCTCCAAAGGCTTCAGGCGGCTATCCCTGAAGCCTGTAGAGCACCGACCCCTCTCGCTCTCCAGGCTTCAGCAAAAGCAACGTGTAGCCTCTGGAGCACGGAGGGAGTGCTCCCTCTGCGCTTCGGAGGCTTTGCGTTGCTATCGTTGAAGCCAAGGAGCCTGCATTCGCTCCATAGGACGCATACACATTCCCCCTTAATTTTTGGAGGGGAAAAAGTGTGTCCTATAGAGCGAAAAATACAGTAGTTTAACTTCTCCTCCCTCCTTATCCAGCTAGATTGGGGGGGGGGAGAAATAATGGCCTCCTGCTTTCTTCCATAAACCTGTTTTTAAAAAGCCCAGGCAACTCCAGAATGCGAAGGCTGCCCTGGTGTTTCCTGTGAGGTCCACCCCCTAGGTGATCAATGTTCCATGAAATGCAGCTGGGGCTGCCGGTGGTTGTATCAGAGCAGCAACGTGAGCCCTCTTTTAACTCGATCTCTTTCTTCCCACAGCTCTGCCTCATGACGCTATCGATGTTTCTGTGTAGGACCATCGGGCCAAACTATGACAAGCTGGCTCGCTACTCCTAGGAGTCGAATCACCACTTCCCAGAGTTCCAGACTTTATTAGGGGGCGGCAATGGAATCCATCCCTTTAAATTCAAAACTTTCCACTTCAGGGCTGCAAGGTGCCTCTGGAGATTCTCTACCTAACCTTTCCTTGCACAGAGCTAGAATTGGTTCTACCATAACCTTGGGAAAAGAAATTAAACTCTCAGGAGTTGCAGGCGTCAGGAGACTCCATTACAATACCCTGCAGAACTCTTCATACAGCAAAACAGATGATTTAGCCCTTAAATCATCTCCCCAAACCATTAGCTTATCCATTCCGAAATTTGATGTAATAATGCCAAAAGATTTACTCCCGATGTTTTTCTGATTATTTTGGCTCTTGAGTGTTTAGTTTGTGACATCCAAAGCTAGACCCTGCTTCAGCACTGTTTGGCAGAATAAGGAGTTCACTGCCAGACTCGAGTGGATTACAAAACATAACTTGGAAAGCAAATGTGTGTTTTTAAAGGTTTCTTTTTTTACTACTAATAATAACAACCATAACAATTCTATTGACTATTCCGTAAAATTCCTTAATAAGCTTGTTTCGGAATTAATCCTGCCTTTCGTAGTACAAAAACAAAGCTGATGTTAAAATGTTTAAATTTTATTTAGCAGCGAAAGAAAGGAAAGTACTGAGAACTTGGACGAGCCATGTTTTTGAGCGATGGTGCTCAGGTGCTTGGTGCAACATTTTAAATTGGGGATGGGGAACCTGTGGTCTTCCTGATATTGCTAGACTAAAACTCTCATAATCTCTGGCCCTCCTAGCTGGGACTGATGGGAATTGTACTCCAAAACAGAAGGGAGTGCCTGTGAAATTCTTTTGACCCACTCAGTTTACACCTTGTACTGCAATGTCTAACCCAGGGATGAGCATCCTGTGGCCCGCCCAGCTGCTGGACTCCCAACTCCCATCATCCCCAACCATCACAGGCACGATGGAAGTTACAGTCCAGCAACATGAGCCACAGGTTGCCCACCTTTGCTCTGAGTCACCTTGGCTGGATTTGCTGAAAATGCCTAGGTGACAACAGCCATTGTCCCCTCCAATCTCCCCTCTTCCAGTCGTTAGAAAACTTCCAACCTTTGTTCTGAAGCCCTTCCCTACCCCGCGACCCTGCTCTCCCCCTCCCATTTTCTGTTTGTTAAGACTGCAGGTTGAGACTGTGGGCTTCCCCGCCATGGAAAGTTTGGTCCAATTTTTGTCTCTCATAATCTTAACGCATGCACACCCCAGCTAGCTGCCTGCACAGGAGGTGGGGAACATGTGGCCTTCCAGATGTTGTTGGGCCCCCAACTCGTCACCTCAGACAGGTTCGACATCTGGAAGGCCACAGGTTGCCTCCCCATTCCAACAGTTTGAATGCACTTATCCTTCTCAGATGGGCTCTTCTTACACAAAGGAAACACAAGCGAGGGTAGCCAGCTCTGGTAAAGACGTCTTCATTGTGAACACTTGAAATCCCAGGGAAGGAGGAAAACTTTGCTTGTCTTGGGCATGGGTGTCTGCCAGGCAAGCTCCAGATCTGAGGGGGCTGTTGGGCAGCAGCTTTTGATCCAGCATCTTAGCCTGTTTTGAACAATAAGACTAGAAACAAGTATTTTAAGGGGGACCGAGGGCAGGTATTTGTCATGGGTCCTGCTTGGACTTTTCTAGGTCTTGGCAGCTGCCCAACAAGGCCAGGTTCTACTCTCAATCTTGTGTGTGCACGCGTACGTTGGTGGTCTCCCAGAGCTTTGGCTGGAGCTACATAAGCCCTTTCTCCCCCGACGTCTTGGTAACTATTTGGAAAAGTTGTGCTCAACTCACATCATTTGTCGTTACTTTTGATATTCTGCTCCACTTGTTTATACCTGTACATTGTCTGATGGGAAAGCCCATTTCTAACACTTGCTGCATGTGTTGTGTATCTGTTTATGCATGCAAACCACTTGGATGTTTGACATACAGTCATACCTCGGGTTAAAGTAGCTGCGGGTTGAGCTCCGCGGTGACCCGGAAGTAATGGAACACGTTACTTCCGGGTTTTGCTGCTTGCGCATGCGCTCAAAATGTCACACGCATGCGCAGACGCGGCAAATTGCGAGCCGCGCATGCGCAGAGGTGGGTTGTTCGCTTCAGGATGCGAACGGGGCTCCAGAAGGGATCCCATTCGCATCCAGAGGTACCACTGTAGTGGAGTCGTGAGGGAACACATGTTAAAAGGGAAGATGCTGGTGGAATGAGGTACGCATATATAATTTCACCTGTATCCGTAGCTTGTTGCTTCTTAACAGTATTTGGGGTTGTTTTGTGCATTTTGTGGGTTGGGTTTTTTATTATTATTATCCTGTTTTGTAAATAAATAAATAAAAATCCCTAAATGGCTGTTTTGCTTTGGTTCTTTTGCACTCTGGAGATGTGAGGAAGCTAAGATGGCCTCTAGAAAGAACGACTAAGCAGGCCTCAACCCTAAGAGAACGACAACAATCAAGGAACAGGAGAGGTATGGCTATCAAGGGCATTCTTAGCCACACCTCTTCCTCCTATTGGCTGCTCTAGCTTGATGGGATCTCTCAGAAGGCTCCTTCCAGCCCAAGTGGGCTGTATGTGCCACAGGCTGTTGAGAAGTCGTACCTTGGTCCAAAGCTGGTCTGTGGCAGAACTGGTCCCGACAAGGGAGTTCTTCTTCATCCTGCTGACTTGCAGCTTTTCCACAAGTGGTAAGTGCTGGTGCTTCTTTTGACTTGCCCTACCGTGCCAGACTCATTGGTTTCTGTGACTGGTGGGGTGCTCCCCAAGTAAAGGTAAAAAGGTAAAGGACACCTGGATGGTTAAGGGGTTGTGGCGCTCATCTCACTTTTAGGCCGAGGGAGCTGGTGTTTGTCCAGACAGCTTTCTGGGTCATGTGGCCTGCATGACTAAACCGCTTCTGGCACAACAAGACACCGTGACGGAAACCAGAGCACACGGAAATGCCGTTTATCTTACTGCTGCAGCGGTACCTATTTATCTACTTGCACCGGCATGCTTTCGAACTGCTAGGTTGGCAGGAGCTGGAACAGAACAATGGGAGCTCATCCCGTCACGGGGATTTGAACCGCTGACCTTCTGATCAGCAAGCCCAAGAGGCTCAGTGGTTTAGACCACAGCACCACCCGCAAGTACAAAACCCAAGAAAGGGCTAATCCTGCTCCAACCTGTCTGCTAATGAACCCTTCCACCCTGCCCTCCAAAGCAGTCAACCCCACAGCAAAAGCTGCAAACCTACAGGCCTCTCGAGTGAGAATGGGCTGAAGGGGAAACGAAAAATCACTCAGACCCTGTACTATGTCAAAATAAACTTTATGCAAGATCACATAATTTGCCCCGTTTCCCACCAAAGCGAGAGACCGCTGCAACCTTGTGAATGGCAAAGGGGCAAGGGAAAAGGACTATATACGAAGAAAGTACAGCGGTACCTCGGTTTAAGAACGATTTGGTTTACAAACTCCACAAAACCGGAAATAGTGTCTTGGTTTGATAACTTTACCTCAGTCTAAGAATGGAATCAACGGTGGAAGGGCACCGGAGGCGGGAGGCCTCATTAGGGAAAGCGCGCCTCGGTTTAAGAACGGTTTTGGTTTAAGTACGGACTTCTGGAACAGATTAAGTTCGTAAACTGCGTAAACTGAGGTAGCACTGTACATAAAGTCCAAATGTGTCTCGTACACCCCACACTTTTAAGCAAAGCTTGGCTCGTTCTTACTCTTCGCTCCATCAGAGGCTGGGTCTAAACAGCCAGCAGAACAAAGCTGTGGAATAAACCATGTTACTTCCCCATTTGCAGCTACAGGGTGGCAGCAGAGAAAGCTGCCGTAGGCAGAGTCTGACCCTAATTAGCATCTGCATGGGCTGGCAGTGGCTCACCTGGGTTCCACAAAGGTCTCTCCCTGCCTTACCTAGAGATAGTGGGGTTGAACCTGGGACCTTCTGAATGTGAAGCAAGAGTTCTCCTCCTGTGCTACAGCCTTCCCCCAAGGAGGAGTGCAAATTCATGGCAGTGGCAAGGAAGGGGTGAAATGGGGTGGCCCCACTCACCACTAGAATGTGGGCCCCAAACAATGGGTGCTGAGGCTATGCTGGCCTCCAACATGAAAGAAAGGTTCTGCACTCCTGTTGAAGGGAACGGTTATTTTCAGCTCAAAGACCGGCCCGCTGAACCATCTTTTCGGTTGCCGGCCTACATAAAACTCTTGCTAGCAGAAAGCAAGCACTGCAGGCAGAGGCCTGCAGGCGAACTTTTCTCCCTGGGTTTGCTGGTGTTCTTCAAGGGAGTTTACACCTGGGAATAATAACGAATAGAATCGCCTGCCTGTAGTCTGTAGTGTTGGCCCCACTGCAGCCGTTCTACCTCCTCATTCTGCTGCATGTATAGACAAAGCCTTGAATCTCTTGTGAGGTAATAGGCCTCTGAAAGGTGAACATCTCCACCTCCAGTGCGACAGGGAGTAAGGCCCACTAAATTCTACAATGGGACTCCTCCCCTGCCCCCAAAGTAGGCATGGTTAAAAACAACACCAGATTAGGTGTAGTACTTGTAAAGAGAGCCTGCAAGATCAAATGTATACTGCTTTCAGGGCTGTGTCACCTCAGGCTGCAAGCAGAGGCTCGCCTTACTGAATGCTTCTCCATACCAAAAACCCCCCACACAGAACACTAGCTTTTCTGGGAGGAGCCTACAATCATGTGGACCCCGCTACCTGAGGTGAAGTGGTGTGGCCCACCCCCAAAACAGGTTGATCTCCTTACTCCTAATTCTCACACGGACAGGTTAAGTTACATCAAACTTCTGCCAGATTATTGAAAGCAACTGTCCTCAAAAATGCCACGTGTCTCATTGACAATGGAGTGTGTGAAATCCCAGCCACACGGAGGGGAATGTTCTCGGTCAATGGCATATGTATGGTAGAGGTTAACTCCTGATATCCCACAGCTTGACTGGGAACGGGGTGGGGGGAGCTTGCCCTGAAAGCACTGCTGCTCGACAATGCTGTTGCCATAGCTGCGAGCTTCTCCGCTGAATTACAGCAGTGCTTCTGGGCTTGGGCCTCGGGCCTAACTTTGTGGCCATCAGGGAGAGAGGAGGATATCCATTGGTAGAATCAGTTGCTGGGTTTGCCGGTGGTTGCCAGGTGACAAAAAAGCCATTATCACAGAAGGTTCAGCAGTTGTCATAGCAGTCCATTCACAGTTCACAGACAGGCCGTAGACCTCCTGTTGGGTGAGGGAGTGACCCATTTTGGAGCATGGAGGTGGGGTAAAAGCTGTTCATCACTCCCGGCCCAGCCGGTAGATGTGGTGTTGTGCCCCGTGCTCGCTGGCAGACACTTCAAACACAAAGGCCACACATAAAAGTAACTCCTGAGTTTCTTGATCCCGCAAAACCTGTGGAGGGGATGGAGCGTATTCTGACAAGTTTCACAGCAGTGCAAGGGGATAATCCTGCCCGTATCTGGGAGCATAATGAGATTTCCCTAAATCTCTCCCACAGGGAGCTTGCTGCGGCCCCCATAGCAAATTTGACAGGGGCTGCCATCTTCCCTTCCCTCACCCTTATTGCTGTACCAGGTCTCCACTGCCTTACAGCTGATTCACAAATTGCAAAACACGAGCATTTATTAAGGGTTGCTTCCCAATTAAAAGAAGCGTAAGTCTGTCAACTGAATTCTGCTCTGTTCGGTTATGCCTGTGTTTCCGCATGAGAAAATATAGTTACAACCAGCACACTATTACATCATGGATGCACAAGGCACAGCCAGCATAATCTTAGAAGAGGCATCATGCCACACTGCCCTTGCTATCCTACATGAAGGAATGTTCCTAAGCTAGAGCTTGCCACTGGAGGATTTTATAAGTGCCATTTAAATTTCCCACAATGCATCACCCTGGAGAGCTGTGGGAAATTAAAAGGTTGCCCTGTACTGTACTGACTCTGGTCGGTCAAGGACTGGAGTTTCTATTTATGGAGAATTCAAGTTTTGGCTTGGCTTCCTATTCTGCCTTCTCCTCCCCCAGGGAAGGAAAGAAAGGCAGAGAGATAGAGAGAAGCACAAGATGGCCCCTCGTTTCCTTCCCCAAATACCTGCAGGATGGTAAAGTTTTCAAGCACGCTGTCCATCATCGGCTTTTCTGGCAGCGTTTGCAGTTTGCGGATGAAGTTGATGAGGTACTCGCACAGCGGTGAGCGCTGCAGCTGGAAAACAAAGCGTCCGTCTTCCCAGTGGGGAGGCTCAGCTGTCTGCAGAGTTGGGGAGATGGGAGTGGTTAATGGCAAAGCGGGCATATGAGACACAGAGAGAACCTAACACATGCACACCACCTTTGTACAAAGGGAGAAGCCGCCTCTCTTCCTCCGCCACCATAGGGACAACCTTCTAAAAGGAGCAAGACTCACACTCCTAAACTTAAACGATGCAAAGATTAGTTCGACTGAAATTAAGCCTGTTTCCCCCCCAACTTCCAAGTACTGTAAATCTGTTTGTGGGATGCAAATCTTAACTCCTCAATGTCCAGTAGCTGATACAGCTTAACACTTTCACACTCGCACACACTTAACTTCTTAAACATTGTAGGCCAAGTTGCTCTTGACCCTGCAGATCTTCCTAGCTTCCAGGCCCTTCTATAGTTTAAGACATGCACAGATTTAGCATTAGGCTGCAGGTCTCCCTTTTTTTAATGGTCTCCATCGGGTGAGTGGGGTACCAGGTTCACATCAGAGGGAAAGCTTCAGATGAAGGGATGGAGGACCTGCAGCCTTCAAGATGCTGGAGCCGAACTCCCATCAACCCCAGCCAGCCTAGCCCAATAGTCAAGGATGATGGGAGTTGGGGTCCAACATCTGGAGAGCCAGAGCTTCCCCATATCTCTGCCAGAGCAGAAACAGCCAACTCGGTGCCCTCAATATGTTGTTGGACTTTGAAGACCAGTCAGCCTCAGGCCAATGAGCATGGGCGGATGTCCAGCAATGTCTGAGGGGCACCACATTGGCTGCAAGGGAAGGCACAACAGCTCAGTGCTGGAACACATGTTTTGCATGCAAAAAGCCAGACGGTTCAACCTCTCACACACAATGGCCTGTTAAAAGGATAAGGAAACAGGTGGCCTGAGAGATTCCTGCCCAGGGGCACTGCAAATATTTGAAGGGATGGGAACACAGACCCTTGACACAAATCTGCATATGCCAGTTTAGATGCATAGATGCAAATGTAGTCCCAGCAGCCCTATAAGCAGGGTTTGGGTTTAAGTTTGGGGTGGAGAGGGAAAGGCAGGAGATTTGAAGCTCAAGCTGCCTGGGTCACCCTAACAATGCTTCTGCCCCCACCCAAAATCCTGGAGAGATAGAGCATGCAGCAATGGGATAAACAGAGAAATAGGCTGCATGCACACCACACCTCTGAAGCACGTGGCTTCCCCCAAAGAATCCTGGGAACTGTGGTTTGCCAAGAGTGCTGGGCAGTGTGGCTTTGTAGAGGGTGAACTACATTCCCCAGGATTCCTCATGGGTGTGGTGTGTACGCAACGGGTAAAAGGCAACTTGAATTGTGGCCGACGTGGCTACTTTTTCACAAGCTGCTCCACAGAAGCTTCTTAGGTGTAAATGATCCCTGTTCCTCTGGCACCCCCACCCGCCAGTGTGGCAACCCCCTCTTCTCTCCCCATCCACTCCCCCCCACAAGTCCCGCCATCCCCCTGCCAACTCTCCCCTGCCCCCCCGCACCCACCTCCAGTTTTTCCACCACCTGTTTGCCAAAGGAGCAGACCTTGGAGGTGCAACTGAGAGTCAGAGCCCGTGGGCCCTCGTATCGGCTGCTCACCCCATAGAAGGCCCCTCCTGTGCCCCCTGGTTCTTCTTCAAGGAGGGGAAAGCTCAGATCAGCCTATGGTAACAGGAGAAATGGGGGGAAAATGCAGTGTTTTCTTTCTTTTCCTCACCCCCACCCCAACTGATATAAAAAGCAGGATGTCATACATTTCAGTTAGTACTTCATAAGTGGGGGGTGGGACAGGAATGTCTATTCCACAACTACTTGCCACAGCAGCTAAACAAAAACCCCACATGCAGAGAAGTAATATGCCATTGAACATCACTTGCTGGGGCCAGGAGGATAGAGGGTGGGGATCACCTTCCTGCCCTTTTTGTGATCTTCTGAGGTCTGGCCTTGGTGGATAAGACCATGTTCTAAAGTTTACTATTGATGATTCATTTGGGTTGGCCTTGGGGGGTGTTTGCAAGTAACCTTGCATATCCTGTATGCAATTATTACTTCTGTGAACCATTGCAATTCTATTTGCTTGAGGACCTGGCTTTTGTGTGCATCGTTATAGCAATATAAATGCATATCCATTATCCTACACACAAATAGCAAACTAAGTTCTCCGAGGGCCAATCCTGACATTGCCAAAATAACATCAGCCATGCCACAAATGGAAGGCTTCGGAAAGCTTGTGGCTCCTCCAAGGTTTTCAACAGTAGGAAACATCTTTAAGAAATAAAAACCCTACATGGAGGGGGAACCCACCAAAAACATGGCAACAAAGACTGAGCATGCTCAGTAGCTTCAGAACGCTGACAATCTGTTGTTTGGAGTGGTGGGAACCACGTGGGAGGGGTCATGGCTGGCGGGTACAGTAAATGGGAGCACCCTATACTGCAACGTTTTGTTGCAGGCTCACTGGCATTTTTCTGTAGCTGTAAAGATGCTTAGAGCAGCTTTCAATTAGCTAGGAGCAGAGACCAAAGCTCCCTTGCAACAGTTTTTCTGGCTGGGACCTGCCGGATCCTATTTGAAGCTGGAAGGCGGCTAATGTGCACAGCTGAAGCAACAACAATGCATTCATTAAGTCAGTATTCAAAATGGCTCATTTGCCCCTCCACCCAAACAGTGATGGAGCCATGCCAAGCTTTTCTAGGAGATCTGGCATGAATGTACCCAGAATCTGCTTTATCTGCTTTGAACCACCAAGGCAATCCACCAGCCCCAGCAAACTGGCCAGGTAAATATCTATATATAATGCAGCAAAGGAGCTTTTGCCTTCCTAGCTTGTTGGGGATTGAGGGAAGCAGGGCGGTTCTCACCCAGAACTTGACCAAGAAGAAGGCATGAGAAGGCCCCTGGTCATACAGGTCTCGCAGCCCACCTCCCCGCTCAGGGAATTTGTCGTAGATTTGGCGTACGTCCACCGTCTCCAGCGGGGAGTCAGAGGCGGGTGTCGGGTCGATATGCACAAAGCGGTGTAGCTGCTTACACTGCCGAGAGGAAAGGGTAGAAGTCAGTGCATGGAATGATGCAGACTGGCACCAGCTGCCCGAATTTTGATTTACTGAATCGCTTGCCAAAAGAAGTTAGAATGCAAATAGCTTTTTTTTTTTTTTTTGAAGTGCTTTACAACAGCTTTCAATATGGTACTCGTGCTAGTCTGTTGCTGCATCTTAAGCTAAGGACTAACGCATTTTGTTATGGTGTAAGCTTGTGTGGACTAGGGACTACTTCATCAGATGCAAATGTTACTGCCATGATCCTCCCAATTAACTCGGTAAAGCAGGAATACAATATGTGCAATTCTGATATTGCTGGGTTGCTGTTGTTTTTAAGTATGACATGTTTATCCTGCTTTTCCCTCCAGTGAGCTAAAGGTAGCACACAATGTTCTCTCCCCTCATTTTATCCTCACAATAACCCTGTGAGGTAAGTCAGATGGAGAGATAGTGAGTGACCAACCCCAGATTATCCAGCGAGTTTCACATCTAATTAGGGATTAGAACCTGGATTGCACCAACTCTAATAAAACACCTTAACCACTAAACCACACTGGCTTGTGGTCAGAGGCTGAGAGACAGCAACTTACTCCAGGTCACCTAATAAGATGAGCCTTCAGGATCAGGCCAATGCCCCACCTAGTCCAGTATCCTGTTCACACAGGATAAGTTCATGGCAATGGTGGGATCTGAACCCCAAATTTCCCGCCCTACACAGCTCAAACTTTTAGCTACTTCCCCACATTTCTGTCTCTCCAAATTTAATCTTGAGATGAATATCAGCCTACAGTGGTACCTCAGAAGTCGAATGAAATTCCATTCTGGAAGAAACCAAGGTGCAGCTTCCGATTGGCTGCAGGAAGCTCCTGCAGCCAATCAGAAGCCGTGGAGGATGTTCGGGTTCCAAATAACATTCGCAAACCAGAACATTCACTTCCGGGTTTGCGGCATTCGGGAGCCAAAATGTTCGACTGGCAAGGCATTTGGGATCCAAGGTACAACTGTACTGGTATCTTAACCTTAGCTTCTCCACTTGCTGCATGTAGTTTCTTATACTCATCCCTCCATCCACTTCTGTTTATCAAGCCCTGCCCTTCCTCCAAGGAACTCAGGGCAACATAAACACGAGCTGTCCTATTTTATCCTCTTAAATAACCCTGTGAGACAGGTTAGGCAGTGAGACTGTGACTGGCCCAAGGCCACCCGCTAAGCATCTCATCACTGAGCGCAGTCTTGAAACTAGATCTCCAACACACGGTCAATTACATCATCAGGCCAACTCCCAAACTTTTCAAGACAATATATGGGGACAGCTGGCACGAGGCGCAAGTGTGCGAATGGTGTTAAGTATAGGTACACATCTCACCGCATCTTGTTCTGCCTGCCGCTCCACAAACGCAGTGAACTCCACCAGCCGAAGCGTTTCCGTACCAATGTGGCTTCCCTGCCAAGAGGTAGCACTGGGGAGGCGGGGGGCTCTCCCTGGGGGCGCGTGGTAACCTGCCGAGCCGAGGGAGAAGGCACTGAGACCGACTGGCGCACTCTCACCTCCCCCGCCTCATAGGAAGGCAAGCGGTTTAGGAAGACGGTGGCTTACCTGGGACAGCAGCGGGTGCTGGGACTGGGATGGGGTATGGAGCTTGGAGGATAGGCTTGACGCTAAGGGTAGGAGGGAGAAAGAGGAGAGTCAAGATATGGCTTTTCAACAGGGGGGCATTGCAATACACACACACACGTGTGTGTGTGGTGCAGAAATGCTAGACAAATTGCTGCTCCCAGCAGTGCGTGTGTGTCAATGACTGAAAACAACAACAACAACTCACTCTAGAGTGTCTCGGGATTGGCTTGCATCCCCTGTCCAAAACTGGAAGAACTCTGTGGACTGGAAAAGTCAGAAGAGTTAAAAACTGCACTACATACTTAAGTTAGGGCTGCAACATTTATTCTGTTTACTCTGAACTGATGAAATCAAATTTTAAAACCGTTTAATTGACCAAATTCAGTGGAGAGTGATTATTAAAAAACAAACAAACAAAAACCAAGTGTTTATAAAAACTAAGACTCCATCTTGGAAGAGGAGAATGCCTCTTCTGTAGTGATGACGTCTGCTAAGTCATCTGATCTAAAAAACTTAGGAAGCATGCTTCTTGCTTCCAAAACACGGTTTTTGCCCATATGGAAATATAATTGACTAATGCTTGTACATATGATCTGTCAGCTGAGGTTTCATTTATTCAGCAACAACTCTTAACTTAAACACCATTTAATAATAATTTCCTCTCTCCAGGAAAGAGCTAATGATCTAACACAGAGAATTCTTTTGAATGTCACCAAACTACAATTCCCAAGATTCCTTGGGAGAGTTGAGAGCTAAACTGGCAGAAACCTTAATCTAAGTTTTTAGTACAGAAAGAGAACAGGAACCGGGAACCTGTGGGCTTGCAGGTTTTGCTAAACTATTGCTCTCAACAGCCCCAGTGGGCATGGCTAATTGCCAGGGATTATGGGAACTGCAGTCCCACAACATCTGGGAGCCCACAGGTTCTCCATTCCTGCCATAGCGTTACAGCCCCATCGAAACCCCACCTCACAGCCCCTCTTCCACATGCTTACGGTGGTGCTGGGTGGGTAGTGGGGTTCTGACAAGCCCAGTTTTTCCTGGAGGACCGTGGCAGATACGAGTTGAGCAGAAGACATGGCTGCCATAGTCTGAAGCGCTTTGTCCTTTGCTACCTGGTCCTTGAAGAGAGACAAATCCTGGTTTTCAAATGCCCGTTTCCCTTGCGCAGGAGTTCTCAAAACATCCTACCCTTAAGGCCTCTTTTTCCACATTGATTTCTCTACTGAGGAATGCCTGCAAATCAGCCGTGAAGGGTCTGGAAGTTTCAGGTGGTTATGGGGTGCATAATGACACACATAACTTTGACTGTGGGGGTAATGTAATTTCTTCTGGGGCTATCACCCCACAGGAGACATTTGTAGGGGACAAGGTGCTATATAGGCAAACCATCAGTCATCACCTGTCTTCTCATTGAGGAAGCCGATGGTGTAGGGATCACTCACTACTGGAGAACAACTCTCATCATGCCAGACCATTGGCCATGTTGGCTGGGGCAGATGGGAGCCGGAAGCCAGCAGTGCCTCAAGGACAGTTGGTTAAACACCCCTGTTATAAGGTGTTCACCCTGGAGTGCCTAGGGGTTAGTCCCCTTGTGAGCCACTGAGTTACAAACAATAGGATAATTACCATCATTTACATGCTGCCTTTCCTTCCATTATGGAATTCAAGGTGGTATATATTGGCATTGGCGAGACCCACACCTAGTTAGCTCCAGAAAGGGGGCTGCATCAGTTGCTGAGGCTCAGACCACACCCTGAAGAATTGCTTAGAAATCACTGCACTGGACTCCATTACAAAGAGAGGTTGAGAGAACTGGTAGCCCACCAAAGTGGAGACTGAGAAGAGACAAATATCCTAAATGGTTGCCACATGGAGGATGGAGCAAGCTTTTCTCCTGCCCTGGAGGGTAGGACTCAGACCAATGGCTTCAAATTACAAGGAGATTCCGACTAAATATCAAAGGAGCTTCTGACAGGAAGAGCTGTTCGATAGTGGAACGGACTCCTTAGGGAGGTCAGTATCAATATCGTCCTATTAAAAAATCTCCTCAGAAAACCAGGATTCCTGGTTTGCAGTCACACTTCATTCTTCCCCTGCTAATTACTAAGCTTTGTTCAAATCTCAGAACTCAGAACTCCCTGACCTATCCCCTCCAGCCTGGCCTCTACAGGAAAAAAATCACCCTGATGTTTGGCACCGAGAAGGCGGCCGATAGACTGAAACAATGAAGAGTCCCTTTAACTGCACCTTCAGTGTCCCTGACATGGTATCAGTGCTGCATCACGGCCATGGGGGGGGGGGTTTCAAGTGGGCTCCTTTTGCTTGCTGAAGCCCTTCAGGGCTCCTCTCAGCACCGATCAGCGAGGTTTCCTTAAAACAGGCCCACCTGCTCAGGGCAGCTGCCTGTACTGGGCCCCTTTCTGTCTGCCTTTGCTTCTTCGTGTCGAGAGGCGCTCAGAGCAGCTGCTAGGGAGCATCATTGTTAATTCCTCCCCAGGGCCCGATGCAACACTCCTACATCAGGGATGTAGGAGGGCCGAGATTAAGATGGATGTCTCCCTTGCTCGCTGCAGCTGCTCAGAGCTCCTCTCCCAGCTCCAAGCAGGACAGGTGGCATGGGACAACAGTCTTGAAAAATCAACACGCTTTGACCAGTGCAGGCCACTTTAAGAAACCAGCCCCTTGCAGATGAGATGCAGCACAATGCTACTTTGGAGGTGACAGGGCTTTGGGGAAATTAAAATGGCGGCTACCTCACTGCAGCTGGGAAGAGCTCTTCTCGCTTGCCAACACAGCTGCTTGCCCCACTTCTGTTGGTAAACTCAAGGCACTCACATTAAAGCCCTAAATGGCTTAGGACCCAAATATCCCAAATTGTGCTTTCTTTCCTCAGATGTTGAGGTCGGCAGCGGGGGCTGTCAGATGTTTGGGGTGGGGTGGTAGCAGCCCAAGAGAAGGCATCCCCTGTGGCAGCCCCTAGGCCCGAAACCTTCATTATACAGTATACAGTGGTACCTTGGTTCTCAAACTTAATCCGTTCCGGAAGTCCATTCTAAAACCAAAGCATTCCAAAGAGATCCCCGCCCCTGCTCCTGCTTGCACAGGAGTAGGAGCTGGATGGGCCAGCTCAGCTGGGGAAGTGCAGGCTCTATCACACTTTCTATTGAGGGGTTCACGGCTGCGCTACCCCTCAAGGAAGAAGTTTAAAGGAGCTCCACCTCAGCATCAGAGCCCCTGCACCACCCGAAGGCAGCCAGGTGGAATAGTTGCTGGGGTGGCAAAGGTGGAGGCAGCCCAGCAGTTGCATCTGAGAGCTCCTAAACCACTGCTGAGGCAGCTGTCATCAGGCTGTCTCCGCAATGGCACACGATGCTCCTTTAAACTTCTCTATTGAGGTGAACGCAGCCATGTACCCCTCCATGGAAAAGTGTGATGGAGCCTGCACCTCTCCAGGTGAGCAGCCCCGATCCAGCTCCTACTCCCATGCAAGCAGGAGTGGGGCAGGGATCTCTCAGCTCGGAAGTGGAGGCTTTCCAGTCCCCAGCTGAGCTGCCCCATCCTGCTCCTATTCACGTGCAAACAGGAGCAAGGGCACTCAAAACGAAAGTGTGGCACTGAAAACGGAAGTGTAACACTCAAAGCGGAACAGTTCCAATTCTGAAAAAAGTTCACAAACCGGAACACCTACTTCTGGGTTTGCGGCGTTCAAATTCCAAGTTGTTCATGAACTAAGCTGTTTAAAAACCAAGGTACCACTGTAGTTCCCACCTTTGACACCTGAGAGATGTGTTTTCAGGAACCACCCTATTCCAGTGACTGTGATTTGTTTTAGCTGTTTTTAATGTTGATGGTGAATGATGGGTAATAAACGGAACACATAATAATAAAAAACAATTTCCCCAGAGACCGGGGTGGGGTGGGGTTTGGTTGGTGGCACTTTCCCAATAACTTCCCCCAAACCTAGAGCTTGTCTCAAGTACCAGCAAAGCATTATGGGACTTTGGGGGGGTAAAATATGTACCCCCCTTACTACTACTCCTTTAGCAGAACGGGAATCCAGAGGTGCAAGCTTGTCATAAACATTTCAGGGAATGCAGGGAAGGGACTCACCTTGAGCTTGGCCTGAATCTCACGGGTTTTCCGCCGGGCCAAAACCTGGATGTGACTGGAGACCTGTGGAAGGAGTTGGGGGAGAGACTTAGCAGGAAACTCTGTGGAGAGAAAGGGGGAAATCTCACCAAGCCTCATTCTCCCCACACACCTCAGATTTATTTCCTGCAGTCTTAGGCTTCATGTCAAGCCCATCACGTTTACCTGTTTCCTTGTCCGTGTTTTGCCTGTCCTCAGTTTAATGTAGCGGGCAATGAGTTCATTGCGGCCTGAGAGAGAAGAGGCAAGAAATCAGGAAAACTCATCCAACTTGAACACCATATACAGAGGTGGAATTCCCCCGCCTCTCTTGACCATGCCGCTGACAACAATGTTAGGTTGCCACATGGGGCAGGTTGCAGCCTCCCTAACTCTGCACATGCTCAGAGACACAACCTTGCTAACTTCTGAATCATCTGGACTGTCAGGTCACGCCCACTGCAGAGGTTTAAAAAGGTGGGTGGATGCAAACCTGACCCCTCCTCCAGCAGACCTTGCACACGGTTGTCCCCCATCACCAAAAGTACGTCCCACACTGCCTCTAAAGACCCCAGGGTGCTTTCTGTGGTTTTATCTTCACAACAACCCTGTGAGGTGGGTCAGGCTAAGAGAGAGTGACTTGTCCAAATGCAAGATGTTGAGGCAGCAGTTCCCTAAAAGAAAGGGATGCTACAAACTGCATAACTGAAAATGGAATTGTCATTAGCCGCTCGCCTATGGAGAGTAAGAACTGCCTCCAGGTGAGTCTCTGTCCTTATAGGTCTAGCGCGGCACATTGTAGGGCCTCTGTTTACAACGGTGCATTTAGCTCCCTCATTTCTCTTCCTGGCCCTGCTGGCTCTTTTGTTTCTTTTCTGTCCCTAAAGAGAGCCTTCTGCACAGCATCTATGGCACAGTACCATGAAGGCTGCATCTGAGGACCACCTCTTTCCCCCTCTCAGAGCTGGAAGGGAAAAGGCACTGCTAGCGGTGTACCGCAGGAACACAGCACCATCAGTGGCTACCTTCCCAACTCCTTCCATTTCTTCAGGGAGCTAGAAAAGCGCCGTCTTCTTTTTTTACCTCACGTATTCTAAGCCCATTGCTTCTCATCATATATGATGGCTTGCAGGACGATCCCCAAAGAGAACCAAGGACAAGAGCAGCCGGTCTAATGGGTCAAAGTTAAGTCCCACCTACCGTACATCTTCCCCTCATCCGAAAGAATGATCTTCCGCCTCCCACAGGGTGGGTAGATGGCCAGGGCCTCCTGGAAACTCTGCTCAATATCAGGACTCCAGACCCCTTCTGCATCGTTGTCCAGACCCTTCTCCCCAGCGTCCCCCATCTCCCCAGAGGGGCTGGCCCCCTCGCCCCAGCTGCCAGGCTCTATGGTGTCAGGAGGGTTACCTGGAAGAAAGCAGAACAGGCAGCGATCAGATCTGAGGGATGGAGGAGCGGAAAGTTTCCTAACTGACAGAAGATGGGCAACAGCTCACCTCCATTTTCCCTTCCTTCCCATTTGGTTTTTTTTACCTGTGGAAAGCTTGGTGTCATATAGTTAGTCCTAGACCAAGGGTGGGGAACCTGTGGCTCCTGGACTCCTAACTCCCCCCAGTCCTAGCCAGCATGCCCAATGGTTATGGATGATGGGAGCTGGGGGTTCTCAATAATATCTGAAGGGCATTGGAAGCCACCTTCCCAAGTCAGGCTATTGGTCCATTTAGCTTAGAATTATTTACACTGGGTAGACAATATTCTCTAGCATTTCAGACAGAGGACATTCCCAGCCTACCTGGGATAGCTCAGATGGTACAACATGAGACTCTAAATTGTGGGTTCAAGATCCACGCTCGGCAAAAGACTGCAGGGGGTTGGACTAGACGACCCTCGTGGTCACTCTTCCAATGCTACAATTCTATGCAGAGGACTGAACCTGGCACCTTCTGCATATTTATTTATTGCCTTCCTATCCCAAGGAGCTCAAGATGGCGTACATAGTTCTCCTCTCTCCTCATTTAATCCCCACAGCAACCCTGTGAGTGTGGTAGTTTAGTCTGAGAGAGGCAATGACTGGTCCAACATCATCCAGTGAGCTCCATGTCCAAGTAGGGATTTGATCTCTGGTCTCCCAGGTCCTAAAATGACACTGGGATATGCCCTATATACAGTGGTACCTCAGGTTAAGTACTTAATTTGTTCTGGAGGTCCGTTCTTAACCTGAAACTGTTCTTAACCTGAAGCACCACTTTAGCTAATGGGGCCTCCCGCTGCTGCCAGAGCACGATTTCTGTTCTCATCCTGAAGCAAAGTTCTTAACCCGAGGTACTATTTCTGGGTTAGCGGAGTCTGTAACCTGAAGCGTGTGTAACCTGAAGCGTGTGTAACCCGAGGTACCACTGTACTTCTATCGCTATTTAAGTTGTCCATTCCTATGCTGACCAGAGAACTGATTGGAAGCAGCAAGGCAAATAATATTTGTTGTCCAGCATTGTCTCAGCAGCAGTGGCTATCAGATGCCCCCGATAAACTTATAACTAGAGCACAAAGGAACAAATATCCCCCGCTCTTTGATCTCTGTGTCTCGTAAACAGAGGTATATTACCTCTAATAACAAAGGTTCAATTTAGCAATGAGTAATAGCTGCTGATACAACTACCCTGTATTTAAAGAGTATTTAAGTGAGACAGCAAGGCTAAGGACCATCATCTCAAGTTTTAGCTGTGACAAGGAAGGGTTTCGACACCGGCAGATGCTCACAGATTTCCAACTTTTTTTCTTTTTCTAGCTTCTGTAGAACCCAAGATCTGAGGCAAAAATGTGCAGCCCCCAATTCTCAATCTGTTTCATGGGGAAGAAGCCTTCTCCTACTTTTCAATGTTTGTAGCCTGTGAGTGAAATCCCACCTAAATGACTGACATTTAGGAAAGCGGTTCAAGCCATTGAGTCAGAGGCTAGAGTGAAACTCCCATTATCATTATTGACTATTGGTTTGTGACGCCTTGAGTGCTCCTCACTGGTGCCCAATAGAAAGTTCAAGTATGTTGGATTTAGTGTAGCTGTGATTAGGCAGTAGTACGACAATTAAAAATTAGCAGTAAATCAGGCACTCATGCCCTAAGGACTTATTTCATATGGGGGGGGAGTGATTTTCTTCTCAATTTGTGAACATGGTATAGCATAATAGACCCATATTGCAGGGGAAAGGACTATGGCCGAGATTGTGGGTTACGCCTGCCCTGCCAAATACTGTTCTTATGCCCATTTTCCTGGAGGAAGTGAAGAGGTAACGTACGGCAACCCTGAAGTGTAGTCCCATGTTGTTAACCTGGTTTTTGGGGAGTTGCTGTTTTTAGTGAAACGCAGTGAGGAGAGGTCTGTGAAGCTGATCATAGCAGCAGTGCAATTAATTAAGGTCTGAAGGAGGTGAAGGGAGGCCAGGCACAGGACAGGGTTTCTGTGGGCAGTGGAAAGATGTTATCTGGGTGCCAGTTTCACCCGTAGGTAGACAGCAGGCCTACCTATTGAAAACTAACAGAGCAGTAGATCTAAGATAGAAGTTTCTTAAGAGGCCTGATCTGCCTAGGCCTCACCACCGCTCAGCCACCAGATCTACTAGCAAACTATGGTTTGTTAAGGTGCAGAGAGTTGTTAGGAGACTCTTATTTCCCTTGCAGAGCTACTATCTTCCAAAGTTCCTTGGGAAGAGGGATTGACTGTTAAAAACACTCTGGGAATGGTAGCTCTGTGAGAGGAATAGGAGTCTCTTCTCCGCACTCTCAACAAGCTGCAGATGCCAGAATTCTTTAGGGGAAGTCACAACTTTTCAAGTGGTATCATAGAGCTTTAAATGTATTATGTGAATTGTTTCTATTCATGGTAGAGGAAGGAAGGCTAAAGAACCATTTCCCTGGTTGGGGAGAAAGGTGCTGAGTATCGGCTAAACTCTACACAAATCCGGAATTGAGTCCCTAAGATGGTTGGATGGTGCCTTGAACGCCTCCTTCCAGCAACTCCTGCAGCCAAACCAATGCCAAAAATATTTCTCTGCTTTCCTTTGGACAACATCAGCGAATCCAAGAAGTGGGTCTTGTCTGGGCAGCCCAGGACCTCCATACACACTGCCCAGGCATGCACTGAGGGGATATCACTTCAGTGCGGCTAATGCAGCAGTTTGACGTCACTCCTGGAGGCATACTCCATTGTCTCTTGAGACAGGCAAGATGCCAACAACAATATGATAGTATTGAGGTGGGTGGATTGGCCTTTGGCATCAATATCTATATGGGGTGGGGGGCATCATATGGACACAGAGCAACATGGGGGAAAGCAGCACCACTGACAAATAAAACAAATGGAGCCAAAGTGGCAAAGCTCTTAAGGGTGATAAAGAAAACAGCATGTTTCTCCGTGGGGGAGGGGGGAGAGAGAGAGAGAGAGATTCTAATTGACAGTTGTTAATAGCAAGGTTTGCCTCATTTTGGGAAGGCGGTGGCCAGTCAGTAGACCTTAGGTCTACTGTAGACCCTGCAGTGGCGTAGCGTGGGGGGTGCAGGGGGGGCCGGGCGCACCGGGCGCAACATCTGGGAGTTAGGGTTAGGGGGCGCAAATCCACGGGTTAGGGGGCACAAATTACTTGCCTTGCCCCGGGTGCTGACAACCCACGCTACGCCACTGAGACCCTGAAAGCCTTTAGCCCCCGCTGGTGTTGGTGGGAGTGAGAAATTTGTACCGGATTGGAGAGGGGAGCAGGGTTGAAATGTAAAGAGCAAAAACTGGGTGGTTGTTGTTGTTGTCTGAGTGGAAAGTCCAGCGTAGGCCAATTAAGTCTCCTTCAGAGAAACCAGATTGATCGGGGAATGAAAGAAAGAAAAGGTGTAGGCCTCTCCTGTCCTCCCCCCCCCCCCCCACTGTTCCCTGTCAAGTGGAAACCCGGTTCTTTGCCTGGTTATGCCAGTACAAGTGACCCCTGGGAGCACAATCAGCAGCAAGACAAAGAGGCCTTCCAGTATGGATTACGTCTTGCTTTAAAAGACAGGAAGGGGGCTGGCTCTTTAATCTGTGATCAGATTCCCCCCACCCCGCCTTTTTGGATTGTGGGCCTTTATTTCCTTTGCTAACCCTGCACCACTGCTGCCGCCAGAAGGCTCCCAACAGCTGCAACCTTCCCAGACGGATAAAACTTTTTACGAAGAAAGGCACTTCCCTGGCGTGAGATTAATCACAACCACAAACTTCCTCAGAACCAGGCCAAGGACATGCGTTGTGGAAGTCAGAACAACTGATTTTGGTTTTTTTGCTTTTGTACCGAGGTTTTCCTCTGATTTTTAAGTGGCAAAGGGGCGGGGTGAGATGGGGAGGGAACTAGGCTCGCCTGACAAACTTCCCATCCACAACAAATCCAGAGGGAACAGCTTCCTTCAAGTCTCCTCTTCCGGGGGGGGGGGGGTTGGCTTGTCCCACCCAACTGGATTTCCTGTACTGCTGCAATCTCGAAACCACTTCTACTACTTAAGTGATTTTCAGAGTGCAGCCTAGTTTTGGGAAAGCTGAGCCGTAGAATCATCTGAAAGAAAGGCAATTGGATGTTCTTTGGCAACAAAACAAAGGTTCGAAAGAAGGACAAACATTGAACGGATAATTCAGACATAACAGTTGTGCACAAGTACCATCTCCGCATAAACCAATATGAGTATACAATGAAGAATATCGTCATCTGGACAATCCAAACTGAAGCATCTCGCCTCAGACATTAGGCAGACATTTTGAGCTGACATTTAGTTTGATACCCCTACTTGCTCTGGGATATCTCCACACAAGTATGGAACAAAGGAAAGGAGAGGGTATCCATATTGCATTGCACAAATCCGAAAGAAAGAAAAACTGCTTGAAAGTGTTATTTACTGAGAAAGAACCAAGTGCTTGATATATAAACTCTGTTTATAAACAGCTCTGAGAGACTTGTAATAGCCACTTGTCTATGGCAAAAAGGGGAAAAAAAAGTTGCCTTCATTCAAGCAGACAGAAGAGCTTTTGTATACTATGAAAGAGTTGGTTCTCTCTCCCCTTTTGGGCTGTCAAGGGGCCACAAATTGTTAAACATAGGTAGCGGCAGGCAGACATACATTTAAAACACATTTTAAGCATACAGCTTCCTAGGAACTGTAGTTTAAGGGGAACTGTAGCTCTTAAGTGAAAACTATACAAATCAGTGTAGAGAGTGTCTATTTTCAGTATTCGAGTACTTTTTTTTCTCTTAGCATTTTCCAGCAGCCTTTGTTTCATTTCACCATGTTCCACAGCAAAATTATGCTCTTTTGACTCTGCACTACTGGAATTAAAGCTATTAAAGAATGGAGCCTATGCTTGATAAACTACAGCTACAACTTATATCAGATGGGAGTAAATCCCATGAACTCCACCTATTTCTGAGTAAATTATATGTTTCATATCCCACGCTTCCTCCAAGCTACTCAGCTAGCTAGCATACATGGTTCTTTCCAGACTCTCTTTTATCTTCTGAACAACCCTGTGAGGTAGGTTAGGCTGAGAGGTAGTAGTTGGCCCAGGTCAGCTTGCATGGTTCCTGACAAGACAGATATGTGAACCTGGGCCTCCCTGGTCCTAGTCCAACTCAGTCTTCCCCAACCTGGAGTTGATGACAGTTGTCTTGCAAAACAGCTGAAGCCACTGCACCACACTGGTTTAGGGATGCAGGTGGCGCTGTGGTCTAAACCACCGAGCCTCTTGGACTTGCTGGTTCGAATCCCCGCGACAGGGCAAGCTTCCATTGCTCTGTTCCAGCTCCTGCCAACCTAGCAGTTCGAAAGCAAGCAAGCGCAAGTAAATAAATAGGTACCACTGCGGCAGGAAGGTAAATGGCATTTCTGTGGCTCTGGCACTTGTTGCAGTGTCCCGTTGTGCCAGAAGCGATTTAGTCATGTTGGCCACATGACCCGGAAAGCTGTCTGTGGACAAATGCCGGCTCCCTCAGCCTAAAAGTGAGATGAGTGCCGCAACCCCATAGTTGCCTTTGACTAGACTTAACCATCCAGGGGTCCTTTACCTTTTACTGGTTTAGGATTAGATGGCATGGTTCAAATCTTACCTGGGAGTAAGCATACGATTGAGCTACACATTTTACTAACTATGTACCTTTCTAATAAAAACCATTTTTCCAACAGACCCTGCAGACTGTTATTTTGGAAGGCTCTTAATGCAAGTGGTAAACCCAAATAAAGCTAAAATAAACAAAAGGAATATGATGCACGGAGAAAGAGCTCCAGCAATTGTTGTTGGGGCTGAAGTTTTCTTTTTTTAAAAGGAGGAGTTTATGAAGACTCCATTTTGAGAACAAGCCAAACTGGAGGGTAGGTCTCATTCAATGCCTTTGTATGCCACGAACTGAGGAAATGCTAAGATAATTTTGATCCTGTGTAGAGCCTGCAAAATGGAGTAAAATTTCAAAAGACAAAGGTGGGATCTAGACTCCCCATTCCAAAAGCTTAACAGTTCTGCAGAGTTTGCAGCAGACACAGACAAAAGGATCAGTCGCAGGTGGCTACGAATACACAACTCCAAAATGCCTCAAATGCAGTGTTTTGATTTGCTTTCCACAAGTTTTCGTGTACAAAGGAAAAGAAAAAAAAGTTGCATGGAAGTTAAGAAAAGCAAGCTGCCCTCCACAAAGCAGCAATGGGCCCCAACCTCATCCTGTAATTTGAGAAACGCATGCACCCATGTGAAAGGTCATGTTTGTTTTTGGAACAAGTCACATCAAGGTCTTGTGCAAATGGAAACTGCTGTATCCAACCTGCCCACCCCCCACCCCTCTAATACACACACATTTACTGGCCCATCCTTGCTTGCAGGCGCTGCAGTTGCAAAAGCCACAACATGAAGCATACAACAGTTTCAGCGCCAACACACCTGCTCACTAGATGTGGCACAAAGAACATTCAATTGCAATGCCACCAATACACGCAAGACAGGCAGACTGGAAATTTTCCTTACGACTTAACAAAACTCCCCCAGTGTTACCTGTTCCTGAGAAAACCAGCCTGAAATAAGACAACCTTTGGAGACACAGGGTTGTAATTTTAACCAAGTTCTACTCAGGATCAACCCAGCTGAAAATAATGAGCCCAAAGTTAATCATTTCCATTAGTTTCGGTTGGGACTACTACACTGCGTAGGGCTAGCGTTGGAAAAGTCTGTTTTTAAAAAATATTCAAAGATGCTTTCGGCTTGAATGTGAGGAACTCAGGGAGATGACGGCTATCCATCCAAAAACTTTTTCCTGACTCTAGCAAAGGGCCTTTGACAAAGTGGGGTGGGAGCTGAGAGGGAATTTAAGCACCTAAAATAAAGGGCAGGCAGATGGCAGCTCTACTTTTCAGTAATGCCACCAGGGCAGGACTTTGGGGGGAGAAGGCCAGGATTCCTGCTCAGATGAATGAACAGAGAACCCCCAAATGTGAAAGGGGCTGCTGACACGTTCACAAAAGTAGCGCACTAATAAGTCCCAGTTCTAAAATTACCCCCTGCAACTCTACTACCATTAGCTATTTGTATAATTGACAGTAGATCATACATTAACCTGAGTGTATTGTGGTTGCCCCAGTCTTTGTACTGTATAGTTTTGCTAGATAGCTTGAATGCTTATTGTTACAATCCACTGAGGACTCTTATTCAGAAGCTGCCTTATAGCAGCTTTGACCATTGGTGCATCTAGTGCGATACTGTTCACACTGACCAGCAACAGCTTTCCAGAGTTTTGGACAAGGGAATCTTATTGTAAGCTGGTTCTCCCACTCACAGGCAGCAGAAGAGTACTGGCTCCAATTCCCGAACCACCATTTTGCATCTGGCTCTGGTTGAGGGATCTCAGGGTTGCAGTAAAAAATGAAGTAGATCCTTCAAGCCTGAAGTTGGATCACCATTGATTGCCTTAGAACAAGGATTGCCAGATGACACTTCTATATTTCAGATCTTGGCCATCCACAACACAGTAGGCGTGACATATGTTTGAACTTTTCCCTTTCACAGAACATTTCAAAAATGAGCCTTGTTTTGGCCTGTGTGGGCTCAGGTATTTCCTAACAACACTAATCAGGCAGCCCACAAATCAGAATTTCTACATTTTGATTTTTAAAAAGAGGGTTCTCCTTGCTCAGAAGTCTCTGAATCATCACTCACACACTCACAGATATCTTTGAAGGAGGGTACTTCCCCCCCCCATGTTTATTCAGAAGTAATTCCCATTGTGTGGGGCTTAGAAGTAAATGGGCAGAGGATTTCAGGAAGTGTTTGTTGACCCCTTGGGGCAGTGGGGAATGTATAGATCAGGTAAGATAAAGACTGCCCTCCCTTAATGGCTGACATTGTGAGGGAGAGAGGAGATGGGGAAAGTTAAAACACAAACACACACTACATCCCTTCCAAGTGGAGAATCAAGCTTAACAAAATAAAATTTGGAACAAACCCATCTCCGCCCTCCATTGAAACTCGCTATCAAAACGACACCGAATCACACAATTGCCCCCTGCAAGCAACCTCATGAACTCTTGGCTTTCAGACAAAAAGTTATAGCCCCTGTCCTTTACTCAGACAAAGAGAAACTCACAGGCACACAATCAAGCCATTAAAAAAGGTGTGGTACTCCCTCCCATCTCTCTGCTTCGAGATTTCACATTCAAAAACGTTTATGTATATTAAGAGGGTTAACGGCGGCAACCTCTTACTACTTACGTGCAAAATTAAAGAATACAGCGTGAAATTCACACAAATTACTGGATATTATGAAGATCTTTTTAAAACATAGTCCCAAGCAATCCAGTGACAAATATATATATTTCAGTACCTATATATCAGTACCTATACATAAAATAAATTAAAACCACAATATATTTATGTACGCATACAGAAACCCTCACGCTTCCAGTCTTCCACTTCTTTAAATTAAAATTAAAGCGGTGGTCGACTTTTCCCACAAAAGAAGAAAAGTTGCAAGCAACGTTTATCCTCCCTGCAAACCAAAATCAAAAGCTAAATCACAGCTCACCACCAGATGCACGTTTAAATCGAAATCTTCCTTGTCAGGGCTTGCTCCCAAGTAGGAAATTAAACAGAACGAACGATTGGGAGGAGGGGAGGAAATATTACTTACTTTCAGAAGATACCCAAGAGGCCGGTTTTGTGCGCGCTAGTGAAGACGGGGGGGGGGGGGGAGAGAACGTAAAGGAGAAACTTTCCCTGAACTTTGCTTTAAGGGGGAGGGAAGGGGGGGCGTGAAAAAAGAGAATAAAAGCTCTTCACCACTAGGGTTAATTTTGACTCATCCAGGAGGTTCCTGCCCACTTCTTGGGATTGGAAATGGGAAGAAGAGCAGCGTGGTGGTGCGCGCAGAGGAGCAACAGGCCTGCGTGGTATTTTGGAAAGGTGACAGTTTTCCTCTGGAATCCTTGGAATGAGCAGAGGAATTGAATTAGCAGCAGTGAGTCAGTTCCACGAGGGGAGGAGCCGAGGGCTGGAAGGGGCGGAGTTTCGTGTTCACACAGGACACGCACACACACACAAAAACACACGCACACACCCCGCCAAGCAGGAAACGGGACCAGGAAAGGGCGCGCGATACCTTTCTTAGGGGACCGGGTGATAATGTTGCAAAACAAGGAACGACGCACAAGTTAACTTCCTCAAGATGCGGGCAGCGCCACTCGTTTACATTCTAAAGCAAATTCGTGGAGGATAAATTAGTCCTAAATTGCTTCAGAGGCAGCAAGTCGTGGGAAGACCAGAGCGAAGGAAGCCACAGCAAAGGGCTTGCGTTTGTTTGTTTCCAAGGCCTCCTTGTAGGCTTCCCAGAGGTATCTGACCAGCAAGGTACCAGAAGCCAGACAGAGGCAGCTGGCTATGAGGAAATCATCTTTCCTTAGCAGGTCTGAAAATTAGGTAAATACAAACTCGGATGGACAACAGCACATGACGTATCACACTGTGCCATGATTTATTTAACAGAAATAAAGCCAAAATGGAGAAAAACTAAATACACCCTTACTGCTTCCATAGGAATTAAGAAGCTAAGTAGAAGCTAATCAAATGCCTTTGCTTAATTGATCATGAGCAAATGTGCCCATCTCTATAAAAGCTGAAGTTTCAATTTGCTGGCCTGGGGCATTCGGGTGTGTTGTAGCGCAATGCCAAGGAGGAAACACATCAGCAATGCTCTTCGAGAAGCAATTGTTGTTGCTCGTGAAACTGGGATGGGTTATAAGGCCACCTCCAACCAATTTTAAGTCCATCATTCTACAGTGAGAAAGATTATTCGAAAGTGGAAAACATTGAAGACAGTTGCCAATGTTCCCAGGGTTGGACGTCCCAGCAAATTCACCCCAAGGCCACCTAAAACAAAATGGCTAGGTTGTGCTCAAGTGAGGAACAAGCAGAATTAAGGAGCGTGGCAGTGAAATATGCAATCTCTCCAGTCACCACACACATGACTGACCAGCAGTTTTTACAGAGGTAAAATAGACACAGTAATTTTTTACTTACCATATTTTATGTGGTAAGCAGAAATTTGGGTTAAATGGTGAGTGGGTAGATTTGTGATTTTTGATGTCATGTGGAACAAAGAACTTGCATGCATGAGCAGCCCCGATTCCATCTAGAATCTGACATAGACCATGTTGTAAACAAAATCTGACCTTTTCCCCTTATGGGGTATCCAAGAGCCTGTATAGAGTCCTTACGTGGGTTCCCTATTGGTAGGAGAAAATAACAGAGGCCAACCAAAGAATATTGAGAAGCAAAGCAGCTAATAAGCCTGATCTTTATTAAAGCTGTTGCAACAGGGTGCTCCCCTCACACGCAGGAGGACGAGGAGGACCCAGAACAAAGGTGTGCTGCCCTTATATAGACATTTTAAATTCCCTGCCCTGGAGCTCAAGAGCACTCCTCCATACATCATGCATACATCACAGAAGGGGTGTAACCCAAGACCACCCCCCACAAACATCATACCTATGGTACATCACAGAAAAGGTGGTCTACAACAGAAATTTGAATGTTGTTGTTTTTCCTGTCTGCCAGGTTATCTGATAATGCCTTATCTGATTGCCTTTCCTGGTAGTTTGTCTCCCTTTGAGATGGTGATTTCCCAATTCCTGAGACAATGGGAAGGTTCCCTCACCCCCTCCCTCCTTGCAGAGAAAACATTTGGTCAGTTTGAGAGTCAAAATGGTTTCAGGGTGGTCTTTCTGTGCTGCTCCAGACATGTGGTCCACATATCTATGTATGTGCTTGGTTGGTACATTCATGAACATTTATTATATATATAAGACCTTAATTTTTTTTATTTCAGAGGAGAGAAGGTTGTGCTCTACTCCTAGGCTTCTGATTTCCCATATGAATTTAGCGAGAGGGTTCGGAATGACAAAATCTCTCCCCCGCCCCCCCTCCAGTTCACACACATGCACACACTTCCCAGGCAGGGAGAGTCATTTCCTGGATTTTTAATCATGGTGGACTTTTGACAATATGGTACATGTCAGTTTCACTGGAATCATAAGTCACCACCTAATGGTGACACGGCAGAAATGCACCCATTGTTCTTATGGAAGCAAGTACTGTAGCTTCCTGGCCATGAGAACCAGTCACAGGAATCCAGTGTTTATATTACAGGGCTGCTATACAGTGGGTTCCAAACCTTCTGCCCCCAGAAAACACTTTAATCTGTGATTTATTTTCTTTGTTGTTTTGTTTTTGCGGAGGGACCTCTGCGTATCTGCTACAGTACCTCCACACTGCGGAGTATTCTGGGATGCATGCTAGCATGCAATTGTGCAGGGTGTGGTCCGCTCTTCTGATGTCTAGCTGTCACCCTGTGCAAAATATTAAGAGAGTGCTTCTACACAATTCATTCAACTCTCTGCTGTGGCTGTGTCCTGCAGGAGAAGACTTTAGGGTTACAGTTGCCAACTTTGTTACTGTACCCTGCTCCTGTGCTCTTAATGGCAGCTTGTTCTGCAGCTATTAGCAAGTGATAATACAGTGGTACCTCGGGTTAAGTACTTAATTCATTCTGGAGGTCCGTTCTTAACCTGAAATTGTTCTTAACCTGAAGCACCACTTTAGATAACGGGGTCTCCCACTGCCGCTGCACCACTGGAGCACAATTTCTGTTCTCATCCTAAAGCAAAGTTCTTAACCTGAAGCACTATTTCTGGGTTAGCGGAGTCTGTAACCTGAAGCGTCTGTAACCTGAAGTGTATGTAACCCGAGGTACCACTGTACTTAACTTGCTAAGTAAGGGATTGCTTAGTAGACACTGTCACCAGCTAATAATACCTGCAAACCACACTGCTGTGAAAAGTGGTTCTGTCTGGTTAGTTAGCAACCCAGTTCAAGTCTCAGAGGAACACAGATTGAAAATGACCGTGGTACAGTAATTAAAAGCAACCTTCCCCAGTCTGGGGCCCTCCAGATGTTTTTTGGACCACAACTTCCACCAGCTCCATAAACAGCATTCTGCTCTTCAAAGATCTGTTGCTATCTGAGTTTTTAATAGCACTACTTGGGCTCATCCACATTTCCGTTTGTCGTGTTACCTAGAAAGCAGGGGCTTGAACAGTTTTCTGCTTGACCCACACTTTCTAGGCATGAATCCGAGCAATTTCCCCCTTGCCCTGCTCTTTTCCCAGGGAAAACATGCACTTCAGTGCTAAATTGGAGCAAAATAAAACACAAATTGCCACTGTTCTCCCGGGGAAAAGTAATGGGACAAGCCGGTGTGGGTATGTCAGGATTGACTCTAAACATGACTTCGCCCAAAGAACCCTGGGAATTGTAATTTAAAGGTGCTGGGACTTGTAGTTCTGAGGGAGAAACTACAGTTCCCAAGATATTGAGGGGGCGGCATATGCTTTACATGTATGGCGTGTAGTCAGCCATAGAGTTCTTCCTGCTCTATTTGATGCCCACTGGAAATCTGTGAGGTAAATTTGGCCGAGAGGCTGTCCCAAGATCACCCAGTGAGGTGCAGGGCTGGGAGGGTGTTTTGAACTCTCACCTCCCAGGTCCTAATCCAACACTTTAACCACCACACCACCACACTATGACCACCATTGGCCACTATGACTTAATAGAAATTCTATGTCTACAAGCAATATGCCCTTCAGGCCCTGTGTGTGGCCTAGATGGACCTAGGGCTGATCCAGCAGGGATCTCCATAAGTCCTCCTTCGAAGATGTTTTCTTTCAGTCCTGTGCTTTTAATGTTGAATATCTTGGCCTTTATTGTGTGCTGCTTTTCCTTTTTTGTAAGTTGTGCTGGGTTTAGCAGCTGGGTTTAAATATGTGGATGATAAAGAGATGTGGGGATCTGGTCCTTTGGATTACTGGAGGCAGAGGGAGAAGACACTGAGGTGGACGTTTGTGCAATCCTAACCATATCTACTCAGAAGTAAGACCTATTGAATTCAGAGGTGCTTACTTCCAGGTAAGTGGAGTTAGGATTGCAGCCTTCACCTGCCTTCCCGGGCTTTGAAAGCCAGCCCCTCTGACCTAAAAGCCTTGCTTCTTAATATTCTGCAGTAGGGGCTGACTGTTTCCTGAACGGTGAGGGGAGAGCGCTCTTGACATGCTCAGAAGTGTTCTTCATTGTTACTTCATATGTTCCGTCTAGTGCTGAACTCTCCGGGATTCACATTATGTTCTGGAGTCAACCCTAGCTCAAACTAAACATTGCAAATAGGGCGATGGATGTGAGGCCCTCTAAATCATTCAAGGGACCTCTGGCAGCTTATGGGAAGGCTGTAAAAAGATACCCCACACATACACTGTATGGGTCTGTGTGGAGAAACAGCTGCTCTGCCCTGACAGATGCCAGGCAAAGCTGGCACATTCTGGAACCGGAACCTTTTTTCAAATGGGCCTGTCAGAAACTGACCGACAGGGAGTTCTGCTTAGTTACAGGCTGGCTAGTGAATCGAGGGGGTTAAGAAGAGGTGGGCTGCAGCCCCTGTGTGGGGCAGAGGGGTGGCTGACCCCGAAGGGGGTGGGTGCCGAGAAGGGGTGGGTGCGAGGAGGGTGGCAGGCCAATATCAGAGGTAGTTTTAGGGGCTGTGCTGGTCACCGGTGCCATGGGGAGGGGGGCACCACAATAATGATGTAAATGGAGGGGGGCGGCAAATTTTAGTATCGTATTTCCTTGCTGAAATTTGAGAGCCCTGTTTTTCCTCATGGACCACCCTCTGCTGGAACACGCTTAGTCTGTCTATTGGTGCCACCACCTCAGGGCAGATCCACACCTTACATTTAAAACACACAACTCCCCCCCTAATCATCTTGGGAATTGTAGTTTGTTAATGGTGCTGGGAATTGTTGCTCTATGAGCATGGTAGCTACAGCTCCCAGGAGTCATTGGGGGAAATCATGTTCTTTAAATGTGTGTTAAATACAGTGGTACCTCGGGTTACATACGCTTCAGGTTACATATGCTTCAGGTTACAGACTCCGCTAACCCAGAAATATTACTTCGGGTTAAGAACTTTGCTTCAGGATGAGAAGAGAAATCGTGCAGCGGCAGCGCAACGGCAGCAGGAGGCCCCATTAGCTAAAGTGGTGCTTCAGGTTAAGAACAGTTTCAGGTTAAGAACAAATCTCCAGAACGAATTAAGTTCTTAACCCGAGGTACCACTGTATATGGTGTGGATCTACCCTCAGTGTTTACTGCACTGACTGGCAGCTACCCTTCAGGGTTTCCGACACCTGGTGATGCCAGGGATTGAGCCAGGAACCTTCTGCATGCACAGCATGTGCTCTGGCCCGACCCACGGCCCTTGGGAGCCCCAAAGCGCCTGTAAGGCTACAGGATCCCCATCCTTGCTTTTTTCGACTCGGTTTGCCTGGGATTTGGGGGGAAAGGCCTCTGTCCCTTTGGGCCTCTAAGCACTGGTCCACGTGGGCTGTTCTGGGGCAGAGCAAAGGGACGAAGGGTTGTGGGGTTGGGTGGACGCCTGAGTGCAGGAGGGGAGGGTCTTGAGAATAGCCGGCAGGGGCGGTGCCTGCTGAGTTAGCTCCTCTCTCTCCGATATTTCCCCTTTTGCGCAGGTCTGGCTCTGGCAGCGAGAGAATCAGGGATCGGCCCAAGATGCTGCTGCCGCTGGTGTGGGGATTCTGGTGCCTGACAGCTCTGATGCAAGGAAGGACCACGGCATCTGCTGCCTTCCTGCCCCCCAGCGTGGAGAGGCTCTTCAAGGAGTTTCGCAACATCTTTGAGCAGAGCCGGGTAAGGGATGAGGATGATGAGAGAGGGAGAGGGGGAGCATCAGAGCCACACACACCCATCCCACATAATAGAAGGGATGCTTCAGATGCTCTGTGAGCATCTGTAATGAGTTGGGGTTTTTTTTAAAGGGAGGATTCTTGCAATAATCCTGGTATCCTCTGGCTGATTTGGTCTGCGACTCCCACCAGCCCCAGGTTGGTGGAGGCTGCAGTAAACACTGCACAGCATCTAGGAATTCTGGATGGAATCTGCCCATCCTTTACATTTAAAGCCCAAGGAAGATCTCAAACAACTTTTCTCCATCTTGTTCTCATTATCATCTGATTCCCCACAACCTGCTCATTCTTTTTCTTGCTCATGATGCACTCAGGTTGCATACGCACAATACATTTAAAACACATTTTCCTTCTCCAAAAAGGTTGGGGTGGGGGGAGTCCTGGGAACTATAGTGTATTATTGGTGGTGCTGGAAATGGTGGCTCTGTGGGAGTAAACTACAGTTCCCAGGATTCTCTGGGGCATGTCGTGTGCTTTAAATAATGATGTGTTCACAGTTAATGTTTGTTTGGGTGTGTGCTTTCCCCTGGAGGTGGATGAGAAAGTGTTCCAGTGCTAATTACATTATGGGAATTTAGAATAGCATCAATTCCCAGCCTTTGGGAATGTAAAATGTTGATTTCTCAGAGGTTCACAAGCAAATCTCTCATGATTTTAAGGTTCAAAAGCTGGGGTTTGGGGGTTAAGAATGCCTAATTCCACATATTTGGAAAGCACAATCCTTAATTTCTGCTTTGAAATTTGAATGCTGAAATTAATACTTTGTGCTGGCATAATAAACCCGTTAAATCTACTCTTGTGAGCAATTTCAGACTCGGTGGTCTTATAGAAGTCTGCATCAAAGTCCTGCCCTGACAGCACAACAGCTTGTGAGCATTTTGTGGGTGTGGCATCTTGTCTTGTAATGGTTAATTTCAGTTAATTTCCAGGCTGAAACTTCAAGTTTAAATCTAAATTGTTTCTGCCTTGCTGCAGAAATCACACTGACCTGTTTATTGTTTTCCTCCATGAGAATTCTTAGAAGCTGCGGAAAGGGGAGGGTTCTCACCTGCAGGCACTGAGGATTCTGCTAGACATCTTGGGCCTTGGCAGTTAAACAGTTAAGTGGTGTCTGGCCAGCCATACTTGAGAGGGATCTCTCATCTGAAAGTACCCTTTGATGAAATTGACCAAATACGAACCATTAAGGCTATCATTCTTGGTAGCTGTTCCTCAAATTTGTTTCTTTTTTTAAAAAACACATTGTTATTTATTTATTCAAAAATAAACAGAAGACTAGTAAGAAAACAAACTTACGTTTATTATTATTTTAACTGATTCCTCCAAAAAGGCTACTTTTTGGAGAGAGGGAGAAGATGCTGTTAGGCTTCCAGACCTGTTTATTAATCATTCAACTTGATTTCTTTGCATGAAGTTCATGGGGCGGAACGACAATTATGGCTCTTTATCGATCATTTGTTTGTTTGTTGGAGAGGTTATACGGTGGTTGTGTCAAGCAACTGTTGAATCATATTTTCCCCATCACCTTCCTTCTTGTAAAAAAGGTCAAATTAGGATGGGCGAGAGGGTATCTTGCACAAATAGTGAGAATTTTGGGGGTGGGATCCAAATGCATCCCCAGAGTTTAGGTTTGCACAATTGAAGTGCAAGTGAAATTCACTTTGAAAAAGAAATGGACTTTTTTGTGGCTAGGAAAGTGATGAGGAAATGAGCGGAAAGGATAAAATACTGGAAGACATGCAAACACTCCAAAAGCGAATTGGAATGAACACAGCACTAACACTCATTGTTGTATAACCTCCCTGCAAACAAATAAAAATGAAGACCGCACATAATCTACCAAATAAATAAAGACTGCACATAATCTAACCTCTTTGTAAGTTTTGTCCAAGGGAATCAGGATGCTCAGTTCATCTGGAGGGACCCTCTGTCTCCTTTCCCTACACAGTATAATGATCCGTTTTTGTCTATTGTGTAGGAGGATGTGCTGGGGAAAGACCAGCTTGAGCCCTCTGTGGATATCAGCAAGCTGCCCTCAAACTATCACAATGAGGAGAAGCACCAGCGGAAAGTGGGGAATGCCACTGTCTACAGCCACCGTGAAATCAGCAAAGTGAGTGAGCTATTGAAAACCAAAACCAAAATGAAGAACCATGGATAACTAAGCTCAGTCTACCTCACTGGCTGGCAATTCAATACCTGGGGGATGCAAGTTCTGATCAATATAGCTGGTGGTGTCCAGGCCGTCCCTATCGTTGGGTAGCCATTTGGGGACATCAAATTCTAGACTAAAAGGCATTTTGTCAGTAACATATAAAATATATGCACAAGGCAGCAGAGGACAGCTTAGATGCTCAGCCACAGTCAGCAGAACCCCTTTGCCCAGCCTGGCATAGATCTTAGGTCCTGGACTCCCCGTTGCTTATCTGGCAAGGCTGAACCTTGACATGGTTCTTGAAGCAAGTTCATGTTTCCTGTCAGCTTTCACCCATTCTGACAAATGGCTCTCCATGTATATATTGCAACTCAAGCAACCAGCCATCCCAACAAAGCCATGGAATAATCTTTTCCCATGTATTCTTTCCCTCCCACAGTCCACCATTGGTATTATATTCTGGTGCATGCTGTCTGGAGACTATGGATTCATTAGTTTCCATGGGTCTAATCTGAGTAGGGCCCCATTGGCACTGTACATTTAAAGTGACATCATACATTAAATTTAAACAGTTAGAGCGTCCTCCAAAGATTCCTGGGAAGTATAGTTTGTTAAGGGGTGGTGAGCACTGTTGGGAGACCTCCGTTGCCCTCACAGAGCTACAATTCCCAGAGTTCCCTGGGCAGAGGAACTGACTGTTGAGCCACGTTGAGAACCAGAGCTCTGTGAGGGGAATAAGGGCTCTCTCCAGGTGTTGTTAGACTACAACACCCATAATCCATGTCCCCTGGCCATGTTGTCTAGGGCTGACGGGACAGGCATAAGCTCTCCACCTCTTTCCTAAGGGGGTCGCAAGTCTAGTGCAGGCACCTGAGGACACCCCCTTGCCCCTGTGAAGCCAAGTCAACTGTCCCCATAGCTCTGTCGAGCCTTGGCCATGGGGATGTTTCTGCCGTCAACCATGCCGCCACCTCAAAAATGTTTAAAAGTAAGGAGGCTTCTTCGCTTGTTCTGTCGCTCCTATGCAGTCTTAATGTTGTTCTCTCAAAATATGCAGATGACTGATAACCGTACAGGAGAGATGGTGTTTTCAGAGAAAACGGTGACTTCTATTGAACAGGCAGACGCCCGCCCAGAGGAGGAGGAAGAGGATGAGGTCAGTGCATGCTCAGGAGGGTAACAAGCCCACTCACCTTTCCTCACCTAATTTTTTGGTTGCGTGTGACTTGGTGTGTGTGGCAAGCTGCGTGTTAGACTCTAGATGCATCCCTCCAGACCTCTCTCTCTGGCCTTTAGACCTCTCTCCTTCTGTGGGCATACTTCATATCCCCCTTGCATGTCTATGCTGGGATTGAATATGTCTTAGAACTCTGATCATGCCTCTCAGTTGCCTGGATAGAGAATAGGGAGGGGTAGAAACTAGCTTGATCTACATAGGTGGGTTTTTACGCTGGGAAGTTTATAAGTAGGGATGGAAGGCTGCAGTTGCTCTGTGCTATCTGTCCTCAGCATTTGATACTGGCAGTTCAGTTCAACTATCATGACCAATAAACCTTGTTAGACTAGCGTACCTCTGCTTTCCCCAAAAGGAGGGATGGGTGAGCTTCTGGTCCTCTGGATATTGTTGCCCTCATCAGGGGTCAGGGGATGATGGGAGGTGAAGCCCAGCAACATCTGGAGGGCCACAGGTTGCCCCCTCTTTCTCCCTATTCCCGTAGATTGGTCTTTTCCCTATCCCAGGAATTCCTCTTCCTCTGACCCCCTCTTCTCTCCTGGAGGGGGTAAAAGAATGTGGACCCCCAGCTTGGAAACCCTCCCACTTCTCATTCTAAGCATAAAGTCCTTCTCAGGCTGATTCCCACAAACCACTGAGGTAATATCCTCACCCTGGTTGCATTTTATCTGTATCTTTCCAGGAGAAAAAGCCAGTGGCTAGTCAGGAAGAAAATGGCGCTGAGGCAGACAGAGAGAGCAATGGGCTCAGATTCCTCAAGCTGGGCCCACCCCAGCCCAGGCCTAGGCTGACCTTTCTAATCTTCCGCTTGCCCCAGCACCTTAAGAGCAAGCCCATCCCCGAAGCCAACTGGGAAAAGGAAGAGCCGGCCACTGACAGGAGGCACAGGCTGCTGGCCATTCGGAATGGGCTTTTGACAGCCCCCCACCCCATCAAGAAGAAGGCCCTGCCTGTCACCCCAAACCGCAAGCTCCTTCCACGAAAGCATCATTTCCTTTTCTTCTGGCGGAAAATATAAGGCAGGAGGGAAACCTCTCATTTGCCTGGGCAACGGAGAATGTCTCTGGTTTCCTAGCTATTTCCTCTTTCACATCCACAGGGTGGCAGGCTGGGGAGAGAATCCCCCAAAAGGAGAAAAGAGTTTCTCTCACATTCTTGAAATAAAAATCTTTCCTTTTGAAAACAAAACCCTGAGAATGAGCAATTTGTATTTTTCTTTTCTTTTTTTAAAGTTAATGTTATAGAATCAGGTTCTTGGATACAGAATAGCACAGATAGTACCTCCTGAATCCTGGCCGGGATTCAAAACAACAACAACAACTCTTCCTGTGCTACCACTGCATGTAACAGTGCACCTAGGCAACATACACAGGTCTCTGCTTGCAAGGGACTTACAATTTAAAATCAACAGTGGGAAAGCAACGCAGGGAGGGAAGAAACATGGGTGTCTGCTGTGAAATGTTCTTAAGCATTGCTACCATCACACCCACACCATACATTTAAAGCACATGGCTTCCCACAAAGAACTCGGGGAACTGTAGTTTACTTATCACAGAGTCCAATTCCCAGCACTGTTAACAAACTACAGCTTCCGGGATTCTTATCGGGAGCGGCATGTGCTTTAAATGTATGGTGCAGATGTAACTGTGGAAAAGGAAAGGTGTTGAATTTGAAGGGAAAGAGAGAGGTGGCAGCAGTTCCACCCCTCGTATAGCTGGTAGCAAGGGAGTATAATTCTTATTATTTCCACAATAATTCTTCTTACATTTGTCATATTGTCACTGACCTACAAGCTATAGTAATTACCAGCAGTGTTCGATATTACATCCTCAAACGGTGAGCAGTTTGTTCTGTTCTGCTGGTTTCAGTGAGAGCAGCCCAACTCCCCCACTGAAATCAACGGCCCGTCAGGTTACTTCAATTTTGCTCTCCTCTTTGATTACACCCAGCCCTGTTCAAAAATAGCAACATTTGGCTCTAAGAAAACAGACTGAAATTGTTTCTGTGCAGAGAGGAAGGAAAAAATAGAGAAATATATACACACACACCCCTTTCTAGCACTTTCTTCTTGTAGCAGGCTGGGAAATGGTTGGTTAGACCTAAAACCTGGCCTGTAAGTTAAATCTGTCTGTGCTGGGGTGTTCGAAGTTCTGAGCCAAGGTAACCCATTTTTTCCCATTAGTCTTGGTTTCAGTCTCACTGTCTATAATCAAAAGGCCTCACAACATGGAATAAAACATTACATTACCAAATATATATGAAATTTTGAAATAAAGATATGCAGAATCATTTCCACACAGAACAAAATTTGGTATTTGAGCAGCTAGAAGGAGTTAAATTGGATCGTCACCAGCCCAGGAAACAGCAATCGACTGAATAAATTTGTACTGATTGATGCTCAACATTAAATAAAGATGTTCCATATGCAATAGAATCACAGAGTTGGAAGGGACCCTGAGGATCATCTAGTTCAACCCCCTGCAATTCAGGAATATGCAGCTGTCCCATACGGAGATCAAACCTGTGACCTTGGTGCTATCAGCACCATGCTCTTTTGTATTTCCCCCCCTGTAAAAACAATAAAAATTAAATCATTTTTGTTATTGTTTTTACAGAAAAACACGAGAGAGAAAATAAACAAGAACAAAATTCCGCCCTGCTTGAGACAGAGTAGAGCAACTTGTTAATCTGATAACAGGAAGCAAATTCTTGTTAAAATCTGAAAACTCAGTATATGACTAGCCGCTTCAACAGCAACCTTGTTCTTGGCTCGCTATATAGTTCCGTACCAAGAAAAGCTGTACTCTGCGACTGGAATAAATTACAAAACAACAAATAAGCCATACGTTTCTGTGCATTAATGATGAGGAGAGGCAGAAACCTACGCAGGGCATTGACACCCCATCCACTGGAAATCACTCACCCAAATGAATTTCTGAGGTTTTATCTGGCACTTCACTCTTCCTTTCAAATCGAACAGGTTACACACTTGCATCGAAAAAGGAAACCTGAACTAAAAGAGGTTTCCCACATTAAGTCTACTTTTTGAAGAAAAAACATCAAACCACCAAGAGATCGTTATGCATCTGACTGTCATACCAGACCATACTTAAAACTACGGTATTTTCCAGCTGTGCTTTATGTGTGTGTGTACTGTATGTAAGAGTAAGAATTGAAACAATTCTCGAAACGGGTGCTGTACATTGGAAGGCGACACTCAGCATCCTGTGTTCGCCACACCTGTGAAGGATTCTTGTGGAGATAAATGGCACAAACATTTTAAGACAAACGTCTGTGCACTAGAAATGCCGCTTCCAAACTGAGGTAGTTTGCAGGAGAATTTGTGGCATGTAAGGCAAAACAGCTGGTGTTTATTTGCAATTTTCTGACTGTCTTTCATGTGCTCCAAGCACTGCTTGTGTGGGTGCTTTCTTTTTGTCTGATCTGAATTCTTCCATGAGGTGGGAGAGGTGACGAGATAGCCTCTTGGGGCTGCTGTGTTTTTGTTCTCTTTATTTATTACATTTATACCCCCCTCCAAGGAGCTCAAGGTGGCTGTTAAGTTGTGGGCGAACATGTCAGACGACACAGCGATTCTTTAAACAGCTCTTCTTTATTCAGATGCCAGAACAGAACTAGGCTGAGGAGCTCAGTCAGCCTGCTTATATAGAGCTCCAGAACAATGCAACTGTTGCCATTTTCTAAAACTATCCAATCACTGAATGTCACTTTTCGATCCTTCATTTGCATACAAAACTATCCAATCACTGAACGTCACTTTTCGATCCTTCATTTGCATAACTATCTACAGTATCCCCCTGCTGGCCCAGGGTGAGAACTTCAGTACATAACACCGGCATACTTGGTTCTCTTCCTCCCAATTTTATCCTCACAACATCCCTGTGAGGTAGAAAGACTGTGACTGGCCCATGGTCACTCAGTGTGAGTTTCATGGCCGAGTGGGGATTTGAACCCTGGTCTCCTGGGTCCTATTCCAGCACTCTAACCACTACACCACACTGGCTCCAAGTTCCACACAAGTGTTGGTAACATTAAAAGCTTTATCAATAGGTTTCTATACAGTTCTCTAGCAGGGCTCTTGATGAAGGCCTGCAGCAGAGCTTCTCCTAGTCCAGGAGCAGTGAAGCTCAGGCTGGCGACCAAATGTGACCCTACAGGCCTCATTAAATAGCCATCAGGACTTTCTGTAGGCTGCACACCCTCCCTATGAGTTCACCAGCTCTGCTCCACAACCTGCTTGAATGCTTTTGCCAGCCTCAGAAGATGTGCCCTTGAACTACGGTCCTTGCTTCCCTGGATGCAGGTTGTATAGGAATCTGGCCTTTGTAAGTCACCGCTGTTGACCCCACCCCTGGCATGTGGCCCCTGGAAGGCTGCCCAGAAGGGAATGTGGCCCTTGGGCAGAAAAAAGTTTCCCCACCCCTGTCCTAGTTCAAGGGAGGCAAGGAATGGGAGAGCTTGGAGCCTGTGCTTAAGCGCACAGTTAAATTCCCTATGACTGAATACAATGCTAGTTGGGAATATACATGGGAAATGGAGCTGTTTATATTCTGGTGTGCATTCAGAAATGAAGTTTGCAGTATCCATTAATATTCCAAAAGGAGTAACACTCTATTACCTTTGCTTACATGTAGAGCTATCTATGGGAAACTTACAGGTTTGAGCTGAGGTAGGGAGAAGTCCCATCCTAGTAGCCAGCTAAGATGCTCCACAGAAGCCAACTGCAGTCTTAAATTCAGCCATTACCCAGCAACGAAATAGGGAACTTGCTAGTGCTATGGTCTTGTAGCCCTTTTTAAATATGTCCTTTCTCTCCAGCAGGAATGTGTGAGTGACAGTGACTGCCAAAAGGACCAGTTCTGCTTTAAGTCCTTCCTTGCTTCCCGGTGTCAGCAGTGTAAGGTCAAGAATACAGTGAGTACACTCAACTTTGCTGCCAGAACTGTCCCTGGGAAATATTTCTACCGCAGAAAGGGGTATTCTAAAACGAGAGGCTCCAAAGCAAAAGTCTTTCCACAAGAGTGCTGGCAATCTGCAGTCCTAGTCTGCATGTGGCCCTCTGCCTAATTTCAAAAGCTCTCGAATGTGATCAGTTCAGGCCTCTGGCAAGAGGAATCTGCCCTTCCTCTGACAGACAGCCTGCTGGCCAGGAAGAGAGCAAGAGCGAGAAAGAAAAAAAGGGTATCAGAAAAAGAGAGAAAAGGGCCTTGGTCCTGTGCAATTTTGGTATTGGTCTGCTCATATTTTGAAATGCAAACACAGAAGCTGGCCTTTTGAGTAGCATATCCTGAATAAATAAAATTAGGCAGGGTCTTTTCACTGGTAGTGCCTTTGTATTTTAAATGAATTTTCTAGTTTTGAGCTTCAAAGAATAAATGCTGTGTCGTCATCATGCTTTGTCTCCTAGATATGCTGGAAGGACAGGGAATGCTGTCTGGGATACCTATGTGTGTGGGGCAGGTGTGCAAAAGGTGTGAGCCGTGGTGAGAGTGGAACAAGATGTGACCCACGCCGGGACAAGTGTGCTCAGGGGCTGTGTTGCACCACCAGCAACTGTAAGATGGTTTTTATGTACTCATGCCTCCGGCGTGATAATCTACTTCCTTCTACCCTCGGATTTGGTCTGCTCATATTTTGTGATGTTGACTGCTTTACTTGGAGTTGTGTGAAAGCTTTTAAACTGAAAGTACCAATTCCTGGTGGGACGCAGGAGCCTAGGACTTGCCCATCAGAAGGTTGGCGGTTCGAATCCCCGCGACGGGATGAGCTCCCATTACTCAGTCCCAGCTCCTGCCAACCTAGCAGTTTGAAAGCACGTCAAAGTGCACGTAGATAAATAGGTACCATTCCGACGGGTGTGCTGCTCTGGTTCGCCAGAAGCAGCTTAGTCATGCTGGCCACATGACCCAGAAGCTGTACACCGGCTCCCTTGGCCAATAAAGCGAGATGAGTGCTGCAACCCCAGAGTCGGTCACGACTGGACCTAATGGTCAGGGGTCCCTTTACCTTTACCTTTACCTTTTTACCAATTCCTGGGGACTATAATCCAGACTGAGACCACAGTGCACATGGAGAGACAGTTAATCTTCGCCTCTCACACCATGGTCCTGATATAACCCCTGTCCTCATTATCACAATCAGTAAGCCAAGAGCAGGTATTGGTTATAGCTTGTGTTTGGTTTGGGCTACTGAAACAAACCACAAGACTGGATTTGCACATAATGCTAAGAGACTAACTATGGTTTAGCTCACAAGGAGAGGAGCTAAGCGGCTGAATTTTTCTAAATGTGCACCAGTATAGTAGCTCATTCATGCCACGACATATTTTGTCTTAGTGTTACGTGTGAACCAATCCAGTGTATCTTGTATAGCAGATATTCCAGGCAGATTTTACTTTATGGATTTTCTTCACATAATCCTTTATAATCTCTGTCCTATCTCCAACACAGCTCTCTCGTTCCCAGTCTGCACTCCTTATCCAAAGGAAGGGGAAGTATGCCGGATTCCCACCAGTTCCCTCTTTGGACTGATGGGTTGGGGCAGCCTCACAGCCTTTCCCAGACCTAGCCAGTATTGCCCATGTGCCCAAGGGCTGAAGTGCAGAGCTAAAAGGTAAGGAGGATTCTGTCTCTGTAGAATTCTTCACAAGAGAAAGCTGCAACTAAAGTAGCTGCAAGACTGTCTGTTTTGCATTGTTTTTGTTTTGTTTTAAGTCTATCTGCTGTTTCTTGCATTTTTAACTAGGTTGGATTTTGTTTTTTTGTTTTGATTTTTACTGTACATCACATTAAGACAATTAATTTACTAATTAATTACAATAATAATACCCCAATGAACCATGTGCTAATAAAATTGTATTATGTTTTGCAAGACTGATTTAAGATAAAATAAATGAAGTCTTATATTATTGCATTTGCTCTACATATTGTTTCAGGATACTCTGCAAGATGCAATTAATGTTGATTGGACTGGGATGATACCCCCCCCCCCCGTATTTTTTCATGTATAAGACGCCCCCATGTATAAGACACCTCCTATTTTTTGGGACTCCAATTTAAGAAAACGGGGGAATTTGCCCTGTGTATAAGATGACCCACAGTTTTTCACATAATTTTAAAGTAAAAAAACCTAATCTTAAACACAGAAAAGTACAGTGTGTGTGGGGTGTGTGCGTGCTCAGTGCTTTTTTCTGGGGGATGCAGGGGTACGCATACCCCTAAACATTTTGTGAATCTAAGTTTGGCCTCATTGAGGGGCTGTATTTCAATATGAGTAGGAAAATGAGTGTATCCCTAAACATTTTTTTAGAAAAAAGCACTGTGTGTATAAATATATTGTGTGTGTGCATATATATATATATATATATGAATATGAGAGAGACACTCATTCAGTCTTGCCAATCGGTTGCTTTCTCTCCTAGATATACAACAGTTTCAACATGTGAAAATCCAGAGAACAGTGTGGATATTAGTAGACCAGACCAACAGCTCTCTTTCTACCAGCCAATCCTGATGCGTCGTGACAAAGAGGATGCTTATTATGATGACTATGTGCAAGATGGTCAACTAGCATTAGTCAATCTGCCCAGATCTCCTTATTCCATGGAAGATATTGGCCAACCAAAGGGGCTCAGTGAAGACTATTACGAGAAAAGGCAGTTGCCATGGGAGGAAGATGTGGCTGATCCCAAACAAGCAGATTTCCAGGAACTCAAGCAATTGGCTAATGAAATGGGGCAGTACATTGGGCCTGGCTTTTACTAATTACAATGGTTTTTGGCCCATAATTTACATAGCTTGTTACTCTTCAATGCTCACAACCCTTTTTATGCTTATCATCTTAATCTCTGTACTTTCCCTCATAATCCACTTATTTCTAGATTCCATTCAGCAAAAAAGAAAAAAAGGTTTGTTAATTAAATCATTCACACCACTAGCTGTGCAAATGTTGCTTTGTTCGCAATACAGATTTATTTATTTAAGGTATTTATACACTGCTTAATTACCAAAGTCTCTTATTCTTTACACTGAAGAAATTTATTTAACAGTGGGAACTGTTAAATATTTATAGCTAAAAAGAACATCTGCATTCTGAAAATCCCATCTTCCGTACACTTTTAGGGTAATGGTTCAGCTTAGGCAGGAAATGGCAAGAGAACTAGGAAGCTGAGGAGTTGCTTTTGGGAGACTTGCTTATAGTATATACATTGCAAGGGGGGCAAGCCTGGGTGGTGTATGGAGTTTATGGGCTGTCCCCCTCAAAGCAAAGCAGAGCAATACGTTTGGCACCAGCTTGGCTGCAGGAGTCGCGGGAAGGAGGCATACAAGGCAGCATCCAACCGCCTTAGGGACTCCACTCTGAATTTGTGTAGCACGGGCGTAGCCAAGCCCCCCCCCCATCAATACAAATACTTGAGTTTCTCTTCCCCCTAACATGAAGCCTTCCCCCTCCAAAATAAATCCTGGCTACGTCCATGTTGTGCAGGGTTCACTCCTGAGACTTTTCTTCTCCCAAAGATATTCCCACAAGGCATGCAAGCATTTTTGTGTGCTTTTTATTGTACAGTAAATTGTTCTGTTCTCTTCAGACGACGGATGGTAGAGAAATTAATAATTATTTCTTAATAATTGATTAAGGAGAGGCAGCTGTCCCCCCCACCTTGGCTACGCCCATGGCTGGCTAGAAAAGTTTGGTGGAGAGTGAGCTAGCCAGCAGGCGAGCACATCTTTCCATGGTGGAGAAAGGCTTGACAGAGGAACTTCCTGCCTCTCCACCTTCCTAAGGAAACACCAACGGGCGCAAGGAACAGGCGCAAGAGTCACCGCTTCCGCGTTTTCCCGCCTTTCTCCCTGCGTCTCCCATAGCAACGCCTCGGCGCGCGAGGCCGGCTTTCCCCGTCTCCCGCTATCTGGAGGCCGCGGCGGAGGGGTATCTCCGCTTGTGCTTCGGCTCTCGCTGAGACAAGGTTTCTCCGTCCGCGTCTCCTTCCCTCGCTCGGAAGCTTCGACCTCGGCTTCTCGGTTGGCTTCTCTCCCTCGTGTGAGGGGCTGCTCTTCCTCAGCCTCGCGAATAAAGGCTGCTTGAGAGAGCTGCGCGGTGCGAAAACAAAGAGTCCCCGCTAAACGGCCTTCCTGCACGCCCCCCCCCCCCCGACGGTAGATTCCTTTCTGGACAGATCTGCCCCGTTTCAGTTGGTATAACGCCTCTTTCTCTTTTCGCAGGCGAACCTTTAGACCTAACCCGTGTCGTGGCTGAGGGTCTCCAAAAATCTCGCTTAATGGCTAAGCTGCTACGCAGCAAGCTACAAAGCATGCTCGAGCTATTTATTTATTGACATTTTAATTATTGATTGAATTGAATTTATTTTCCTCCCTGAGGAGACCAGATACGGCAGGCACAAGTTCGAAAACAAATTTAAAGACACTTAAAATATCCATTGCCATTGAAAATGTATTTAAAAAAGCAGTCACGGTTAAAAAGATTCTTCCGTCCAAGGACCTTGGGGTTTGTACCGACCTGCGGAGAAATATTAATATGGCTACCAGCCCTTTATCCCTATATCTTGTTAATTGAGCTGCCTTCATAGGCGGAACAGCCAAAGCCAAACTTTCGGCTCGGGATTGCGGTTCAAAAACAGCTTTCCTCACCTGCCTCAGACCGCTACCGCCATCCACAATAAATCAATAAAAACACTAATTACCCCCCTTTCAAATGCAACGTGGCCTTCCACAGCTATTAATACATACTCTTTTACCAAATAAACTGTTACTTTGGATTAAATACTGTGGCTGCGTACACTTGTTAATTCTGCATCAAATGCCCTCCCGCCGAGGGTTTGTGAAGCAGTGAATACGCAATCCATATCTATCCTGTCTTGTTTCTCATGCAATAATGCATCCCTTCACCCCCAAAAACAGCTTTTTTCTGAATTGAGAAAAAGAAAGATGTGCCAACCCCATGCATCACCTCCATAGAATACGCCATTCACAGTAGGTTGGACTCCCCAATTAATTTGTTCGAATTAAAACCACACCATTATAGGGAGGGATCTCAACCTAATTATACATTATTTTGATTTAAATAAACCTAAATTTGGGGGTCACTCCACATATGTGAAATGGCAAATCATAAAGTCAATCCAAGGTCCACGACACTATGATACAACTGAAATCCTGTGCCTGTTGTGCACACACAGCACAGGGTGCCCTTTAGGAGAGAAAATACTGTTTTCTAATATAATTCTGATGTTAGCAAAGAAAACCTTCCAAATTAGTCAACTACATCCATGCTACTGCCGCACAAAGAGATATGAAAGTAACTCCCTATTTTATCATTGTATTTCTTAATGCAATGTTTAAGCCAGGTTTAACTTTCACACAGCAGTCCTATATATGTCTACTCAGAGGTAAGTACTACTGAGTTTGAGGAAGCTTACTCCCAGATAAGTGGGTATAGTGTTACATAGCCTTAAAGTCTTATGAAACTTGTGCTTCGAACAGATGAAGTTGTTGGGGCAGTCCAAATGAGTTTAATTTTGCTACTTTCACAAAGCCTGGCAAATTACCAAAGTAGCTTTTTTGCTTCACAGATACTGGAATTATGTTCTTGTTTTGCTTGTTGCAGGTACACACAGAAGTGACCTTATAATCTATTTTTCCTGGCTAAGAACGCATCTGTGGAACCAAGTTCTGATTGTCGACGAACTTACCTGTGTGTGATGATGGAGGATATTTATTACAAGTCACTTGAAAATGAAGCAGTTGGACAGTTAACTGCATTCTTGTCGAGAGAAAGTAAGCATTGGTCATTCTAAGCTGCCAATCATGTAACAGTATTGTAACTGCGTCAGAAACATCTGCTCCTAGAACAATTTCCCCTTCCTCAGGGCACTTCCAGACTGTTGCCATTTTTGGTTGGGATTCAGTCACATATCAGCAAATCCAGGTCACGCAGTTATAATTAATAAGGAGGAGCAAACCTGCTTCCCCAAAAGATCAGACTTTTAATGAAAAGGAAAGTGATGGGGAAATGCACTGGAAAGTTTGAATTAACACTTGCTTTGAGGTAACATAATAAATCTCCCTGCAGACAAATCAAGATGCATGCTCAGTAAAAAGGTCATCTGGAAGCGCCCCAGTTCATATGATTTCCACCATAGTTTCCCCCCCAGCTGATTTACCAAGGTTTTATCAAGCAGATTGAGATGCCCTCACCTCAGTATTGGGATTGTAAATACATTTCATAACAGCCCCAGAAGGATGACTTGGTCTGCAGATAATCTAGGCTTAGAAAAAAAATCATTTATATAAATATTACTTCCTCATGTTCCTTAGCAATGCCACAGGACAGCATTGGCGTCAGCAGCAAGAATCTCACCCTGAATGCAGGCCAGTGCTCTGAAGAACATGTTCTGAAATGCACATTCAAGGCCTGTGATCCAGAACAAACAGGTAGAAAGTTTTTTAATATCAGTTGAAAACTATCAGTCTTCAAAACTGCTGGGAGATCAGTTTTTTGTTAAGATGTGCAAATACCTTTCAGAATAGTTTAGCATCAGGTTATATATTATAGACTCTTGGCTATATGTCATTTTGTCAGTGAACCTAACATCACTGTATTGAAGAAGCATACAATTCCAGGTCAACTTTAATGACAATAAGTCCTAGCAGAATACTATATGGTACTATATGGAATACTTTCTTCTTCTTAGACGAAGTTTTATTGACTGGGTTGTGCAAAAAAGATTTTTTTTTTAATCATTCATTGATAGACATTATCCAGGACTCCTCCCAGTACTTCAAAGTTACATAAATTTATTTTAAGGTATAATAGAAAGAGAAGAAAAGACAAGAAAATAAGTGATAATAAGAAGGAAGTGGGTGGGAAAGGGAAGCAGTGGTACAAAGCTACTATTCCTTTAAAAATCCTATTTTTCTTGAAAGTTGGTTCCTGATACATCACTCATTTTCTTTAATCATGGAGACCAGAAGTTAATGTATTAAAAATTAAATATAAATTCACATTACTTTGCAGACCAAGCAAAATTGCTTTGTGAGGTACTGCTATGGGGTATTTTAAAACAATACAGATATGTAGACTAGTTTATATATACAGTTCATATATTTATGACTGACGATTTTATCAGTTACAAATGCCTCATTTTTTCTAAACTGGAGAAACAAAGATGTATAAAACATATCATAATAGCTTGCATTGGTAGATAGCAGAGACAACTAAATCCAGATTTATTGTTCTATGCAATTTTTATACTTGAGTTTTCTACCTACCTGTGTAATTCTGTCTACCTGTATTCTGGTTATAGGAGAGGTGTCTGTCTTCCGAATCATTGAATATTTGCAGGAGATGACAGGGCAGAACTGTGAAGACTGGAGGTTTCGGTCTCTATATAAGAGGTTGGACCCTCAAGAGAGAGGGATTGCTGTTGATTTTTCTACCTTCTGTGCAGTTATGAAAGATTGGATCTCAGACTGTCGACAAGAGGGGTTAGTAATTGTAGTAGTCAGATATTGCCTTACACATGGCCTTGGTTTCAATATTAAATTCCCTGAGAGATGTCTGTATTGTTAGTATTCTAAGGGAACCTGAGGCATGGTGAATTTTCTTTTAAGATGATGAGTAGTTAGAGTAGGGATGGTAAACCTCAGGCCTGGGTGCCAAATGCAGGCCTCCTTATCTGGCCCTCAGAATTCTCCCCAGGCCATACACCTTCTGGAGCCATGCTCCTCTCCTGCCCAATGTATTTTTCCTGGCCAGAATTTGTGCTTGAACTCTAATGCTGCTTGCTTGCATGCATGCATGCATGGAGGATGGAGAAGATACATGAATATGTGACTTTCTCAACTTTTAAGAAAGCATAATAGTAACATTTTAAAAAATTGAGACTCTACATCAGTCTTGCCCTGGTGGTGACTTTCCAAAGATTTTTGTCTACAATTCCCATCATCCCTGACCACTAGCAATGCTGGTTGAGGCTGATTGGAGTTGTATTTTTGGGGGACACAGGTTTAGGGAATGTTGCTGTACATGTTGTGCTTTTCAGATTAATCTCCAGCTTCACTAATACAGTGGTAACTCGGGTTACATACGCTTCTGGTTACATACGCTTCAGGTTACAAACTCCGCTAACCCAGAAATATTACCTCGGGTTAAGAACTCTGCCTCAGGATGAGAACAGAAATCGTGCTCCGGTGGTGCGGCGGCAGCGGGAGGACCCATTAGCTAAAGTGGTGCTTAAGGTTAAGAACAGTTTCAGGTTAAGAACAGACCCCCGGAATGAATTAAGTACTTAACCTGAGGTACCACTGTATAATAATTTTGTCTTTCCTGCCTTCCAAGAGTTCTGTGAGGCCTAATATAAATAGATATGCAAAACGTTTTATATTTTGGATTATTTTCTCTCTTCCTCTAGAAAGAACAGTCTTGGTGAAGGCTATCCACCTTCTTCTGATCACCTGCAGAGGAAGGAAAAACAGAATTTGATGTAAATTTATTCATGATTTAAACAAAGGGAAAATATAATTCTGGCTTATTTTCCCACCTGCTTTTTTCCTAACAAAAGGGAAGATGCTGTAGACCTAACAAACAGCATCCAAGATCTGCAGCATGGCAACAAGCAGCTAGCAGTGCAGAACACCAAGCTGCAAAAGACTATTGAGGCTGCAGAAGAGCTCAACTCAAGACTCTCTGAGGAGATCTGTGACTTGAAGGGGAAGCTGAAAGGGTAAATGTTGGAAGTGCTTGACCTGGTATCATTAATTATGACTAATACAAGAAGGCAAATAGACAGGGCTGTAGGAAGTGGGGCAAGAGCTTTGTTGAATCTATGGAACATTGAGGGGCCATTGGTTGTGCTGAAAAGAGTTATTGTAATCTTACACTGTACCCTCTGATGTGCATGTATTTCCTTACCTTCAATACCATTCCCTATTTCCTTCCCTTCTGAATACAGTCCTACCTACTCAACATATGTTTGGGTTTGGATTAAGCTTTTTTTTCACTTTTCAACCCCCTGTTTCGTCTCCAGTTCTTGGGTCTTTCTCACATACGGTAGCTTGATGATAGTGAAGTTTGGAGGTAGAATTCAGATCATTATAACTAAACAACCACCATTCTTTATTACAGCACCCAGCCAGCCTTGGAACAAGCTAGGGTCTTGGCAAATGAATTAGAGGATCTGAAGGTTTTCTCAAAAAGTCTGGAAGAAGAAAATAGTAAACTGCACACACAAGCCCGACAGCTGGTAGGTGCTTCAGTTTAGTTTCTGGTAAACCTTCCTGTTTTGTAAAGCTTATACACCGTTGTCTCAATTTGTTTGAGTTATTCAAATTACATTTTGGATTTTGGGTTGGAGAGTTTGGGTTTTTATCTCAGTCAGTTCTTCTGAAACAGAGAAGAAAGGAGTTCATGTAGTTGAATACACATGCAAATGTGTTGTGCATGTGGATAATTCTATAAAGCTTGTTAGATGAACTTGTGACAGCTGGCTTTTTAGAAACTGCTACTGTTTATGCCTGTTTGGATAATATATCTGCACAAGAAGCTTTCACAAACCACTTCAAGTTATCCTTTTGCTGAAAAATGTTATATTGGAATTCTGGATCCTCATACAGGCTAATCAAACTGTAACGTTCTCTTCCAAACTTTAGGTAAAAGAGCAGCAGTTCCTTTCTGTTCAATTGGATAAAGTGCAGGAGATGGTGAGCAGGGGCAATGGGGACTTTAAAAAAGTAAAACCAGCCATGTCAGCTGTAGGATAACACAAATGTAAGAAAATGAGACATGTGGTTCAGTGCAGGTTGCTGCTGTTTGCACTTGTGGCATTACAGTACAGGTGAAATCTCAGCTGTCAACTGCACAATGGAGAATAAGCATCCATTACATACAAGTCACTGCATGTGTAATGAAATTCCATACAAGAAGTGACATGTCCTCCTCCAGGATATCATCACACATATGCACACACCATGATATCCCTTCAGAATGGGTATCTTCCTTATTAATCTAAAAAAACCCCCCAGAGGCTGTGTAATAGCAAACTGATGCAGCACATGGGAGATAGAAATGTAGAAATGTTAAAAGTCTGTTGCATTTGTCTTCTAGAACAAGAAACTGCTTCTGGAGAAAGAAAGCTCAAAGTGTAAAATCAAAGACCTGTTTACAAAGAAGGCTAAAATGAAGGTACTTAAAAATACCCATGTTCAACTAGTTTGTCAGATGACTGCTGTTTTTGTAGTATGGATTTGAGGGCATCTATTTGTATTCTGCTTTCTTCTTGCAGTCCCAGATCTCTGAATATGAAAACCTTATCTCCTGCAAAGATGCTGCCCTAAATGAGGTGAGGTATATATAGGAAAAATGACAAATTGGAAGTCTGAAATTAAGGTGCTATGATGGAGGTGAGCGTCTGGGAGTATCTGTTTTCCTGGGTTCAGTGACACTGTGGGTGATAGTAGCACCACATATTGTTTGTAATGTGGAGAATTTTCAAGTTGCACACCTCTTTGCATGGAATAAGAGAGTTCTTGCTATCCTGTCAACACACTGGGTTTAATTACAGGTTACCCATTGAACAATTTTGTACATTGGTGAGTCCATGGACTGAGTGGTAGTTTCCAGTGGTATGAACAGGGAGTCATTTGCAGCATCCACCTGTGTCATGAAGACAATTTCCCTGTATTTCCATTGGGAAAGAAGCTATCTGAATGAGTACATGACATCATGATAAGTTGCTAGTTTGTACGTTATATTGCCACCTAATTAAACAAATCTTAGTTGATTAATTGTGATTAGTTGCACAACTTTTATTTGATTGATTATAGTTCCACACGGGTAAAAACAATAGTTTTAAAGTTAGAATTGATTAAACATTATGGTCCTATTTGTATGACTTGATAATCTTTGAAGTATTATATATATCCTTCCTCTGACATTTTTTACAGCTTTGGCTTGTCTCTGTGTTCAGGGATCACTAGGTGTCACTGCAACCTCATCTCTAGACATAACTTGGTTCTGAAAAGAAACCATACATATTTTGAAAAATTAGTTTGGTGACAGAGGTTCTATAAGATTATGGTTTGCTTTGAGATAAGGTTGAGTTACTTTCTTGTTTGTTTGGTTTTTATTATGTTTGATTATGTTTTGTGTTCACAGAAAACAAAACACGCTGAAGAACTAACAGTCACCTTGGATGAATACAGAATGGTAGTACAGGTAATGTGGGACTAGGAGGAATCTAGAGTGATATATATATATTACAGTCCAGGGTGAACAATTATTTATAAAAATATTTATATACTGCTATTTATTTTTTAAAATATGTAAAACCGTACAATAAAAAACATGTAAAAATGTTAAAATCAGAAAATAGTCAACTACTATGGAAAGATGTATTCTTAATTGCCTGCATAAGCCTTATGGACTAGAAAAGTTTTCAGCAGGAGCTTAAAAGTTGAAACAGAAGCCACCTGCTAAATCTCTATTGTCAGAGTACTCCATGATACTGGGCTGATGACACTAAAGTCTTGGGTTTCTTGTTGTCAAATGATCCTCACCAACTTGGGAAACAACCAGCAATGTTCCAACAATGCTCCTGAAGATCATCTCAGTCACCAAGCAGGGATATAAGGGTTCAGGTGGTCCCCAAGGTACTCTGGACCTAAGTTTTTCAGGGCTTCATAAGACAATATGAGGATCTTTATCCCAGCTTGGCAGTAGATGGACAGCTAGTGCAGATATTACAACAGTGGTATCACATGTTCTCATCCAGATGCCCCCATCAGCAGACTGGCAGCTGTATTTGGAGTTAGTTAGTTGTGTATTAACCAGAAGTATCCCCCATCAATTTCTGTGACCACAGAAAAACCAAGTCAGAATTGGTAATAATTATAAGGAATGGGAAATGATGAATAACAGGCTCACAATTGTAGATCCCAAAGGCTCATCTTCAGTCTATGACAGATAGCAGAGGCTACCCTAGGAAAAGGAACACATAGACTACTGGATGGGGAGCAGTATGCATACAGTGCAAAAACTGCTAACATAACTCTTTGATATTTAAACAAATGAAACTGAAAAATTTCAGATGATGTGGAGTTAACATTGGAACAATATAACATAAGTGTTCCCAAGGCATTAGAGCAAATTAAATGTTTTGGAGAAGTGGTGTGTTTTAAAATAGACACAGAAAAGACCAAGATGTTAGTCAAAAGCATGGATGAGCAGTCGAGAAATTTGGGGATTTGACTGACCTTGAGAAATCTCAACTTATTTCAAGATAATTATATTAAACCGTGGAAAGAGATTTAAAAAGAGTTGGCAATAAGGTAAAGGATGAAGCTTTCCCTACTAGGTTAAATTTCAGCCATCAAAATTAATATACAGTAGTACCTTGTTTCTTGAACTTAATCCGTTCCCGGAGTCTGTTCGACTCCCAAAACCGTTTGAAAACCAAGGTGCAGCTTCCAATTGGCTGCAAGAGCTTTCTGCACTCAAGTGGAAGCCGCGTCGGATGTTCGGCTTCCGCAAAACATTCACAAACCAGAACACTTCCGGGTTTGTGGTGTTTGGGAGCCGATTTGTTCAGCAACTAATCCGTTCGGGAACCAAGGTATCACTGTACTTCCTAAAATTATTCCAAATGATCCTGATTGTTCATAATTTAAGCTGCCTCAAAGACTGGAAAAAAGATATGATTTGAAATTTACTGCATGCTATACACTGAAAGAGAATCACATGAAAATGATCCATAGATGGTATCTAACTCTGAGTAGGTTGGCTAAGATGTATAAAGTAGAATCAGATTTGTGTTGGAAATGTAAAGAAATGGAGGGAACCTTTTTTCATGTGTGGTGGGCATGTAAAAAGGTTAAAGAGTATTGGGAAATGATTTACAATGAGATGAAAAAAATGTTTAAAACAACTTTCCCCAAAAGATCAAAGGCATTCTTGTTAGGAATGGTTCAAGCAGAAGTTCCCAGGTGTCAGAAAAAATTATGTATGCTGCAATATCAGCTCATGTATTATTAGCCCAAAAATGGAAAGTGAGGGAGGTCCCTTGTAAGGAAGACTGGCAATTTAAGATGATAGAATTTGTGGAACTAGCAGGTCTAACATATAGAAGAGAGCAAGAAGAGGAGTGGAAACCTTTTGCTGAGTATATGGAAAATAATTGCACACAGCTGAAAATGCTGGCAGAATTAAGATAAATTCGACAGGTTAACTAATATTCGAGTATTGTACAATGACTAAAATGGTTATAGTAAAGAGAACTGACTAAAACGGTTATAGTAAAATATGCAGGTATAATAGGCAAACAAAATGAACCATGGAAGGGGAAGGAGGGAAGCCACTGACTAAATGGTATTATGTAAATTGTTTATTTTGAAATGTTAAACTGAAAGTTCAATAAACATTTTAAAAAATAAACATTGAAAAGTTTATAGAATTGAAAACAGAACCTTGCAAGGTAGACCCATACAGACTTCCCCACTTTACTTTGTGCTAGTATAGTAGCTACCATACTTGTGCATCAGGTTCTCTCTGTATTGTTCCAATTTTAGTATATGTGCTGCCGAAGCGAGCACGTGCATCAGGTTCTCTTTGTGATCTCCATTAGGAACTGAAACTGGAGGTTAGCAGACTTCAAGAACACCTGTCCCAATCCTATCAGGACCAATACGTGTAAGTGTTGCCAGAATAAGCTAGGTGTTTTGGGGGGTGGTTAGGATACAGCAAGCCCAGATGTATCTAGTTTGAAAGAAGGTGTGGTGTCCAGCCAGGGATAGCTCTATGATTTTTGTTACAGTTTCCTATAAAATCTTTATTGTGTTAAACTAAGAATTATCCTTTCGGGACAGTGAAATGCTTTTGAATTTTCCAAAAAATAAAAAAATTAAAAAATCCCAAAAGCAATTTCAAAATGATTTAATTATTTTAACTGGCAATTGTCAAAATGCTCCCTGTTTATGATTAGCTTGAATTCTGTATGAATCATATTCTCAGAATATGCCCCTAAGTAAGCTATTATGTTTTTGAGGATTGTTAGCAAGACCTTTTCATTTAATTTTAATTGCATAAAATTAAGCTTCTGAAGCGTATGGGGTTTTATCATGTATTGTTTAATTCCCTTGTATTTGGAAGTGCTAGTTTTAAATTGTGGTACTTCACCCTGAGGTTTAGTGATGGTTCAGGATACAAATTTTAACTAAATGCATGAATAAAATTGTTATTTATATTATTAATAGTAATTTTTCAATACTTTTTCAGTACAGTGGTACCTCGGGTTAAGTACTTAATTCATTCTGGAGGTCCGTACTTAACGTGAAACTGTGCTTAACCTGAAGCACCACTTTAGCTAATGGGGCCTCCTGCTGTCGCTGTGCCGCTGGAGCCCGATTTCTGTTCTTATCCTGAAGCAAAGTTCTTAACCTGAAGCACTATTTCTAGGTTAGCAGAGTGTGTAACCTGAAGCGTATGTAACCTGAAGTGTATGTAACCCGAGGTACCACTGTAGTGTAATATTAAGCTCTGGTAAATCTGTTAAAATTGAGTGCCCCCTGGAGGCAGATATTCAGACAGTGAAAGCAGACAGCTTTTTCCTCAGAGGGGACAGTTCATAGTTGCATGATCTGTCCAAGACTAAATGAGGTTGTTCATATCATCCTTATTGCTCTCATTCTGTTCTTCTTCTTTTTAAAAAAGACTTAACAATTCCACAAAGCAGCTGAGCAGGGAGCTGGAATGTTTAGGGAATGATTTATTTGGTCCCAGGTAGTCGTACCTTGGGAGTGCTCAAGAAACGGAACAGATGCAGCTTAATTTGCTGTCTCAAGAGAAATTAGTTTTGTCCTCTCCAAGACCTGTCCATCTCTCTCTCTTACGCACGCACATCATGTTCTGTGACCCAGTTCTTTGTGACTAGCACTAAGAATCTGAAATAATTTGTTCTGACTTGCTAGGGAGACACTGAGGTCAGGTCTGGGTGTGTTACGAACATGGATAATTTTGCTTTGCACTTTAGTGAGACGGGTTTGCACTTCTATTAAAGGAGTCATTTTGATTTTTAAAATCAGAGCTGGAAAAATATATATTAAGGTGATCTTGCTATCCTAATGTTATCCAGACCTAAACAGTCTTTGACAGATACAAACAGAAAGTCTTTTATAAACAAATTGGGTTGCATCCAAGCTTGCCATCTTTCATAGCTGACTGATAAAACCTCCTATCTCCTGCTGCAATAGTAAATGGAAAAAGTGTTTTGTTTTGTTTTTATTTAGGTGCTATTGTGGGATTATAACAACTTTTTTTTTAAAAAGGAAGGCTAAGCTAAAAAACTGTTTTGGCACAAATTAACTGATTAAGAAATGATTCCAACCAGAAAGGCTGCATGTGTTTTTAAAGATTCATTAAAAAAATTGTACTAAAACACACCAAGCAGCCCTGGAGAAATATTTTAATAATATTTTTTAAACTATAGTTGAAAAGGTGTTTTAGTGTGAATTAAAAGAGTAATTAAAAATAAGCATGCTATTAAAGTAGCACTGACCGGAAAGGGTAATAGTGAAGGTGTGTGAAAGAATAGATACATGATGATAGGTACACCCACCTGGTATATCACTGTACAGCTTTTGAAAAATACAGAAGAATAGTACTAAGGTGATCTACCCCTGTGGAGATTGTGCTAGTATAGTCTGAACAAAAGACAGAATCACTATAGGGAGACCCCAGGAGGACAATGATTTGATAACATCATGCAGATGACCCATAAATTGTAAGTGAGCAAAGCATGAAACTTCCAGAGGAAATTCTAGTGTAGAAGAGTACTAATAGCGTTGTTAATTTTTATGTTGTTATTTTTATGTTAATGTTTATTGTTAATTTTGCTTTGTTAATTACAAGGTAAGTTGTTGATCCTCGGTTAAGTAGCCAAGGAGGTTCATGTAAACTCCCATTTTAATTGTTTGCAGTTCTGTTTGACACAATGAACTGTTAACATTCTTTTTGATGCAGGCTGCCAGGAGATTTCCTAGAAAATGTGAAGACCTGCTCACAGGCCCCTGCACAGCCACTCTGGATGGAAATTGAAGAATCACAGAGAGTAAGTTGTCACAAATGAGTCTTGCTTCTTGGAATGTCTTACCATTGCTCTCACCATAAATGGAAAGGATCTCAAGACTTAACTCAGACAAACCCAGAGTCTTGGGTAGATGCTTGCTGTACAGGGTTACACATTTATCTAGTTTGAAGGGAGTTGTTGCTCAGCACTAGTGATGTTGCAGGCACTATCCAGTACCGCCTGTGATACTCACACAATGACAACACTCATAGTAGCTGCTGTTGTGCTAAATGGGAGAAAAATAACATTTTGCCAGTAACAAGATATTACACTTTTGTGTATTGGAGAAAAGCAGCACCTGTGTCACAGAAGTGTATGTTGAAGAAAGGCTTAAGATTTATTCAGCTATAAAATGATGATAGTCCCTTGCTGTCTTCAGCAGCAGTTTGGCGAGGAGGCTGATTTGCCTAGTCCTTTGTGTGGGATGTTGACATCTTTGGTGACAGATCCATTGGCTTCAGGTGACATTGGATCGTTGGCAGAAAGGGTAAGTGTGGAATTCACAAGTGGTAAGAAAAATAACGACAAAGTTTTCTTCCTTTAATTCCAGAGAACATGTCTGCTGAATTAAAGCTACCAGTATGCTGTTAGTAATATCGAAACTAGATTGACTTCACACCAAGCAACACTTTAAGCTTTGACTCCCGTTTCAAAAATGGAAAATCATCTCAAAAACTGATCTGACCACCCCATCCCATAGCACACACCTCCCATAGCACACACCTCTAATTTTCTCAAAATAACTTTTTACCTACTGATATCTGGAGCTAGCTCAAATTTTGTGTTGTTGGGCCAGGGGCTGTATATATTTATTTTTCTAGAAAACAGAGCATGATCCATAGTCTTATCTTTCATTACCTTGGTAACCTTTCTCTGAACTCCAGTTTTGAGGCCTGCCAAGATATATTTTAATACTAAGGACCCAATGTGTGGTGTGACTCATTATCCCAGCAGCCTCCCACTGTTCTGTTTCTCTCTGTCTACAAATTGGTATACAACACAAGCAAAAGCACCAAGAATACTGTGGATTCCAGCTGGTAGACATGCATTTGCTGTCACATCAAAGTGTGGATGGGACTTGTTGCCTTTTTGTTGCTGTAAACATGTAGGAATTTGTGTAGGTGTAGAGTTATGGTGCTGAAAATATGAACAAGTCCCCTGCTCAGTTTAAGAAGAGTGCATGACCAGAAATCTTATGAATTGGACATTGTGGCTAATGCCTTTGGGGTGGAGTCAGTTGTGCTCTCGCTTGCCCTATTTGTTAAAGGGGTTTTGTGAAATCAAGCTGTTTCTTTATTATGCAAGCTGCAGTAGCATTTTGTTGGCAATTGGAGGGGAGGAACTGAGGACTGTATGGGTGGGTGTTGATAAAGCGTGCCCTGTCCTTGCATCTTGAAAAAGACCCCTGTTAACTTGGGCATATACTAGTGGACATGAATGTGGGGGGGAAAGAAAGCCACGTTAGATGTAGGAGCTGGAAGACGGCAAAGTGCACAAGGCAAGCACACTGTTTACAGTATTAATCTCCTCCTCCTATTTAAAGAGCATTTGCTATCCAGTTGATTGAAGGGAAGATGTTGTTTGTCATGTTGTAGTGAAGAGGAGCCTTTTCTCCTACCTCCATAGTCATATATGAGCCAGATGCTGACAGTTTAAATGGATGTTTGTACCGTGGCAAGTCACAGAAGCAAAGCCAACACTGAAAGTTTGGAGAGACATATGGCCCATCAGCCTGATTTTCAAGGGAAAGTGGGACTCCGGCATTGGCACCAGAAAAATGAAAAGCCCATTAGGTTTCCTGTGGGGTGCACAGACTACACAGTCTGTGTTCAATTACAAAACAGGCACCGATGGAGCTAACAGGGACATGATTAGCAGTAGGGAAGTTTAGTATGAATACTAACAAAAAGACATTAGCTGCTCAGTATCTAAGAAAGCTGGTACTGTTTTGAATAATACTGTTCTGGAGGTTATGATAGTTTGCATTAGTGGAGATAGTTTCACACACACACTCCTTTCTTGAGGTATACACTAACATCAGAAGATGCCTGGAAATGCTTACTTAACATGTAAAGGACCACACACAGCATTTTCTGAGCTTCCTTGAGGCTGCAGTTTGGAATCTCAATAAAGGTACATTTTCAAGGAACAGTTTTTAGGATTCTGACAAAAATCCTGAAAACCATTTGCCTCCCTGAATTAGTTTGCAGGGGGATTAGACAACATTGTGTCAAGCAAGTGTTATGCACTTTCCAGTGCATTTTCAGTCACATTTCTTATCACCAAAGTCTGGAAGTTCAGCTGGAACTCACTGGAACTCTGTTCCGGTACCTCTCAGGTAGGTGCCACTGCCATTATAAGAGAACAAAAGAGGCATTCATGGTGAGTTCTGGCAACTTTTCCCCCTAGAAAAATAGCACTGGATGTAACCAATCAAAATTGGTTGCATAAATCTTTATCTCTGACCATTGTTGCCATAAATCAGGCTCTTATTCCTGTTTAAACTAAAAAAATCAATGATACTGTGAATGCCGATAAGGGAGATGTAGCAAAAGGAAAGAATTTAAAGGCAAAAATATATCTGATCTTACATTTAATGGAAAGATCTGATCCTGGTTGTGGAGCTTTCAGGAGAAGAGGAGAAGCTCATGATGGTAGCCAAGACAGCTAAACTGTCAAAAAGGACAAGGCAATGGAAAGTTTTATGCTACTAGAGCTAACTTCTTGACAAACTGAAGCAAGATTTTAAACATGTTCTACAGGAAGAGTAGAAATTAGCCTTAAAACCTATAGAAACTTCATTGGATTAGACAGAATCACAATCTTGGATGTTGCTGCAATAGCAAATGAAACAACTAAAATGGGAATTAAGCATTATAAAAGAATTTAAAAGCTGTCTGACTGAGCTAAAGATATCCAGCTTTGTAAATGTCAGACAATGCTTTGCACCATTTAAATGTTAAAATAAGAGGCTTGGAAGAGACTCAGAAATGTCTGATACTAAATCCTTCATTTTATATTGATTAATCAAATAATGCCTGCCTGCCATTACTGACACTGACAATGCTTATCACTCTGGTGCTAGTTTGCAGTCCAACAACAACAGGCTGAGAGACATCTTGGTAAAATTTTCACATCTTTCAGCTAAAGAAATCATTTTGAACGTGATCAGAGATAAAGAAGGTCTGGAATTGGAGGGCACCAATATTCTAATCTCTGTCCAGCTACACACGGTTGGAAACAGGCTTTGAAACAATATACAGATCAGTGGCAGAAAGCAGGAATCCAGTATTGCTTTCAGTTAATAGTTAGAATCAATTGTGTCACCCATCTTACCACAAATAATAATGAATCACATAACATACTTTATTTACCCAGCCTATCATCAGCATCCCAGCAGGGAGATCAAAGCTCAGATGATCTTGTTGGTGGCAAGGAAAAAAATTAGGTATAGAAGAGGAGAATTCCCTGGATGCCAACATCCAGGTTTGGGGCAAGTACTCTGGTGAGATAACCCCAGCAGAGATTTAAAAGCACAAAATAGGCAGCAAGGTAAAGCATGGCTGTTAGACCTTTAAAATATGCCCTTCTAAGTTCCTTCCAAAGTTCTCCTCTTCCCCTAACATAGAAAAATACCAATCCCCCCCCCCAAGTTTAAAGAATTGTCCACCATACAGGGGGATAGTTTTGTGAATAGAGTCTGTTAAGGTTTCTTGTTATACTTATTCCTAACTATCTTAGCTTCGTGTGACAGTCTAATGCCTGTGAGTTCTGTGGATGAATTTTGGGTGCTGGGTGGTACATTGAAGCATAAAGCTTCAGATTTTGAGAAGTTAACCCGCAGGCCTGATAGTATTGTGAAGTTGCTAAGCTCTTGAAGTCTTGCTGCTCCCATGTTCAGCGGGTCAGGTGTCATAATCATTAAATCATCAGTGAAGAGTCCAATCATATAGTTTTGTTTTCCAGTTTGGACTCCCTTGATGTCTGGTGTTTTAAGGCATATAACTAATGGTCCTAAAGCTAAGATGAACAAAAAGAAAGAGTGGACAGCCTCTCGTCATTCTATTTAGACTAATGAAAAATTCCTTCTTTACAAAGAGATAATGTGTCTCAACCACATTGTATTTGCAAATTACCCTTTCCTAGGCCAAAGAGTTGTTTTTCCATCTACCCAAGTGCAAATACGGGAGCTTGTACCTTGTTGAAAGGTAATTGCTTTTCTATTAGATGAGAAAAGGATCAAACAAAGAAGAAGAAAAACCTTTATCTGAGTCTAGTGCCTTTTATACAAAAATCACAATTACTTGCCATGTTGGGTTATTTACTGCAAATGGGGCTTGCTTACCGTAACAGCCACCACCTGACTCCATCATCTCAACATTTGTTTGATTGTACTGGATTTTAGTTAAAAGAAAACTCAGAAGCAGATTTTCCTTATCTGAATGATGCTGAAGAAGGCCAAAGATTCACATCAGTAGGAAGACTCATCACTCTTTCCTTCCTCTGTTTATAGTTGTTGGAACTAGATACCCTTCTATTTTCCTTTTTTTTTATTTAAATGAGATTTATTAGAAGTTTAAGAATTAGAAAAAAGAAGAAAAGAAAACAACAAAAAAATTGACAAAACATACATTACAATACATAAAAAGAAAAGCATAAAAAACAATACAATACAGCAAAAAAACAATAACATTAAAACACACATCCAATGTTCCATATCTTTATCTTTCATTTACTTGTTTCATCGACCTCCTCACACCTCCCTTTTTGTATTCTAATATAATTAATTGTTTCGGCAAATTCTTTCCATCTTTCTCAATTTTTGTTATATAATTTATCTCAATGATCTAACCTATTAATTACCTTAATTTATTTAACCTTATCTTACCATAAAAAAACCTTAAAACTTAAAATTTAATACTTATTTGTACATGACTCCTTATATCATTTCTACTAAAGCCAAATAGTTTCATTCCAACATTTTTCCTAATACTCATTAATTTTACACTAATTCTCAAAATAATTTTTTAAAAAACTTTCTTCCAATCTTCATCCAACATCTCTTCTTCCTGGTCTTGGGTTTTGTCAGTCCTTCTTGTCCATTCCATCTAGTCCATCAACCTGGTGATCTTATGTCCGAGGCTCTTAAGTCTTTTCCATGTCCCTTCTGCAGATCTTCTTGTTGTTTATACCTGCACTTTACTTTGTCTTTTGTTGATCTTTTTCTTAATTTCTTTCCTTTCTCATTGGGGGGTAGGTCTTGGGAGGACTCCAATCCAAAAATATCTCCATCTCCCCTCAGCAGATCAGCCCATTCCCCACAGTCCCATTCCCCACAGTCAACACTGTAATCCAGAAAGTATTTAAAAGCATGTTTCAAAGTCCTTCCAAAATTAAGAGCCCTCACAACTCCAGACCCCCCCTGGTCCACTCCAGATTCAAACTTCAAGAACAGTGGCTTATGCTCCTGCAAGGCCTCGAGTCTCTCCATTTGTGTTACTTGAGGTTCAACAGCAACCTCCTCCATTATCTTCTGCACTTGCACTTGCCCTGTCAAAACAGGTTCCTGGATTGGTTCCTGAATGGTTTCTATATGGGTATTCACCGTTTGTCCAAAGTTTTTAACTGCAACAGTCATCAAATCCATCTTCTCATGCATCTGCTCCAGCAAAGCGCTTGTCTTGCAAAAAGCAAGCACCAAAACTTCTTCTAAACACATTTTTATTCAAGGTCAGAGTCTGGTCTCACGATCCTAATCTTCACAGCTGTGAAATCCCCAGATCGACTCCAGCAACAATTTAACAAGCTCCCTCTAGAGGAGACAATTTCTATTTGTATCCATCTTTTGAAAGCAGGACCAACAAAAGAAAATTACTTTCATTTTTCAAATATTTTGTTTCTTTTGAATGCAAAAGGCAACATTGGAATCAGTTTGTTTCTCTTTTTTAACTATCTGTCAAAAGACGTTCCATTCACAGTCAATGAACTTCCCCATAAATTTCTGTCTCTGACACCCCGTTCCCAGGTTTGAGACGGTGGAAATTTATCTTTCTTTACTCTCTCTCCTGCAGGCTTGAACAGTCAAAAGTCCCCCCCCCCTTTTCTTCTGCTTCCAAGAGGGGTTTTGGTGGTAATAACTGAAGGAAATTTAGACCTTTATATACGATTTTCCAGACTTTAGCTTGCAAAGTTTTTGCTTCAATCTATTTACAAAAACAGGAGGCGGACTTCCTGTTTAGAACCTTCCCGCTTCAGTGCCAAATTAAAATGTTTCTTAATCCAATTTTCCGTTCTACTCACGGGTACATGTTTAGAGTCCAATTGTCCGGCAACGGCTGTGCGGCTTCACTCCGTAAAAGTAGCGGTTGATTCAAAACACCGCGCCACTCACCCCGCGTCGCTTTGGATCCCCGAAAAAGGGTTTCCCTGCGAGTAGGGGAGGCACTCCTGGTGTCAGCCGAATCCCACGTTCCCAGGCTTCCTCCGCCTGGGATTTTTAAAGGGTCTCCGCCTTCGCCGCGGCGGCAAGACCTGATTTTCACGGAGCGGGTTCCTCTCGGCCAGAGGAACTCCGCCATTGCCGATGGCGCTAACCCGGAAGTCAATACCCTTCTATTTTCCCTTCATTTTGTGGGAACAGCCTCCGTCATTGGGTTGTTCCATCCTTGGAATGAGGCAGCTGAATGTACACGTATGCCAAGAAACCATACTCCTCCAATGAAAGAGATAGGTGTCAGCTACACTGCCTTGTGGATTACCAACCTTTTGGTTCCAAAGATGGTTGGACAGCACTTTGTATGCCTCCTTCTGGCAGCTCCTGCAGTCAAGCTGGTGCCAAATATATTGCGCTGCTTTCCTTTGGACTACATCAGCGAGTCTGAGAGGAGGGTCTTGTTGTTTGAGTAGCCCAGGGCCTCTATGCACAGCCCAGGCTTGTGCCCCACGGAGGTCACTTTGTTGCTGCTAATGCAGTGGCTTGACTTCACCCCTGAAGGCACACTCCATTGTCTCTCGAGACAGATGGATACCAACAACTAGGCAGAAGCAATCACTCCTTTCTCCCATATTTTTGTGGAACCTCTGAAAAGCATTGGTGTACATTCTTGGTGATGTCAACTTATCTTCATTTTTCTGCGGTGAAGGCACCTCTTTAAAAAGGAAAAAATGGCCAGTTTATACCTTAAATAAGTCAATAATAAATAATAATACTTGCTCCAGACTGTCCTGCTTTAGGCAGCAGGTGTGTGTGATATGTGGAGGAGGAATTGTATATTTAAAAAAAACAAAACACCTGCACATGGAATGCTAACATGCCAGTGAAAAGTGTTCAGTGCTTTCCATTAGAAATGTTATTTTTCTATACATATACAGAGAGGTTCCCCCTTATTGCCGGCATCCGTCTGTCTCGGGAGACTACGGAAAAGTGTACCTTCGGGGGTAAAGTCAAACTGTTGGAGAGTTACAGTGCCAGCTATGGTTGTTGAGAAGGGAGAGACGTATTTTATTGCTGTTGAGGTAGATGAAGGCGTTTGGTTTTGCTTCTACAGGTGCAGCATGACGTTTTTTCTCTCTGCACTCCTCCCAGCAGTCATTCCTCTTCTGGTCTTCATGGGGGTTATTGACCTCCCCCGAAACAGGAAGTACAACAGTCCTAGAAAAATATTAGCACTCAGTTTTGAAACGGGCATAAGATGGCCAAAGGATTCAAAATAAATCTATTTCAAAAGTGCCAATGGGAAGAGATTGCACCCACCATTTGGGTTTGGGGTCTAAGCTGTAGTACAGGCATAGGCAAACTCGGCCCTCCAGATGTTTTGGGACTACAAATCCCATCATCCCTGACCACTGGTCCTGTTAGCTAGGGATCATGGGAGTTGTAGTCCCAAAACATCTGGAGGGTCAAAGGGGGAAGCAGGATGAAAGAACCAAGGAAGCTGCTGCAGGGCAGGAGGGAGGAACTCGTGGTCCTCTAGAGTTGCTGGACCCCAAACTCCCATCAGCCCTAGCCAGTAAGAGATTATGGGAGCTGAAGTCCACTAACAACTACAGGGCCACAGGCTCCCCACCACTACTGAAAGATAAAGAGCAAGAAATTGTAAGATACTGGAAGTGATCCTGGATATAACTGGAATGTGAATAGAATTACTTACATTTTATAAGAAGTCTGCTTTAGGGATAAGGATAGGAAATGCACCTCAGGTGATATGTTTGCTAAAGAAGCCTTTCTTTTCCATGACAACTTTCCATAGGAATGTTCGTTAATATTCTCAAAAAGAGTTTGATTTCATCTACATAGTTAGCTACAGAGCATTTGATGTGTTGCAATTGCATGATGACTTTTCATATTGTGAAAAGCACGTTCAAGGCTGTGTAAAATTGTTGGGGGGGGGAAGGTTGCACATAGACTAGGTACAGCATTTGTACCTGCTGTTCTGGCAGGATTTTGTTCCTTTTTGAATTGCTTTGTGGAACATATTTCTTAAAAGCATTGTGAAGAATTAAAACTTTCAAATTTCATGAGGAGTCATTTGGTGTATCAAACGCACTGCAAAGTAACAGACTCTCAGACAGGAGAGAAATAATAAGAAGGCTAGTATGTAGGTATAATTTGTTTAATTTGCATTAAAAAAAACATCTTCATCACACCAATCAATTTTGTTTTCCCCAAGGCTGTGTATTCTACCTTTCCAGAAACCACACTGCTCAGCTCAGCAGAATCGTAAGTGTGCATGTTGGCCCCTACCATAAGGCAAGATGAGGTGGTCTACTTTAAGTACAATGGATGAGCAACAAACAACTTGTTTTTAGGAGGGCACTGTATCATACTACACTTTGTAATCATGTTTCTAATCAGCAAAACATGAGCATAATCTCCCACACAGAAGGTTTAAAGAATCAATTTCAAATAGGTCAGTCTAGAAAGTAATATGAAACTGAAAATGACTTATATAGCATATGCTCCAGGAACAGTTGGTTTCTTGCACTGTTTCAAGGACTGTCTGAAGCTGGGATATAGGCACAAGCCTGTTCCTGGATTAGCCCTAATTGTAAGGAAAAATAGAAAGAATATGCCTTGCTGCCCAAATCCCTGACTGTAATCCTCTCCAGTGTATAGTTGCTGTTAATACCAGATGCATAGTGGTGAAATCAAATTAAAGCACCATGTTCAGGATGAAATGAATTATTAAACTTATGCATATGCTTCTGTGGTGCAACAAATGATAGGAAACAAATGTTCCAAATGAAGTATTTTGACATATGAGGTGTTTTAATGTGCTTGGCTCTTCAGAGATTCTACAACAGCCTCTCAGGAACAAGCCTTAGTCCCAGTGTGTGGCGAGCTAATCCCAACTGTTAGGGAGAAGTCAGATGAAAACTTGTTTGAAATCCTGCTTCACAGGTCAGGAACTACTGGGAACTACTGCAGTTGTCACAGACAGTTTTGACAAGAATGTGATTTGTGCCTCGCTGTTGGAACTCCTTTGTAAGATTTATGCTGTGGAAAAACTTTCCTGCCATATTGGGTTATGTGGCCTTATAGAGAATTTTACCTTGAAGTAGATTCCCTTCCTTTCCATATATATATATATATACATATATATATATATATATATATATATCTCACACCTTTAGCAGATTTCTTACAGCTGCTGTCTAGATCGACGCAGAGCTAGAATTCAGCAGCAGAAGACACTGTGACCCCATACACTGTGAGTGTTGTGAATACTAAAGGGGATCACTTTCAGACCCAAGTAGGGTACCTTTCCTCCACTACTGAGTAACCATGCTTAGCCCCACATATTTGAATTTAGGACTAAGGGTTCCCAGGCAGTTAGGTTCGCTTCAAGGCAAACTATACTGTAGTTGCCTGTTCTTCATGTTCTCTGGACAGTCTCAATATACGCTCTAAATCTGTACAGTCCTACTTGGGTAACATCTAAAGCTAGATAGGTTAATGTGCCCTCCAGCTCCATGCACACATCCAAGTTCCTGCTCATTTCTCTCTTGAGCGCTGCAGTAGGGTCACTTTGGGATTCCTCACTGCACACAGCTGGAGTAGAAAAAAAGCCTGTCTTCTAATTTGTTTATTTAACAAATTTATAAACCAGAGTCTGAATCCATCCAGGTGGTGTGGGGTATTTATCTGCTCTAACTTTCGTTAAGTTTTCCCATTCTTCTTAGTATCCATTTATTCTACTCAGTTTCCAAGCACATCTTGGCCACTCCTTTTTGCTTCCCTTCTAGCCTTTGATTCAGAAAATCAAGTTACCATATTTTTCGCTCTATATGACACACCAGACCACAAGGTGCATCTAGTTTTTGGAGGAGGAAAACAAGAAAAAAAAATATTCTGAATCTCAGAAGCCAGAACAGCAAGAGGGATCGCTGTGCAGTGAAAGCAGCAATCCCTCTTGCTGTTTTGGCTTCAGCGATAGCTGCGCAGCCTGCATTCGCTCCATAAGACGCACACACATTTCCCCTTACTTTTTAGGAGGGAAAAGGGGAGTCTTAAAGAGCAAAAAATACGGTATTTAGAAAGTGTTCCTCTGGTGGGAGTAAACGTCTACTGGGCAGGCACTGTTTATGCCTTGTTTGTCCAGAAGATGGCTGTCTTATTGACTTCAGCCACCCCAGTCTTTAGGAATCAAGTACTAGAGCCTCATGCCTGTGGGCTCTTTGGGGGAATGCTCTGGAGTGGCAGATGGTGTTGCGACCTGTGGTCTCCAAGCCATAGACTAACTGCTCAACACCAGCTCCATCAAACACTGTGACTTAGCCACTGTTCTATTCTCTGGAGTAGCAGACTTCCTCCAGGGATGCTTTTGATACTGGCAGACTTCCCCAGCAGCTTAGGGCAGAGCTTTCCAAACTTGTTGGTGACACACTTTTAAAGTCATGCATCATTTCGCAACACAGTCATTCAGTTTTACTAGCAAACCTGAAGTTAAACTAACCCCTTTCCAGCCCTGGAGGAGTGTGGGGAGCGTTCACGCAACACACCTGCACATTGCAGCCGACACACTACACACAGTTTGGAAATCTCCGACTTAGGGGCTTAGTGGTAGTTGTCCAATGGCCTGCCAAACGTCTATCACTAAGTGACATAGCTTTTTGAACTTGTCTCTAAAAAGACGTGGAGAAATGAAATGCACTACCTACTTCCTGACAAGAATCTCAGTAACTTACAACACAAGAAGGCAACTATACCAACATGGGCTGCAGTACTTGACACCTCCTATCCAGTGCTGAAGTTTGCTGCTTGGTCTCCACAACTTCCCTTGGCAGGGGGAGTTCCTCCCCTTTTGCTCCTGTTATGCATGGTCCAAGCAAGGGTGAGGTCATAGTGGGTGGATCCTCACAACTTGTTCTGGAGTCTTTGTCCCCCCCACCAGTGATGGTAATACAAGACATGTCCAGGTGGGGAACACCCTCCAGTGGCCCTCACATAAACACTGCATGGTCTCCCGCAGAGAGAAAGCTGCACATAATTGTTCTTATATTCCTGGCAGTATGAGTGTTTCACACTTTTTACTACCCTGTTCCCAGGTGGCCACAGTAAAATAGGTGCAGTCTACAATATAAAGTGGCAGGGTGGTTCAATGTTGCACACCCTGCTCCACCTTGCTGTTCTTTGGAGATTCTGCTGCCTTATCTGAAAACCACAACTGCTTCCATCAACTTTCCCAACTCTACCCAATGACCGTTTCTCCTCTTTGCTTTTGTCTCCTTATCACCACCCCCTCCAAAACTTGTTAACTTGGAACGGGTTTGTTGACGTTGGTGGTATGAAATTATCCCACAGGAATAAGAACAGCACAATGTCCTCTCTCCACACAGGTTTCTGGTCTCATCCAGCTGCCTCTTACTGCACATCCTTTGGAATCTGGTTCTTCTAGGGCTCCCTGCATTCATTGCACTGCTTGCAGTGTCCTTCTTAGTGCTACCATTCAACCAACAACCTGCCTGGGCTGAATCCAAGGGATGCTCTTGGCCTCAGTTGCAACTGCAGTACCTACAGCCACCACCTACCTAACACCATTCCCTTTCCTAGTTTGTGGAGAGGAAAGGAAGCTGCTAAGAAGTCCTGATGCAAGACAGATAAAAGAACCTGTAAAAAATAAATGGAGTGAACCACTTTTAAGTTTAATCTTCGTGTGGACACAACATTCACAGTTTTTTTTTGCCAAGTCTGTGGGACATTCAGACAGCTCATTGCTCCCACCTAATAGATGATAAACACTCTGTTGACCGGGATCTAACATTCCAGTATTTTTGTGACTTGTGAAAAAAAGTAGACTATTGTCCATTTTCAAATGTTGCATTTTTAGGCATCTTTAAGAGAAGCCTCTTCAGCCTAATAAAAATCACGTTCAGGAAAAGCAAAAGGTCTTCTTTCATATAAACAAAAGTGCAGGTGAGGAGTTTGGCTAAAGGCAATGGGGCTGTTTTCTAGAACAGGCCCATTTAACCACAGTATTAGGCCCACAAACAATTTTGAAGGTGTGTTAGGAGGCATCTGCACAGGCATGGAATGCTTTTACTGTGCATCCTGAGAATGTTTGAATTTCTGAAAATCTCAAATCCCTTCTAAAATGTAGCCCTCCTTGTTGTAAGGATGGCATGAATAGCTATGCAGTGTCTCCCCTATCATGAGGTGCCTGGCCCCTCTCCTCTGCAGCCTCCAGTCATATTCCTATCCATTTGTTAGCCTTCTAAGGAGTGCCTACCCTCAAGAATTAGCTCACCCTAGGCTTGCCTTACCCTGACCATTGCAATTATTTTGCAGCTGCTGCAGATTTGAACTACAAGTGATGCAGCAAACACATGATTCCCCAAATTTGCATTTGCCAGATAGGGAAGGGACAATCAGCAGGGAGGTGCTTGACTGATACACACACCCAGGCTTCACCCCTGGCTACTTTTGCAGGAGTTGGCAAGAAAGTCCAGAAATTATGGACCTTGGAGGCTTCTTATCTAAAGCCTCTCTCCATCCCCTTCCATCACAGAGAGAAGAACAGTAGCAAAACATATTATAAAAGGGGTTCCAGTATGGTTAAGACCACCGGGGGGGGGGGGGAATCCATCCAAACTCAGTAAATTCCTTTCAGAGGCAGCATCCATCAGTTAAAAAAAAAATTAAGCAAGGAACACTTTCATCTACACTACAAAAATATTTTTGCTTGAAAAGCTGTGCCCCTACCCCAACTATCCCTGAAATAGGTACTGGAGTACCTAGAAGGCCAGAAACAGAGATAACAGTCTGGTTTTCTTTTGTCATATGTTTCCAGTGATACTCATATTAAGTCAAAAGGGGGAAAAAACATAGAGAACAGAACAATAACTGAATAGCGGATAACTTGTAAAATAAATTAGGAGCTGGTTATGAAAACACAACCTGAGGTCCCAGTGGGCTGTTTCAACAAGCATGCCTATCACACTTCTTGAAGAGTTACCACATCTGCAGGATTTCTGTTGAAAAAATCATGTTCAAAAAAGTTGGATGGAAACAATAAGAACAGAACTAGATAGATGCAACCCAAATAGGTACATGTTCTTGAGAAGCACATGAGGGTGGGGGAGGGGGAGAACATCCACAAAATAGGGAGTTGAGCTAAACAAAGGCAACTCCTGGCTGAAAGGTACCATATTCTGATAGAAGGCTTTGCTGATTCTAGCACCATTGTGAACAGACAATTACAATTTCCTTGAAAGCCTCCACATGTTTTGCAGTTTCCCAAAACAATCTGTTCCAGGAAAGATAACCAGAAAACTACCATAAATCTACCACACATACCCTTTAGAAAAAGTCAGGTCTTGTAGATCAGGTAGCTTATTCACAGGTTTATTCCAAGTGGTGGCATTTATTGTACAGATCCTCAGGACCATGGAAAAAGACCAAATCAACACAGGATTCCAAGGGTGGGATTTTGGGGTGGGATGGGGGGGAAGAGAATAAGATCAAATAATGACAGAACGTAATTCCGATGGCTTATAAACACTAACAGGATAATAAATTCAGACTCTTTTCTCTCCATGCCAGCATTTAAGTACCTATATCTCAACCCATCCAAGCAACCCCAGGACTATGCAGGAGACTAAAAAAAGAGGGATGATTAAGAGACCTTTGGATCATATTCCTCCCTTCTGTTTATAAAGAGAGTCAACATCGCTATACTCCCAAGAACCAATTAGTAAAGGAGAGCAACAGAGGCAGGTTAATTTAGGACACTTCTATGGTGCAAATATTCAGCTATCTCCAACAGTTGTTTTTTCACAAACAACAGGTGCCACTGCCTTTGGATGGTGGAAGCTGTACAGCCATTTAAAATTACCTCTCATAACTTGTTGATATCTCCCCATTACCACACATTTTTTATAAAACTTGCTGAGCAAAAGTACATTTCCCCATTCATTTTAAAGTGGGAGCTGTTGCTCAGAAGTTATAACAGCCCAAATGAAAACCAGAGAGAGAGAGACCCAACTTAATACAGAATTTCACCCACCCAGGAGAAAAATAACAGCACCATCTATTTTAATAGTGGGGTGAAATATTCAGCTACGGAGAGGGTTTGGCTTTCCACATTTTCTCTTTTGGCATTCCTCATTGCCACCTTCAGCAGATCACCTTCTGTCCAAGGTTACCTTTATTCCTCTGCTAGCAAAAAGACAATGGTGCCAAGTCTATGCGGCTTCCTCTTCAGTCTCATGGAGAACCAAGGGAGGTAAAATGCTACAAAAAACAAGAAAGGCCCCTAAGGTTCTGACTGAGACACTGACTTCGTGCTATCCCTTCCATCTAACCTGCAGGATCAGTCTACACCAGGTCACACTTAGGAGTGACCTCTATAATCCTAAGGACCAGAAACAAGATGATCTTTAAAAAAAATAATAATGAAGGGGCAAGAAGCAACAGAACATCAAATGTGGTTACAAATCCTCATACTGGATGCAACGTCCCAGTTTTAAAAAATAGTAAAATAATTGACAGTAAGAACTCAAAACCACCTTCACCCTCCAGCTGAAAATGGGTGAGGGGCATGGCCATCAGAATTTATCTTGCAGCTTGGGAAAATACCCAGACTCAAAAAGGGGGGGTTTGCACTCCCAACTGTGCAACAGAGTCTCTCTTCTTCAGAGGATAATACACTTCCTTTTGGAAGATTTCTTCTTGCGCCCATTGCTGATCTTTTCCTTGTGTTTTCGGATTTCTCGCACCAGGGTGTAGAAAGCATCCTCCACTCCCTTTTTAAGACGAATGAGTATACCAAATGAAAGTAAGAAAAGACACAAACAGAAGACATCGTTAGATTTCCCATTTAAATATTAGAGGTGTCGGGGGTATTGGATTTTTATGCCGGTGATGTTTTTTCTATCCATTGCTAGTAGGCAGAAATAATATTACTTGGGAGCGGGGAGGTCGTCACGCTATTCCTGTTTACGGGATCCTTTCTCTCCCGATAAGCCCTTTCCTTCATATCAGTAAACCATTCATTCACATCTGCCTTCACTGAGAAAGGTTTTTTGGCAACTGGACACCAGCAGTAGAATGATGCCATGCTGATAACCGTCTTATCATTAAGCTGACGCAGCACGAACTAAGACAGCAGGCATTAATGACATGGCAGTTCACAAATAAGAATGGTTACCTTGTACCAATGCCATTCCTACTCCAAGTCATATAGGAGAAGAGCAACTGTGCTGGCTTATAGCGTGAATCCCGTTGTTTGGCATTTTGAGCACACAGCCAACATAAAGCAAAACTATTTGCTTTTTGTCTACATGCTGATGAACAGAAGATTTAGGCTGGAAACGCTTGACTTGGGGGAGAGGGCGCATTGATGCAGCAGATAAACTTGGGCAAGATTCAGCTGCAATTTATTCCGAAACCCGCTTGAAACACTGTCTTGAGCTATAGCTACGAAGATCAAAGACCTTTCACTTTCTCCCACAGTAAATACCATACCTGTCTGGTTTTGGCAGAGGTCTCTACAAAGGGGATTCCGTAGCTTCTGGCAAGCTCCTGGGCTTGTTTCGTATCCACCGTCCGGGAGGGCAGATCACATTTATTGCCAACAAGCACCATCGGAACATCATCGGAGTCCTTCACACGGTTGATCTGCTCCCTGGAATTACAAAGGCAACGAGTCACAAACAGGGAACAACCGCCTAGATCAGCAGCTCCCAAACTTGATTCTGGTTTGGGCCCCCTCCAAAGTAAAATATATTTGAGATTATTGGTGTTAATGAAGTATACACCAGAAGTTCAGTTTGTCCTGTGTTTTATCTGTGTGCAAAACAACTGAGGTCCAAATTAGATGTGACATACAGATGTATGCATGAGAACATAAGAAAAGCCCCGTTAGATCAGGCCAATGGCCTATCTAGTCCAGCATCCTGTTCTCACATTGGCCAGCCAGATGCCCATGGGAAGCACCCAAGCGGGGCCTGAGCACAAGAACACTCTCCCATTTTTTTTTATCTAACCCAAAAAAGGCTTAGAAAGTTCCCAAGTTTGAGTAGAGATATGGTATGGTGGGGTAGCTTAATCCCTTTCCCTTTTGCTGCTTTAAATGTCACAACTAGCTGCTTTCTTCCGGTGGGGGAGAAAAGCAGTCAACAAAAGCTATTCCAAGGAAGAGAATAGTACAAAAAAGGACTCAACTGCACCTGCCATTACCTGACCTAAAGTCACTGACTTGTTTTGCTTTGGTTGGTTGGCTTTTTTTAAAAAACACACACACACACAAATGAAGTAATACATGTGTCAGGGTAGTTTGCCCTTAAGAGACAGCCATTCTACACTTAAAAATTAGATACAGCACATCCATACACATACTTAGGAGTGGTTTGCTGCTGAAGTATGCATTCATACTTTTTTTGAAAGAGAAGTCTAGAGATGTGAAGGCCTGGCAAAAACCCAGAAAAATTAAAAGAACACATTGGTGTTTGCTGGTTTTTCTGAAGTTTGTTTTGCTTTAAAAAAAACCAAAACTTCAAAATATTTTCTTTTAGACTAAGGAACAGAATATTTAATACTCAGATGTTCATATATTTACCTCCCCCAAAATAATTTCTAAAATTGTGTAACAGGGAGACTTTTATGTACGACTACAGCAGATCATTACAGTTCCTGTACACTGAGGACAAGCAAGCCCTGAGTTGTACACTGAGTACAACTTTCAAATGCAAGAGCATGAGGAAGGATTCAATACTGTCTTTGTGGCTTTCCCCTTGTTGGCATACTTGGTGGATCTGTTTCTGCTCTCACTAGGCCTCAAAGGACTGGGAGTGGGAGAAAGTATAGAGCAAGAGCAACATAATTTTGTTGACATCCAATTCACGCTGCTACAGATTTGTTAGATTCAAGGGCAGAAGCATCAGTGATGATACCACTGCTTCTACATTTGCCTAGATGACAACACAAGCAGCACACTTAGGGCTTGATGCTGAAAAGGTACTTTCCAGTGTTGCAGAGTATAGAGCATATTCAGGTACTTAGCTCAGGAAAATGCAGTCTGGGATTCCTCCAAGCATATCATTCCTGCCACATGGTGACAAAGATCTTTGCACAATGCAGCCTCCGACTCCTCTTCTTACCTACTTCAGATTCTTCCACCTTCTGCTGCAAGTCTTGCCCGCCTGCCCAATGTGATGGGGGGCGAGCCAAAAAGGGGCTTTGCAGGCCCTGCCAATTGACAGTGCCTGCAAAGCTCCATTGCGTAGTGCTTCCCAGCTAGTTGTCAGGTACTTGGGAATCACAGCACAAAGCCCTCTGCAAGGTCTGTGCCTGGCACCTCCAAAACAATAAGCTTAGGGCTTGCAAAGTTTCTGAAGCACCCAAACTCCAGCTGGTTCTCAGGCAATTGGCATGTGCTGCGAGAGATGTCAGGTGCTGATGGATGGGGTGTCCCACCCACCTGACAAAGGTGATTTGCAGGGGTAGGGGGAGATGGGGACTAGGCCAAAACAGTTCTCCACCCCTGCTATACAGGGAGGAAAACAGATGGAGGACAGAGAGAAGCCAGCTGCCCACACACCTGTAGTGGTGAACATCTTCGAAAGACTTTGTGTTGTTGATTGCAAAGACACAGAGGAAGCCTTCTCCTGTCCTCATGTACTGGTCACGCATAGCACTGTACTCCTCTTGCCCAGCTGTGTCCAAGATATCCAAGAGACACGTCTCTCCATCGATTACCACTTGCTTCCGGTATGAATCCTGGGGTTCAGAAGCACCAAGAGGAGCAAGAGTGAAAGAAAAAATGTTAACAAGTGACATGGGAAACATGGGTGTAAAGCACAGCAACAGAAAGCCAGCAAGGAGGCAGTTGGAAACAATTGGTTCAAGCCAAAATTCAGGAAAGAAATGGACCCAATCTTGGACATGATAAAAAGATTGTAGATGCCTCTACAAAGAATGGAGAGCTACAGAGGGAGACAAAGTGATGGAAAGAGGACTAGTGTTTTAGAAGCCCAGAAAAGAGATGTTATAGTCCATAGCTTTGGAGATGGCAGGCAGGTCAGGAATATAAGGACTCGGAAAAGGCATACAAATGGGGCCATGCAGAAGTTGCTGCCAATATTATAAAGTTCACATACCTCTATAGTGGGATCATACTCGTCCACAAAGTGATTCTGAATCAACTGTATAGTCAATGCACTCTTCCCAACACCACCAGCACCCACCACCACCAGTTTGTATTCTGTCATCTCTGCTGGGTTCCAGAGCAAGCTGCACAAAGAAAAAGAAAGTAGAATCAATCTCTAGCAGAAGACACAGTGTCAGTTCCCCTCTGTGCTACCAAGAATTTGCATGAGTTTTGGCCACATCTTCCTAGATATTTGCTCCTAGCCAGATTGCTACGTCCATTCTATTTGCAGGAAATCCTTTCAACACTTTCCCCAAAAGCAGCACTCTGAATTGGTCAATCTAACTAGAATTCTTGCTTTTTCTAGGTAGATGAATGTCAGGTCACTTTATCATGAAGCTGGGATTGGTGTTAATTGACTCCTCATACAGCTGCTAGAGAAATCGCAGACAGTAGGACTTCAAGTGTCAGGCATGCTTATGGCTGCCAGCTTTTACCACCACCACCATCACCCTGCAACCAAAAAATCAACAACAACAACCCTGGACGGGGCCACAAAGGAACTGGAAGAGGAGCTACACAGCTCAAAAAATATATGGTGGATCAGAGGATTCAACTTCGCAGGTTTTTATTGTTCATTTATACAGCATCAACTAAGCACACAAGACTTTTAGCAAAGTGTCTCTGTCTCAAAGAGCTTACAAAATAAAACCTGAGAAAGGAGAGGATATGGAAGTAGGGAGGCATATGCATTTGTTTCAGTTACATGTAACCTGGTTACTACAGCAGGATGTGGGAACTAAAGGGTTGCAGTAAAGCCTTCTCAAGGGTCCTGGATTATGGGTGGTGTCTGGTGGAATTGAGAGCTGAGACTCTGGTCACTTGATAGAACACAGCTTCGCTTGCTGCCTGCCTGCCTGCCTGCCTGCCCCAGTACTTCCTGCAACTTAATGATACAGCATTTGCCTTGCATGCAAAGGGTCCTGGGTTCAATCACTGGCATCTCCAGGTAGAACCCTGTCTGAAGCCTTTGAGAGCTGCTGCCAGTCAATGCTGATAGCTGTAAACCAGACAAAACAGAAGCCAGCTTCCTATGTTCTTAGGCAGGCTGAATCAGTACATCTGATCCACACCAACCATGCAGGATCCCTGCCCATCCCCACAACGACTGTTGCTCGTTTCAACAGAAGTTCGAGAAGTAGCAGGTTCAGTTCAAACTTTGGACTCTCTTTGCCATTTCTGCGGTCCACCAGGGAAGGTGCGTCCGGCTAGAGGCCTACATCCTGAGATTTCTACTCCTTGCTACAACTCCACACACACACCCCGCCCGCCCGCGCGCAATATTATAGGGGTGCATTTGCTGGCCTCACTGCCAAGCAACCCCAGTTCTGTGGAACGCAACCCAACCCACCCAATCGCTCCATGCAAGCAAAAGTCAAGATTCCTCCGTCAGATGCGGCCCACCTGGGGGAAGAAGCAGGAAGGGATCGCGGACGCTGGCCAAGGAAGAGGGGGGATGCGGGCACTAACCACGCACGTGGGAAACCCGGGACGAGGCAGAAGGCTGGGGCTTGAGGGGAAGAGGCTGCCCGGGAGGAAAGAGGCGGCGGCGGGGATGGGTGGAGCCAGTCCCGGGCTCCCTCGGTCGGTATTGCAACACGCCTCGCGCAGCTGCCAGCCCTCTTTCTGCCCTCGTCCTCCCGCAGGCAGGCAGGCAGGCATCTGCCCTCCCGGAGCCCTACCCCGGCTGCGCGCGCAGAAGCAGCCACCTTGCCATGTTTATGCACCGCTTTTGCTAAGCAGGTGCCCCACCCTGGCGCAACCCCACAATGGCTGCGCGCCTCCAGGGGCCGCGGACCCAGCGCCGACCCGGCGGCCCTTGCAGAAGGGAAGCCCCCCCCCCCCCGCCGCGCCCTGCCCTCTCGCCCTCCGCTGCCCTTCCAAGCTCCCCCCCCGCCCTGCATCCCCATTGGGGGGGCTGCTGTCAATCACCCGCCCCCTCGCCTCTTGGCACTCACCCGCCCTACGGGGAGGGGGAAGACGGGCTCGGGGTCTCAGGCACCCCCCATGCGGGAGGGAAGGGGGGCCAGCGGCGGCGGCGGCGGCGCGCGCTCTCAGGGCCCTGGGCCGGCAGCGGAAAACCCCTCCCTCCGCAGCCTGACAGCTCCCCTCCGCGCCCCGCCGGGCTGAGCCGCCCGGCCAATAAGAGCGCGCCGCCGCCCCGGATTGGCCAATCGGAGTCGGGTGGCGCCATAGAGTCGAGGGGAATGGGTGCGGCTAGAGAAGCTGCCGGATGGGCTGGAGGACTTGGGCGGCGACGGGAGGGAAGAGCGTCCGCCGGAGGTTGGCATGGACGGGCTTGCGGGAGGCGGAGCGGGTGAGATTTAAAGGGCCAGCGCCTCCCCCCCCCCCGCGCTCTCTGTTTCTCTGCCTCCCCGGGGAGGCTCTGTGGATTCAGGCAAATTTGACGGCTGGCGCTGCAGGTTGGCTAGGGAGTAGCCCCATGGATTTAACAGAGGCGGCGTTGTGTCGGGATAGCTGGGCGGTGGGCATGTGCAGAATCATAGAACTGTGGCGTCGGAAGGGACCCCGAGGGTCATCTAGTCCAACCCCCTGCAATGCAGGAATCTTTTGGCCACTCATGCTCTAACGACTGAGTTATCCAAAGGGAAGCAGGTTAGACTTTGGAGAGCTTACCTCTGCTTATTTGGGCTTGAATAGAGACCGTGGGTTCCTTTCCTGCTGCGGATCCTCATTAAAACACCCTTGTTATTTATCCCATCACTGCTCAGGGCTGCTGCAAAAGGGCCGCTTCGCTTATTTCGCAGACACTCCTGCTCCAACTGAATTGTCGTCCCTTCTCTTGCATTTCATTTCCCCTTGAGTCCGCGGCTTAACATACCCACCCTAAAAACTACGTGTCTGTATCCCTGCAACAAAGGATTGTACTTTATGCATCTGATGATGGAAGTGACTCTGAGTCCACAAATAAAGATGTATTGCCTTAGACCAGGAGCAGGCAGGCTGCAGACTTGGCATAACTATGTTTTGTTTTGAACTAGAACATCAGGATCTGCCAGCCAGAAGAAGGTGAGGAATGATGGCATAGAGGACTCATGCACACTTTGAACCAAGTGCCAGGGTGCCCCTGGGCACATTTCAGTCCTGGAATTTGTTTTCTGACCCAGAACTGGATCACACAGTCCTTTCAAATGCAAATAGTACCTGATTCCCCATCCCCAAGTTTTCTTAATTTCAGCGATTTATTTCGGAGAAGGGATGGGAGGAGATGTTTTGCTGCTGCTGTCATTAAACTCTTGGGAATCAGAAATGCCTGTCGATCATCCTGAGATCTACCAGCAAATCTTGACCTACCTTCTCCTCATCCCTGCCTCTTGCCCTGCCAGGGCCAGAGGGCAGCCAGGGCCCCCCAAACCAGCAGAAGGACCGTTGTTGCCCTAACAATGCTATCATTTTGACTTGGCACAAAGTATCTAAGACGATTAGATGTAGCCTGCAGTTGCATCCAGATGACCTATTTACTGAGCGTTCATCCTGATTTGTTTGCAGAGTTTATGGAGAGGCTAGGCGACAATGGCTGTTCATTGAGCATCGATTCTGATCTGTATGTGAGGACGTTATGCGACGTGTCAGACAATTGTTCTCCCGTACCTTCTGATGAATTTCCTCTTCATTTTTCACAAAAAGTCTGCTCTTTTGGGGGAAGCGGGTTTGTTGTTCAAGACCTCCAAATCTACTTCGATTGGACAACCTGAATTGGTCACTGTGGGATGGAACCCCACCTTGCATATAGCAACAGTTCTGAAGTGCCCTAAGAGAACTCCCAGTTTGCATGTCCCACCTCTTCCAGGTTACAGGGGGCCAAACTGAAATCCTGGAGCCAGCACTGGCCTTGGAGATACATGAAGCCATGTGGGAGTGGGGGAGACCAGGGCTTTGGGCTATAGGGCTTATCCTAGCTGCACAGCAGCTGGGAGAACAACATTGTGATCCAGTTATTAAGAGCACAGTCATCTTACTAAGAGCAGAGTGGCGCAATGTGTTTGCTTTCACAGTTTGCATGAACAAAGCCCCTACACACACACACACACACACACACACACACACCAGTAGTGTACCATGGGTGTAGGCAGAGAGGGTCAGCTGCCTCCAATCAATAAAAATCAGTAAAACACATGGCTAACTGAAGTTCTGCCCCCCACAAAGGCCTGTCCCCCAACAAAAATCTTGGCTATGCAGTGGTGATGCCTTAGTGCACATTGATGCGCTTTGATAATGCACATTAACAGCAAGAATGGCTTGGCTGAATCTCTCCCTCCAGCTTTTCATTTTTCAGTTCTATTAGGCCACAAAGGTAACATTTTGGATGGGTGCTAGGAAACTCATTTCTAAGCTCCTTCCCGAAACATGGTTGGCAATCAACAAATGGCCCTGCGAACCCAAGAGTCCTGGATGCCACCCTGAGAATCTTGATAATCTACTTCAGTGCTCCTTTCAAACCACCAGCCGTTACAAACAAGCAGTGAAAAATGGATGTACGCAAATATGCTTTTTACATGTTACAAGAAGAGGCCTCGAGTGCCTCTTTGCATCTTTTGATGACCTATTAGCTTCTGACAAATCAGTTCTATATTGGGTACCACTCCCCTCCCAGAGCAGCCTGAAATCCTGATGTATTGCAGATGCCTCTTCTTTCCCGAAAGGTCATCAAGATCTCTAATGGGGCCATTAGGCTGAAGGGCCCCATGTGCACTTAAAGCAGGCCAGATGCAGATGAAAGTCCTTGTCCTAAAGCCCACCAGGGTACCAATTAGATTCAGAGGGCGAACTGTGGACGGAAAATTACAGGATGCTGTGAAAAAGAGGACTTGGGCAGGTGTGTCATTTAATGCATTAAATTGTGCTGGAAAGAAATCTTAAGTAGTAGCTGGGGTGGCATTTGCCTCCCATATTCCCCTGCATCAGTTTTTAGATAGGAAACTGCAACAGGACACAGGAGTGCTTATTTTTGTTCAAATAATATGTAAAGCAGCCTTCCCAATCCCCAGCCAGGTGGTGCCCTCTGTATGGCTTTGAGCTGATGGGATTTGTAGTCCGGAGGACACCTGCAGCTTGGGGAAGCCAGCTTGAAGCATCACAAATGCCGATGACACTGTTGTTGTTGTTAAGCATATACGATGCTTCAAGCAGGCTTCCCCAACATGCCAGTGTCCTCCAAAGGCTTTAGACTACAAATCCCATCAAACCCAACCATACAGAGGACACCACCTGGTCAGGGAAGGCTACTTTACAGTATTATAACAAATACTGGCTAGGAGCAGGATCCCTGAGGTCCCTGGAGATGGAGCAAGGCTCATTTGGGAACAGGGTTGCCCATTTTTATAATAGGCCCTGTTCCAGGCCTTTAAAAGCAGTCTGAATGTTCAAAGATCTGTCCACCCTCTCCCCTAGCATGAAGCTAATGTAGTGGAGAATTAAAACTTTATTTGTATGTGTCCGACTGCTGCAGAAGGCAGGGTGGATAGGCCTATTGGGGGAGAAGAAGTTGGACGCCCTCGCTGGGAGTTTCAGCTGCTGATTTCTTTAGGGCTTCTGGAGTGAAATTTGGCCAAGAGAGCTGGAGAGTTTGGGTCTGCTGCAGTAGAATCTGTCTTGAAGGGACTGTTCCCATATGAGCCTGCCTGAGCCCGTTATTCAGAAATGAGATGGGTGTGGAGGTGACAAGGGATAGTTTGGGATCTTTTAAGAACATAAACAGAGCCTGCTGGGACATGCCATGTCTGTGGGAAGGCTGCAAGCAGGAGTGGTATTCAGGGTCACACTGCCTCTGAGGGCTTGTCCACATTTTGGTTTGCCCTGTGGTGTTTTCTTCCACTTGTTCTAGACACGGGTCTGAGAGGCTTTTCATTTGTCCCACTGCTTTCCCCCAGAGAAGCCGCTGTGAACTGCTGAATCGAAACAAATGCCAGTCTGCAAGAAACCTGACTGACGTTTGTTCCAATTCTGTGGTAAACTGCGGGTTTCCCCTGGGAATGGGGCAGGGCAAACAAAGAACCTCTCAGACTTGTGCCTAGAAAGCCCATGGCAAGCGGCAGTGTGGATGAGCCCTGACAGTGGCTGTAGAATATTTTCTGTCATAGGAGCCAACTCCTAGGGGCTTCAGCCCCCACAATAAAATATTTGAGGCCCACAAAGTTGATGGGCATTCCCGTTCAAATGGTGTGTGTGCACTGTATCATGTGATCAATTATGTGGGGTCGGCCTTACCTGGGCCCCCACAATATTATACAGTCATACCTCTGGTTACAGACGCTTTAGGTTGCGTTTTTTGGGGTTACGGACCCGCCGAAACCCAGAAGTACCAGAACGAGTTACTTCCGGGATTTGGCGGTCGCACATGCGCAGAAGTGCTAAATCGTGCTTTGTTCATGTGCAGAAGTGCCAAATCGCAACCTGCGTGTGCGTAGACGTGGAGCTGCAGGTTGCGAACATGCCTCCTGCACAGATCATGTTCGCAACCTGCGCATCCACTGTATTCAAGTTTGCACCCCTGTTGTCTGTGGTAGCGCCTCATCTCTTGAATTGCCTCACCAGAACAATTCACCCTGTGCCAGTGCTAATAACATTTGGGCCTAAGCTCCAAACTTTGCTTCCCTCCACCCCAGGATTTAATGTTAGATTGACTGAAGCTTGCCCAGCAATCTCTGTTTTATTGTGATATTTTAGAGCAATTGATTTTAATGCCTCGTTTTGGAAGCCGACCTTACAACACAATGTGGGGTGAACGTGTTTTAAATAAAATCCAGTAATAATGAACACACACCAACCCTCCAGAGTTGGCCTCCTTGGAGCTAGATCTCTGGATTTCTCTCAAAGATGGGACTGTTTAGAAAAGCACTGCAGCGGGAATAGTGTACACAGGTGAAGTGGCTGTAATATCTATGAGTTCTCTGAGAGGGCAGCAAGATTAGAGAAGAGGCAGCAGGGCACAGAGTTCTCTGGCCTCAAAAACAGGAAGGCCTCTTGGCAGGTGTCTACTTCTTGCATGGTTGACCACCCTCCTCCAATTCACTTTGAGGAGTCAATTAGCTCTAATTACCCCCCACCCCAATGTTCCATCAATTTTCTGACAAAGGATGTGAATAAATTGCGCATTAAAAGAGATTAGTACATCTCTCTCTCTCTGTTCCCCATTCAGCTGGGTTTCTGGGGGCCATTACGGTCAATTACACATACGTTCCCGCCAACCCGTGTCTTTTGTCTATGGAGTAATGACGCAACCCAACCTGTGCCTTCCCCCTCTATAAATCCTGGGTCCCCTACTTTGTGGGGAATCAGACATCCAGCGGCTCCTGACAGGTTTCAAGGTATGAATTCCTTAAAATCTATGATGGAGGTTTGGGATTTAGGGTGTTAGTTTGGGGGTGTGGGGTAGGACACCAGCTGACAGACTGTTAAGAGAGTTTAAATGGAGCAAGCTTGTTTTCTGCTGCTTCAAGAGGGTGCGACTCAGACAGATGGATTCAAATATAAGAAAGGAGATTCCGACTGAACCTTCCTGACAGTAAGAGCGTTTCGACAGTGGGACAGTCTCCCTCAGAAGGTGCTGGACTCTCCTGCATTGCAGGACTAGATGACCCAATTCTCCAGTTCCATGAAATAGGGCACAGCAGGGGTGTCACTGTTTTTTGCTCCAACGGGGTAGGCAGAAATTCAACAGGTTTTTTTTGTTTATGCACTAATTTTGTTTTTTGTATCCTTAAATTTTTTTGGGGGGAAATTTTTGTTGTTATTTTCTGAAAATTCAATAAATATTAACTATTAAAAAAAAAAAAAAAGAAATTCAACAGGTTCAGTTTTTTGTGGCCTAAAGCAGTGACAGAAATGTCTCCACCTGTTGAATTTATGGTTGTTATGCAGGTGTTAAGGGGAACAGGAGCCCTGTCAGGGAAGATATGGCACGCATGTACCACATTTCATGTGCCTGCATCTTAAAAGCATTGTGAAGTCGTCACTGTTTGAGAGGGTTGTGGGTTATTAGGGGCTCGAGGTCACGATGCGGCTGGGCTTTGAGCTGAAGAGAAGAGGCCTGCAGCTCAGTTATCTTTTGGGCAGGTACCATCCAGCGCAGTGCCAGAGCGCATGCAGACCATGGGGTGCTGCCTTATTCTGAGACCAGCCTCTTTGGGCCTCTGGCTTAGTGCAAATACTCTGACTTGCATCTGACCCTTCAAATGGCCGTGCTTGTGGAGGGATTGAATCTGGGAACATTGCATACAAAGCATCTCCTCTGGCAATGGCTATTGGCAGTCTTGCTTTGTGGATTTGCTGAGAGCATCATTCAGTGGGTGGGGTTGGAAAGAAGATGAGGAGTGTGTGTGTTTGTGTAAGCAGACAGCGCACTTTTTCAAAGGCTTGAAATTACACTCATGATGCACCCTTGGTGCGCACTTGTATCCCGCCACAGACCATAGCCACTGTGTGACTAGTGACTATGGTCTGTGGTCAAACAGGTTTTGAAGACTTCTTAGTGCTTAACCCCCCCCCCCCCCCTGCAAAACTGGCAACAGGCAGACAAAAATTGTATACACACCACCCAGGGAACCAATGTTAAATATTTATCGTGCCTCTTGGGGAGCTCTCAAGAAATAATGTCTATCATAATCCTGGTATTCTGGGTGGCTCTGTGGTCTAAACCACTGAGCCTCTTGGGCTTGCCGATCAGGTAGGCAGTTCGAATCTCCGCAATGGGGTGAGCTCCTGTTGCTCTGTCCCAGCTCCTGCCAACCTAGCAGTTTGAAAGCACATCAAAGTGCAAGTAGATAAATAGGTACTGCTGCTGCAGGAAGGTAAATGGCATTTCCATGCACTTTGGTTTCTGTCACGGTGTCCCATTGCGCCAGAAGCGGTTTAGTCATGTTGGCCACATGACCTGGAAAGCTGTCTGTGGACAAACGCCAGCTCCCTCTGCCTGAAAGCGAGATGAGCACCACAACCCCATAGTCTCCTTTGGCTGGACTTAACTGTCCAGGCATCCTTTACTTATTCTGGATTGGGAATGTGATTTAGTGGGGGAAACAGAGTCAGGCTGGAAACCAGAATGCTTCCTTGATTTCTTTCTTCCCCACAGATGATGTGGAGCTCTCAATCTGTGCTCTGTGCTTCTCTGCTCCTCTGTGGGCTACTCGGTGAATGCTGTGGAAGCGTTCTGGTGGTGAGTTACACTGTCCCCCCACCCCACCCCATCAACCCTACTTGATAGAGAGCTGTCACTGGCCTCCCTCCGTCCCTCCTGATCGCCTGCATGGGCTGGGCTGGTCCTCACATGCAGCAGAAATGAAGAGGCAGGATGGAACTGCATCGGTTCAGACTGTTGCAGGTGGCACAGTTTGTTTTTAATGTATATAGGCTTAATTTCAAAACCAGCTTTTAAGCAGCTTACTAAGCAGGTTCTGCATACATATGCATTTAAAACACCACTCAAAAAAGCTTGGGAACTGTAGTTTGTGAATGGTGTTGTGAACTGTAGTGCTGCAAGGGGTAAACCACAGTTCCCGGGATTCTGGGTGGGGTCGGAGGAAAATGTATGGTCCATATAAAGCCCCCGTTTTGATCACTCCAACACTTTAAAAACAAACAAACGAAAAATCCTTGCAGATAGAAAGCAAGTACATCAGGGATAAAGACTCTTCCCCAACTATTTCCCAGCTATTCTGTGTGTGAGAGAGAGAAAATGAGAGAGAGAGTATGTGTAGAAACCTCTGACTTTTGTGTGGCTGAAGTTTAGGTCACATCTGCACATGGGCGTAGCCAAGGGGGGGAGGGAGGGACAGTTGCCCCCCTGAATCAATAAAAATCAATAAAGGTACATAGCACACTGAGGTTCTGCCCCCCCCCACAAAAATCCTGGCTATGCCCATGCATCTGCACCATATATTTAAAGCACTATTAAATTATGTGAATGGTCTTCGCTTCCCCTAAAAAATCTTGGGAGCTGTAGTGCTCAGAGTTGCTAGGGAACCCTTTCCCCCCCACTCACAGAGCTACAGTTCCCAGAGTTCTTCAGGAAGAGGGATTGACTGTGAAACCACTCTGGCAACTGCAGTTCTGTGAGGGGAAGAGGGATCTCATTACACTTTCAGCACCCTGAATAAATGACCAGTCCCAAGATTCTTTAGCAGAGGCCATGGCCCATTAAAATGGCATAATCATGCTTTAAAAGTAAGGTGCAAATGTGAGCCTATCGTGCAAGGGTGACAGTTACATCCTTTGCTCTGCCCAGTTTGACCTCTGACCCCACCCACCTTTGTCCCTGGCCCTGCCCACCTCTAGCCCCACCCACTTTTGTCTCTGGTCTAAGCCACTACAGTGGTACCTCGGTTTACGAACTTAATCCATTCTGGAAGTCCATTCTTAAACTGCAACCGTTCTTAAACCGAGGTGTGCTTTCCCTAATGGGGCTTTCCACCGTTTGGCTTCCGTTCTTAGACGAGGTAAAGTTCGCAAACCTGGACACTACTTCCACTTTTGCGGAGTTCGTAAACCAAATAGTTCGTAAACAGGGCTGTTCTTAAACCGAGGTACCACTGTAATGGCATGTATCCCTCCATCCACAGAAGGTTTCTCTGATGGACATAATGCCCATCTCCATAGCAAATTTCACCCTCTGACTCACTGCTGGCAAGCTTAGTTTCAGGGTACTTTCCCTCTTGTTGCATGTGCAGCCCAAGGACAAACGCGGCTGGACCCTGAACAGCGCTGGATACCTCTTGGGACATCGTAAGTCAAGTCAGGATTTACTTGGCATGAGAAAGATACGGCCACAGTCCCTCCAAGTGTCCCTATCTTCTAGGGACGACCCTGATTTAGAGAAGCCGTCCCAGTTTCTGATTTGATCCTGGAATGTCCCGCTTTTCCTTAGGATGTCCCTATTTTCATTGGAGAAATGTTGGAGGGTCTGGAGTTATCTGACCCTCCCCAAGCCATCTTAAGGCAATCCTGTATAGGGGAAATTTTTAAAATGTTTACTGATGTTTTTATATAAGTCGGAAGCTGCCCAGAGTGGCTGGGGCAAGCCAGTAAGATATGTGGGGTATGAAATTATCATTATGGAATGGGACGTCCCTATTTTCATCAGAGAAATGTTGGAGGGTATGTGGCCAAAGGGCAAGGAGAAGAATGAAATGATATTGGAAGCTGAAGTTACCCTCCCCTGGGGGTTAAATCCCATTGAACTCCATGGTACTTACTTCTGAGTAGAAGTGCCTAAGATTGCGCTATAAGGTATCTGCCACTGTGTGTGGAAGCAGGTCCGGGAGTTGTCATTGTTGTGTGTGTGTGTGTGTGTGTGTGTGTAGTAATTTTATGTTGTGAACTGCCCTGAGATCCTCTGGTATAGGGCAGTATACAAATTTAATAAATAAATGGTTAATAATAATTAAGAACAAAATAAGAGGCCTGCTGGATCAGGCCAGTGGCCCATCTAGTCCAGCATCCTTCACAGTGGCCAACCAGGGAAGTCCGTAAGCAGGACCCAAGTGCGAGAGCAGCTCCCTCCAATTATGATTCCCAGCATCTGATGCTCAGAGGATGCAGGCCACCTCTGACCGTGGAAGCCAAGCAGAAGGCCTGCGATAGCCACCATTGCTTGCGGAATACGCACCCATGCCTCTGTCCTCTCTGCTCAAATAAACCTTTGCTGGTTTATTCCCCCGGCGCTTCAGAAAACCTGCAAATCCTGTTGGATTAGAGATGGCATAACGATGCCTTTAGCATAACCACTTCAGCTCTCAAGGGAAACATTTCTGCTGTTAGGGATGCCACCTTCCAGGCCTGGCATGAGCATGCAGCACCCATGGGCAGCTGCTGGAATGCCAGTGCAGATGCCTCTCCTGGGAAGGGCTGTAGCTCAGAGGGAGAGCATCTGCTTGGGATGCAGAACGTCCCGGGTTCGATCCCCAGCGTCTCCAAGTAAGGCAGGGAGAGACTGAAACTCTGGAGAGCTGTTGTCAGCCGCTTCAGGTGGCACTGAGGCAGATGGGCCAATGGTCTGGTTTTGTAGGGGTGAGGGGAGGAATAAGTTGGTTTTTTAATGCAAAGCTGCTTATTTCGCACTTTCTGAAATACTGTATTTTTTGCTCTATAAGACTACTTTTCCCCTCCTAAAAAGTAAGGGGAAATGTGTGTGCGTCTTATGGAGCAGATGCAGGCTGCGCAGCTATTCCAGAAGCCAGAACAGCAAGAGGGATTGCTGCTTTCGCTGCACAGCGATCGTTCTTGCTGTTCTGGCTTCTGAGATTCAGAATATTTTTTTTCTTGTTTTCCTCCTCCAAAAACTAGGTGCGTCTTATGGTCTGGTGCGTCTTATAGAGCGAAAAATACGTAATCTTTGAACCGAAACACAGCTATTTCTCGAAATACACACTTCTCCAAATTGCAGGATGCGTCTCTCCAACCCAAGTACTGTTATTATGGGATGGGAAAGTGTGCCTAAAAATGCGTGTGTCGGTAAAAACTAATGTATAAAAGGCATTATGTCTTGCAGAAATGTGTATATCGGGCAAATTTGCATATAAAAAATGTGCATTTGAGGCAATACTTGCACCGATACGCTGGCAACTTTCCATGGGGCTCAAAAGAAATTGAGAACAGGCAAAATGAATGAATGTGTAGAACTGAGAAAAATGAGAAACAGAGGGAAGTCAAAATCATGGACAGCTTTGTCCATTCATATTGACTAGCACTAAGGCAACTTCCTTAGGGGAAAGAGTGCTGCTGCAGCCATCTCCTGCTTGCAGCTTCTGTCTGGCCACTGTGAGAACAGGATGCTGGACTAGAAAGGCCCTTGGTCTGATCCAGCCAGGCCTCTTCTTAGGCAGCTGCCCAATGGGTCATTCCACATCAGATCAATGCAAAAAACAAGGGTTTTGTCATCCACCATCTCGGATTTTGATGAAACTTGGTGTACACCCTTCCCTTATGGTTGAAAGAAACCGCCTTAAATTTTTTTCCTCTATCTCAAATGGTTTAAATTTTATAGCACTTCAAAGTTTCGTGAAATCTGTGTTTCTGTCCCTCTTTTGATCCTTGGGCTTGTGTACATTTTATTTTTTCCCTCCATAACCAATGATCAGATCTCTTTGAAATTTTACACAGAGCTCAATAACATGATGAGGATTCGAGGAAAAAAATACACCAGCATTCAAAAGATTTTATAAATGCCTTAAAAAATGTATAAATGTAGGTTTTTTGGTGGAAAAACTAGGTTTAGAAAACCTAAATTTTCAGTGTGTGGGCATGATGGAATCAAAAGCTTTCGATGGTGAAAATTGTTGCAAATACATGCTCTTTCTCAACAAAGAATAAAATGTATGGGTCTTTTGTGTACATAAGGCCGAGGATCTCAAGAGGGACAGAAAAGCAGATTTCACGAAACTTTGAAGTGCTATAAAATTAAAACCATTTGAGATGGGGGGGGGAATTAAGGGGGTTTCTTTCAACCATAAGGGAAGGGTGTACACCAAGTTTCATCAAAATCCAAGACGGTGGGTGACATGACTGTGTTGAACTGACGTGGAATGACCCCAATGCTGGTTGTTTGCAACACTGCTGCCATCTGCCACTGGTTTTCACCCCCCCCCCCGGAGTGGGGCCCCCAGAAGATGCACATCTGAAGGCCTCCCCAGACCTGGAGCTGGACCAGCCATCTTCTTGTTAGGGTAAAACAGGCAGGGTGTCCAGGGGCTGCATGTTAAGAGTAACTCAGTGCTACTGATGTACAAGGCTCTCAAAGAGTTGAATAAAACTGGACAGGTCTCTGCCCCAAGGAGCTTGCAATAAGCCTTTGGAGGAAAACAAGGAGGGAGGGAAAATGCTTCCTATTCGTCATCCTTATCATCATAAATTCGATCTCCTTGATCTTTAAATTAGTTTTCTGTAGTGTAATCCAGACAGACAGGCATGCAAGTTAAGTCTGCACAAGTTGCTAGTCCTCAGAGATTGCTACTGGTCCACATAACCTCCCAGATCCATGTTAGTCCGTTTATAGCCCGTTGATGGTGTAAGAGGAAAGAAGAAGTTATGTTCCAATGTATGAAGACGTCCTGCCTGGTAGCTAAGGGGTGATTCTTATGTGCCACTAGCCAAAAGGCTGTTCACAAACCTGATGTAATCTGTATTTTTTCCCCTATGTAACCTGCAGCACTTCTCCCCTTGCACTCTCCTCTCCCCAAAGCAGATGCTCACCAGACACTGTCCAACAAAGGGAGCCTGGCGCATAAGCGAGATGCTATGGAGGACTTGTATTCCGTAGGGCAGGATTCCTTGGGTGAGCACCCTTTCACTGACTTCTCTGCCCTCTCCCCGCATGCTCCATTATGCTTGCTCCTTTTGCCTTATGGGGTATTCAAGAGCCTGTATAGAGTCCTTAGGTGGGTTCCCTAAGGAACCCTAAGGAAAATAACAGAGGCCAACCAGAGAATATTGAGAAAGAAAGCAGCTAGTAAGCCTGATCTTTATTAAACTGTTGCAACAGGGTCCTCCACTCCCCCCACGCAGGGTGGAAGGAGAGGAACCCAGAACAATGGTGTGCAAACCCTTGTATAGACTTTTGAAATTGCCCACCCTGTAGTTCGAGGACCCCCCCCCCCAAAAAAAAACCCCACCATACATACATTACTGAAGGGGGCGAACTCCAGCAGAAATCCTGTCTGGCAGGATACTGATAATGGTCATTGACTGTTTTACCTGGGCAGCCTGGCCATTCCTTTTGAGATGCTAAATACTTAGTTCCTGAATTCAGGTCACAGGCTCACCCTATTCATATACAAATACGCCCTTAAGACAGGATTTGTGAGTAAAGATGCAATGGGGAGAATATTTGAGGTTATTGGAAGAGTCAAAATGGCTTCAGGATGGTTCTCCTGTACTATTTCAGGCACATGGTTTATATTAAGGTTACCAGACATCCCCGTTTCCCGGGGACAGTCCTCAGATTTACAAATCAGTCCCCATACAAAATCCATTGAACTTGAAAAGTGTCCCTGGATTCATTGAAAATTATCTGGTAACCTTAGTTTATATACTTATGTATGTGTTTGCCTTGTAAATTTATGAACATTTATTTTTTATATAGAAGACCTTAGAATTCCTATAACACTTGCCTGTCCCCGTCAACTCCATTTCATCTGTCTTTCAGCACATGCTCTGCGCTCCTTAGATGATGGCGCCTTCCAAACCCTGATGGATTTTCTAACCTACCTGAACCCCCAAGGTATGGACAGATGCTGGGTTCTCTGGGAGAAGAGGGGCATTTTCTGAATGGTTCTGAATCTTCTCTGCTTTGGAACAAGGAATGTTGGGAGCTCTGTGTGGAGCAGGGCAGGGTAGGGCTGGGAACCTGGAAAATCAAATCTCTTCTCTGTTGTCTTTTACAGATCAAAGAGCTGTTTCTCGCCTGCCCCTCTTGCTGTCGGAGGAAGAGTCCTTGCGGCAGTAGTGGCCTGGCCTCCAGCCTGCGCCCTTTCAGAGTTGCTTGCTGCTGCCATTACCCCTCAGACCCCTCCCCATCGCCCACACATACAGGATTCTGCTTTCAGAGCTAAGCGCGCCCCCCCTTTTGAGAGAACCCCCCTCCCTTTGACTAAGCTGCCCCAGAGATATAGGCTACAAACATGCCATACAGTTAAAGCACATGACTTATCCCAAAGAATTCTGGGAACTGTAGTTTACCCACCACACAGTCACCATTCTCAGCATCTGCTTCTTGGCAGTGGCGCCCTCCCTGTGGGACACCCTCCCATCAGATGTCAAGGAGATAAAGAACTGCACAACTTTTAGAAGACAGCCGAAGGCAGCCCTGTATCGGGAAGATTTTAATGTTTGACATTTTATTATTTTTTGTATTTTGCTGGAAGCTGCCCAGATGGGTGGGGAATAACAGCAGCAGCAGCAGCAGCAACAACAAGAACAACAACTATTATTATGTTCAACAAACTACAGTTCCCAGGATTCTTTGGGTGAGGGAAGTCACATGCTTCCTATGTGCTTTAAATATATGGTGTGTGCAGAGCTATGCACTCAAATTAGCTCAGCCTCCCCCATCACCATTACACCTTTACACATTCCTTTCTAGAGACACACACAATCCCGTACGCATCATTTGTAATGTGTGAGTTTGTATAGGAAGAAACATTGGCGTGTAGATGAACACATGTCCACATGTGCAAGGAGCACTCCTTTGGCACCGGCCCAGTGTCGCACCCTTGCCTTGCTCGTGAACCTTAGTAGGAATAGCCATAGCTCAGTGGTAGAAGACACGCTCTCCACGGAGAACACACAAATTTAACCTTCATCTCTCAGCCTAATTTTTCTTGGGTAGCATACAGTGGACGAGAAAACTAGAGATGGGAAGAAAGAGAGAGCTCTGCTTGCTGTTGTGGTCAGTTGGATTCTATATATCTATATCTATATCTATATCTATATCTATATCTATATCTATATCTATATCTATATGGGGCTCCTGCACCTTTGTGTAGAAGCTCCCTCTTCTGAAATCCCCTCTGCTACACATAACACTTAAAGGGGCAGGAGCCCTGTCCTCTTTTTCACATCAGCACCGTACTATCTTTCACCCCAACCAACTTTCCTATCCCTGGAATGGAGCCCCTGAGAATTTTTAGTCTTTCAATGTTATTTTGTTTAAAATGGACCCCCCCACAGCACTGCAGTAGATGAAACAACTGTGCACACCTACTTTCTACCCCTAGCTGCTCCCTCATCCCTGCTGCTACATTTTCACTCTGAACAAACTTATTCACCCTGCTTTGAGAATGGAGAGATCAGAATGTGGGGCTGTGGTTATGAACAGGAGACCTGGGAACAGGGGAGAAGAGGCCCTGTAAATGAACTGATTGAATAAACATTTCTCTTCTGAATTTGCTCGTCTCTCTAGCGTTGATGTCTTTGATCAGCACAGGTCCAGGGGAGATGGGGCTCAGAATCTACAGAGAGAGGTGCTACCAGGCTGTCTCCATTTTGGGGGTGGGATTCAGTCACAGCCCAGTCAAAACTTAAGTCAATTGGGGAAATAGGAGCTATTAACAAAAACAGGATCTGCACAGGAGTGTCAGACCTAATGATCTCCATGGCTCGCTCCTGCCAGAACAGGATTTTCGTTACTGGGCCTTTAACAGCAGCCTGACATGCTAAACTAGAGGGAAAGGGATGAGCTCTGCTGTAAGGACATCAGCTTTGCATGCAGAAGGGCCCAACTCTCATTCCTAGCACTTCTAGGCAGGGCTGGGAGAGATCCCTATCTGAAACCTGGAGAGCCATTGCCAGTCAGCCAGCTAAATGAACCAGCGGTCTGACTTGGCGTAACACAGCTTTCTCTATCCCTAAAAAAAGAACGGAGGCGACGCTTTTCGTGGCAAGGAGCGAAACAGGATCCCCTGCTAATGTGCCGCAGATCGAATGGCTGCAAAGGGGGCAGCTGCAGTTGTGGGTTCGTGAGAAGGCTAAGAGCTCGGATAGATCTGACCAAAGGTTTATCTAGTCTGGCAGCCTGTCTTGTGTGCATCAAGAAACCAGGTGCCCACAAGCAATAGAGGAAATAGTCCTACTCTGCTGTTCTTCCACAGGTTCTGAGTAGCTTATTGCTTCTGAGTCTGTCTGTGTTGGGCTGGATACTGCCATTTCTTTAACAACCCATAATGCAGGTAGCTGTTAGATGGGCTCCGCTGCCACCATCCCTGCCCTTTCGTGATGCTGGCGGCTGGAGCTGTTGGTCTGCAGGGTGCCAGAGAGCACAATTTTGCCCTCCGTAATACTTTTGTTCTCAGCGCTTCGTATCATAGCTAGCTGAAACCATAGGGAGGGGGGTCATTAGGGGATTTGGCACAAGAGGCTGCCAGTAAACTAATGCCCAGCTCTGTCCCCTGAAACATCTGAATTGGGAGAGGCTGAGCACACCCTAAACGGGTACCTGAATGCAGGCTAGTTAACTGGAGCTGAAGGCAATCTACATGGTTCCTCTTCCTCCTCATTTTATCCTCACAACTACTTCATGTGGTAGGTTAGGCTGAGAGTGAGTCACTGGCTGGCCTGAGGTGATTCAGGGAGCGCCGTGGATGTGAGGATTTGAACCCTGGTATCCCAGGTCTTAGCCCAATGCTCTAACCATTGCACCACACTGCCCCATACATAGGACTACCCTTCTGCCTGGCTTGGAAGCTGCAGCTAGTATAAATTTAGCTACTAGGGTGCTCAGGCGGACACCCAGCTTTACACATATCACAGTGGCATTGAAAACTCTGCACACTACTGAGCCAAGTTCAGTGTTTTGCTGCCTTAAAAAACTTGGGAACAGGATACCTAATACCAGAACACACCGATTTTTAATATATTGAGGAGATCCTGCTGGACAGTCCACAACCTGTGGATTTTCACTTTTTGATAATGGAGAAGTGGGCCTTCTTGGGCCTTTTAGATTCCCTCCCTCATGCAGTACATTTCCCCCCTAAAAATAATGTTTAGGGGTACTCTCATTTTCCTATTCATTTTGAAACATGGACCCCCTCAATGAGGCCAAACTTAGATTCACAAAATGTTTAGGGGTAGGCATTCCCCTGCGTCTCCCCAGAAAAAAAGCACTGCCCTTATATAATTCATGAAGTGGACACAGAAAATCATAAAAGCGTGGACTTTTTAATTTTTAGTTTACCATTTTACACATCGCTCTGTTTCATATAGTTTTGTTGTTTTTACTTAGCTTTTAGGAAATTCTGTTGAATACAACTGTTTGCACTTTTGATATACATAAAAATATTAGGAGGGATAATTTTTTAAATAACTAACTTGCGAACCCTTTCCCTGGAGAAACCTTGTTGTGCTGTTCATTCCCACCCCCAACAGAGGAAATACAAAACAAGACAAACTAAATCTCATATTTTATTAGAACAGGAAAAATAAAACAGCCAAGTGGAGAGTGCGAGATACAAGCACAGAGGCCTTCCTAAACTTCTCTGTATCCTTCCAATTTCAGTACAGATGTTCTTGAAGTGAACATAAGTGGAGAGAGTGTGAAACAGATGTTCAGCAAAGGGCAGAGGCAACCCTCTCGGTGACCTTCCTGTGACTTCTCTTCTCCCATAACTCTGGCCAACTGGCAACGCAAAGTGACCATCTTTTCTAGGAAACCAAGCACAACTGCTGTCTCAAACAGCCTTTAGTGAGGCTCATGCAGTAATAAATCCACCTGCTACGCGGTCTCAAGACAGACTTGCTATTTGTTGCTCACAGGACAGGACGAGACCAAAGTGGGTGGAATTTGCAGGGAAGCAGATTTTGGCAGAACATTAGACCCTTCTCAACTGTAAAATGTGTTTTGTATGTGGGGTGGTCTGCCTTAGGAGTTAGTGGGCTCTCCTAAACTGCAGGTGTTTTAAGAAGAGGCTGGATGGCTGTCAGCCAGGAATGGCGTAGTTCAGAGATGGGGAACCTTTGACTGCCGCTCCCATCATCCCTGTCTCTTGGTTGCATTGACTCCAGCTGATGGAAGATGGAGTCTATCAGAATCTCTGGAGGGTCAGACTTTCCCCTTTCCTGCTGTAGTTGCAAGTTTCATGCCCTGAGCAAGGGTGGACGAGACGACCTCTAAGGACCCATCCAGCTCTAAATTATCTTATTCAACCTGATTCTCTTTTTCTTCAAGGGTTTTTACTGCAACAGACCTTCTACATTTCACCACCTAAGGGCTGAAGGAGAAAATCCATTATTGGCTCCCCAAGTGTTTCCCCCCGCTTCACTTTAAATCAGCTATGTTATGGAGGCAAGGCTTAATCATTTCCAATGAACCATTTCCCCAATCTAAATCAAACGCACCTGCTGCTATTAGACCTGCAAATGTGGGCAGGCAGGGAAGATGCAGGTACCTGCATTTTCACCCACTGTGGACCTAATAGCAGCTCAAAGAGGAGGCATTTAGAGGGAGAAATGACACAACCCCACTGTGTTTTAAGCCAGTTATGTGGGCACAGCCATAGTCTACCCAGCACACACAGCTTTGTACAAACAAATGAGGATGAATGTTGAATAAATATATCATCCGGAGGAGCCTAGCAGTGATTATGGGGGTTGGAATCCTACAGGGTCACTGACTAGCCATCCCAACTGCAGGGGTGAAAGAGATTTCGCCTGGCTCTCAGCTAGGGATAAATCGCTGAGCGACTCAACCATGGAAGTGTTTTGGGTGCGTCCGAGTTCCCTGGCATCAGGAGCTATGCCGGAGCACAAGCGGTAAAAAGCCTTTTAGGGTGGAGGGGTGGTAAAATGCTGCTTCCAGACTTCCAATTGCCTATTCCTGTTCTAAATGGTCAGTTGATACACAGCCCACCTCAGAGTGCAGGAAGACCAGAAGCAGAAACCTTTTGTCAGTTAACTCTTGTTTTGTTTTGTTTTTTATTTATGTACCTAAACCTAGATTGGTTATACAGTGGTATCTCGGGTTAAGAACTTAATTCGTTCTGGCGGTCTGTTCTTAACCTGAAACTGTTCTTAACATGAAGCACCACTTTAGCTAATGGGGCCTCCTGCCGCCGCCGCATGATTTCTGTTCTCATCCTGAAGCGAAGTTCTTAACCTGAGGTAATATTTCTGGGTTAGCAGAGTCTGTAACCTGAAGCGTCTGTAACCTGAAGCGTATGTAACCCGAGGTACCATTGTGTGTGTGTGTGTGTGTGTGTGTGTGTGTGTATATTATTCTGTGTTTGTCTAATGGTTCATTTTTGCCATTTTTGAATTTACTGACATGCTCTGTATTCCGTATAAAGGCAAACCTCCGTGCCCAAATGCCTTCATTTTGGAACGTTTAGGCTTCCAAACGCCGAAAACCCGGAAGTAACTGCTCCGGTTTTCAAAACGATTTTCAGAGGCCGAAAGGCTTCCGAGCCACGTTTTTCTCTCTCCCCCCCCCATTGACTTTGCAGCCAGCCCAATGATCCTTGGTTTTCGAACTTTTCGGAAGCCGAACGGTCTTCCGGAATGGATTGAGTTTGAAAACCGAGGTTCCACTGTAGTCGTTTTGCTTTGGGCCCCGCTCCTTGTGGAAAAGCAGCACGTAAGTAAACTCAGTCACTCAAGCAATGCCCTGGATTTGGTTCTGAGAGAGGCGAAACGCAGCTGGGTTGACCCTTCTTGCACCTCGCATCTCCGTGCCTGCTCTACCTCCTGCCAATTCCCCCACTTCCTTCTACTCAGAGTTCACCACCAAAAGCTTTTGCATGTAGGAGTTGAGCCATTTCTGCCTCTCCATGGCTGTCAGCATCTTGCTTTTCTCCCTGAAGGCGGCATCATCCGCTAGCACAATACTTCGCTTCCCGCCCCAACCTGGAACCCAGCTGGCTTGGTACAGCGCCACCTTCTGGCCCCTAGGAGATGGAGCTTCCTGTCTCGCTGGGCCCCACGGGCGGGACTTCCTGTTTTGCCCTTCATCTTCATTGTCCTCAGCCCAGGGGGCTGTGACATCTGAGGACATCCACTTGAGCATCCAGTCATGCAAGGTAGTGGATGGGATGCCGAGGCTCCAGGGAACAAGGGCTCCTTTGAGGTCAACGCTGCCCCCTGGTGGAGAATACTGGGACACTTCACGTCTCCAGAGCCTGCTGAGAGAGAAAGTATAGGAAACCTGAGTGTTAAGTTGTGGGTGAACATATCAGATGACACAGCGATTCTTCAAACAGCTCTTGTTTATTCACAGGCCAGAACAGAACTGAACTGAAGGGTTCAGCCAGCCTGCTTATATAGAGCTCCACTAGAACGCAACAGTAACCATTTTCTGTAACTAGCCAATCACTGAACATCACTTTCAATCCCTTATTTGCATATGTGGACCTGAACTATCTGCAGTATCCCCCTGCTGGCCCAGGGTGAGAACTTCAGTACATAACACTGAGTTCTCCAGAGGAGGGATCAAGTAGATTGGAACCGAGGAGTCCCAATATTGCCTTCTGAAGGAAGCACAGCACAAGTACGGATCCCCCTAAGGTTGCCCACACAATAAGCAATCTTCAGAAAGCCACCCGTGTTAGCCTGTTGCAACAAAAACAAGCCTTTGGGTGCTTTAATAAAGACTAGATATATTTAGGGTGTGTATACAGAATACATTTACAGCGCACCCACCCAAAGAGTCCCGGCAGCTGCAGTTCATCCCTCACACAGCTACAATTCCCAGCACCCATCACAAACGACAGTTTTTTGACGAGAGGGGAGTTGGGTGCTTTTAACTCCTGCTGTCCCTGACCATTGGCCATGCTGGCTGGCGCTGAAGGGAGCTGCATTGCTTCAAATGTGAGCTCTGCGGGTTCCCCAATCCTGCGCTAGGAATTTGATATACTGTAACCTGGCGGCTGTTAGTTGGTGGGAAATATTGGAAGCTTAATTAATAGGCAGGAAGTAGAGTAAGAAACCCATAGTCTCAAGCCTGCTGGAAGACACCTAGGAGCCACCTCCACCAGTAAGGTCCCTTGAGGGGAGAGCTCAGATTCTGGGGTGTGTGTTGCTGGCTCAGTGTCTGCCTTCAGCATTCTGTCCTTGCCGGGCAGATGCCTCCGGGATGCTCTCAAGAAAGGCAAGGAGGGGACAGGCATTCCCTGCTATTGATTCCCTGTTCTGTTCAACTGTTCAACTAGACATTTGATAGACTTTGGGCCCCTCCAAACATCTGTTTTATTGTGCATTCTCACTGAAGTACAGTCATACCTCATGTTACGTTTGCTTCATGTTACGTTCTTTCAGGTTACGTCCTGCGGCGACCTGGAAGTACCGGAAAGGGTTACTTCTGGGTTTCGCCGCTTGCGCATGCACAGAAGTGCTAAATTGTGCTTCACGCATGCGCACAAGCACCAAATCACGCCGCCCACCTGTGCAGATATGGCGCTTCAGGTTGCTCTCTTTTCATGTTGTGAACGGGCCTCCGGAATGGATCCCGTTCGCAACCAGAGGTACCACTGTACTCATGAGGCAATAAGGTTGGCCATGCGCAGTTCTGCTTTCCATTCAGTTTATGCCTGCAAAAGTTTTGGGGCGGTCATATACTGCTTTGTCTACAATCAGTAATAATCCCATAACCTGTTGCTGGGATCCCATAACTTTCTTTACCCCAAACATTCTGGTTTATTTTTGTCCCGCTTTTGTCGTGCTTTAGCCCCTCTGGAAAGCAATAATGTCGTAGCATCGAGGAAGCGTTGCAGAATGACAAATAAAGTGTGAAGAGGAAACCCACTACTGACACATTATGATTGTGTCAGGAACATATTGCAAAATACACCTGCAATAAAACACCAGTCTGAAGAGGCCCCTGTTCTCTGTGCCTTTTTCAGGTGTCTTCTTCAAAACCGTCATTCCCTCCATTACTTATGTCCACGCTGTGAGTTTCATTGTTTATTTGAACAACAACAACAAAAGCACCGCCTCTGCAGAAGAGGGAGCTATTGTGGACTCAAGTCTGTTATGGACTCAAGGAAACCGCAAAGTTTGCACAAGTCCGAAAACTACTTTAAGGGGGGAACAGACCTAAGGAGAAGGGAACCTTAAAAACAGCCCAAGGACTGAGTGTACTCAGTGTGGCTACGAAATACTGAGAAGCAGTTGAGGATGGGAAATGAAAATATGGGGTGGTGGTGGTGGAGAAGATGGCTTCGAATCTTGAACAGAAGCACTCCACAAACACTGCAACATTTTGTTGCAGGCCCCATTCCATTACATTGGAATCCATGTTGAAGAATTCCATGAGCAAATTACGGACAAAAATGGTGGAGCTAGTCCTTAAATCAGTAATAGAATTGGGGATTATTTGAGCTCTTCTTCCAGACAACCTGTTTGTTCATCCTGGTTTGTCTGCAGGGAGATTGGACAACCTTGACTATGAACCTTCATTCTGAATTGTTTGCGGGTTCGTCACATGGCAGTTGTGTCAATGCAAGTGCCGCCCCCCGCTTCCTGGTGCATTTTCCTGCCACTTTCCTTACTGCAAAACATCTGATCTTTTGGGTACGGGGGTTTGTTGCGCAAGGACTCCCAATCAACTGTAATTGTGAGACACGAGTCTGCGGGTATGTGAGTGAATTTCACCTGAGAATAGCAACAGTCTGGAAGAGCCCCAAATCTTTCCAACTCTAGAACCTCTCATTATACTTTGAAACAAAGCCCCTGCTCCATCCACATTCTGCTTAACCCTTCCCAGCCCAGCCCCTCTTTCCCCTCTCCTGCAACTGCAAACTTCTCCCTTTGCACCTTCTTGCTGCCTCTTCTCCCCAAAAAAGGATAAAGGGTCAGTATTAATGTCTTCTTTCCCCATCCTGGCTTCTTTTGGAAGAGAAAGAAGCAACCAACAGTTGAAAAAGTGAGAGAGGAGGTTCCCCAAAAGGCAACAAAAGGTATCCCCCCTATTTATTCCACTACCTATATTGGGATAGTCAACTTGGTTCCACCAAGATGTTGTCCAACTACAACTCCCATCATCCCTGACCATCGCTCACATTGACTGGGGCTGATGGGACTACACTGGCTGCACCTGGACGGCACTGTGTTGGCTTCCCCTGATCAACACATTCTTAAAAACTATTTTGGGTGAAGAACTTTCTCCTTTCCTTTCCCAATCCCCTTCTCTGCCACATACTCTTTTGCAAGACTTTGGTCATGTAACTAAACTTTAAATGCACACACACACACACACACACACACACACACACACTTGCCCTATCTTGTCCACTGTAAATCTGGTTCAGATGGAAAATGGCTCACGTGGTTTTTAGCAGATCTAGAATGACTGATGGAAAAGGTGGTCAGGGGAAAAACCCCACACAAAGAAAAACCCCTTCAACTTACCTGCCTGAGTTGTGCACCACAGCCCCTGAAGACAGCAGCAAGCAAGAACTGAGAATGACCATGGTGGCCCTGGGACTTTTGCAGGCTCCAGACGCTGCTTCCATGGCTCCTGAGGCTAGGAGGGAAAGACAGGGAAAGGGATTGGTGTGTGAAAAGGGCAGCTCCGGCAGGCTCCCACCCCTGGATTCCTTACCTATGTATGCTGGTGACACAGCACAGGGGTTCTTGTATCCCAGTCCTCTGTTTCCTGCCTCCAGCAATCTCCCTCTGGTGAATTTATACCCCTCTGCCTCTGCTTGTGACATCAGCACAGAGGGCAAGTGGAGGCGTCCAGGGTCCAGATCAATGGGAAGACGATGCTTTGAGGCGGGAAAAGATGGAATGGATCAGATTGGAATGGGTTGCCCCGGGTCACTCTAATAAAAGAAAATAATAAGGCACAGCAAGGAATGGGGTCAGAATATGGACTGTGGAGGGGGAAATATGAGATAGGAGAGTAATTGTGTGTGTGTGTGTGAGAAAGGGGGGGGTTAAAGTGTGACTGAGAGAAATAAAGGACGGATGATTAAAGATGATGGAACTAAACAGAAGGATGGAAAGGTATTGTGGGGGATAGTGGGGAGACATTGGTGAGAACACATTGATGTTAAAAGTCCATAGGCACAGACAGAGTGGAATTTTTAGTGCAAAAGAATTGCATGTTTAATATGCATTTGTGGAGAGGGGGGGCCCTCACCCACACTTCCCTTTGCCTGCAATTTCTTCTGTTTGATCTGGGACTTCTACGCACAGGTGCAAGAGGTTTTCTTTTGTCCCGCTAAAAACCTTTTGGACTTGTGCCTGGAAGTCAAGGAGCAAACAGAAGTGTGTGTATATGGAGATGATGTGAATGTTAACAAGACAGGGAAATTAGGCTGCTTGTGTTCTTCTCATTATCAGAGCAAACGCTATCGGATCCCTTGACCCCACTTGGAAGGTCTCATTCAGAACCACCGCTAATGAAACCTGCTCCCACACTATGGCGTGACTCACCGCTTGGTCGTCGATGGAGGGTGGGCGGCTGGGTGGTCTCACTTCCCTCCGGGCCTCATTAACACGAGGCTCGCTAATAGGCACACAAACAAGTTGCAGTTGATATGACTGAGGGTAGGGCACGGAGACGGGCCATTTCGTTGGGCAGTGGAAGAAGTGCATCCTGGGTCACAGCAACTCTTAAGAAGGGACTGTGCATCAAATTCAAGTTGGAGCGCAGGCATGAGCCAAACATGGCCTTTGGTATTCGTCATTAGATCCACCATTTCCATGGTGTTTGCAAGAGGCGGTAGTGCCGCTGTGATACACACACACATCACAAGTGTCCCGGAAAAACTGGGACATCCCATTTTTTATTGCGAGAGAATGGCGGTCATTTTGGGCGCCATGATCTTGCACGATTTCATGCTGTAATCTTCCCCTGAAAAAATGCTTTTTTTCAGGGTTGCAATCTTGCGTGGCACCACAAAACACACACTTTTGGGTGCTGTGTCTGAAAAAAGCATTTGGGGGGGGGTGTTACAGTGTGAAATCGTGCAGCGATCACATGGTCACTGTCCTCTTGTGACAAAAAATGGGAAGATGGTGTCCCAATTTTTGCTATTCGGATGTTGGAAGGTATGTACATATTCATTGAGGTCTGCTTCACCAGCCTGGTTGAAAGCAATTGCTGTTTGGGGTTCCTCTTCCAGGACTGTCTCCATCACCGGCAATTCTACTTGGCTGTGTCTGAGGGAGAGGAAAGACCTACTTCATCAGTCAGGCTAGATGAAGCCTTCTCCAGAAGTGTCCTCTCAAAGGGCATTCCACCTCGCTTCCCCATACGGGCCTAGCTGAAGCCAACTGCCATTTGGCTTCTCCTCTCCCAAAATAGCTTCCATCAGCAGCCATCCAGCTGGGATTGTTTAATAACAGGCTACCAGAAGAAAAGGAGAAGGAAGAGGACACACCATGCTTCTAAAGCCCCTGACTTCCCCCAAATAATCCTAGGTACCTCAGTTTACCCTTCACAAAGCTGCATTCCCAGAACCTTCTTTGTATAGTACAGTGGTGCCTCGCAAGACGAAATTAATCCGTTCCGCGAGTCTCTTCGTCTAGCGGTTTTTTCGTCTTGCGAAGCAACCCTATTAGCGGCTTAGCGGATTAGCGCTATTAGCGGTTTAGCGGCTATTAAAGGCTTAGCGGCAGCGTTAGCTGCTAAAAGGCTATTAGCGGCTTAGCGGCTTAGAAAAAGGGGGAGCGAAAAAATCTCAAGACTCGCAAGACATTTTCGTCTTGCGAAGCAAGCCCATAGGGAAATTCGTCCTGCGAAGCGCATCGAAAAACGGAAAACCCTTTTGTCTAGCGGGTTTTCCGTCTTGCGAGGCATTCGTCTTGCGGGGCACCACTGTAAAAGAGCAAGGCCTAAAATGGCAAAGTTCTTTCCACCGAGAAGAACTTCGATTTTAGCAGGCCTGCTGAATTGCCAGACTGGAAGCAGCAGTTCTATATTCCCAAAACGGAAGAGATCCAGCTATGCTCCTCAGTTTATGCCATGGGCCCACAAGCAGAACCCATATTTCAATCCTTTGCATTTGCTGTGGAAAGAGACAGGACCTTCTGGTTCTGGGGAAATACAGGGTCTAATAACAGCAGCTTAATTCACGGCTGCTTCTTATCTACAGATATCTAGATATCTGGATGTGAGGTATATCTGGACCAGGCTGCTGAGAGCATGGGACCATACATTTAAAAGGACCCGGTGGATTAAGAGAGGAGAAGGTGTGGGGAAGAGCAGACTCTAGGTTTTGTCAGTGAATATCTTAATCAGACATTCAGATGCCGACTTTGCTGGAGGGAACACAGCGAGGCGTTGTCGTCGCTGAAGTTATCAATAGTGCCTCAGCTGCCAGCACTGACCCCAATGCGGCTAATTGGGCATTGGGATCAGAGACGCAGAGCCAGATGCTCAATTGCTTTCGTAAATTAACGGAGCTGGGCACCCACCCCCACCCCCGGGTGCACAGGCCTCTCAGGATGTGCGGGCTTCTCAGATGTAGCCAGTGCTCTCAGAGGTGGCACTTGACTTTAATCCCAGCACACACAAACAAACAGAAAGACATGGAAGCCTCAGCCTGTAGAGATAAGGGGGTCTAAACCAGGGGTCAGCAAACTTTTTCTGCAGGGGGCCGGTCCACTGTCCCTCAGACCCTGTGGGAGGGGGGCAGACTATATTGTGAGGAAGAAAAAATGAATGAATTCCTATGCCACACAAATAACCCAGAGATGCATTTTAAATAAAAGCACACATTCTACTCATGTAAAAACACACTGATTCCCAGACCATCCGCGGGCCGGATTTAGAAGGCGATTGGGCTGGATCCGGCCCCCGGGCCTTAGTTTGCCTACCCATGGTCTAAACATTCCAGTATAAAAGCAACACAGGCCTTTCGCAGATGTGAAGCAGATGCTGGCAACTAGATTGGTGTGTGTTTTGTGCAAGAGATGTTTGCCTGAACTTGAGAAGGGTTCAGTCATGGGCAGGGAGATCGCCCATGCAATGCCCTGAGGTGGGGGTGGGGTGGGCTTTTTATTTTGCTGCCTGACTGAGGCAAAAGAGCCAATGCCCACCCCACAAGTCAGGCTATGGTGGTTATCTCCTGCCTGCACAGCTGAAGGCAGTGATGTTTCTGAATCTCCGTTGCTGGAAACCACAGGGGGAGGAAAGAGGGCTCTTGTGGTCCTTTCTGAGAGTTCCCCCCAGGGATCTGTTTGGCTTCTGTGAGTACAGGATGCTGGACTAGATGGGCCATTGGCCTGATCCAGCAGCCTCGTCCTTTGTTCTCATGATGTGTATAGCACCTAAGGTTGGCTAAGTTGTTATCGATGCCCAAGGCAGACAACCCTGCAAATGTACTGTATTTACTTGGCAGCAGGGATGGGGGAGAAATTTGATTCGGTTAACATTTGAAGGGGAACCTACGTAACCGGCTCTTTCTGAAATGATACAGGATTTGTTAAGTTGTGGGTTGACATAGCAGACGACACAGCAATTTCTCCAAAGCAGCTCTTTATTTGTAATTTGGAACAGAACTGAACTGAAGGCCTCAGTCAGCCTGCTTATAGAGCTCCAGTACCTTGTTACTGTAACAACTTTCTAAAACTATCCAATCACTGAAAGTCACTATTGATTCTTCATTTTCATACAAACTATCCAATCACTGAACATCACTTTCGATCCTTCATTTGCATAACTATCTACAGTATCCCCCTGCTGGTCCAGGGTGAGAACTTCAGTACATAACAGGATTCAAAATGCCATCCTTTGAAAACTGTGCTTGTAACTCAGTTCTCCAACCAAGTAATATGTACAAAAAAGAGAGAGGGTAAGGTGCGCTTAGAAATCAATATATTAGGCAAAATTTCACACAAACACATTTCTATTAGGAGCAGTAGGCAGGTCGGAGCCAAAGAACAGTTGAGAGGCGGGAGTCCGGGTAGTATAAGGAAACAGGGTAATGCTGATAAGTTTTAAAGAGAACTTTAACGAAATGCGAACTTGATGCGCAGAACTGAATTTAAGACTGGGAAAATGAGTAAACAGAAATGGACAAATTCACCCATCCCTGCTTGGCAGCAAAAATGCAGTGGATTGTATTCAACATCAGTCATCGAACAGGCCCATTGAAATTAATGGCCACAGCTAATTTAGGCCCAATCATTTCAACACATCTAGAATTCAGCTGGATACAATCCAGTAAGAATAAATTAAATAAGTAACAATTTGCTACCCTTTCATAACACCAAAGATTCAGCCGCCTCACTCTGTCCTATGGTTGGGCTGGCCACGCCTGCAATTCATCTGGAGGACTATCCGCACTGTTTTTACACAAGTTACATAAGGGTAGGAGGTGGACAGAACACAGAGAGCAAGTCTAAGACCATATTTATTGGGGTGGGAAGAAATGCTGTTGAATTCAGTGAAACTTCTGCATGAACAACTTTAGGGTAGGGATTTTCTGCAAACTCTGTTGGGGAGACGCAACAGGCCTTACCTGGCTGGCATCTAAATTTGTTGCCACTTTCCAGGGCAAGAGAAAAACATTTTTATTCATCAAGGCATTTTAATTCAGCGTATGTGTGTGCTTTATTGCTGCTGCTTTGCACATTTGTTTGAACTTACTTTTTGTTAACCTAACATTGATTTTTATCCAGGCGGTTTTTATTTCCTGCTCTGCTTGTTTATAGATTTGGCAGGTTGTTGTTTTTTTTTAAGTGCATGTGATTTGATTTTGTGGCATTTATAATTCCATCCCCCTCCCCATAAGCCGCGTGGAACATGCTCGAAGGACGTAGGGTATTCATTTATCAACCAAAAAAGAAAGAAAAGAACAAAACAGACTGAAATCTTGTGCTCAGTTACCAGAGAGTAAGTCTTCTTGAGTTTAACAGGACTTACTTCTGAGTAGAGATGTCTAGGATTGTCCTAGAAATATTTTTAGGTGAGATGCATTTACACACACAGCCAATTGAGGTTGCACAATGAAAGCTAATTCGGCACTCTTTGACAACAAAAACCCCCCAAACTGCATTGAGTTAAGGGTGCTGAGAGAGGTTAGGAGACGCCAATTCTCCTCACAGAGCTACTGTTCATGGAGTGGCTCACAGTGAATCCCTGTTCACAGGGAAATCTGTGAACTGTAGCTGGGGGGGGGGTGTTGTGGGGTGACTCCTGACAACCCTCAGCACCCTTCACAAACTCCTGCTCCCAGAATTCTTTGTGGAAGAGGCTGTGACTGTTTAAAGTGGTATCACAGTTCTTTAAATGTTAGGAGCTCATGTGGCCTGAGTCTTTTCCCCTTTAAATATCCCTGTCTGCTCCTTCCCCTCTAGCTCAGATCAGTTGTAGGTTCGGGAAAGCAATCTTTATAGCCTTTGTGGAGGGTTTCCTTTATCCTGTTTCAAAGATGAAGGGGGCAATGTTATTGTTTGGCATAAACCTTCTGCTATATGGCGGATCTGCTTCTCTGCTGGTACTAGGTGAGTGACTCAGGCTACAACCATACTTAAAGGTAAAGGGACCCCTGACCATTAGGTCCAGTCGTGGCCGACTCTGGGGTTGACTAAGCCGCTTCTGGAGAACCAGAGCAGCGCACGGAAATGCCATTTACCTTCCCGCCGGAGCTGTACCTATTTATCTACTTGCACTTTGACATGCTTTTGAACTGCTAGGTTGGCAGGAGCAACCTTCAGGTATACTGGGCCGTTTAGGGCTTTAACCTTGAAATGAAACCACGGGAGATGAATTCTGGAAAGCAGGAGGAGCTTATGCTCATTGGACGAAGGATGCTGGGATTCTGTCCCTCTGGGAATTTGGGGTGGGGGGGGCATAAGGAGGCAATACAGTCAGCTGAGAGCAGCGTAATATAGAAGCTATAACTTCCAAGCACCGTGTCCTTCTTTTCCTCAATTGCTTTCCCATCTGCCTGTATTTGTTCCCTTTCCCTCCCTCCTCCTTTACTCATTAGATTACCCTGTTTCCTTATACTACCCGGACTCCCGCCTCTCAACCGTTCTTTGGCTCCGACCTGCCTACTGCCTGTATGAACAGTGGACCAGAGAGGACTTGGATCCTAGCCAGGCCTCCCGGGAGACAGCTACCATAGAGGTGGAAGTGAAACCAGAAGGTAATGGAAGTGGTGAGCAGGTAGAATAAAGCAAAAAGTTGCTCAAGAGTTTTGTTGATAAGTTGGCACTTCAAAAAATTCTCCTTCCAGTGGTGTTTTGGAAAGCGCAACATCCCTGACTTGTACAGAAACTGTGGTGCTCCATTCCATATAATCCTGAAAGTAATTAGTCCTTTGTTTGCCTCTCTCTATCATTTCCACCTTCTCTAGGAAGAAGCTGGAGGGAAGGTTGGATCAGTAAACATTGAGAACATGGACTAATACTTGGGGAGATGGGGGTTGAGATCCCCACTCCATGAAGCTCACTGGCTCAACCTGATCTACCTTATAGGGTTATTGTAGGGGGGGGAGGGAAATGGGTATATTATCTCTTTCCAAATGTACATAATAAAACCACCTGTTTGGAGAGGCATGCCATATTGCTGCTGGGGCTGGCCCTACTGTTGGGCAGTTGGCAGATGCTACACTGTATATCAACATCTATCACTAAGTAATTTGAATCTCCCGCCTCTCCTGGGTTCTTTAAGAGATAATAGATCAGATTGTTCTTTTTCCTTCCAGGACACAACCACACTTATAAGATTGGTAGGAAGTTCCCTATACCCTATTGTGGCCCAATGACAGAGGAGCCTTTGATCACAAAAGACCTTGCTTATGAGGTGGGTCCCACCTTAGTTTGCCTCCATGAAAACTGCACGAAAGCAGTCCTTCCTGGGCGAGGGTACAGGTGAGAAGTTTATTTGGTCTCATTGGGTAAATATCTTATTTACAGAGGAATGGTGTCATCTGGGTCTCGGTTGCATGCCTTGCCCTCTATGAATTTGTCTAATCCTAGTTGGCGGCCATCACTACTTCCTGAGGGAGCGAGGGAAAGAATGCGCAATAAACAATGCCTGTTGTATAACCTCCCTACAAACTTTGTGCAAACAAATCAGGACGAATGCCTAATAAACAGGTCATCTGGAAGCAACCAATATCTATCCTGCTCAGAGTTCCTCAGGAGAATAATAATAATAATAATAATAATAATAATAATAATATATTGTTTATACCCCACCCATCTGGCTGGGTTTCCCCAGCCACTCTGGGCAGCTTCCAACAGAATATTAAAATACAATAGTCTATTAAACATTAAAAGCTTCCCTAAACAGGGCTGCCTTCAGATGTCTTCTAAAAGTCTGGTAGTTGTCTTTCTCTTTGACATCTGGTGGGAGCGTGTTTCCGGGTGCCACTACCGAGAAGGCCCTCTGCCTGGTTCCCTGTTACTTGGCTTCTCGCAGGGAGGGAACTGCTAGAAGGCCCTTGGCGCTGGACCTCAGTGTCCGGGCTGAACGATGGAGGTGGAGATGCTCCTTCAGGTATACTGGGCTGAGGACGTTTAGGGCTTTAAAGGTCAGCACCAATACCAAGAGAAGGATAATAATCTGAAAAACCTCTGGGGGAAAAGTGGGCTTTATGTGTGTGTCCCATAAAGCATTAACCACGTCATGCCCAAATCTGTTTTTCTTGCCCTTCCCACTTTGGACAGTGCCCGGTACCTTCTCTACAATCAAATCCAGACCCTCCTTGCTGCAACCAACTGGTCCCGGCCTTTCCACACACGAGGTGACATGCGGGGCAGAGGGGTGGTGGTGGTACAAGGGGAACTACAGCTTTCAGGCATCTTGGTAGTCCAGGTCCAAGATTTATAGAGGGGTTTTTTTTGGGGAGGGGGAGGGGGATAGAGGACTGGAGAGAGGCTTATTTCCTAGAAGAACGGTGGTGAAACCTGTGATCCTCCAGAGATACTGCTGCACTACATTTCCCATCATCCCTGACCATTGGCTGTGTTAGCTGGGGATGATGGGAGTTGGAGTCCTGCATTGTCTGGAGGTCCACAGGTCCCCCACCCCTTCTTTAGAGTGAGACCAACTTCCTACATTTGTCCTCCAACAGGCGTTTGAGAAACGGTGCGGTGTAACGGTTAGAAGGCTGGACTTAAGAATCCTGGGTTCAAATCCCAGTTAGCCGTAGAGGAGACTGCGTGACCTGCTTGGGCTAGCTACTCTTGGCTGCCGGCTTGTTGTTAGGATAAAATGCAGGGAGAGGGGAACCCAGAGTTCTTTGGGGAAGAGAAAGTGTGAAGCAATTTAAGGAAGCTCTTCTCTTTGAGTGCCTGTTGAGCAACACCTTGTTTCCAAAATATACTAAAAGCACATGATTTTGGCTTTAGGTGCAATCCCCAGAACATGACCCCTGTGCGTATTACGGGCTAACTACATATACTAAATGTGTCTCGTCTCTTTTCCCTTTCCTTCCACGGTAGGTCTACCTATCAGTTTCCGTTCCATGGATGTTGCATTCGGAGGCCTCTCAGGAGGACTGGTGGCTGTCATAGTCCTGCTAAGCATCACTGTGTTCCTACTTTTGGGGGCTGCTTGGTTAATCGTGGCTGGGTGGCAGCAGTGATCTTCCCCAACTTTGTGAACCGGAAGCACTTAATGACGGAATCCTGGCCCAGTGTAGGATTCCAAGACCTGCCCACATTCCAGTGTCATCAGTGTTCTTATTGCAGCCTAATAAACGTGCCTTGCCTTTCGATCTTCTAGCTCTTCTCTGGATTGAGTGTTTTTGCTGGGGGCGACAACTCACAACTGTGCTGAGTGAGGCTGATGGAGACCAACATCATCTTGAGACCCCCGACTCTTGAATTCTAGAGTAGGTCAGGCTCAGAATTCAACAGCTTCACATTTTTAAACTTACCCCACCTCTCCCATCACTGTGAAGTTCCTGGGTTTCCTTTCCTTTGGCAAGGGGTCGCTGGGAGCTTGTGGAGTTCTGTAATATTTACAAATATACAGGTTGAACGTGGGTGGTGAAAGTAAAAGGTAAAGGACCCCTGGACGGTTAAGTCCAGTCAAAGGCGACTATGTGGTTGTGGTGCTCATCTTGCTTCAGGCTGAGGGAGCTGGCATTTGTCCACAGACAGCTTTTCCGGGTCATGTGGCCAGCATGACTAAACTGCTTCTGGCACAACGGAACACCATGAGCGCATGGAAACACAATTTACCTTCCTGCCACAGCAGTACCCATTTATCTACTTGCACTGGTGTGCTTTCGAACCGCTAGGTTGGCAGAACCTGGGGCAGAGCAACGGGAGCTCACCACCACCACTCAGATTCAAACCGCCGACCTTCTGATCGGCAAGCCCAAGTGGTTCAGTGTTTTAGACCACAGCGCCACCTGCGTCCCTAGGTGGTGGAAGTACCACTTTAACAACTCCCAACAGACAACCGTATCCACCATCCCACATCAAATCTCCAGAGTGAAGTATCTCAGTGTTCCCTGATGCTGCTACTTGCAGAACCACCCGAAATCAGCACTGATTATTATGGGTGTGTTCACATTACCACCCTAGAGCACAATGAAGTTGTGGTCCATCTCACAGCTCTTCCTCCTGCGACTTCCCACCAGCTGTTCATATCAGCACTGTCAATTTGGTGTTGGCAAGACTGGGACGTCCTTATGCAGGTGTGTTTTCACACCTTGGCTGGAGAGGAATTGAAAACAGCTCAAGGACTCCCATGGATGTGAAGGTGGTTTGGGAAACAACACCTCAGACAGGATACATATGCGTTTTGGATAACACTGTGTGAACACGGGTTAGAAACCCAAAACTGGAAATGGTGTGAGGGCGCAGTAAATGGGAGTGGGAACATAACCTGTGCCTTTCTAAAAACAAAACAAAACAAAACACTACTATTTGTTTATTTTCATAGGTACACAGGTTCCCTCCCAGTGGTCACTAGTTTGTGGAAGGGATTGAAGTGCATACCATGAAATTTAGGGTTTTGCACAATTAAAATGTATTAAAAGTACTCTGTCCCCCACAACAAATCATTGAAAGAAAGAAAGAAGACAACACAATTTGGGGGGTGGGGAGGAGCCTGGTGCAACAAAGTTCAAGATAACATTGACCTATGTATTTTGTTATTAACTTTATAGAGATAAGTCAGTGCTAGGATAAGGCTGTAAATAATAAATTATAAGATTTGATATGTGATATATATAGCACATCATATGATTATGTATTATATACGTACATATATGCCGATGTGGTATATTGCAGACAACTCTCAATTTTTGATTTGCCTGAAAGACTGCACAAATTTTGTCTTCTTCTAAATAGAGTTTTAAGGATAGAGGACGATATGCTATGCAGCGGAAAATGGTTATTAGCAGACTCCACGAAGGGGAGGAAGGAAGTCCGAGAATTCTGAGAATTCTACACTTTTTGATTCTATTTTATGTGTGAATGTAAAATTAAATGGTAAAACCAATAAAAACGTATTACAAAATTTCGACTTCTTCCCTCTTTTTTAAAAAAAGGAATCAATTTCCCCTTGCTTTCAAAACGTGGGTGTGCGTTTCTAAATCTTCATTTCCGAATAAGGGAGGCACAACATTAGAGCTAACATTTGACCCTCCAGACTGAACTCTGACAGCTGCTACTTCCAGCCCTTCATAAAAGGGATGCAGCGTTTGCTACAACCGTGTTGCTAAGTCAGCCTCTCCTGGGGCTTGTGTTTTGTTAGCTGTTTCTATCCCTTGTGGGGAGTGAAGATGTTCGGGTGGGGCCTCTCATTCTGCTCCTATGTTGTTGCATTTAGTGGCAAGCGGTTCCTTTGAGCATCACCGCTCTCTATTCCCCTTCCTTGGGCGAGCGTCCAAACAGGAGACCCCTCCTTAACCAACACTGGATGGTAGGTAAATCTTAACGACTTTTCTTCTTGTTTGTTATGCCTTTCGAAAAGCAAACCTAGCAGAAAGAGTTCGGGTATCTACAAATCCTCTACCAGGAGGAGCTTGGTAATTTTCAGCTGGTTTCACTTTAAAAAAATAAAACAAAAATACCTCTTGAATGTTATTCGTTAGCCTCCTACTTTTTAGGAAATTCATTTACAGTGGTACCTTGGGTTAAGAACTTAATTTGTTCTGGAGGTCCGTTCTTAACCTGAAACTGTTCTTAACCTGAGGTACCACTTTAGCTAATGGGGCCTCCCGCTGTGCCACCACCACACAATTTCTGTTCTCATCCTGAAGCAAAGTTCTTAACCTGAGGTACTATTTCTGGGTTAGCAGAGTCTGTAACCTGAAGCATCTGTAACCTGAAGCGTCTGTAACCCGAGGTACCACTGTATTTAAATGTTTACCCATCTGAGATTCAGAAAAGGGCAACCAAGATGATGAAGGAAAGGGCATAACTCCTTTATGCAGAAAGGTTGTCACTTCGGGGATTTTTTTAGTTTAGAGAAAAGGCGAAATTAGGTGACATGGTAGAAGTTTGTAAAACACAGCAAACAGTGAAACTGTAGAACTCACCCTCGCAGGACAGTGATGGCTTTAAAAGAAGATTAGGCAACTTTGTGGAGGAGAAGGCTACTAGCCATTATTCTGAATATCACTTGCTGGAAACGGCAGGAGGGGGAGGGTCTCTTGTGTTTAGGTCTTGCTTCCTGGTTTCCCACAGGCATCTGCTTGGCTCCTGAAAACAGGATGCTGGACTAGACAAGCCATTGGCCTGATCCAGCAGCCTTTCCTTATGCTATGCCAACTTTTTGATTAAATATCTCCCAATGCATCCTTGTTAAACTCTTCGGAAGTGGTGGAATTGCAACTCCTACCAGCCATAGCCAGCACTGCCAACGGGCAGGGACAATGGGAGTTGTAGTTCCGGCAGCTTCTAGCAGGTCCACAGGTTTGCTACCTCTGCTGTAAAGCATGGAATAAACCTACATGGATAGATAACATACACACTCTACAGCTTTATAATGGGGTCCTTTTCTTATGCTTTCTGTATCGCACAGTAACGTTCCAGTTTTAAATGCAGACTCTGCATTTAGGTTATGTCTGTGTATGTGTTTAGAAATCCACAATGTGCCTTTTCTTTTGGTAAAGCAAACTCAAGCCAGCTTGCAAACAACAACAACAAGAACAGGAAAACAGCCCAATTTTCAAATTATATTAGTCAAGAGCAGAGTAAACCAATCAGCTGGAAACCCTAGGGCCAATGGTTTAATCTGCATTGAAAACTTGGGAGAATAAAGAGGTCTTGCTGTTTGCCCCATTGTGTAGTTCACAGTCAGTGGCAGGCTCCCTCAGAACGTCCACAGCATACATTTAACAGCGCTTTCCCCCAAAGAATTCTGGGAACTGTAGTTTGTTAAGGGAGCTGGGTGTTGTCGCTCTGAGAGGGGTCTCTTAACCACTATCAGCACTCTTAACAAACTAGAGTTCCCAGGATAAACTGTGAAAGAAGTCATGACTGTGAAAGTGGCATAAAGGTGCTTTAAAAGTATGGTGCAGGTGTGAGCTACAATCCTGCAATCCTTTTCGACTGAAGGAATGGCCAAGGAGCATTTCAGGGTGGGTGGCTGTGCCTTCCATCTTCTTTATGCGATATCTCTTTGCTCCCGTCAGAATAGCATCCGCCTTGCAACAAGGTCTCCGAAGCCGCTCTGCTCTGTCGAATGGCTCTTACAAGAAAAATTGTGTTTGCTTGATGATGATGGGGGAACGATCAGTAGTCAAGAGAGCTGTAAACAAGGGCTTCCCTGTGGAGCACGTTGACACACAAGAGAGTTTGACCCGCTGTTGCGTATCTAGGGTTGTGCCACAGCTTTGTCAGAGGCGGCTGTGAAAGGAAAGATTTGTTGCTCAGGGTTCTTCTTGAGGGCTTGTGGGCAGCCGGGCTCAAAAGGATCCTGCACTTGGACTGGGGAAGCTGTTTCGATGGCAAATGCTTGGCCAGGAAACATGTCAGTGAAGAGCACCTCTGAGAATGAGCATTTCTTTAAGCCCCAAGGAACTTTGCAGGGCCTTGCAGGTCTGCTGCTAGAGTGCAGGGTTATCCAGGTGGCCTGAATCCCCAGCTCCTGTTTTTAAAATACCATGCTGTTTGTGAGATTGCTGAACGTCTGGCAGGACTGGGGGGGGGGTCTCAGCTCCCCCGCTTACCAGAAGTGGATTTAGGGCAACATGACCGGTTCCCCTGCGCCAAGGGAACACCTTCATGCCTTGTTCCTAAAGCCTAGAAATGCTTGCCCAGTTTTGGGAAGGAGCTGGAAGGGCTCTAGGACCCTGCCAGAGCCTGGCACCTCCTTCCCAAAGCCTGGCACCTCCCTTACCCAGCTTTGGGAAGGCACCATGAGGGCTGGGAGGGGGGTGTCACATTACTTCAGATAAACGTCAGACACATTTTGCATATGTGTGACATTGGTGGCAACATACGTATCCTTGCTAAGATGACTTGCTCAAGCTTCTAGTCCTCATGAAACCGAGAAGAGGTTTTGCACCTGTGTAGGTTTCATTTGCTAGGGCCTCAACGATCAGGCTTCCTTGCACAAGTAGTGGGAGGATTGGTGCTCTGCATGGCTTCGTGTGACTCTTCTTGTTGCACCTACAACTTTCAGTCTCGCCACCCACTGGTCCCCCACCATGTGTAAGCTATTGTGTTTTGAGTTTCTATTGGGATAAACGAGTGCTCAAGCTATACATTACATGACAGGCGCATGCCAAGTCTCCCCTCATGTTGCCTCTGCACAGAGTTTTCTTTTTGGACAATAGGGAGAAAAACTGTTATTTCTTGGTGGATGGGGATATGTCGCTATTATTATTATTATTATTATTATACACAGAATAAAATATTCACAGAATAAAATCAATATATAAAACCACAAAATACCTAATAAAAATAAAAACAACCCCAATAGCCCCCCCCAAAAAACACATTTTAAAAGGGCATAGGATGTAAATCAGGTCAACCAAAGGCCTGGTTAAAAAGGACGGTTTTTGCCTTGTGCCTTAAGGTGCATAATGAAGGCGCCAGGTGAACTTCCCTGGGGAGAGCATTCCACAGATGGGGAGCCACTGCAGAGAAGGCCTGTTCTTGTGTTGCCACCCTCCTGACCTCTTGAGGAGGAGGCACATGAAGGAAGGCCTCAGAAGATGATCTCTGGGTCCAGGTAGGTTCATATGTACTATATGTACTATGCTACATATAAGGTTTCGATGATTCCCTTAGCAGCTCAGCAGACCAGACACAATTTCACTCTCCATCACGGGGTCCTGTGCACTGGTGGGGACCATCTGTTTTCTGTTCACTCCTGTGCCGCTTGTATTTTTGTGACCACCAAAGTTTTCAACAAATAAATCTGACTAAGGCAAACCTACATTTCCGGTCTGTGATTGAGTCCCTCCCACAAAACAGGGATGGTCTGGAGGTGGCCTTGGTCTTTGGGGGTGGTCATGGCTTTCTGTTCCACGGACGTCCCACTTGCACTCCTGGGTTTATGTGTGGAAGGTCTCCTTGGTTTGTATTGTGCCACAGGCCAGCATTTTATCTTCCTCTGCAGAGACTCCCTGGTCTGGCAGTTTGAAAATGGATCTGAACCACCTTCTCGCTTGCCTGCTTCTGCTGTTCCTGGGTGCAAGCCACGCTACCACTGACGAAGCTCCTAGCACGCCCCTTTTCTCCTCTCCTTCCCCTCTCCCCACCACCTGGTCCTCCACGCCACAAACATCCCCCGAATCCACGCAAGGTCCCACATCAGACGCCACTGACGTGACATCTTCGCCCAAACCTTCTCTGACGCAGCAGGACCAGGACCACAAGGAGCCCTCGGTCTCCAGCCCACAGACAGAGAAACCCAGACTTCCCCAAGAGAAGATGGAGGCTGCTCCTTTCAAGTTTCCTGAGGCTGACATCGAGGAGTCTGGCGGAAGTCAGCAATGGGAGACTGCAGCTCAGGGAGTGGCCATTATGCTGATGAAACCCAAAGGTGAAGGTGCTTCTCCTGGGCTTTCAGGAAGGGCTGTGAATCATGGGTAGAATGTCTGCTTTGCAAGCAGAAGGCCTCAGGTTCAATCCTTGGCCTTGCCAGGTAGGGCTGGAGGACGAGGCATCTTCCTATGCCTGTGTGGGGTTTTGTGGAGGGATTAGGTAAAGGGACCCCTGACCATTAGGTCCAGTCGTGGCCGACTCTGGGGTTGCGGCACTCATCTCGCTTTACTGGCCGAGGGAGCCGGCGTACAGCTTCTGGGTCATGTGGCCAGCATGACTAAGCCGCTTCTGGCGAACCAGAGCAGTGCATGGAAACGCCGTTTACCTTCCTGCCAGAGCGGTACCCATTTATCTAATTGCACTTTGATGTGATTTCAAACTGCTAGGTTGGCAGGAACTGGGACCAAGCAACGGGAGCTCACCCCGTTGCGGGGATTCGAACCGCCAACCTTCTGATCGGCAAGCCCAAGAGGCTCAGTGGTTTAACCCACAGCGCCACCCGCGTCCCTGTTTGTGGAGGGATTAGTTGATTGCAATTCCAATCCTGGATTCTCCAGAAGGGCGCTGGGGTCGAGTAGCTCACAGACCAGTATGAAACCATGGACCTGGGAGAACTTGTGGCTATTGGGTGACCCTAAGCAAGCTGCCATCTATCAGCCTCAGTTGCTATATCTGTAAAATTGGGGTTAGAATGGGCTAGACCCAGACTCAGGCCCCATCCGCACTATGCATTTAAAGCTGCATCATACCACTTTAAACAGTCATGGCTTCCTCCAGTGAATCCTGGGAGCTGCAGTTTGTTAAGCATCCTGAGAGGAGACCCCTATTCCCCTCAGAGAGCTACAATTGTATGAGTTCCCTGGGAGGAGGGATTGACTGTTCAACGCTCTGGGAACTGTAGCACTGTAAGGGGAATAGGGGTCTCCTGACAACTCTCAGCAGCCTTAACAAACTACAGTTCCCAGGATTCTCTGGGGGAAGCCATGACTGTTTCAGGCGGCATGATACTGCTTTAAATGTAGATGAGGCCTAGCTTGGCTGCTCACATGTAGCCCAAATGAAGTGCATTGTCAAGAAAGTGGACAAACGAGGATACAGGTTTGCATAAAAACTGCACACGCCTGCTAACTTATATGGATAGACGCAGGATAGATGCAGTATTAGAAATAATTGCTATTATTTAAATAGAAATGCAGTACATCTGGGTCAGTGCGCCTGGCTGTTAACCAGAAGGTTGGTAGTTTGAGCCCACCCAGGGATGGCTGTGGGCAGGGTTCCTGCATTGCAGGGGTTGGACTAGATGTCCCTGGGGGGTCCCTTTCAACTCTATGGATCTATGAATCTCACCATAGTCGAGAAGGTGACCTGGGTGACTGCCTGCTCAGCTTGCTTACTGAGTGCTAACTGTTAACTGGCAATTTCAAGGCAACTTATTGTCTTCCAGTCTTAAACTTGACCTGGATGAGACAACCCTTCAAACAGACAAAGGGATGGGGAACTTTCTGCTTGTGGGCCTAGCAAGACTCCGCATGGGTCTCAGCTTGGCCCATGGGGCCATTTCCATGTCACACCCTCCTGATTGTTCCTTGACACGGGAGGCTTGCTAGGACTGGCTCCTCTATTTCATAGATGTATTATGTTTGATGTATTATAGTATTTTAATATTTTTTTGGAAGCTGCCCAGAGTGGCTGGGGAAGCCCAGCCAGATGGGCGGGGTATAAATAATAAATTATTATTATTATTATTATTATTATTATTATTATTACCTTAGAAGGGAGGACTGTGTTTCGTAAAGTAAGAGACATGTCCATGCTTTCCACGAAGCTCTCTGTGTGGGCTAGGGATGAGAAAGCTCTTTTCATTCCAGTTTCTCTCCGTTTCTCATTTTCCCAGTCTTAAATTCAGTTCTCCACATTTTGCAGGCATTTGTGTGTGTGTGTGAGTGTTTTTAATGAAAAATCCTTACGAAAATTCATCAGCTTTTTAGTGCAATTTTTCTTTCTGAGAAACACATTTTTATATGCAGCTTTGACTAACATACGCGTTTTTGCAAAGCAATTCCCCCAGGTATAATGCATTTTGTGCTTTCCCCGCCCCACTAACACCTTCATTTTCAGGGATGCTTCACACACACACACACACACACACACACACACACACACTGCTGCAAACTTGGAAGACTGCATTACAAAATTGCGAGAAGTGCTAACTTCTGAGGAGAGCTGCATTTTGGTTTGTGTATTGTTCCATAAAGTGAGGACTTGATAGGTTTGGCTTTGAATGTGGATGGGACCTCTCCTCCACCCCTGGTGTGGACCACGTGATATCATTCTTCCTTCTTACACAGGGCAACTGTCAGCTGGGGAAGCCCACACCGCAGCTAGCCACGCCATGGGGCTTTTTCTCGCTGGCTGCGGCCTGCTGCTCTGCCTCTTCATCGGGGTCTACTGCGCCTACAGCCGAGGATCCAAGAAAGAACCGTTTTCCCACCATCGCTTGTATGAGGACGGATTTGATGACCCTGGTAAGCGATGGGTGGTCTTTGGGAAGGAGAGTGAGTGGGACCCGGTGGGCTAGAATTGAGAAAAACAGTGCAGACGGCTGGACTATGCTTTGATACCAGCCGCCTGTCTGCACCGTTGAAAGGGAAAGATCAGGCTGGAGAACCTGTGATTGGACTGCAGTCCCCATCATCCTTGGCTATTGGCTGTGCTGGTGGGGGCTGATGGGACTTGGAGTCCGAGAACATCTCACGGTTCTTCACAGCTGGGGAAGATCATCACTGGTTACCCCTGCATACCCTCCAACATCTTGCAGACCAAAATTGGGATGCAAAGATGAGCAGGGTGGTTTAACCTACAAACAATTGTAAGGTAAATAAGTAAAAGGAAACAACAAATAGACCACCAGTTACAATAACTGAATAAGATGATGACCTGAGTAGTAAAAGCCTTGAGAAATGAAACACGTTGATGTGGGTGTCAAGTGAGCCTCCCTAGGGAGAAAATTGCCTAAATAAGGGGCCACCACTGAAAAGACCATTTCCCCCCAGTTGCAGCTAACAGGTGTTGAAAAAGATTTTTTCTTTTGCCAGTCAGCCAATACCAGGCAAAACAGATTGACTCAGTGAAAAGCAACTTCAAGTGGCACCTGACATGGTCATGTGATGCAATGGTCCATGGATGGGTTAATTTCTTACTCCGCTCCCCCCCCCCCATTTTCTTCCCAGCCCTCTTCCTGGACAGCCCAAAGGATTACGACTGGTTCTTCTACGAGACTGACGGTTACGTCTACCCAACGGCCTCCCAAGCCCAGACTCAGCCAATCCAGACCCTCTCAATCCCAGCTCTCAAGCAACCGCCCCCTGCTCTTGATGGGTCGCCAGGGAAGCTGGCGTCTTCCGAGGTGGGACAAGACTCCAAGCAGCCCCAAGCAAGCCCTGTGAAGCTGGAGTGCCTGTCCCCAGCCAACCTGCGCACTGGGAACTTCATCTGAGGCTCTGGACCCTTTCCAGAAAAAAATATGGGCTACGTGCAAATCCCTCTCCCCACTCCTGCAGACTGAATTCTCTAGGCCAGGGCTAGGCAGAAGGTAGGACAGCCTATTTACTGATAGGCTGCTGCTGGAGAATTTGCGGTAGATTGGCTCCCCAAAAAAGTAATGAGAAAAAATCCACCCCTTTTCCAAATATAGACTTTTTTTTTTTTTTAGAAGTCCTGATATGTAGAAATGCAGATGCTGTTTGGAATTTTTGATACATTCTTCCCCTGCATGGGTTATGGGTGCAGGAAGTAGTTGACTCCATCTCCACCCCACACCCCAAGTCACCACTTTGTTCCTTGCTCTTATTGGTGGAGCTCAGCTTCCTAGCAAAAGCAAACACAAAGCAGATCTTGCAATCCTGAAGTTTGCCCACATGTGCTATAGAGCACAGCCTATCTCCAGGTGCCCCCACTTTTGGAAGTGAGGTAGGCATTCTCACAGTAGTGGATCCTCGTCTGCATAGATGGTTTTTAATGCTGCCAGTTGTATTTCATTGCATTATTTTTTTAAAATTATGTGATACGTGTTTTTAATGCGAGGTGTTGTAAGTCAATTTGAGAATATGTATGGAAAGGCGGAAATATTTTAAATAAATAGAGACATGGAAACCCAAACAGGAAGCTTCACTTTCTAAATAAATAAATAAAAAAAATCCCTGTCCAAACCTTGAAAGCATAGAGACTGGCTTTTAGGAAGTGCACTCTGCACATGCTTAAAGGTACTCTAGCCTCCTGAACTTCATGCACTGAGGGGGAAGCTTCCCAGTCTTTAGGAACAGGGCTGCCAACTTTTTAACCAGCTGCTGCAGCTGTGTCTTTCACAGTAGCCTGATCTAATGCATTCTTTAAGGCGCCCCAAGACTTCGTTGCTTATGCTGCCATCAGCTGCCATGGCAGTTTCTCTGAAATAAGCTTGATTGTTGACATCGGGCGATATGGCTTATATCCATGATGTGATAAGCCTCACCAGCTGATTGCGGCACCTCCAGTCTGCTGGTAAAAGCACGTGAGCAGGCCTGTCTAGATCTGCTGTTGCTTTTCTAGTCAGTTGGCAACCTTACCCTGAAACAACCATTTGTGGCGTGTGACCAGTCTTGCCAAAATAAATCCAGGGAAAAGGTGTAACTCTCAAGCTAAACACTAGATGGCAACATGGGGTCAAATATCCCATCCTTGCCTGGTGGGGAAATCTGAGGTCTACTCCTGACAAGGGGTGGGAGAGTTAAACTGTGATGTGTAAAGTTTCTTAACCTTTAACCGTGGGCTAACCAAGTAATTTGAAAGTAAATGTATTGCATGACCTTGCATAACCTCAATCTGATATTTCAAAAATGCACACGCACAAAATATACATCTCGGCCCATTGTGCGTACACACAAAATCTCACTCCCCTTTTCGCCAGACTGCTAGGCAGGGGGAGAGAGCCGCGGCTCAGCCATTGTGCTGGATTAGGCCAGCTAGTTGAATCCATACTGACGAAGCCTCGCTCTGCGTCATCACCTCCTGCCAGTCCCCAGACACTGATTAAATTCCTGGCTTTCGGCTTCTTAAGCCCGACAGACAGACGGCGTCTCCTTCTTTCCCTCCCTCCCCATCTCTCTTCAATCTGTTCTGTCTCTCTATCTCTCTCTTCCACCTCCCCTGAGATAGGTACAGCCCTGCTTCCTGTAGCTCAGATCCAGTGCAGCTGATGTTCCTCCTGCCCCCTGGCCTGAGCATTCCCATTGTGCTTGCTTCCCTCTGACTGCCCTGCAGTAGTGAGATGTGCAAAGGTTAGGCCAGGCTCTCTCCAAAATGCATTTCTGGTTGCTGTAGGGTAGAGGTGGGAACAAGGAGCAAATGTATTCCCTTACCACTGGGACACCTGTCAAAGATTCCCCACGATTTTTTTTTTTAACATTTCATCACCCCCAGTTGGGGTTAATGCTGTAAGAGCCAGAAGGCATTGCAAAATAGTGAATGGCAAAGTTATTGGACAGGAAAGGAATTCAGAATTACCGGTACTCCAGAAACGTTTGGTCGAGTTGGCATTGTTGCATATGCACCAGTTTTTGTACCCTCTTTTTAAGAGAAACATGCAGGGTGATTCACAGTGTGCTGTCTGAAGAGCAGTTAAGATGTGGGAGGGATTGCTTACCTTTCAGACTGTGGGTAAAACAGTAAAGCACTTGTGGGAACAAAGTGGGACAGATCCCGGCCAAAACCCGCTCTTTCCACAGATTGACCAGCCTGCCTTCTACTTTCAGATACGACCCAACCTTGCCTCTGTTCTGTTCAGTTTCACAATGGGTTTCATAATGGGTTAATTAATTAACACCTTGGGAGCTGAGCTGAGAATATGGAAACAGAGTTCAGCTCTTCTGCAAGTTAATTAGGATAACTTTATCGAATCTGAGCTTCTGAGTAGCTCAGATCTCTCCAAGGCCTTGCAAGAGCTGCTTGCCCAACCTTAGGTCTCAGTTACATAGCTGTTTGGGATTAGGAAAGCTCTTTAGTTAAAAAACAGCAAACTAGCAGAAGATTCCTAGACTAAAGTTTACCCAGTGCGGAGAATAAAGCAACAGATTGTCAATAGATCATTTGGCATTGAGTGTTGTTTTTAACAGAGGCAGGAAGGTTATATAGAGCTCTCACAGTCAATGAAGGAGGTAATGATTGTGAGGCAATGGAGGCCTGAAAAATACCTGAAGAAACTAGAAGAGGATAAGATTTCCTCATTTACGAGGGCAGTTTTGGCAATGACAGAAGTGGCCAAAGCATGTATGAAGTGTTATTTGCTGGAAGTTTTCCAGAGGAGGAAAGACAGGCATTTGGTATATATGTGAATTTTACCCTGTTGTGGGACAGGGTGGAACTGATCCAATGGGGCTATTCCACTCTAGGGTGCTAAATGTCTATGACGCTCTGTGAGAGGGAGTGTGGATATGCATGAAGATAATAATAGTAATAATACTTAGTATTTATATAGTATTTTCCCCCAAAGTGCTCAAAGCGCTTCACTTACATTCTCTGCATAAAGCTCACAATACGATCCTGCAAAATTGGCCCAGAATTATTATTTCCATTTTACAGATGGGAGAAGGGAAACAACAAGGCTTGCCTCGGTTCATAGCAGAGCCTAGAAGCTCCAAATCACATGCTCGGTCTCGGAAGGTGAATGAATAGATAGATGCGCATGAAGGGAATTGAGGTGCAAACCTCAGTGGCAGAGCACATGCTTTGAGTGTAGAAGGTGGAAAGCTTGTCCCTGACCTCTCTAGTTAACATGAACAGGTAGGAAGTGATGGGAAAGACCTTTCTCTGCTGAGGACTCTGGAGGGCTGCTGCTAGATGGACAAAACAGTCTGACCTGGTATAAGGCAGATTTCTATATCCTACGAGAATCTCAAAGGTGGAATGTGGCTGTGTAAGAAAAATAGATCCCCTCTTCCCACCCCCAAGCAATCTACAAAAGGTATGTGCAAAAAAATATACAAGTCTATGTATATGTGTACACACACACGTACAAGACAATGCGTAGATACAGCAGCTGTGTCTCTCTGTGTGTGGCTGTTTAAGTTATCCAGGTACCTCTCATTCACAGCTGAGGTTGCTGCAAAAAGCGGGTTCAGGTATGAACTGTGGAACTAGTCTCCTTGGGACTGGTTGGGCGGAAGGCAGGGAGCCCAACAGTAGGTGGCGCCATAGAGCCAATGGCAAGTGGAGCCAACTAATTCTAGTTTTGTCCCCGTCCCCTGTCCTTCTCCTGCTGAGTTATACAAAGGGCAACAGGGAGAAGAAAGAGGAGGAAACGGACAGGCAGTGGCTCCTCCTGGACTGGTTGTTAAGCAGGAAGACTGGTGTTGGGGTAGGGGCAGGGGCAGGCTGAAGGCAGAATGAGGTGTGTGGGGCAGCTGACCCATGCACCTGAATGGACCAGCCTTACATTGGGTACAATATTCATAAAGATAATAATCAAATCAGTTTGGGGGCCCCTGCCATTCCTCCTGCCCCCATTTGTGTTGCTGATGCTACCAGTGTGTGTGTGTGTGTGTGTGTGTGTGTGTGTGTGTGTGTGTGTGTGTGAGTGAGTGGGGGGAAGGTGCTTATTCTTCTTCCTTTTTTTTCTCTTCCTCCTCTTCATCAGGCTCCTCCTCATCCTTCTCACTATACTGCGACGCCGCATCCATTTTTTCTGGAAGCTGGAAGCAGAAAAAACGGGGGGGTTGGATTATTATTTATTATCTGGGCATGTGTGAGTGTGCTTGTTTGGTGTCTAGACTTCTGTGCTGAAATCTCTCTAAATCCCTTTGATCAGCAAACAAGGATTCCGGGGGCTTTTCCTTCGCAGAAGCTCCTGTGCTGTTAACATCTGCATGGCAGGGAGCACAGCAAAGCAATGCAAGCACAATAATGCGGGGAAGAGCAAAATACCTGTTGAATTCTCTCCCCTGAACTGGCTTGGGCTTCTTAAAATAAGCAGGAGTCTCTGCCAAGCAGCGAGCAAATTCAGATCCTGCCCTCGATATTGCAAATCAGGAAAAGTTTATCTAATTAGCTTGATTTGCATGCAGCAGGACTTTCACGTTTATACTTTTTTTCTGAAAAGGCGCTGGAGCTAAAGCCCATTTTGGAACCGAAAGGATTTCCACTGCACATAGCTGTCAACTTTTCCCTTTTTTAAAGGGAAATTCCCTTATTCCGAATAGGATTCTTTGCAAGAAAAGGGAAAAGTTGACAGCTATGCCACTGCGCGACTTTAGCTTGCAACACAGAAGTGAATTGGCTTTGTTTAACCCAGTGATGAGAGAAATTAACTTTGTACATGCCCAGGGGTTCACTTTACTTCACATGCCCCGCGGCTAAATCCAGACAACGTTCCTGATCCCTGGCTCAGATCAAGTCTTAGCTCAGAGTTACAGGTAACAACGGAAAGGTAGGTCACCGGGGCTCAAAGATTATCTTCCTTGTGAATAAAGGCTTACAGCAAACATCTTAGTTTAGAGAAAAAGAGGGTGGAGAAGGCAGGAAACGCAGCACACGAAGAGGTTTGGGAGATCAATTACAGCAGGACTGGGGAGCCTGTGGACTTCTGAATGTTGTTGGGCGCTGACTCCCATCAGCCACAACCAACATGACCAGGGAGGATGGGAGTTGGAATGCAACCACGTAGAAAGGGCCACAGAGATACACAGGGATGGAAACAGTGAAGAGGAAAAAGTGATTTGCCCCTTCTCAAAAGCAGGTATTCAGGGGCCACCCACTATAATCAAGGCAGTAGGTTGAAGCAAAGGGAAGGACATTTCCCCCCATTCCATGATGCAAAACTGAGCACCAATAGGACTTGCTGGGTTTGTTCACTCAGGCGCACTCACTCCTTGCGGATCACAGCATGCGTGAAAAAGATGTATTAAGAAAAAATCGAACAAAATTAAAGCTTAGAGCTTTCTGTGCCCCTTTACAAACATATCTCTTTGAAGGCTCTGCTTTTCATTGGAGCTGCTGTCACTATTAAAGAGAGACCTTCCTGCCTCTCTTTAGTGAAAGCAAACAGCCCCGTTTTATTTTTCCAGCCATTTTTCCAGCCATTTGCTGCGAGAGATGGACTTCTCTCGTATGCAGAGGTCCCTGAGGATGCAGGTTCCTCCTTATCGCCTCAGCTGATGGGAATGGCAGAAAGAATCGTATTGCTAGCCCTATGCTTGGGGCTTCTCAACATGCTGAGTGTTGGGCCAGCAATGCCCCTTGCACTGTGGATTGACTCAGAGACGGAATTCAAAACCAAAGAGGCCAGCACTAAAAAGGCCCTGCTCTGAATCTAAATCTGGCCCTCAGCGCCACAATGGTTCCCTGTTACATACAGACACAGTAGGCATGAGAATAGAAGCCCGAAGGAAGACTGTCCTGAGCTGTGTGGGCTCAGCTCTCATGTCCAGATGTTCTTATGTCCCCAGTGACTGTCGGCTTCTCCCAGGCCCACTGAACATTCACCGGGAACGTTCTCCTGCTCACCTCTTCCTCGTCCTGGCTGGGCAAGACGGTGTAGCCAGACCCGATGGAGCCCTCCTGGTGATTGGCCAGAGCCTGCAGCTTAAGGGTAGTGGGGTCTATCTCAAGCTCCTCCCCCCTTCCGTCAATGAGCGCCAACTCTTTCTGGGAGAGGAAATGGACGATGCCTGCACCAAAGGAGTCGCCTACCACGTTGATGGAGGTCCTCATGCGGTCCCTGAAAGGAGGAGGGAGGAAAACAGGGAGGAGGGGGTTAGAGCAGGCTTCCTCAACCTCGGCCCTCCAGACGTTTTTGGCCTACAACTCCCATCATCCCTAGCTAGCAGGACCAGTGGTCAGGGATGATGAGAATTGTAGTCTCAAAACATCCGGAGGCCTGAGGTTGAGGTAGCCTGGGTTAGAGTGACGTAGTCAAGGCCTACCATCGCCTTCGCTTCCCATCCTGCCATTGTCCTTGCTTCCCACCTATCTGCTTGCATGTGTGGTCATTACGTTTTGCCATCGCTGGAGCTCTCTGTCCATTGGACAGCCTTCCAGGAAGAGAAGACCTCTCTTGAAGGAGCTGCTTCGCAGAAAAGCCCACATCATATTGCCTCGCACTTCCTTGGGCCAGGCCTATGCAAGTTCATGGGACTTTGGCAGAAATAGGCAAGGACTGTAAATGAAGCAGTATGACCACCCTGCAACTTTTGCAGGCATGAGCGGTACTGAAAGCGGGATTGTGTGTGACCGCCTCTATAGGTATAAATTAACATATGCAAATTCCACACATTTTTCTAAAAATAAACAAATTAATGGCTGAGGAGATAAAAAGGCAATGGATGAGGTTCTTCCCCTTCCCATTTTATTTGCACAACAACCTTGGAAGGTATGTTAGGCTGAGAGGCTGTGAGTGGTTTAAGGTCGCCAAATGAGAGCTTCACAGCTGAGTGGGGATTATGAACCCTGGTCACCCAGGGTCCAGTCCAACACACTAACCGCTATACTGCACTGTCTCTCAGACGTATTGTGGGTTGTTGTTTTTTGAATGACCCTGAAGGGGGACATTGATGTCGTGGTTTGACCACACTCCACTACCAAGCCCCTGCCCTTGACGTCACTCACAGTAGCCAGTCCACAGCAATGAGGAGGCTGATGTCCTGGGTTGGGAGTCCCACGGCTGTCAGGATTAAAAGCATGGTGACCAGCCCCGCACTGGGTATACTGGCTGCCCCTACACTAGCCAATGTGGCTGTTAGGCTGTGGGAACAGAAAGGGAGAGAAATGAGATGTTCGTTCACATTTATAGGCCGCAGAGCATCAAAGCAGCTTACAAAATTCAAAACAAGTAAACAGAGCCATTATTAAAATAAGCAATGTAATTGCGGAAGGCAGCTGTAGCTCAGGGCCAGAGCACCTGCTTGGCATGCAGAAGGTCCCAGGTTCAATCCTCTGCATCCACAGGTAGGGCTGGGAGAGACCCCAGTCTGAAACCCTGGAGGACTAAATGGACAAATGGTCTGACATGGTAAGAACATTTGGGGATGTTTTGCCCACCAAAACTGTGGAAAAAGTCTTGGACAAATGCTTTGGAACAGTGCTAGCTTTAATGGCTCAAGTACGAAAGCCCTGTAGCAAAGAAGCTATACAAATCTTTGCTGGAGGGAATTCCACAACCCCGGTGCCACAACCAAAAAGGCCCTGCACTCTGCCACTACTACTTTTCTGAAGGCTGCAAACAAGGACTCTGACGAACTGCTTAATAAGTGGGCAATTTTGTTTGTGAAATGAGATTGACTCTCCTGCCCTTGGGGTGAGTTACATCTGACTTGGGCACCAGCCAGCTCATGAGGGGAAAAAACAAACCAGGCCTACCGAGTCACCTCACCTGACTGTTGCGATCTGTCCGCCATCTAAGTGTATGCTGTTCATCTGTGCAATGAAGATGGCTGCCACAGCCTCATAGAGAGCGGTGCCGTCCATGTTTATGGTGGCCCCAATGGGCAGCACAAAGCGGGTCACCCGCTTGTCGATTTTCAAGTTCTCCTCAAGGCAGCGGAAAGTGACAGGCAGCGTCCCGGCGCTGGCGTGCAAAGGAGGCGGCAGGGGTAGCAGGGACGTAGGGAAAAGTGATTTTAAAAGCTGCATGTCTATACATCATTTCTCCAAAACTCCCCTACCTCCTCATTCACCCGTATCTGGACGCATTGTTTGTACACCCTGTAGCCAACAATTCTAAAGGCCCAATCCATATTTAATTTGAGTAACATGGCTGCTGCTGAGGTTGGCTGCTCCTCTTTCTCCAAAGAGAGGAATTCGATCCTGAGGAATTCCTCCCTGAATGCTGCCTGGCAAGAAGAGAAATGGGGGAGGCCAGCAACCCACCCGCCCATCACTACCTGCTGACCTTGAGGCCCATATTTTGTTTAATGGGAAATACTAACTTACGTTCTTGTAATTCTGCTCGTTTAGCGTATGACAGAATTTCTTAGTTGTCTATTGGTCCTGTTTATATGTCTTTTTGAAATCTTTGTATACTATTTTTCTCTGTTCGTTTGCATTAACTTTGTTCCCTTGCTCTGGGACTGAAAACATTCCATGAGGAGGAATAATAATAATAATAATAATAATAATAATAATTTTATCATATATACCTCGCCCATCTGGCTGGGTCTCCCCAGCCACTCTGGGTGGCACCCAACAGAATATTAAAAACACGATAAAACATCAAACATTTAAAACTTCCCTAAAAAGGAAGTTTTATAAATAACAAAAAACTATATATACACACACACCCTGAACCCATGTTCCATAAACCCCTGCCAACATACACCCAAGTTCATAAATTAACAAAATGCTTAACTGATAAGTATTTTTTAAAAAAATAAATACTATTTTATGTAAACCACATAGAGGTTTTGCTTTGTTTTTTAAAAAAATTAATTATGTGGTCTATTAATTTTCTCAAGTGAGCAGATAAATGAAATGTCCATCACCACATAAACAGTGTCTGCTAAAAAGGAAGCCATGCGAGAGCTGCCCGTACCTGGAGGCTGTGCCAAGAGCCGTAATCCAGGCCTGGAAGATGCCAGCGTAGAAAAGGAAGGGGTTCTGGCGCGTGATGACGAAGAAGATGAGGGGCAGCACCATAGCACCGTGGATGACCAGCCCCACAATGACCGTCACCATGTACATGCCCAGCTGACGGGCCACCATCTCCAGGTCTTTGATACCGGCAATCTTGCCGCAGATGAGGGAAGCGATGCCAAACGGAGAGTACCTACATTGAGGAGGGGACGTTCAGAAGACTGTCAGATGCGGTCGCAGCAGCCGAATGAGCAGCGCACAGATAGACTACGGAACTCCCTCCCACAGGAAACAGGTATGGCCATTGTCGTGGACTAGCTAGACACAGAGGAATGGTGGGAGGCACCAGCTGGGGAGCCCCGAGGGAAAAAGGCTCAGAGTCGGGGGATTAGTGGTGGGACAACGATGAGTGGTCAAAGGGAGAAGACTGGGATGAGTTGGAAGCTGAAGAAGCAACAGGGTTTAGTGAGCAGGAAGAGCCTGCGGCAGAGAGCAGTCCAGAATCAGAGCAGGGACAGAAGCAGGTGAGGAGGGAAGCCAAGAGGCAGAGATGAGTCAGGCTGGTGAGGAAGCAGTGAGAGAAGCACCATTGCTCAGGTAAAATCCCATCCGGAGTAGGAAGCCTTGATGGCTAGGCTGGACAGGTGGGGCCACTTCAACCCCTGGGAATCCTTTTTGCTTCACATGTTCCTCTAGTCTACACCCCCCAGCTCTCACCACACAGGGGAGTTGTACATGGAGGTACAGGAGCTCATTTCTACGTCTGGGTGGTGCTCAAATTAATAGGGGTGCAGAAGTCAGAGGGATCTAGGCCTCCCTATCTTTCATGATGGCCCCATTAGTGGAAGGGCATGGGGGGAGAGGGAATTAGTGGTTAGTTTGAGTGTGTTTCGAAAAGGGTCCCCTAATTCCCCCCCCCATTATTTGATCACTGCCTTTACAGTGTTTCTCAACCTGTGGGTCCCCAGATGTTGTTGGACTACAACTCCCATCATCCCTGGCCACTGGCCATGCTGGCTAGGAATGATGGGAGTTGTAGTCCAACAACATCTGGGGACCCACAGGTTGAGAAACACTGCTTTAGAAGCTTCCAACACCTGCTTTAAAGACAAGCACTTTCTGGGTGCCTGGCACAGCCTACTCGACTTGTATGTTTGGAAATAACCAAGTACAGTTGTGACCTGCAACTCAACACTTCTTTGTGGAGGTCTCCTCCTTTAGGGTTCCAGCCAGCCATGCCCTTTGCAGGGCACTCCATTCCAGACTAATCCATCTCCTGCCCCCTGGCTGGTTTCCCTCAAGGCAATCAGATGCTGCTCAGTGTTCTGTGGCCAATGGGCACACTCACTTTTTATTTTAGGGGTCTCCACCCAAGCTTTTTAAAATCTGCTATTACCTCCCTCTTAACTATATGGACCGTATAGTTAAAGCTATGGTTTTCCCAGTAGTGATGTATGGAAGTGAGAGCTGGACCATAAAGAAGGCTGATCGCCGAAGAATTGATGCTTTTGAATTATGGTGCTGGAGGAGACTCTTGAGAGTCCCACGGACTGCAAGAAGATCAAACCTCTCCATTCTTAAGGAGATCAGCCCTGAGTGCTCACTGGAAGGACAGATCCTCAAGCTGAGGCTCCAATACTTTGGCCACCTCATGAGAAGAGAAGACTCCCTGGAAAAGACCCTGATGCTGGGAAAGATGGAGGGCACAAGGAGAAGGGGACGACAGAGGACGAGATGGTTGGATGGTGTTCTCGAAGCTACCAGCATGAGTTTGACCAAACTGCGGGAGGCAGTGGAAGACAGAAGTGCCTGGCGTGCTCTGGTCCAGGGGGTCACGAAGAGTCAGACATGACTAAACGACTAAACAACAACAATATTACCTCCCTCTTACACTTAAATAATGCCATTTTGGCTACGTACGGCTCAGCATTCAAATAATGATTTTGCTGTTGCTATCTCTGATGGCAAAAAGACCCAACAGCAATAAACCCAAAGGACTGTAGTTCTTGCTTCCATACTTACAAGGAAACTGGCACTGGGTTGTTTTTTTTAAAAAAAGAAATTAATCTCTAGGTTGCATATCTGTATGTGAGTCTCTCTTACCACATGATCATAGAGACCAGCTTCATGATGATCTCGTTGAGGATGTTGAAGAAGTCGGCCATGGGCTTAGCCTGCTCGCCCATCTTCCCCATGCAAATGCCAAAGGCAATGAAGAAGCCAATCAAACCTGCAAGGGAGGGGGGTGAGGAGAGAAAGGGGGAGTCAGAGAGAAGGAGGGATCTCTCGCCAACCCTGTGCTCTGTCTCCCCAATAGAGGACGCAGAATGAACAGTTTAAAACACACAAACCCACCTACCTCTCGTCTCTCACCTGCACACCAGATGCAGGTAGGAGGAAGAGAGGTGTGCTTAATTTATGTTTATTATTAAAAATGCTAAATTTCAAAATTGAAAACGGAAATGTCGAAACAATGTTGAGTTTGTAAATTTCAAAATTCAAATCTGAAATGTTGAAATAACATTGAGTTTGAAAAACATGTAAAACATGTAAAAACGAGTCTTAACCAATGCCTTTTGAAGGCCAAAAAAAGGATTAAGTATTAATGTGCCAAATTCAATTTCTTCTCTGCTTTTCTACCCCTCCCCTATTTTATTTATTTGTTTTTGAATTAATGTACTGCCCAATTAACAGTGGGGGTTTTTTGGGGGAGGGGGCACAGCTTTAAAAACCATACAATTAAAACACAAACATCCAAGGCCTTGTCTACACGTGTAGAGGATGGTGTCCAAATTCCTAGGTGGTAGAATGGGCAGAACCATTTCAGACAGCAGAGGGGAGATCACAGTTGTGAATGCTCCCATATTATAAAGAAACAACCTAAAGCAGAAAGCACTCACAGCAAAGAGAAGGTTGAGACCAAACCTTTCCTGCTGATGTCCTGGGTCCACCCCACTCCTCTTGTTTGTGTGGTTTTGGCAGGGAGTTTCCCCCCTGGGGAATAAAATGCCATCCTCTACCTGCAGCCTGCAGTGGTACGGTCCTTAACTCCCACCATCTCAGGCTTCTACCACTTCATTCTGCTGCATGAATAGCATTCATGACGGAGGACATTCTAAAAGCATGCATATATAGTTTTAAAATTTAAAAATGATTCCACGTGGCATGGCTATGACTGCGTGAGTTGTTTGTCCACAGCACCCTCCATATTTGCTCCCAGCCTCTCTGCCGAGCTCTTCCACTTTTGCTCTTGATCAAAGGCTCACCCAAAACGTTCATTCCAGCCTTGAACTCCAGCTGCTTCTGGGTCACGGTGCTGGGACCCACGTTGACCTCCGTGATGGTGGTGTTGAGCACTGACCCACTGGCGTGGACTATCTGACTCACGTTTTCCTTACGGACCACAACCGGGGGCACAGGGATCTTCGTCGAGACGGTTTGGATCTGTGTGAGAAAGAGGCGGCATGGTAGGTGGAGAGGGCGGTTTGGAAGCAACCAACCACTGCCAAACCACTGTCCCAGGCCCCGTCGGCCTTTGCCTCCCTGATCCATACATTTGCTACTTGCGTTACCTGCTGGAAACAGGCTTGGACCAGGTTTTCGGGGAACAGGTTCCTGATCAAGTCCAGAAAAGCGTCCAGACTGGAGACCTCCTCGTTCCTAGTCATCACCGTGGGGGATTTCTTGAGTTTTGGGTTGCCGGGGTGGATAGACAAGACCAGAATGACGCCCAATATGGCCGCCACCACAGTGGTGGACATGTAATAAACCATGGCGCGAGTGCCCATGCGCCCGCTGGATTTGGCATCGAGGCCGGCCAGACCTGCCCACAAAACACATCACAAGAGGTTACGGGGTCAAGGGATGGAGAGAGGCCACCCTGCCTAAGCCCATCCTCCATGGAAGTACGTAAGAGGTGGACAGACCAAACAGAGAGTCACAAAGAAAATAATAGTTGGAAGGAGAGGAGGCAGTTGCAGAATGGTGTCTCAGGGAGTGGGACCAGCTTCCTTCTGCTGCTCATGATGAGCCAATTACTGGGATAGCTAAAGGTAAAGGACTCCTGATGATTAAGTCCAGTCAAATTTGATTATGGGGTGTGGCGCTCATCCCCGCTTTCAGGCCAAAGGAGCCGGTGTTTGTCCGCAGACAGCTTTCCAGATCACGTGGCCAGCATGACTAAACTGCTTCTGGCACACGGAACACCGTGACGAGTGCCAGAGCGTATGGAAGCGCCGTTTGCACTGAGATAATCAGCATACAGGGGACGCGGGTGGCGCTGTGGGTTAAATCACAGAGCCTAGGGCTTGCTGATAAGAAGGTCGGCGGTTCAAATCCCCACAACAGGATGAGCTCCCGTTGCTCAGTCCCAGCTTCTGCCAACCTAGCAGTTCGAAAACACGTCAAGTGCAAGTAGATAAATAGGTACCGCTCTGGCGGGGAGGTAAACGGTGTTTCCGCACGCTGCTCTGGTTCGCCATGCTGGCCACATGACCTGGAAGCTGTACGGCGGCTCCCTCGGCCAGTAAAGCGAGATGAATGCCGCAACCCCAGCGTCGGCCAGGACTGGACCTAATGGTCAGGGGTCCCTTTACCTTTACCTAATGCGCATACAATACAATAACAAATCTGCATCTGATGTAGAACAAATTGGGGTTTCTAACACAAATCTCTTATTGGCAAAGAGAGGTGTACCAAGACCTGGTCAAGGAGAGAGCCAATGTGGTGGTTACAATGTCAGATTAGGACGTGGGAGACCAGGGTTTGAATCCCCACTTGGCCATGAAGCTCACTGAGAAACCTTGGGCCAGTCACTGCCTGACACCTTAACCTGGCTCACATATAGAGCCCCTTCACACACCAGTCAAATGCACAGATCAGGTGGCATGTTCACTGCATGTGTTGATAGTGATAGGGGCTGGTCTCCCACAACTAGGGATGGGGAAGGAGTTTAATTCAGTTCACATTTTAAAGACGTATATTTACGAAATAATATGCGAATCAAAACACAGCTGTCCTACAAAATTCACACTTATTCAGATTTAGCAATGCGGTTCTCCAACCAGTGTCTACAAAAATTCATATATAGGGCAGAGTGTGTGTATAAAAATGAACATATTAGTGATGATGGTGCAGTTGGACATAACTATGTATGAATGCTATTTAGTGCACAACAGGATTAAGACTGGAGAGTTCTGTTCCTATACTCAGCTAAGCCATGCCCCCTCACTTCCATGAGGGAGGAAGTGAAGCAGCTTCTCTTCCTCTCACTCTTTCCATGCCATTTAAGTGACCAAGGATGATGTGTCTAAGCAAACTGCAAGCTTAGAACACATATTTTAAGCTTTCTGTATTTTCTACCCAAGAGTATTCTGCCTGTGTTCACCTTGCTGCTACTAGGATAAATGCATGAATCTGACCTTTGGAGCATTTTGTAAGTAAAACATTTAAAACTTACTTAACAGTGTGTGCTCTGATCATTGCAAGAGGAGTAGAAAATGGGTGAAGTGCTGTATGCAACTAAACAGGATAAAAGGGTCTAACAACCTATATTCCTAATGCTATACTGCTGCTTGACTTTTGTGAGCTTAAACTCTACTCCTGGGTGCTCCCGCCTGCTGGAGAGTGACTTTATCCCTGTGTTTTCAATCTGGGCACCCAGCTGATTCTTTTGTTATTTAACTCACACAGGGATCACAGGGACTGATATTTTCCTCCTACAAATATAACATACAAAAATGCATTAAATTAGGGGGAATTGCTTGCAAAAATATGTTTGCTAGTCAAAACTGCTTATAAAAATGTGCTTGTTAGGATAAATTTGCTCAAAATTTCTGATGATTTTTCATTATTGCAGAAGTGTGGAGAACTGAATTTAAGACTGGGAAAAGGAGAAATGGAGAGAAATGAAATTGACCGATCCTTCCAACCTTTCCCACAACCCTCTCTTACATTCTTTCAAGGCATGGGGGGCTCTTATGAACTCACCTTGGATGCCATTTCCCCCACAGTTTCACAATTTGTTCCTTGTTCCTTTCAGCGAAAACCCAATCTCTTGGAAGGCCAGCTAAGCTATACAGAGGCTAGCGCCCCACTTCTCAGGTTTGGGATCTGGAGCCATTTCTCCCCCCTCCCCCTCTCACCTGAAATGAGACTGGATATCACAAGAGGCAAGATCAGCATTTTCAACATGCGCATAAGGATGTCCCCAGGAAAAGAAATCAGCATGATCAGGTCGCTGTCGAGAGGTGGGAGCAACCTCAGGAGACTTCCAAACAGAGATCCCAAAATCACTCCTGAAACAAAGAGGAAAAAGAGAAGGTCCCAGGATACTTCAGAAGTAACTGTCACCAGGTTGAGAGCAGGACTAGGCTCTTTATCGACAGGGGGTCCTTTATCAGTGGTAGCACTAGGGTTGGGCTTTGGGGCAGATGTCCAAGGTCCCATGGATCCTAATGAAAAGGAGGGTTCTCCCAAATGTAGCAGGACAGAGAAGTAAATAAAGTAATTCCTGTGACCATAAAATAATAATAATAATAATAACAATAATAATAATAATATATTTATACCCCGCCCATCTGGCTGGGTTTCCCCAGCCACTCTGGGCAGCTTCCAACAGAATATTAAAATACAATAACCTATTAAACATTAAAAGCTTCCCTAAACAGGGCTGCCTTCAGATGTCTTCTAAAAGTCTGGTACATCTGGTGGGAAGGTGTTCCACTGGGCGGGTGCCACTACCGAGAAGGCCCTCTGGCTGGTTCCCTGTAACTTGGCTTCTTGAAGTGAGGGAACCGCCAGAAGGCCCTCAGCGCTGGACCTCAGTGTCTGGGCAGAACGATGGGGGTGGAGACGCTCCTTCAGGTATACTGGACCGAGGCTGTTTAGGGCTTTAAAGGTCAACACCAACACTTTGAATTGTGCTCGGAAACGTACTGGGAGCCAATGTAGGTCTTTCATTTACCTCAGCCCCCATTTACCACATGTCCGCTCACCCCTCTTGGTGCGGCGGCATTGAGGGATGGCAGAGGCTTCACTGGGGCCCCGATGTGGGAACTGGAACTGCCATGCCCTTCCTGATAGGTGGTGTGTGTGTGTGTGTGTGTGTGTGTGTGTCAGAAGCCTCGCCGCCCCCCCCAATCTATCATGAACTGGATCCCAGCTTGCATCCTGTTTTGGCAAGAGGGGATACAGGCTGGGACTTGGGCTGTGTCAGGGGGTGGAGCCAATGGAGTGGGGAGGCTTTCCCTCAGAAAGCTAATCATTAATAATAATAATAATCTCTAAAGATGGACACCCTGATAAATCCATTACGTCAGAGTCTAAGACCACTGTCCCATTAAACACTTACCTGGGAGGAATCATAGAATTGTGGAGTTGGAAGGGACAGTGAGGATCATCTAGTCCAACCCCAGGAATATGCAGCTGTCCCATATGGGGACCGAATCTGCAACTCTGGCGTTGTCAGCACCACGCTCTAGCCAACTGAGCTATCCAAGTCCCACCAAATTCAGTGAGGTAATTTCCATCTGTTTTAGTGTTTTAACTTTTGTATGTTTAAAAATATAACTGTGATTTGTTTCTTGGTTTTACTGTTTTATCTTTAGTAAACCACTTTGAGGTTGTTGTTGTTGTTTACAATCAAGCAGTGTATGAATTTCATGAAATAAATAATAATAACAATTAGGGCTGAGCGAGCTCAGTGGTCATGGAATGCTGACTGAATGTTGGGTGTGGGGGTGACAACTGTGTGTGTGTGTGTGTGTGTGTGTGTGTGTGTGGGAGGGCGTTTAATGGAAATGAGTGCCTGGATTCCTGAGTGGCCACTTGCCACCTGCTAAAATTGGCACATCGAGATGCCATTAAATGCACAGGACAGAAAGCGGTCCGTTCAGTTTGCAAAACTATCTGAAACTGGCTTGCGATTGTAGTGCACAGATACCGCCCCCCACGCAAAGCCGAACTGCTGCTCTAGATGCTGTGTGGGTGTGCTAAATTCAAGCATTCAGGGCAGGATCATGATGATACCGATTTCTAAACCGTTTGGTGAAAACAGGATCTTTTCATGGGATCTGTTCACAGAGTCAGTGTCCTACTTGGAGTAAAGCCAGGCTACAGGGGTTCACGCCCCCGAATCCTCGCTGGGAAAAGATCCAGGATAAAAATTGCTGGATACTGCCAGGGCAAAGTCAGGACAGCTGGGAGGGAAGGAAGGGCAATAAACCAACCCTCTCCTGATCCTACTTATTATATCCAGTGCTGCAGAGACCCCCTTATTAAACTTACTGGAGGTCTTTTCATTGTTGTTGTTGCATTGAAACCCATGGGTTCTCTTGCCCAATGAAACGACGTTCAAAACGAACTGTATAAATCAGAGAAACTGGTCCAGAGGTGTAGGTTTTATTTTGAACTACGTCTAGAGGTTTGGCAAGGGTGCATGAAAAATTATTTTAGCCACGGATGGGAGAGGTGAGGGGCGACAAAGAAATGCAAATAGGGAAGGGTATTATGAATGCATAATGCAAAAGCATTTTGTTCTAGACATTGTTTGCATTTCCCACAAACATTTTTCAACAGCGCTGAGAGCTAGGAACTTGCTCAAATGGCAACAGCAACAGAAGCCGAGATTATCAAGGGTCTGCATTTTGAACCATATATCGCACATGGTGTGGTATTATGCACATGCAGGTATCCTGAAAGAAAAATATGAATAAAGGCCAGTGTGTACAATTGCCAGAATCAAGTAATATAAGGCTTCAGCCTCCTGTATAAAGCCATTTATGAGGTTTGGAGCAGCAAATGTTTTATTGTGTTATCAGTCCAGGGCTGGTCATGAGAAGCAGAGCTGGAAATGAAGAACCCCAGCACAGCTGTCAAGCACCTTCCTTTGGTTATTGAGACTGCAGACTGCTCTTAACAGCTTCAGAGGGCAAGACTCATGCCTGAGCCCCCTTCATGGGGAAAAAAACCCCTCTCCTTGGACTCCTCTAAATACCACCTCAGTCAGATGACCTAATCTGCGTGTTTCAGTTTCTCCAGTTTCCAATCTTAAATTCGGCTCTCCAGATTTCCACATCAGTTTTTTTAATTTCTACCCCCCCCAAAAGTCCTGATAACAATATCAGCATTTTTCTCTTCTAATACACACATTTTTGCAAAAAAACAATTTCCCCCTAATATGATCCATTTTTGCACACATTACCTGCACTGCAATATTTGGAGAAGTGCGACAGTAACTCAAAGCGAGATCTCCCTCTCTTTCACACACGCACACGGCCAGCCCTGCTGGCATTTTGCTCTGTGGCACAAAGCTCCCTCTTCCCTTTTTCTCAGCGCATGAGATGCTGGTGTCCTCTGGACCCTTTTGCCCTCTCCTTCAAGCTGATTAGGAGCTGTCAGTGGACGCAGGGAGGGTGGGGTGGGGGCCTTGGGTGAAGCTACAGGGATTAGACCCTGTTTAATTTTCTTTCTCCAGGGCAATGACGTAAAAGAAACAATGAGAGACTAATGAAATCCTGGCCTTTTACCCTGTGCTACGAGACTGGATGGCTAGATGGAGCGTGTGCGTTTTTTCCTGTTTGAATCTGTACGGCGATTTGAGAGAAAGACAAGTTAACCATACAGATATTGGTCACATGCGATGCATAGTTGAACTGTGGAATCATCCCTTTCCACGAGAGCCAGCAATGGCTACCAACTTTGGGGTGGTTTCGAAAGAGGATTAGTCAAATTTGTGGAGGACCAACCTAGCCGTAAAAGGGACGCGGGTGGCGCTGTGGGTTAAACCACAGAGCCTAGGACTTGCTGATCAGAAGGTCGGTGGTTCAAATCCCCGCGACGGGGTGAGCTCCCGTTGTTTGGCCCCTGCTCCTGCCCACCTAGCAGTTCGAAAGCACGTCAAAGTGCAAGTAGATAAATAGGTACCACTCCGGCGGGAAGGTAAACGGCGTTTCCGTGCGCTGCTCTGGTTCGCCAGAAGTGGCTTAGTCATGCTGGCCACATGACCTGGAAGCTGTACGCTGGCTCCCTCGGCCAATAAAGCGAGATGAGCGCCGCAACCCCAGAGTCAGTCACGACTGGACCTAATGGTCAGCGGTCCCTTTACCTTTTTAACCTAGCCGTGGCTACTAGCCGTGATGGCTATAGTCTCCCTCCACTGTCAGTAGCAATGAAGCCTCTGAATACCAGTTGATGAGGATCACAGGTGAGCAGAGTGCTGCTGTGCTCATGTTCAGCTTGGGCATTTGGTTAGCCACTGTGAGAAGAGTGTGCTGCACATGACGGGCCATTAGCCTGATCCAGCACCGCTCCCCTTATGTGCTTATGTGTTTATTTGAATTTTGAAATACTTTATTGTCACTTGTACAACTTGTATACAGTGAGATTACACGAGCACCCTCCACTCAGCTCTCTTAGTCTTAATTCCCCTCATTTACTGACGCACACCCACCAAACCCAAAAGCCAGTTGCCCTGTTGTTATCTTTTCACTCAGCAGCCTAACAGCCCACGGATAGAAGCTGTTCTTTACCCTGTTGGTGCGACTAATCATGCTTTTATATCTTCTGCCTGAGGGCAGGAGATCAAGAAAGTGCCAAAATATTATGAAGATGTCAAGGAAGGAAGGAAGGAAGGAAGGAGCCAGAAAGAGAATAACTATGCGGCTGATAATGTTGATCTTCTCTTCCTTTTTCAAAGCATCTTTCCATCATTGTTTTTCATAGATTTGGACTGCAATAAAGAATTGATTGATTGTATTCCATAGAACCATAGAATCCTAGAGTTGGAAGGGGACCCTGAGGATCATCTAGTCCAACCCCCTGGAATGCAGGAATATGCAGCTCTCCCATACAGGGATCGAACCTGCAACCTTGGGGTCGTCAGCACCACGCTCTAACCAGCTGAGCTATGATGTTGTCTGTATTGTTTTATATTGTTAGCTGTCCTGTGCTCATTCGTGAGGAAGGGCAGGGAATGCATCCAGTGGAGGAAATAAACCAGTTATTAAGCTACTGTTCAAAGGTACACAAGCTTGTGTGTTTGCAGCCAACGAAGAACAAACAAAGAGGTCTGTGGGTGCTTGTGTACTACTGCACTCAACAGAACTTGAACTTGATGGCAATACACGCAGTGAGAGTATCTCAGATAGCGCACACTTTGAAAGCTTCCCTCCTTGTTTTATGGGTCCTGTTCATACGTCAATTCCACACCCTTTTCCTCCTCCACGTCTAAGAAACGGGTCCTTTTTCTTTAGCTCCTCTGCCCTCTGCCTATCCCTGAAGAGGTCATCCAGGGCCAAGAAGCCAGCCACGCTGCAGGACGACGAAAGGGTGTGTGTACGGCTGCAAGACATGGCAGGTTGCCCAGAGATAGGAGATTAGATGAGGGGCTATGGAAAGTTACTACCCAGATGGGTCTTTTTAAAAGGAAAAAGTAGCCTCATTGACAGACAGCTTGCTTGCTTGCTTGCTTGCTTGCTTCATTTATTTATTTATTTATGGATGGCTTGGGGAGTCAGAGAGGTAATTCTAGAACAATCACAAAGTCTTTCTGGAACCATTCATCCCCTCCCCCCCATCAGACTTTTTACAATAAGGAAAATGAGTGTAGGTGTAATTTGCTTAATGTAATGTTGACTGAAAGTTTATCCTCATTGGTTTGCACAAAATTTTCAGGGAGTTCAGATGATAGCTACTTATTGAGCATCCCTTCTGATTTGTTTCTGGGAATGTTGTACGACATTGTTCTCCACACCTAAGCTTCAACCCAGACGGGTGTTTCATTGTGGATATAGCCTGCCACATGTTCTTAACACAAGAATATTGCATCAGCGGTGGGTTTATTCTGCTTTCATTTATTCCGTGATGCTTCTCCAAGGCTACCTCGTTATTGCTATCAGGAGGGGCTGTAGCGGAACCAAAGTGGGGTAAAAATAAAGCAGGATGTTTGTGGTATAAAAAGTTACAGGATTTCAGCAGGAAGTTATGGGCTGGAAATGCAGCGGTGTGACCTCTTTAAACCTTTTGTATGGTATTGAAAGCGCAATTGCAAGTGACTGCTCCGATAGCATCCTCCTGAGCACAAATAATAAAAAGGACATCTCTGGAGGGACCCTAAACTAATTGCACTGGCTCAACTGCCTTGCAGATCAGGTGTGCTGCATATGTAACAAGACAAGGGATCAGCTCACAACCTGCAACGCAGGATGGGAGACAGCTCTGAGTGGGGTTGTTACTGTTCGCAGAGAAGAAAGAGACAATTAAGAAGTGATCGGATAGCTATCTTCCAGTACAGTGGTACATCGGGTTACATACGCTTCAGGTTACATACGCTTCAGGTTACACACTCTGCTAACCCAGAAATAGTGCTTCAGAACTTTGCTTCAGGATGAGAACAGAAATTGGGCTCCGGCGGCGCGGCGGCAGCAGGAGGCCCCATTAGCTAAAGTGGTGCTTCAGGTTAAGAACAGTTTCAGGTTAAGAATGGACCTCTGGAATGAATTAAGTACTTAACCTGAGGTACCACTGTACTCGAAAGGCTACTGCATAGGACGATGATGCAGCACACTTGTTTTCTGTAGCTCTATTGAGGGTGAGGCTTTGAACAAGAGCTTCTAATTATAAGAGAAAGGATTTTAACTGAAGCTTAAGAAGAACTTCAAGATGATACAAGCTGTTTCACAGAGGAACTAGCTGCCTTGGAAGATGGTGGGTTCTCTTTCTTTACATGCTCTGAAGCAAATGCGGTAGTGGGCTTCTTGCAACAGCCAGGAGTGTTGAGCTAATGACCTTCAAAGGCCCTTCCAGCTACAATAATCTATGGACTCAGCTACATTCGTCAAGAAACAGCGTTTTGAATGCGTTATAAACATGCAACACCAGATGGTGCCAGAGAGGAAAACAAATTTCTAAGCAATTTTCCACAGTGTTTTTTCTTTTGTTATAACGATTTAATTTTTGATTTAAAGTGTCCCCCCCCATGTGTAGATCCACCCTATGAGCAGTGTAGATCCACCCTAGAGCAGTGGGGCAAGTAGATCAGTTGATGGGTCAAATAAGGATAGAGGCTAGCAAGAGGCCATCCCCTCCTCCATCATGTCACTGTAAACGCCATATTGGCAGAATTCCAGATCTGGGAGAGAGAAAGCAGTGTGCCAAAACTTAAGCATGTGGGGGCACACACAGAGATACACACACATGTCTGTTTTGGAAACTGCCCCTTCCTATGGGAACATCTGGTTTTGAAGAGAACGGCTACAGTTAGAAAGGTTGTTTTAATCTAATGGGCCAACTGGCAGATATTTCTAGGCCAGATTTCACTCACAGCCCGTCAGTTCCCAACCACTGCTTTCCTGATCTGCCTATCTCACTACTACGATTTGTCATTTGCAGACTGTGCTAGATGCTGCACAGAACCTAGAACAGATGTCACCCCTGCCTAGAAGGACTTAAAGGAAGATGGAAGTTACTTCAGGCATGAAAAACCGCAGAGAGACAGAAAGGGGTAAACAGAGACTAAGGAGGTTGTTCCCAGACGGAGGCTGTGTGTCATTTTACCAATTAACAGCTTGGGACTAGTTTACTTGAGGGATCGAGCTTGCACTTTCACAAGTGCCAAATAATCTGCATTCCGTACCTATGATAAAGCAATCTCTAAGTGTGTAGCACCTGCAGTTTTACAGTTTCAGCACCAGCAAGTCCATCCCAACACCTAAGCCCATTGTCTATAGTTGCTTTCAAATTCTGTTGATTTTTATCTGTATTTTATGGATAACTATCCTCTTTTATGTGCACTGCTTAGAGATTGATTGATTTTTTTAAAAAAATAAGTGGTTCATAAGTCATCTTAGATAGATAGATAAATCTTACCAACGATGGTGAGGGTCAGCAGCAGGTTTCGCATCAGCCACCCACAGTATTTATCCAGGCAAGGTTTTGGCAGCTCTTCCAAGCTGATGTGGGGCCCATCCGCCATGGGGACCTCCACATGGTTAGTCATTTCCGGGGCAACTCCCAAAGCCCCTTGTTTCGTCTCAAGAGGAGAGGGGGGAGAGGGGAGAAAACAAAAAGTTAATTTGGATGGAAACAAAACTCTGTTTTTCCACTTCAGAACAGAGAGGGGCTGGGGCACAGGCCACTCTGGAGGGCACCCCCTTTGACCCAGACGACAACAACAATAACAACAAAAATTAATAGATGAACCAGGTAGATTAATCAATTAGCAAGACTTTTAATTTACTAAAAATGTGCCCCTGTTTAATCAGGCAGCATTTTTTATTTATTTAAAAAATGCATTATTTTTTAACATGATTACTTAACAATAACAGCAGGCCTCTTCCTTTTTCTCGCAGGTAGGAGCGAAAGCCTCTACAACAGAAGAGCATACATAGAGATGGTTCCATATTCCCATCCTACTGAAAGCAGGCCCAATGAAGTCAATGGGACTACTCTAAGTATGTTGGGAATCTAGATCTGACCCATTATCTGAAAACAAAGTATGTTTTTTTGCTTCAGAAGTATCCCCCCCCCCTATACAAATGCATGTGAATTTAATTGACTGGCTAACGGATTAATCTAATTAAATATAGGATTAACTGAGATTTATTTAATCAGGTGAGAGAGAAATGACAATAATAACAATAATAATGGAGTTTCGCCTATGTGGTGCATTTCAAGATTTCAAAACACTTCACAAACATTGGCTCAGGTAATGAATTGGGTTTCCTGCTGGCAGTCCTGGAACCAAATACGGCCTCTTGAGAGTGCCAGCTAGTCCATCAGTTGCCAACTTGACTTCTTTTCTTCGCCCAGTGCCAGAAATAGACTTCTAAGGAATGAGGGAGGTGCTCAGGGTAAGTTCTGGTATCTCTCATCCTAAAAAAATAGCACTGGCTGTCCCCTTAAGGGCAACATGACCTCCTGATTCCCCTCTCTCTTCCCAGGTGACTAGGGGAAACCCAGCCTGAGGCCTGTGTTAAGAACCCTGCTCGTGAGCTGTACGAAACGGCACAACCAACACCTTTGAGGAGCCTGACTCAATAGCAAAGCTCAGCAGGCAGCCTACTTGGCAGGAGTATGGTGCTATAAGGGGATAAATTTGGCCTGACTGCCCTCCATCACTTCCTCAATACACCCTCCCTTAAAGGAACCCTCTTTTCGTTCTCCGTCCAAATGGAATAAATGCTGAGATACTACTGGGTGGTGGTGGGTTGGCTAGAAAGGTCTTCCTTGAGACTGCCCTGACTTTGATTGCGGGACAATCCTTCTGCTCAAGCGAGGGGTCAAGAAGAATATTTGGCACCGTCTAGCTGGGAAGCGAAGAACTAGCCGGGAATGGGACAGACAATCTGGGCCCCGACTGATGAGCCTTCCTGCCGTTAATCAGCTAGGGGATAATCAAATGGACGTATTGGATTTTGGTCACGGCATCCGACCAGATCACGAAACTCCGTCCCCGTTAAGCGAGTGGGCGTGATCCGCTCTGCAGATTTAAACTGGCTTAACGGTTTTATTGGTTCCTGTGTGAGTCACTGATACAGGCACCATAGGACCAGGCCATTCCTTCTTCTCAAGTAGTTCTCTCGGCTGCCCCCCTCCCCCAATCACATTTCCTGTTATGGTTGCAATAATTTCTGGAACACAATCTCAGGCGCAACAAGTAAGGCGAAGGTGTCGGAACAGGTTTGGTGTGCCAGCCATGGAAAATCAGGCACAAAACAGCACAGGTCAGCAACTAAGCACAGATGCAATGCCAGCTGATCCAAGCCTAGAAGGGTTAGGAACAGTATAAGCAGTGGCGGAGGAAGTCTCTTGGGCATCTGGGGCGGTGTGCCCAGAGGCGGTGCGAACTGCCCATTGCGGGTAGGGATGGGGTGGAGCTAGCACCCCCATTTGCTCCGCCTCTGAGTATGTCTTATACTGAGTCAGACCATTGGTCCATCAAGTTTAGTACAGCCTACACTGACTGGCAGAGGCTCTCCAGGATTTGGTGCATGGTTCTCTCACAGCCCTACCTGGAAATGCCAGGGATGCTACCTGGGACCTTTATCTGGTGCTGTAAAACTGAGCTACGGTCCTCATGGTCCAGGAAAATTAGAGTTGGTCTAATCCAATGCAGTCCCATGGACTGCAAGAAGATCAAACCTATCCATTCTTAAGGAAATCAGCCCTGAGTGCTCACTGGAAGGACAGATCCTGAAGCTGAGGCTCCAATACTTTGGCCACCTCATGAGAAGAGAAGACTCCCTGGAAAAGACCCTGATGTTGGGAAAGATGGAGGGCACAAGGAGAAGGGGATGACAGAGGACGAGATGGTTGGACAGTGCTCTCGAAGCTACCAGCATGAGTTTGACGAAACTGCGGGAGGCAGTGGAAGACAGAAGTGCCTGGCGTGCTCTGGTCCAGGGGGTCACGAAGAGTCAGACACGACTAAGTGACTAAACAACAACAATCAAATGCAGCACTGCTTATGATTTTATGTGTTCCATGCATGAATTCCCATGTCAATCATTAAGGCAGATTTGGGGGTTCAGAAACATACAGGTTTCTTCCATGACACCTGCCAGTTCTGTGCAAACGGACCTACAGGACTGTCAGAAGGTCAGAGTGTGGCTGCAAATGAAAAAGCACTTCATACCAGGGAACTGGTTCCCTGCGGTGAGATGGCACCAAGGAGTCCTCTTAACCTGGACTTGGCAGGACACTCAAGTGGAAGCGTCTGCCGTCAGCTGCCTCCCTGGCCATGTTGCGTGCTCTAGGCAAAATCAGAACAGTTCTGCTTTTGGGAAGAAGGGAAACTTCTAGAGACCCGGAAGGTGGGGCAGAAATGACAGTGCTAGCAATTCACATCAACAGGAGTTTAACAAGGCATCCTACAAAGGCAAAACAACAGGAAATAGGGCAGCGGTCAGGGACAGGTTGCCTGGACACCTTTCCAGTGAGGTTTGTCAGACCAGGTGAGAGGGAGCTGTGTCTCAAAGCACATTTTGGACATACAGGAAGCGTCAAAACGAACAAAATCAAGCGCTAGTTTTCTTTTCTCCTGTGAGATTTCTCTGTTTGCTAAAGACAATTCCCTCTTCCCTTCATTCGATAAAAATCACACTATGCAGAGGGAGATTCCTGTCATTGACTCATGCGTTTCCCAGGAAGCTGTGGTTTTCTGTCTCTCCTACAACTCCCAGGATTCTCTGGGGGATGCCGTGACCGTTCACTTAGCATGAAACCAGATATAAATTTGTAATGGTGAGCAGATCAATAAACCCAGTAGTGTAAAGGTCATTTGCAGAGGAGAAACAGATTCCTGCCCTGTACGACAAGCAATGCTATTTGTGCAAAGATATAGACATAGGCCCCAATCTAGCGCCAGCTGTACACGAGTGAATCTGAGTTGCGGGCGTATATCTGTGTTAAAGATGAATCTGGCCAGTTCGCTGGGGATAGAGTGAGCACTGGGGCATGGATGCAAATTATTAAAGGAAGGATTGTCATATCACACAATGCAAGGAGATGGTGCAGACAGAGAATTATGGGTCCAAACTTTAGGGATGAATCTCTCAATTAAGGTTTCTCTCTACAGTCGTACCTCAGGTTACGAACACTATGGGTTGCGCGTTTTTGGGTTGCGGACCGCGCCGAACCCGGAAGTACCAGAACGGGTTACTTCTGGGTTTTGGCGCTCACGCAGAACCACAAAATGACGTCACGCGCATGTGCAGCAGCGCCGAATTGCATCACGTGCGTGCGCAGATGCAGCGCTTCAGGCTGCGAACTCTGCAGGTTGTGAACATGCCTCCCACATGGATCACATTCGCAACCCGAGGTATGACTGCATTTCTAATGTTTTCCAATCTGAAGTTCAGTTCTCCACATTTCCACATCAGTCTGACTTTTTTAACTCTTCATGAAAACCCACCAGCATTTTAGTGCGAATTACTCCTAATATATGCATTTTTATTGCAATTTTGACTAATATACAAATATTTGCAAAACAAGTTGGCCTCACATCATGCATGTTTGTGTGTTAATTTCACAAGCATATGTATCTTTATGCATCCTACAATATACTTGGCTGGAGAACTGCATTGCAAAATTCAGAGAAGTGTGAATTTCAAAGGCTGGCTAAGTTTCGGTTTGCACACTGTTTCAGAAAGTGTGAATGAGGTTTGCTTAAATAAATGTGAAGTGAATCAAATTTATCCCCTATCACTGGTCCACACATACATTTCCCCCTTCTGCATTTTGTTCGAAATTCTCCTCTCCCCTTCTTCTGTTGACCAGCAGCTGGCTCCCATACGTCGAATCTCCTAATCCATATTAACTTGCAGGATTTGGAACCTCTGGGTGGTTCAACGATTTCAGTCATGAGAATAAATATAGAAAAGGGACACATGCAAAAATTCATCCTTCTCCTCTTAATTAAGTCACAGATTCCTTTCCAACGAGGGGGCAGTGGAACCATTTTAAAAGTTTTTTTGGGGGTTTTTTAAGGATGCAATCGGGTTTAGATTAAACCAAGAAAAGACAAGGATTCTACATTTCTACTGAGCAAGCCAATGCAGGATCAGAGGCAAAATTTCAAAAAGGTGAACCCCCCCCCTGCCCCCAGCCATTTCCCAACACACACACACACACACACACACACACACACCTTTTCTGGCAAAACTTGGCAAATTTGGGATTGAAAGGAGAAAGCAGATGCAACAATATTTTGCTTTTTAAATATTTTGTTGGAAGCTGCTCAGAATGGCTGGGGAAACCCAGCCAGATGGGCAGGGTATTATTATTATTATTATTATTATTAATAATAATAATATATCAACACCATCATCTTTGATTGATGCAAGTGTATGCAAGAGTTTGTGTCTCACAGGATTCTTCTTCAGGCAGTCCTGATGAAGACAAAGTGTCCCGCGGAACTCAAAAGCTTGCACCATCCCTCAGCACCATGCAATAAAAAGATACAATTTCATCTGCTTTCTAGCTCCTATATTTTGGGATCACCATACTACCAAAGACACTTACAAAAGCATTAACCCCTTAAATGGAAAAAGCTCTATGTCTTCCCATGTTCATACAGAGTACATACAGAAATGACCCCATATTCAACTTATCTTTTAGTAGTCAGTACTCGAGCAGACTCAGGATTCCCCAGAGAGAAAGAAAAGGCCAACAATTTTTTTTTGCCCCTACCCCGTCATTTCTCAGAGAACCCTCTATTTCTAAGTTGTACACGGGTTGCCAAATTCTTTTAGCTGCCCCTGCTCCTGTGCCTTTAACATCCAGAAAATAAGTGGGTGAAGTTTTCTCTTTATGCCTGTGTTCAACATAGCAGCAGGACCTGCTTAGGAAAGCAGCAGATCTACATTGGAAGCATTGTTATTTAGAATTTAACACACATAAATTCTCCACTGCCACCTCAGAAATGCTGGCTTATACCCCCCCCCCCAAGACTACCCATTTTCCAACTCTCTTCTGGGATGAGTTTATCACAGAAGAGAGGGCAGCTCCCTCTAGAGGGGAAATCTCCCCATGACCTTTTGTTCAATCTTCTCCCCCCCCCCCCTTGTCCAAAAGAGCCCTTGAAGAGGCTGGGCAAAATCTGCCCCTAATCTCTGCCTCCCTGCACCCCTTCTTGTCCCCTGCCCCCCCATTTCCCCTGGCTGCCTTGCTCCTTACCCCACGTAGGGAGGGGGGGACGGTGCGTCTCGGCGGGAGGCGAAGGGGGATCTGAAGACGGCAGGCGGCAAAGGGGGAGACTCTGGTGGCTTAGTGCCCCCGTCACTCGACGACGTCAAAGAACAAGTGTGGTCAGGCAAGGGGGGGGGAGTAAAGAAAGATTACGAACAGAAAAAGGAGCAGAGCTATGCAAAGGACAGGAAAAATGGACATGAGGATAATACCCCTAACTGGGGGCTGAGCAGACAGCGCCGTTTAATCAGCGGCCTTTAAAAAGAAAAGGGGGGGCAGGGAGAGTCATCAGAGGTGGCAGGTTGGGGTAGGCCCTCACAGTGAAGAATTTATTTTATGAAATACAGACTTGGTCCTACTGCAGTTTCACAGGCAATGTGGGGGGGGGGGGTCTGTTAGCAAATGCCATCTGTCCCACAGAGAGAGATTTAGTGTCATTCAAACCACTGACGTTTCGCTGTCTTAACTCACCTCGAACCGCTTGCCACACCAGTAACTTGATTTCGTTTTTAAAACATAGGTATTGTTACCTCCTTGAAGACAGATCATTGCTTGTAATAGGACAGAGAATCTTGGGCCGGCCCCACATGTTAATAGAAGTTAAACTGATGATCAGAGTAAAAAAAAAAAAAAGGAGGGGGGAAGCTTTAGAGTTACACAGTACCCCAGGCAGAATGGAAAAGTCACTGATGTTCAGAGAGAGGGAGAGAATATGGCGGAACTGTTTTACTAACAGTACTACACTGGTAAACGCAGAACATATATTTAATGCTTATGAAGGCTCTGCAAAGTGACTTTCTCCAAGGAATACAGGAAAGTTGCAAACCATTCTAGAAGCATGGGCATCCATAACCCCATATTCCCAGGTCCTTTCTTCTTCTTCTTTTCAAAGGGGAGAGTTTAGAGCATTTATAAAACCTGAGATATAAGGCAAAATGTGCAGGCACTGTTCCTTCTTTCTCATTTGTGTGTGCGTTCCCCCCTTTCAGCATTTGCTTTTAAATAAAGATATGCCACCCTCAGCCAACAGCTCTGTGAGGTAGGCAGGCAGCTAGGCAAGTAGGTAGGCTAGACTGAGAGACAGCGACAGAGAGAGTGACTGGCCCAGGGCCTCTCAGTGAGCTTATGGCCAAGTGGGCTTTGAACCCTAGCCCTACATCTGACCCTCTGGGCCTGATCAATATAGTGGTACCTCGGGTTATAGACGCTTCAGGTTACAGACTCCGCTAACCCAGAAATATTATCTCGGGTTAAGGACTTTGCTTCAGGATGAGAACAGGAAATCTGTGGCAGCGGCGCAGCAGCAGCGGGAGGCCCCATTAGCTAAAGTGGTGCTTCAGGTTAAGAACAGTTTCAGGTTAAGAACGGACCTCCAGAACGAATTAAGTTCTTAACCCGAGGTACCACTGTATGGGCGCTTGCCCCACAGGAAGCTGCAGTCTGGGCACGGGGAATTTGTGGGCGCCAGATGTTGTCCCAGCTCCCATCAGTCCCTCCCTGGTAACATGGCGAAAGGTGGTGGATGATGGAAGCGACTTCTGGAGGGCCACAGGCTCATGTAGAGCTCCTTCTTCTGCAGCTCCATCTGGCGCCCAATTCATGTTTCCCCCTCTTCCCTCCCCATCCTTTTTACCTTGCATGTCGTGGGGCAGGGACTCCACTCTCGGAGCCTTTTTTTGGCTGAAGAGCTGGGTACAAAAGCTCAGAATAAATAAATAATACCAGTATGGCACAATTCAGGCCTACTCACACGCAACAGCCGCCGGTGGCCTTTAACTGGGGAACCCTCTTGCCTTTGGGGCGGTTTGGGCATCTACGTCACAACAAAAGAGAAAAAGTTACTGCTCTCTGGCAGAGAGGACAGGGCTGAGGTGATTATTGCCCATAACGGGAGCAAGCAGTTTTTCCTCTTTAGAGAGAACTCTCCCTTCACTCACGCAGATTCCAGAGGTCAAATCTCCAACAGCAAAAATAAATATAGATATAAAATATAAATATATAGCCTTGGTAGCCCTCCACAAAGTCTGAAACATTTATCGTGGTGCCAGGTTTAAATGGGGGCAAGAGCTGTCAGGTCCAGCTGCCCTTCCCTGAGCAGGCTAGGTACTGAAGCCAAAATTTCTTTTGGTGTCATGCTACTTAAATGATACATTCACATGGCTACTAAACATTTTTGTTTATTTGTATTTTATTTTTATTTATACAAAATAATATATATACATATATATATTAACAAAAAAACCTGTGCATGTCTTTCTCCTCTCACACTTCTCAATATAAAAATGGCAGTGCAGCAACACCCAGTGGCAGAATCCGGAACTGATGCCCACACAGCTCCTCCTCAGAGGGATGCTGCAGATGAGTCTCTCTCCCCACTGCCTGTCTCCCCCCAATAGCTATGGAAGTCCAGTCCTCCAGGGAGAAAACAGTGGGAGCGGGGCATGTGCTGCTGTTGGTGGTGTGTGAGCAAAAGGACGCCGTCCCATTCACTGTGGAGGGGGCCATTCATGCCTGAAGATGCTGTGGGAGGAAGAGGAAGATAAGATGACAAAAAAATAAATTAAAAAAAATTGGTTGGGGCCTGGGCAGAAGAGAAGCCAGGAGTGAGGAGGTTGCAAAAAACCCCACAAATCATTTGGTCATTTTGCAATATTCCCCACTAGGTAAGACCCTGAAGCTTGCCCTGGAGTCTAATTCTCACTCAGGTGTGCCAGGCAAGTAACGTTTCAGAGTTCAAGCGTGGAGCTTATGTAATTGGTTGTTCCTCCGTAGGAATGGATGAAATCTGTCCATTTGGGGGCTTTTTATCAGTTTCTCCTTTTTCTAAACTTATGTTCAGTTCACCACATATCCTCATCGGTTTACAGTTTCATAAAAAAAATAAATTTAAAAGTCCTCGTGAAAACTCACCGGCATTTTAGTGCAAATTTAATCTTTGCACGCGATTTTATCGAACGCACGTTTTTGCAAAGCAATTTCTGAGAAATTTATTTCTATGCGCCTTTTGCCACAGAAATACGTAAATACAGGAAAGTCTTACCCTTACCTTTATTTCCCAAATGTGCTCTGAAGGCTCAAACGGGCGTTTCCTGAAACCTTGGGAGCCTCTGGGGGATGAAATATGGAGCTATGATTACATCTCAAATTGACGGATGTGGGTGGAGGAGATAATAGTACTACTGGTGATGGTGGAGCCAATGTCACACATAGTGCTGAAAGGTGAGGATTGGGCCCATGCGAGAGTGACAGGATTCCGTGGTTATCTATCCTGGGATGATTGATCAAAGGCAGGGATGCTGTGTGCCCCCCCCCATGTATACTGCAAGCACAAACATGCGACTCTAGCCTAGATAAAATTGCATTATTAAAACTACCCCCAAATTATCTTTGTCTGAGAAGAGGTAAACTCTCAAAAGGGGCATGCGATTATTGTTAAGTCTGGGAAACACTGCATTTTCGTATGTTATTTTCACCAATATATGCATTTTTAGGGATGGTTTACCCCAGTGTATGGATTTTCGTACACATTTGCTGGGCTGGAGAATTGCAAAATTTGGGGAAGCGCAAATGTCAAAGGACGGCCATGTTTGGGTTCTCAGATTGCTTCAGAAACAACGAATCGAATAGGTTTGCCTTTAAAGACAAACTGAATCGGAACACCCCCAATCCTTACCTAGGGCAGTATTTCCCAACCTCGTGCCCTTTAGAAACTTGGGACTGCAATTCCCACCAGATCCTTGTCAGCCATGGCTCAGTGAGTACCCAGAACATAATATCCCAGAGCTCTTTGAAAAGGCTTCTTGCTTACCTGAAATAGGTTCCTTAATGGACGTGTCATGATGAGTAGAAAGCAGGAAATGGGAATGAGAAGCAGAAGTAGAAATGGTCCCCAGTGAGATCTCTGAAGTGGGGTTTGCTGAGACGAGTGGACTCCATCATGGGTCTCTGTAACGTTTTTGGTGACTGGAGTAGTAAAAGAGTCTGCAGTACAGAGAGAGACTGACCTATAGGGGCAGATTGAATGCCTTCCGGTAACAAGCGAGGGGCAGAGAGCAGATAATATTGAGAGGATACCCACAGAGTGTTGCTGAACCACCTTCTTATGACAACGGATGCAGAATATTGCATTGGTTTCACAAGAAGCGGATGGTGGCCTGACATCAAGTGATTGGCACCACAATATTTTGTTTTGTTTTTTAAGGGGAGAGGGAGAAAAACAGGGAGAAAGTTAATGGGGAGAAGAAGGAGAAAGAGTGAGAGCATCTCTACACCACAATGGTCCACTGGTTTAATTGTCATGGACTCCCCCACCCGAAGCAATCATGGGAATTGTAGTTTATTGCAGGTGCTGAGAACGCTGTTCAGGGCCTCTAAATTCTCCCTCTTCTAAACTAAAACTCCCATGATTTCCTGGGGAAGAGATAAACCAGTATGGGTCCTCAAGTGTGGATATGCCTTGGGAAAGACAGAAAAGAAAGGGGGGGAGACAGGAGAAAGAGCGATAAAATTGTAAACCACTTGAGAGGTTTTGATACAAACCAGAGGTATATAAAGTTTGTTCAATAAATAAAGTGAGCCCTGTGGTAGAAACCAGAGTTTCATGCAGTCCTGGGGCTGCAGAAGTTGGTGACACTGACAGCTGGGTGTGAGCTCTAAGTTGGGAAGTCCTGAGTTCAAATCAGACCACAGCCACATACTCACTCAGTGGGCTTAGGCAACTGACTTTTCTCTCTGCCTCAGTTTCCCCTTACTGCAAGCTGGGCATGATAATACCAATGTTGTAAACAGGGGCAGCTTTAGGTGTGAGGGGCTCCCTGGTAAAATGCCCTCTGCTAGGCCTCTGCCCTTGAGCTTGCTTTCCAACAGCTGAGAGTTGCCATTTTAAACTTCCCACAATGCCCCTGAAGTCATGTTGGTCTGGGGAATTCTGGGAAATTACAGTGGCAGCCGCAGGGAGGCCACCGAGGGCAGCCATTTATATTTACCCAGAGTGGCGCAGTATGTCAAGGACCTATTGCGACCAGGTGGGCCTAGAAATTGGGGGGGGGGGCAGAAGTGTTGACGTTGGGCCTGGTTGTCATGGCTACTGGGATAATGTTTGTGAAGCATTCTGAAATCTCCAAAGCACGGTATGGATGCTAAGTATTATTTCTGGCGGAAACGAACCTTCAGAGCATAAATGCAACCACTCAGTAGGCAAAGCATTTGTATTCTGTCAAGATAGCGAGGCAACCTTTGCTCATTTTCGCTGCCTCCCCAAATTGTCGACACTGGGGTGAAACCATCCTCTTTGATCAGCTCACCACATACCGTTTCATACACACCATAGCAAGTTGTTCACCCAGTGGAAAACAGGAGTGGCTGGGGCAGTGGGGCATGGTTGCAAAGCCACCTTCCTAACACTGTCATCACTACCACTGACCGGGTTGGGGTGCAGGGAGGTGGTGGGGAGCTCAGGGCTGTGTGGGCACAGATTGGCTCTGCTCCAAGTTTGCCACCCCCCTGCCATGCCAGTGAACCACCTTGATAAGCAGCAGCGACACCAGTTTTATGAGGGCATCTCCATGGCATTGTCCCACTGTGTCAGCCCCCCATGGCAGAAATGTATCCCCTCTGTATCCCCACAGCCTTGCTCCCCCACACCCTGACCACCAGGAATGTTACCTGGTTGGCACTGAATAATGGTGCAATTAGTGTAGTCAGCAGACTCTTTCAGTTCGATGAGTTTCTCCATCTTGTCCGCCAGGTTTCCGATGTGGTAAGGAACCGGATTCAAGAACTGAGTGATGTTTGTCCCCACAAAACGGACACAACTATCCTGTTAAGGCGCAAGAGAAAAAAGTCAAGCCCAGCAGCTTCGTCCTGATGTATAGTGAGCCCACAAGCCATGCCACCACACCTTAGGAACTGGGGCCAAATTACACGTGAAGTTGCGGCACTGAAACGGGGCTACTTCTGTTTTGAAGACAAAACAGCCGCAGGCCCCTACTCTGGATCAGGGCCCTGTGGCAGTTTCCTGCTGAAAATCACCCTCTTCCTCAGCTGTTCTTTACTCCTACTGGTGCTGCTGACTGCAGGCATTAACTCTGGAGCCAAATAGGTTTAAAAAGTTTGAATTAGGTAGGTTTTAAAGAAAATGCAAGCAAGACTGGATTTCTCCATTGACCTTAGGGGCCCATGGCTGCGTTTCAGCTTGTATTTTGCTTTGGAAGTTAGGTAAGTTCACCTTTCAATGCGAACTGAATTGAAATTCTTCTCCATTCCTACCTGGCATGAGCAGGGGCCTGGCTTAATCTGGAGGGAGGAGCACCTTGTGGTATTTCATTCTGATCCAAATTTTAACTTAATTATTTTTAAATATCCTTAACAAATACAAATAATTGCTAGCGTTTAGGACTGGTCAGGTTCAAAACAGCTATTAGATGAATAAATAAGAGGGGGGAATGACCTGTGCTGCCTTCCAAAGCACTCATGACCTACCTCAATGTTACATCCTTCAATAAAGGAGGCAATGTGAACTGTTATATTGAAGAACATTTGCTCCAGCATTCTCCCGGATACGCTGGCCAGATGCTTCAGCTTTTTGTTTATGAGATGAACTTCCCATAATTCCTGGCAGAATCCATCCTGGGGGAAATTATTGGGGGAGTGGGAATATAAGGAAGGAATGAATGATTAGGAAAAAGTCAGGGGTGTATTCTTTTTCGAAACCACTAAGAACATACAAAGCTGCCATAGGGCTCATCCAAACTTACCTTTTGACCCATGTTTTCCAGGCTCAGGTCCACACTTTAAAGCTTTTTTTTTGACCCAGATATTTCCCCGTGAAAACCTGCTCTTTGAAGCAGAAGCACAACAAACAGCAGTTCAGGTTCCGCCCCCCCCATTGCTGTTTGCTCCAATTCAGCTATAAAGAGCAGGGGTTTTTTTCCCCAAGGAAAGCTCCGGAGTGGGGTGGGTGGGAAAGGGCACCTGGATATGGAGTTTTAAAGCATGGACCATTTCCTGGAAAGCGCAGAGAAAAGGTGAGTGTAGATAAGCCTTTAAAGTGAGTCAGACTTTTGGTCTATCTAACTCAGTATTGCCCACACAGGCTGGCAGCAGCACAATTGACATAAGAGGAATTGTCTTTCAAATCCTTCCACTCCTGGTGGAAATTCTGCTTTTTGTAACAGGAGAGGCAGCGCACATTTTCGTCTCCACGCAAAAATTCACTCCTGAATTAAAATAATTGCAACCGATCAGCCATTTCAAGTAACATAACAACACCATGGTAGGTAACATATGTCTAGTTGTTTCCTTAGTTAACAGGTTGTTTTTTAAGACTTTACCGGTTTCAGGTTGGATGGCCTATCTACTGGGTAATTGAGGAGCAGGTACTGCTTCTGAGGAGAGAAAGAGACAGGCCTGGGTTGAATGAGGGGAGAGGATGGATTAAAGAGCAAGAAAAGTCTATCCATGAAATGTTTCTAAATAGGCTTTAAAGGTCCCTCTAGGTCAGAGGTTGGCAATCTAAGGCCCATGGGCTGGTTCTGGCCCAGGAGTTTCCTCGAACCGGCCCACGGCCGTTCTGTGGATCGACATGGGGCTTCCATGCTTTTTTTCATGGCGCCATTATTTTTCTCGCTGCAGGGATCAACTTCCGTCCCAGAAAAGCACCGGAAATAGCATGTGCGCATGCGCATGGGTGCTTCTCATCTGGAGGAGCGCCTGTACGTGTGTGTACGTGCTATTTCCGGCGCAATTCCAGGACAGAGAAGCGCCCATGTGCATGTGCACACGCTATTTCCGGCGCTCTTCCGACCCAGAAGAGCACCAGAAATAGCTCGAGTGCATGCACAGGCGTGCAAGCTCTGGCCCAACGAGAGGTCTGCCGGGGAGTGGACTGGACCGGCCTCAAAAAACGTTGCCGACCCCTGATCTACATTTATCTAGATGAGCCTTCATCACCCTGGCACAATTCTCCATGTTTTGGACCACAACTCCCATGAGCGCTGCAGTGTTGCATTTCCACCTGCAGGGCCAATTTCAGGTGGTAGAATGGGATGATTGGCTCAGCCCCTTGGCAATTAAACTCTATGGCCCCTGCAACACTTTATCACATCCCCAATGCTGTTCAACATCTATTTGAGGGAGGTTCATGGTGAGTTTTGGCACCTATTTTTCTAGAAAAATAGCACTGCCCTGATATAGTCTGCTCGAGGGCACACTCACCAGTTCTTTAATTTTAGATAAAAAAAGCTGAGTGTTGTTTGTTGACTCAAACGGAACATGTTGAAAGACACAATTCTTGCTTGACTCACATTGGGTGAGAAACAGCAGGAGCAGAACAAAGACCTAGAAGGACAGGAAAAAATTCTTTGGCGTATATAGTAAGTGAAAGCTCAAAAGAACTCTAAAGCATCTCTCAGTTAGCATGCAATGCAGACCCAAACTTCCATCTTCAAATATCTGAAGACCTGTCACATACATGACAGAGCAAATCTGTTACCTGCCTGATCCTCTTTTAAAGCCATCCAAATCTTACCCTCCTTCCTTTACAGTAGAATGGGAACGTTGGCATTGGACTTTCCTGAGAGACCCCTGGAGTGTGACTCCGGGGGTGAAGTCAAACTACCGGCGAATCATAGCACTTGCAGTGGCTGCAGAGACCACTGAAGTGACTATTTCAGCGTGCAAACCTAGGCAATGGAGTTCCTGGGCTGCCCAGATGACAAGACCCTCACCTGACGGGCCCAACGGGTTTGCGTTTGTTTCGCAGGAAGGACGACCAAGCGCGACTGGGATCGGCGGGCCACCTTCCGGTCTGTGGCCATAAGCCGCTTCTGGCGAACCAGAGCAGACGAAGCGTACCTCCGTGGGGGTACCTTTACTACTGCTTTGTGCTAGGTTGGGGGGGACACCCCAGGATTCAACTGCCCTAACCAGCGCCACCGTCCCTCATGCCTAGCTCTCCGCAAGGGGTCAAACCTTCTTATGTGCAAAGGCAGCAGGGGATAGAGTTAGAGCTACTTCCGTTGACGCCATTCTTCTGTCTCAACATTGTCCAGTGTTTGTTGCTAATGTAAACTCACAGTTCAGTGAAGTTGGGAGTGAGATGGATAGCTGAGCTGACACCAATGACAAAAATAAATTTTTAAAATGGCAGATATAAGGAAATTGCTTTCTGAGTAATTTGCTTTCTGTCATTCACTGCCTTTTTGAGCAACGCAGATTTTGAGTGCTGGAAAGCATGCATTGAACTAAGGCCGCCTGGTTCTGGGAAGATAATGGTGATGCTATAAGGAGAGGTCCAAAGAACCTCCCTCTCCCTCTTCCTCTCCGGCCACCATTCCTGGACTAGTATATCAGGAGAAGCTGAGGCCTCTTCCTTGATCCTGCCAATTGTTTTTGGAAACTTACCACAAAAGACTCTGGGGTTGCATGGCGCCAAATCATCTCCACATGGTCTGGTGGATGACCAACATGCTGAGGATTACCCCTCTAGAAAGGGGGGGAGCTGTGGGGATAAAAGAAAGGATGGTTAGGGGTTAAGAGGCCAAGGAAACACGGACTTGGGATGTAGCAAAACCAGCATTTACCAACGTGGGGCCTTCCAGATGTTTTGCACTACAACTTATGCAAAATAATAAAAAATACCTAACATCAGGGCTTCTTTTGAGCTGGAACTCTCCGGAACTCGCCATTATAAGGGAACAAGGGAGGCACTCAGGGTGAGTTTCAGCACCTCTTTTTCTAGAAAAATAGCACTGGTTCACATGAAACACTGTTTATTCATTTATTCATTGCATTTATTTTCCAAGGATCTCAAGGTGGTGAACATGGCTCTCCTCCCCATTTCATCCTCACAACAACCCTGTGAGGCAGGCTAGGCTATGAGATGGTGACTGGCCCAAGGTCACCTAGCTGAGTGGGGATTCGAACTCTGCTCTCCAGGGTCCTAGTCCAACGCTCTAACCATTACGCCACATTACGCATAATGATTCTTCAGTCATCCACCATTTGACCTGTACTGGGGGATTTCAACATCCATGCAGGGGCCAACTTGATGGAGCAGCCTGGGGCATCAGAGCCTCCATCACATCCTCTGTTGCAGTTCCTCTGTGTGTAATTCCAAAGGATATGGAGTCAGCTGCGTGGCTGTGTCTGTGTGGGAGAAAGGCCAGCTGGAGGACCTGCCTGTGGGCAGTGGAACTCACTGGTGAAGGAGGAACTCTCTGGTGAAGGAGGGACTCATTGGTGAAGGATGCCTCTTCAGGACCGGGTGCCAGGAGCTACTGAGCGTGAGTAGGCTAAGCCCGGGGGAGACGATGGTGGAAGTCCAGGAGTCCTACACCATCCCATTTGAGAGGCTCAATGGGCACAACTGGGAGGATTGGTCCCGAAACACGTTGCTCTGGTGACAGTCTTATTGTTTTACAGCAGCAGTTACAATCGGCAGCCGAATTAATCGGCTGCTGATTAATTGCTGTTGTAAAATACACGCTTCTTAGATTAGGAAATAAGCTGCGTACAGAGACTTTTCTGCATGCTTGAGTAATCGCTGTTAAGTTGTGGGTGAACATATCAGACGACACAGCGATTCTTCAAACAGCTCTTGTTTATTCACAGACCAGAGCAGAGCTGAACTGAAGGGTTCAGCCAGCCTGCTTATATAGAGCTCCACTAGAACGCAACAGTAACCACACAGAACACAGACTGCTGTGCACAATCTCTGCTAAACGCCGGGATGACACTGAGTTGCAGTGGAAGCATACCAGACGTTGAATTCCACAGTCTCAGCACAGCACCAGTCTGATGGATGTGGCAGGTCGCAATCCCAAGACGGTCTTTTCAACAGGAGGGCTGGTTGGTGCGCTGACAGGTTTTTCTAACTCCCATTGTTGTGGATGAACCATTTCTTGGTGAGGTTTGGTTAGTCGGCAGCCCCTGGGAATTATGAGACCTGGCCTGTTAGGTTGGCCTGCCCCCAGAGGCTTATGGAATCCACTGGATTCCTGAATGCTCTGGGGAATTTTCTGACTGACATGGTGGGCGCTCCTGTTGATGTAAAGCAGGCGAGACCATTATCAGAGTGCTGCCTCCAAGGACGGAGACAGTATGCTTCTGAATGCCAGTTTCTGGAAACCGCAAGACAGTCATGTCTTGCCTGAGAGTTTCCCACAGGAATCTGGGTGGCCATTGTGAGAACAGGGTGCATTTATGAAGCTGAATCAATTTTGCAAATTTGCACAGAGCAACTTGCAAACTGGGAAACTGGGAAAAGTCACACCTGCCTGAATTTTGCCATGCAGTTGTCCAACCAAGCAATGCTTGCGAAAACACATATATTAAGTGTGTATAACAATGAAGAAGTTTGTGGAAAATAACATACAAAATGTTATTATGTTAGGGGAAATAATTGCTTGCAAAAATTGCTGCAAAACGTGGAAAACTGAATTTAAGATTGGAAAAATGTGAAACTTGGGGACTGAAATTGGCAGAGCCTTCCATCCGTGCTTCCAATGGAAAGAGCAAACCAAGGAGTAGCAGGTTTAATATTTAATCTGAACCGTAGCATTCTCCTACTTATTCTACTAAATAAACCACAATTGGGAACCCAAGCCTGGTGTCTGCAGTTTGTTTCTTGATTGTGGTTGGTTTAACAGCTTGTGCACACCTTAATTTCCGTAACCACAGTTAATTGCTCACATTAGGTCCAAGCCCTGCCAGTGTAACATCCTGTCCAACATGTGTCTTCCAGGACTAAAATAGGGACTTACCAGCCAGGTAAGAAATTCTATATACGAGTAAGCAAACTGGAGCTTGTTTTCTCCTGCTCTGGAGGGTTGGACTCGAAGCAACGGCTTCAAGTCACAAGAAAGGAGATTCTGACTAAACATTCAGAAAAACGTTTCTGACAGTAAGAGCTGTTTGACAGTGGAACAGGCAGCATTTGAAACTCCCATTGTTCTAGGCGCATTTTGCGACAGGGAATTCCATTAGCGCGAGCAGTTTCTGAGCTCTGGGCGCAGTACTGAGCCTAAGATTTCAGATTAAAACTGCCACGGCTAGAAGAAAAGGACCTTTTCCTGTCTCACCACTTCCAGCCACTCTCTGAAGACTGAAGAAGGGACCCTCATAAGAATATTAGGGGGGCAGGCAAGAGAAATATGGCTCTGGTTTTTGCAGTCTTCAGATGAGGACTAGACCATGTGAAAAATGAACATAAGATTTGAGTTGCAGTTCATTCGTTTTCAGCTTTGCATTCTTGCTATATATAAAAAAGCGCATAGACACTCCATAGCCGAGGTTTAAGGTGTCATTTAGCTCCTACCTTTCATATCTCACTGGGAACAGGCTCCCGCAAGAGGGGGTGGACTCTCTTTACTTGGGGGTGTTTAAGCAGAGGTTGGATGGTCATCTGCCATGGATGCTGTAGCTGAGATTCCTACATTGCAGCGGGTTGCACGAGATGACCCTTGAATCCCTTCCAACTCTAAGATCCCATGATTCCCTAGCTTAGTCCCAGAGGTAAAGCTGGGCAAACCCCAAACCCATTTAGGTTGCATACACACCATACATTTAAGGTACATTCAAATCACATTCTTTCCCTCAAAGAATTCTGGGCATTGTGGTTTACTGCTCACAGAACTATGATACCCAGCACCTGTAAAAAACTACAGTTCCCATGATTCTTATTTTTGGGGGGGGATGCTTTAAATGTATGGTATGTACACTGCCATGGTGACTCGCTGACGTGCCATGTTATAGGATGGTGTAAAGAGTCTCTGAAGAACCTCAGGGTGCGTCACAGACCCAAAGGCTCTTTTTCTGTGGTTCACCACTATAAGCCGTCATAAATGCACAATATGGGGGAAGTAGAAAGAGAGATGTTCCCCTCCCTCTTCCATATGATTATTTTATTATTATGCTGTCTGCTATTATGCTTTTTATTACTGATGCGCCGTAAAATGTGTTCTTAATGTTGCAAACCGCCCTGAGATCTTTTGATAAAGGGCAGTATATAAAATGAATATAATAATAATGATGATAATAATAATAATAATAATAATAATGCTAGAATGTGGATGTTGTGGTCTGTGAGTAACAAGTGGCCCTCAGCTTAAAGATACACTGCTTTAGCCTGGCTTTTGACAACTGAGATGAATATTTTTAAGGCCCACCTTACCTCTGTAATTGTAAATCGTTTTAAACTGTTTTTCTTTATTTAACTATGTTTTTTTAAAAAATGTAACCCTCTCTGGGACTTTTGAATTAAGGGCAGGTTGTTGTTGTTGTTAAATAAGCTGCCTACTTTATTTGCACCATTTGTTTTAATAAGACTTCGCTTTCTTTCACTCTGAGTTTTTTTTTGTATGTGTAGCACATGCATGTTATCCTCATCATAGACTGAGTAAAAGAGACAAAGAAGATCAACACCCAAACAGAATCACAGGTGTCTTTGGAAGTAAAACAGAGACAGGGCTCCTGGGTTGCATTGTAAATTTGGAACAGGGACTTATCAGCGGGTTAGAAGACTAGAGCGTAGGGTTTTCTAGATTGTCCCACTAGCAAGCGATGAGAAGACTCATACAGCAAACAGAAGAGCATACAATTAATTCATTTATTATAGTCCAGATGTTAATCATTTGCTTTTGCTAACCTTTTGGTAACCTAGATTCCAGTTGAGGAAGCATAGCAGAGGCAGCTGTAATCATCAGCAGATTTGAAATATTGTTGTTGTTATTGTTATTGTTATTGTTATTGTTATTGTTATTGTTATTATTAGGCCCACAGAGAGAGATATGGGGAGGCACATAGAACAATACATTACAATGCTATACAATCCTGCATTGTTTCAGACCCCACCCACTTGGGGCTCTGACTCCACCCACCGCTGGCTCTAACTCCACCCACCATTTTCCACAGCCCCTGGTTGACTTTCCTATGGCCTTTAATGGAAAAATAAACGAAGCTTCCTCACCCCTTCCTTAGGAAAGAACTTTTCTGTACGCTGCCATCTGTTCCTTTTTAAACAGAAGATGCCAGAAGTGAACTTGAGACTTTCTGCATACAAAGCTTTTATCAGTGATCTCTGGCCTTTCTTGGAAAGCCGTAATAGCACTTTGCCAGTACACAATGGCAGGATTTTAAGCTGTTTACCTTGCCACAAATTAGGTGTGCGTGCGTGGGGGGAATGACTGGAATACAATGGGCGGGAAATGACATAATGTGAATTCCCCGTTAAAAAAATTGGGTGAACCAAGGGTGGCAACTCCAAAACCAAATTAAGGATACCAAAAAGCCACAAATGATTCGGGGTACAGGGCAGGAAAAGAGGATGAAAGCTAAATTAGGATTTGGAAAGGAGAAGAGTGCCTTTCAGTTAAGCCATGCCTGTGCAAGGGGAATGGGTGTCTACCTGACAGGGCCACCAGAGGCAAAAAAGGGGACAAGGTACAGCTACTGAAATTCCTTCTTTAACACAACTATTAATGATACAGGAACACTGCCTGATCTCTTCCTTACCTGGCCACCTGGGAAACCTCTCTCCAAACTCGGCCAAACAGAATAGCAGATGAAATTTAGCCTGCAAGTTGCTGCCAAATCTTGGCACAATGGGACGAGATTCCATGTGCATTCTGACAGGGTCTATATTAGCTGCTATTATCCGGGAAAGAGGCACAAGACTGAAGAGACCTGGGTCAAACCAAAGGCCCATCCATCCCAGACTATTGTTGCTCCCAGCAAAGACCCAGGTGCCTCCAGGGCTGCTTCTGCACGAGGGGTTGGGAGTCAATGCTAGTCCTACTGAGATTAGAGCCACTGAAGTCCATGGCCTGGATGAACTCGGGTTTGTTGATTTCAACGGGTATTCAACTCCTGAGAAACTATTCAGAATGTATAAAGATGTTTCAAATGTTTGCTGGAAAATGCCAAGAACATGAAGGGACATTTTATCATGCCTGGGGGGCATGTAAAAAAAAGCTAAAATATACTGGATACGAATACACAGAATCATAAAATCATAGAACTGTGGAGTTGGAAGGGACCCTGGGGGTCATCTAGTCCAGCCCCCTGCAATGCAGTGCAGTGCTAATAATAGGCTTCAAACCCACAATTCTGAGATTAAGAGTCTCATGCTCTCCGTGGATACAGCAGATTTTAAAGGTTACTGTTCAGTTGAAGCCAGAACTCTTGCTTTTCGGGCTAGGGGACACGCAATTAGAAAGGGGTTATGGAAGAGGACTGCAATACAGTGGTAAGGTAAAGGTAAAGGGACCCCTGACCATTAGGTCCAGTCGTGACCAACTCTGGGGTTGTGGCGCTCATCTCACTTTATTGGCCGAGGGAGCCGGCGTACAGCTTCCGGGTCATGTGGCCAGCAGGACTAAGCCGCTTCTGGCGAACCAAAGCAGCGCACGGAAACGCTGTTTACCTTCCCGCAGGAGCGGTACCTATTTATCTACTTGCACTTTGACGTGCTTTCGAACTGTGGTACCTTGGGTTAAATATGCTTCAGGTTACAGACGCTTCAGGTTACAGACTCCGCTAACCCAGAAATAGTACCTCGGGTTAAGAACTTTGCTTCAGGATGACAACAGAAATTGTGCAGCGGCAGCGGTAGGCCCCATTAGCTAAAGTGGTACCTCAGGTTAAGAACAGTTTCAGGTTAAGAATGGACCTCCAGAACGAATTAAGTTCTTAACCCGAGGTACCACTGTACAGCCTTGATGATGACTTCATTTCCCTGAGAGAAGAAGGTGTACTATTGCATATGTAAGGATCTGGAACTTGCTTTATTTATACAGAACGAAAGCAGAGATGCTCAGGAAGCTCAGCTCTGGCCTGGTAGCATATTCTGCATTTTTCCTCCCAGGGCAACTGCATTAGATTGCATACAGACTCCGCTAACCCAGAAATAGTACCTCGGGTTAAGAACTTTGCTTCAGGATGAGAACAGAAATCGTGCTCCGGCGGCGCGGCAGGCCCCATTAGCTAAAGTGGTGCTTCAGGTTAAGAACAGTTTCAGGTTAAGAATGGACCTTCGGAACGAATTAAGTACTTAACCCGAGGTACCACTTTATATGCTTACAGCCGTGAGATTGCTATAGGCCATGTATGTCGACTCGACCACGGTCGACTCGAGGATCAAGCACCCTGCTCAGCCGCAGGCTTTGCCCAATGCCCAGTCATAGCTGTCAACTTTCAGATTTGAAAGTAAAGGATCAGCAGCCTCAAAAATAAGGGATCAGAAGCCTCACCTGTCCCGGAGACAGTCTATGGGATATCTAACAATCTGGGATAGCAGCGGGAAACGCTGCTGGAATAAGGGAATTTCCTGGAAAAAAAGGGAAGGTTGACAGCTATGCGCCCAGTCAGCTGGCCAGCCGGGAAAGGGAGCCGAGAGAAGGGCAGAGAGAGAGAGACCATGATGTTTCTCCTCCCTCTCCCCGCTCCTGCCGGTTCCCATGGAAAGAAAACCCTCTCCCTCCTAGTTCTGCATGGATGCTGAACTTCTCCCACCTTTCCAGCTCCTGACCAGCTGCATTAATTCAAAAGTAAACCACTGCCCCCCCCCACAGAGTTTTCCCATCCGGTAAAGGGGGAATTGGACATTTGGGGACGTGTTGGCTTCCCGTGTGCACCAATGGCCCTGGGAGGGGGCTGGTGTGTGGGGGGTAATATTTTTTTTATTATTTTTATCATAATCATAATTTATTATTTATACCCCGCCCATCTGGCTGGGTTTCCCCAGCCACACATATAATAATATTAAGTTGGAGAATGACAATGGGAGAGTGTGGTAGATCACTGCCAGTTTTTTTTTTTGGTATTTTTTTGTTGCGGGGTCCATCTGTTGCAGTTTACTGTCATAGCAAATACAGTGGTACCTCAGGTTAAGTACTTAATTCATTCCAGAGGTCCGTACTTAACCTGAAACTGTTCTTAACCTGAAGTACCACTTTAGCTAATGGGGCCTCCTGCTGCTGCTGCCGCTGCGCCACCGGAGCACGATTTCTGTTCTCATCTTGAAGCAAAGTGCTTAACCTGAAGCACTATTTCTGGGTTAGCGGAGTCTGTAACCTGAAGCGTATGTAACCCAAGGTACCACTGTACAGGACTTAGATCAATAAGGCACCTGATTAGCAGTGCACAAAATTCCATCACAAAAATTGTAATTTATCTGCATAACGTAAACAGAAATTAAGAGAATTATATATACAAAACTTAATACATTACCATTTTTAGCATAACAAGAAATCTTACAGTGCAATTCTATGCATGCTTACCCAGAATGAAGTCCCGCTTAAGGCCACATTCCCACCCCCCCTTTTTTTACCAACAACCAAAACCCAACAGTGAAACCCCCCAGGCGGCGGATACATTGAGTATACATAATCAATAATAACATATTTGAATCGACCTTATGTACAATTCTATATACATTAACACTCCTCACTCCACAAGGTTTATTTAACTTTTAACATTTTAATTGCCCCAAATTGTTCAAATCTACCCAAATAATTCAATATCTTCTCAAACCAATCCTCCTCTTTCTCACTGACCTTAAAACCTTTCATTCTGTGTATCTTCACAGTTAAACATTCTAAAATTATAACATTATTCAATTTTTTCCTCCATTGGTTCACCCTTAGCTCTTCTGCATTTTTCCAATGACTCGCTATAACCTGTCTGGCCAGGTTTTTTTACTATTGGATGGTGGATTGCAACCTGTTGGATGTTAGACATGCCTGCTATATGCACAAAGATGGAAAGACACAGCCCTGCCCCCTATAGAAGAATGGTGATAAAGCTATTGGACTTGGCTGAGATGGCAAAGTTAACATGTATAATTAGAGAAAAACCATTACTGACATTTGTTAAGGACTGGAAATTTCTTAAGGACTTTTTGCATGAAAGAGAAAATGAACTTGTAGTAACTGGATTTAAAGATTGAAAAAATACTGTAGCTGCAAGGACAGAGAGCCAGAAATCCTTTTACTGTTTTCTTCTTTATCCTTCTTTAGTTTTCCCCCTTTATTTTCCTTTTCTCTCGCTTTCTCTTTCTTTAGGTTTCTCCTTTCCTTTTCTTCCTTCTGATTTTGCTCTCTAAGTAGCTGTTTCATCTCAATATAACATAAAAAAATACTTTGTAATGGGTATGTATTTTTTGTATATCATTGAATAAGTATCAATCAATCAATCAATCAATCAAAACTATAAATGTGATTGAGAATTTCTTTCAAAGACATTGCTGCCTCTCAAGATTTTCCATCCTTAGGATCATAACATCTCCATACATAACTCCTACAATTCACACTGACAAACGGCCTTGCACTGATCTAATGCTAATATAGCTAGCTGGTTTTGGGTGGCGGTTATTGGTGGGTTTGGGGTTGGTTTTTTTGCAAATTTTATTATGCTGACAGGGCTATGGTCTTACAGGATCAGCAATATCAGCAGGACTCTTCTGCTTTTAAGTTCCAGTCCCTTCCTCCATTATTCTAACAGTTTCCCCACTCTCACTTCCTTGCTGCACAGAGAGTAAGCAATCGATGCTTATAAAACCCATTTCTTCAGCTGCCAAGTGGAGGGGAGGCGTTTGGTCCACGTGTTGCACCTAGTTGCAAGAGATCTTGGTGTTTTGCAAAGCTCTCCAAGGCTCAGTGCAAGAGGCTTAAACAACTATCTTCTCACATCTTCTCCAACCCCATTAACAGGCTGGTCATCCACCCCATGAGCTAATGCAATATGCATTTTCTAAACTCCTTCCCTTTATGTTATTTGCTTGTTTAGAAGAATTTATAAACTGTGTATTTTAAAAAATCCATTAAGTGGTGAACACAAAACCAAATAAATGAGTTACTATGAAGTATGGATACAAAGTGTCTCCCGGCAGGAATAAACGAATCAATTTTAGTTTCTTGTTATTCCAGCCTTAAGTTCAGTCCCCTACGTTTCCGCAATAGTTTTGCTTTTTGAAAAACAGTGACAATTCATCAGCTTCTAGTGCAAATGTCTCCAAATGTGCAAACGTTTATGTGCAAGGTTGCCCAAAGTGCAAAGTGATTTCCGCTCTTTTGGTTGTGGGGGTTTTTTTTTGGGGGGGCACATTATTTTCATGCACACCTAACCTTAGCACATGCATATTTCGTACACGTTGCTTAGCTGGATAACGGTACTGCAAGCTTTGGAGAGCTGCAGATTTCAAAAGGCGGCTGGGCGCAGGAAAGCACAAAGGAGGTGTGTTTGCCTTTAAATGTGAAAGTGCTTCAATTCCCCCCTCCCCACATTCCTAACTCCAGATCAGGTGCAGCTTGGGACAGCTCCGAAAGCAGCAGCTCCCTAGCTCCTATGAAGAAGGGAAGGGGGTGTGTGGAATCTCTCTTGGTTGAGCTGAGCTGCTGAGAGTTCTGCAAACAGTAACAGAGAGACATCTCCGCTGTTTTGCAAAGCTTTAGCGCAACAAGGAAGTGGTAGGAGGGGGTGTTTGCTTTATCTGCACCGCCTTCTCCTCAGGTGTCCTGTCAAACCACACACACACACAAACAAGCCCCATTCCACTCTCACCAACCCCGCAGATGTACATCGCTGGATATTTCTGGAGACAGTGTGGAATCACCATTCCAATTTACACTGACAGCCAGCAGCAGAAAAGGGATTCTCCTTCAACCCGAAGAGTTTTATAGTCTTATGCCTAGTAAAAGGTAAAGGGACCCCTGACCATTAGGTCCAGTCGTGGCCGACTCTGGGGTTGCGGCGCTCATCTCGCTTTACTGGCCGAGGGAGCTGGCGTACAGCTTCCGGCTCATGTGGCCAGCATGACGAAGCCGCTACTGGCGAACCAGAGCAGCACACGGAAACGCCGTTTACCTTCCTGCCGGAGCGGTACCTATTTATCTACTTGCACTTAGACGTGCTTTCGAACTGCTAGGTTGGCAAGAGCAGGGACCGAGCAACGGGAGCTCACCCCGTCGCGGGGATTAGAACCACGACCTTCTGATCAGCAAGCCCTAGGCTCTGTGGTTTAACCCACAGCGCCACCCGTGTCCCTAGTCTTATGCCTATCAATGTTCAATTTTTCAAAAAAAGGTTTTAGCAGTTCTTATTTTTATATGTATGCCGCCTTGAGTCCAACTGAGGGGAAAAGGCAGGGTATTAATAAACCAATAACCAATAGTGTGGAAGAAGCACAAATGCTGTTTGCCCCTCTCACCCCATTTGGTAGCCAGAGCTATACAGTGGTACCTTGGTTCTCACACTTAATCCATTCTGGAAGTCCATTCCAAAACCGAAGCGTTCTAAAACCAAGGTGCGCTTTCCCATAGAAAGTAATACAAAATGGATTAATCTGTTCCAGACTTTTAACAACAACCCCTAAAACAGCAATTTAACATGAACATTACTATCTAACGAGACCATTGATCCATAAAATGAAAGCAATAAACAATGTACTGCAGTCACACAATCAATCAATCAATCAATCAATCAGTAGCTGAACTGGGTTCCACACAGTCACACACACACAAAAAGAGAGAGCTGCAAAAACAAAAACACAAAATAAATTGACAAACCTCAGCGTAACACTCAAAACGGAAGCGTAACACTCAAAACGGAGCATGTTCGGCTGCCAAAAAAAGTTTGCAAACTGGAACACTTACTTCCGGGTTTGCAGTACAGTATATGGGTTCCAAGTTGTTTGAGAACCAAGGTACCACTGTACTGATCCCATCCTCCACGTAAGGCCACTGATAGCCCTGGAGGCAGCGGATTTAGGTTTTACCTTTCTGCATGAGACTAGCTTATTCTTTTTAAATTAATTGTTTATGACACATTTAATAAAGAAAAGCAGAGGAAGGAAAGTGGGGGAATCCCATTAGCTCACATTGAGAGTACAATGACCATCCATCCGTCCATGTGAATGGATTACTGTTCCAGTTGAATAGTCAGAAATATTAAGATGACAGTGAATATTTCACCCATATCCATGCACTGAAAAGAATGGGGAAGGATAATTCACCACTCTGCTATATTTTAAGTAGCCAGATGGCTAGAAAGCCTGTGTTGTGTAGCAGGAAACAGGGTCCTGAACCTCCTGGGGTTCCAAGTCCTCACACATCCATGGAGCTCCCACAACAATTAGCTCAGGCTAGCCTACCTCACAGGGTCGTTAGGAGGATAAAATGGAATAATAACCACCACCCCTATCTAGACTGCTCTACGCTCCCTAGGGGGAGGATGTGGTACACAGCCAACCAAATGAAAAAAGTATAGGTATATCAAATTTCTTCTATTTCTCATGTTCATGCGTGCATGAGTGCCATTGCTTATGTGGTCAAAGCCGCAAGAAGCAAGAGGAATGTGTTAGGGGAATCCCCAGGTATGCAGAAGTACAAAAAAATACTTGGGGAAATCAAACTGTAAGAGTGGGGAGAAACCCAGTGCACCCCAGGATTAAGCATGCTCAGTGACTACAGAATGCTGACTGACTGCTGGAGGAAGGATGAACTGAAAATGGAGTCGGAGGGGGGACGGAAAATTGGGGGAGATGACCCCAAACCACAACATTTTATTGCAGGTCCTAGCTGTTTACATGGCATGCAAGTGTTCTGCCCTCCATTCTGCAAGTCTGTGAACCAGCGGCGCCAGGTATATGGGATGAAGGGGGCTTCAGCTTCCCCAATATTTTTTTGGCAGGGTGCGGTGCCCCCTAATATTGAGGGGGTCACCACCCCCTGCCACTGCCGGGAGCCCTCAGTGCGTCCCAGCCCCAACCTCTGCCCAGCAGGCCAGGAGCCAGGCTGTGGCTGGGACAAGCGTGTCCCAGCCTGGTGCATGCCAGAGGCATCACGTGACACGTCACATGACTACACCCCCTCAATGTGGGAGGCAAGTCAGCAACCGTGCCGTGAACACACCACACATGTAAAGCACAAGGCTCCCACTCAAGAATCTTGGGAACTGCAGTTTACCCCTCACAGTGCTACGATTCCAAGAATGTTCAGTTCCCAGGATTCCAGGATACGACTGGTCAGCATCCAGCATTATTCTTAACAGGCTCCCAACCCAATAGCTTGACCGTACAACAAATGGCACCTGCACCCAAATCTTGCAGTATGAGTGAGGCCCTCTTAACGAGGTATATTCTGCAACATGCCATTGGGTGTTTCCAGACAACCTGTTTGTCGAACATTCATCCGAGTTTGTTCACAGGGAGATCAGACAACATGGGCTGTTTAATGAACATCCATTCTGATTTGTTTGTGGAGAGGCTAGAGGATGTGTCAAAACAAGCTTTATCTCACCCTCCCCAGTGCCATTTCCCTGTGGGTTTCATCATCAACATCATCATCATAACCATCATCATCTTATTTCATAGTTAAAACCATGCGCAAGGCAGCTTAAAACATAACAAGATTCACATAACTGCAAGCATAACAAAAGTAATAAGCAATAAATGAAAGGCATCAAAAAGCACACAAACAATCAGAAACAATCGCCACATAAATTGCCCAGGTATGCAATCACAGTGCATTCTGCATCGTTCTGCAATTGCTTCCCCCCTGTTACTGCCATCTGGAGAGGCACTCTTGCACCACAATGCAACAAAAGTGGGGCCACCAAAACAAAACCAGAACGTTTCATAGAACCGCAGAATTACAGAGCTGGAAGGGACCACGAGGGTCATCTTGCAACGCAGGAATCACAGCTAAAGAGCCATCCAGCCTCTGTTTCAAAACCTCCAATGAAGGAGAAGTCAGAAAAGTTGCAGGATTTCAGCAGGAAGCTCTAAGACAGGCATAGGTAACCTCGTCCCCCTAGATTTTTGGGACTACAACTCCCATCATCCCTAGCTAACAGGGCCAGTGGTCAGGGATGATGGGAGTTGTAGTCCCAAAAATATCTGGAGGGCCAAGGTTGCCTATGCCTGAATTAGTGCATGTCCTAGACCATGGGTAGGCAAACTAAGGCAAATATAGTCCGGCCCCCCACAAGGTCTGAGGGACAGTGGACTGCTGAAAAAGTTTGCTGACCCTGTCCTAGACTCTAGGACATGCACTAATAGGAAACAAAGCAGTATATGTCCACCCCAAAACCATTGCAGGTACAAGCTGTATGGAAAGCGAGATGGAGTATAACCAACTGCTGATACTATCGTGAGTACACAACCCACAACACATCTGGAGGGGCCCTGGGCTTCTTCTAGATTCTAGTCAGCCATGCTCACTTCCAGGATATTCCATTCCACCCACATTTTCCTCTGTCCTGCATGAAGACGTACTTCCTTTCATCTGTCCTGGATCTTCCCACATAGAATCACAGAGTTGGAAGGGACTCCAAGAGTAATCTAGTCCAACCCCCTGCCCCCCGGTCATCTCTGTTGAATGTCCACAAGTTACAGTGTTATCGGGGGGGGGGGGATTCCATCCACTTTCTCAAGAGGCATGGATCATTCCTTGCTTTTTCTCTGGTTGCACGCATTTGGTTTAGAGAAAGCACGTTTTGATAAGTCAGCTGGAGGCAGAGGGCGTGTTCTGATATGCATGCGGTTCCCAAGATTCAGGGCCGCCTGTGCGAATCTGGCATGCTACTGCCAACCCTCTGACCGCTGCTGAGCAGCAACAAAGCTGGACCAGGACCGCATGGAAAAGATGCCGTAGGCTAGACCCCGAGACAGCGCAGAGGCGCTGCTTCAATTGGCAGGGTGGTTTTGTGTGCGGATGGGAGAGCGGCAGGGTGCAAAACTGTCTGGGCTGCTTCTGCGCCTCTCTATTGAATAAGCAACTGGAGAGAGCCAATAAAAGCAGTAGCCTGGCTTGAGCACACAGGGAGGACTTGTGGCTCAGTGGGAGAGCACCTGACTGGCATGCAGGAGGTCCCGGGTTCAGCCCCTGACATTTCCAGGTAGGGTTGGGAAAGGCTTTATCATAGAATCGTAGTGTTGGAAGGGACCCCAAGGGTCATCCAGTCCAACCCCCTGCAATGCAGGAATCTCAGCTACAGCATCCCTGACGGATGGCCGTCCAGCCTCTGCTTAGAAACCTGCACAACCTCCTGAGGGAGTCAGTTCCACGTCAGTCAGAAACAAGCCGCAGAAGCCATCCACTTCCAGAGATAGGTCCCATGCACACTGTGCATTTAGAGCACACTCAGGGCTCCTCCTGAAAGATTCTGGGAACTGTAGTTTGCTAAGGGTGCTGACCTCACAGGCCGGACAATTCCCAGCCCTCCAGGCAGACTATGGCTCCTGGGATTCTCCACGACTCTTCAAGTGGGGAGCAGAGGCAACTTCTTAATTTCACCTATCACTTTTCACTATCCCTTTCAGAACATGCTGCCAGGTCCACTATCCCCATCTACCATAGTGGTGCCTACACTGACCGGCAGCAGCCCTCCAGGATTTCAGGCAGGGGTCTCTCCCCACTGGCTCCTTTACCTTCAAGCCCTGCCCCTTCGGAGGCCCTTCTCTCTGCAGCCCCCCCCCCAACACCTATATAGGCACCTCCTATATAAATCCAAAAATCATCGTGAAGCTGAGAAAGAACCACAAGGAGTGAGAGAGCACCTCAGGGCCGCGGGTTCGAGCCCCCCATTGGGCAAAATATTACTTCGCTGCAGGGGGTTGGACTAGATGACCCTAGAGGTCCCTTCCCGCTGTAGAATTCTGTGATTCTATGAAGCCTCCGCGATCTTGGCGCTTGGGGGCTCCCTCCGCAAGCGCGGAAGCCAAGGTTGGAAGCGGCAGGTCCCCCCCTGCGCCGATCCCCTTGCCCTGACTGCTGGCGCCACGCACGCGGGAGGCGCCGGGTTCGAATCCTGACATCTTGCCCAGGTAAGGCGCAAGGGATCGGGAAAACGCCCGGAGAGCTTCTGCCAGTCAGTACCGACCCTTCGCCTAACCGGTCGAAGAGGGGAGCTAGCTTCCTGTATTTCCCATAACGCCCTAACTTACCTATGAACGATCGATGTTTAGAGGGAGGGCGGAGGAAGCGGGGTTTCTCCCCAGCGTCGTTCGGGCTTCTCACATGCTCGCGAAGCCCACGAGAAAGCAGCTACCCAAGGACCCGGCTGCCTGGGTTTTGTTTAGGCGAAAGTGAAAGTCTTTCCGAAGAGGGAGGGCTTGGTCCGGGGTGACGCCCCTCCTCGCTCCCCCGCACCCAAATATTCGCGGTGGGGGGAGATATATTTCCCCGCACGTCGGGACGCCCCCACTCGCCCGCCCCCGGGGCTCCGCAGCCACGAGCCCAAGTCGCGCTCCGGGCTCGGTTCCGCCTCTCCACGTGTCCCAGCAATCGGCCAGAAGGAGAGCGGCTCGTGCGATCTCGGAAAGGGCGAGGGTTAGCGCTGAGCATACAGAAATCTTTTGCCCGACGTGGGGCTCGAACCCACAACCCCGAGATCTACAATCTTATGCTCTACCGACTAAGCTATTCACGCATACATATTGTTTATGTTTCCTCTTGGGAATGAGGCACAGAGGAGCCTGTGATGTCTTTAGGGTATATGGAATATGGATTATTTACCATATACCCTAAAGATATATATATGGGTCTTATTTCTCCCTTGGATTCTTCAAGCAGCCTTGGATTCAAGTTGAAAACAAGCATTGCTCTCTGGCCCTCTGCTTTCAGCTTTGCTTCTAAGTCACATCCCTGCCAAGTTCTGCTAGAAAACTGGCTTTTGTTCTTCTCACTACCTGCAAGTTGAGAGAGGACCCATTTGGTATCTAGCACAGAGCCCCCTTTGTTCTCTTGATGGCCCATTACCCAAGCGATTACCTCATCAGGAAGCTAACCTGGTTTATATTTTAAAGCTTGCCGGATCCAGGGATTTAGGATTTGGCATCTACATAGCTGTCAACTTTTCCCTTTTATTGTGAGGAATCCTATTCGGAATAAGGGAATTTCCCACAAACTCATAAACACACACAATGAGGGAATTTCCCACAAACTCACAAACACACACACACACACAACACTAGACACCACCTAGACAACACTAGACAACACACAACACCACCTCTCAGGCATTTCCCCTTGCCACAGGTTCCAAATGTTCTGCTCTCGCAAATCTCAGGAGTCCTATAACTCCATTGTTCTTGTCACAAAAAAACACACACGCTCTTCCCTCTTAGCCATACCCAATGATCTGCCACTTCCTATTTCCTAGAGTCCATTAATTAAATTGCTTCTTCAAAACCACTAAAATCCCCCTACCTCCTGCCTTATGATTCCCCACACAAGCCCTTTAGGGACACAGGAATCTCCGTCTTCCTCTGCATCAGAGACCGTTGGCATATCCAGCTTCCACTGGTCTTGAATCGGTGGGTTGTGGCCTGGCCCAAGGCAGGTCCAAACAGGATCACTGCCGCCATGAAAATATATGGAGGGAGGGGGAAATTAAAAAATGGGTCCCCCACATGCATGTTTTGGGTTAAAAGTGGGCCCAGGGGTCTGAAAATACGTGGTTTACATGGCAGAAGCAGCCTTTCAGGGTTCCTGGCAAGAGATATTCCCAATCCTGACATGAGGGGCTTGAGATGTGGGGTACTGGCATACCACACACAGCCCACTTAAGGGTCACCTGGGGACGGTTCCCCATCGCCTTCTCCAAGACCTTCCCTGACCCTGGGTACTTCCCATGTCTGGATCCGAGCCTTTTCTAAGAAGCGAGAGAAAGTGACCAAACTCAAGACACAGTTCCCCCCCCAAGGTCAACAGTGGGCCATGTTGCAAAGCTGTGGGGCCCCCTCCCACTTTCTGGCCTCACCACAGGGTCCCTGTGGGGGTCTGGGGTTAGGAAAAGCATCTGGGAGGTCGAGGAATCTGGGAGAAAGTTGTGGCCAAGGAGTTGGGAGGGAGAGATGGTGGCAAAGGGGGAGCAGGAGGGGGGGAGGAAGGGGGCTGGTGTTGCTGGCAGAGCGCAGCGTTCAACGCAGGTCTGGCCCCCTCATGCATGGATGGACCCCAGGGTGTAGAGGGTGCAGAAAAGCTGAATCTAAACAAGACAGGGTCAGGGATCGGAGGGGGGGCGGCAGCAAGGGCATAGCCACTCATACCTGTGCCAGAAAAAACATGGGGCAAGCGGGGAAACTGCTCAGCCCTGTGCTATCTAGGCATGGGACAAGTGCAAGTCAGAGGCTGCTTGCCACAGTCATGTTTGTTCTTTCGGCTGGCCCTTGGAACTCAGCCAAGCCATAGACCCTGGTAGTCTCCAACTACAACTTTCCCTTCTATGGGGAAATGGCTGGCGATGGGAGGGGGGTCCTTTCTAGAATTATCTCCTGACAGGGCAATTACCCCCTTCATGGATCACTGCCTTACTTTTGAATTATGGTGCTGGAGGAGACTCTTGAGAGTCCCATGGACTGCAAGAAGATCAAACCTCTCCATTCTTAAGGAAATCAGCCCTGAGTGCTCACTGGAAGGACAGATCCTGAAGCTGAGGCTCCAATACTTTGGCCACCTCATGAGAAGAGAAGACTCCCTAGAAAAGACCCTGATGTTGGGAAAGATGGAGGGAACAAGGAGAAGGGGACGACAGAGGATGAGATGGTTGGACAGTGTTCTTGAAGCTACCAGCATGAGTTTGACTAAACTGCGGGAGGCAGTGGAAGACAGAAGTGCCTTGCATGCTCTGGTCCATGGGGTCATGAAGAGTCGGACACGACTAAATGACTGAACAACAACAACAAGGGCAATTACACCTCCATGCAAAATTTAAAAAGCAGAGGTCTTGTGATCTTTTGCAAGAATAACCTTGTGAAAGACCTCTCTATTCTTTGTTGCTGTTGCTGTTCGAAAGGATGATATATGAAGATCTTTTGGACCTTCCCTTGCTCTGTCCTAGATAACTGTTGACTGAACACGTCCATTGGGCAGCAACAGCCTTCGCAAAATGTGACCACTGCCAGATCCAGGGCCGATGGCATTTTTTAAAAAAATGCAATCACAAATTGTTGAAAACATAGCATCAAAATCGCATTAAAATTTGTGGCGCAAAAACAGGAAAGGAAACAAGCCAAACATGACAGGATTTATTTGCAAGTCTTAGCAGCAGGGTGAAGAGGGGAAATCTTGCAAATGTTCCTATTGCTCTTGTTCGTCTCAGTCACTAAGTAAGCCAGCCAGAGTTCTTTGGGCTGTCCAGCGCAGAAGAGAGTGGAATTCTCAAATTCTCATGATCTCTGGGAAAGACGCTCTTCTTAATACACTCAGGGTGTGTTTCCACACTCCCTATTTTGGGGTGGGATTCAGCCACAAACTGGCAAATCCAGGTTGCACAGTTATCGTTGATGGGGAGGTTCTGCACAACCGCACTCCCACCCTTTCCAAAATCAGACTTTTTGTGATGAGGGAAAGGATGGGGAAACGCACTGAAAGGTGTGGGATGTGACACTTGCTTTGAGGCAACGTCATCTAATCTCCCTGCAAACAAATCCAAATGAATGTTCATGAAACAGCTGTTGCCATCTATTCTCCCTTCTGGCAAATGCTCAACAGGACAGGTATTCTGGAATCTCCTGAATAATATAGAATATTTTCTATTACTTAGAGCAGACCAGAGCTCCAATGGCCTAAATTAAACTGAAATACAGTAAGCCCGCAATTTATGCCAAATTAACTTGTGGGCATTCAGTTTTGCATGTGTAGCCAAAAAAGGGGGGGAAAGAGGACGTGATTCTGGGAAAAATCACGTTGGCGACCCAGGTAAGCCCCGCCCTGCTTAATCGATCACATGATGTGGCACACACACGCTATTTGAATGGCAATGACCGTCGACTGGGGAGAGCAGCCCCCTCAAATATTTTATTGAGGGGGGTGAAGACCCCTCAGCCCCTAGGAATTGGCTCCTATGCTCATCTTAATATAACCACAAGCAGCTGCCTCTCACTGGGGGCTTACGGGGGATTAAGGGACAAGACTTCGGGGTCAGGAGGTTATGTCACAAGGAGAGACTTGACTTCTGACCTCTGTGCATTCTCTCCTCCCCGTAAGGAAAATAAGGGTGCATACTTAAAGGTAAAGGGACCCCTGACCATTAGGTCCAGTCGTGACCGACTCTGGGGTTGCAGCGCTTATCTCGCTTTATTGGCCGAGGGAGCTGGCGTACAGCTTCCGGGTCATGTGGCCAGCATGACTAAGCCACTTCTGGCGAACCAGAGCAGTGCATGGAAACGCCATTTACCTTCCCGCCGGAGCGGTACCTATTTATCTACTTGCACTTTGACGTGCTTTCGAACTGCTAGGTTGGCAGGAGCTGGGACCAAACAATGGGAGCTCACTCCGTTGCAGGGATTCGAACCGCCGACCTTCTGATCAGCAAGTCCTAGGCTCTGTGGTTTAACCCACAGCGCCACCCGCATCCCTTACTATACCTTTAAAGCACATTCAAAGCACGTTTCCCACCACAAAGAATTCTGGGCATGGTAGTTTGCCCCTCGCAGAGTTCTTGTTCCCAACAACCCTTAACAAACCACAGCACCCAGGATTCTTTGAAGGAAAGAATGTGCTCTGAGTGGCCCTAAAGGGAAATAGTATGTGGGCTGTCAGACAATAAAAGGGCCGTGTGTGGTGGAAATAATGGAAGTGGGGTGGGCAGCCAAGCTTAGGGGCTGAACACATAGGAGTTCAGGTTAGATGGCTGTCACCACCTCAGGGAATCAATATTTGCTCTGTGTGGGTGTAAGGAGAAAGTATGGACAGGAGAAGGGAACTTTCCCTGGGGAAATCCCTAGAGCCAGATGGGTGGGACTTGACTCTCTGTGTGGGTGCAAAATTGTTTGTCCTTTGTGTTTTCTGATAACCCTTGGGTTGGTTGTTAATGCTACTAGCTGTGGGTGGCGAGAGCACGGAAGTCTCCACATTCTTGCAACCAGCCCTTTACTCTCATATCAAGGATGACTTATGAGGCTGGAGCTGGTGGCTTATTTCTTAATCCCACAAAAGTCTGAAACGGAGCAGAACGAGCTGTAAGCTTTGTCTGGGGTCAATGAGCACTAACAGAGCATTGGGTAACCCCCCCCCCCGAACCTCTGCCCCACCAGCTTTGATTAGAATTCTTGCAGCGACAGTCGCTTGGCCATAGAGATATTTCTAGTACAGTGGTACCTCAGGTTAAGTACTTAATTCGTTCCGGAGGTCCGTTCTTAACCTGAAACTGTTCTTAACCTGAAGCACCACTTTAGCTAATGGGGCCTCCTGCTGCCACTGCGCCACTGGAGCACGATTTCTGTTCTCATCCTGAAGCAAAGTTCTTAACCTGAAGCACTATTTCTGGGTTAGCGGAGTCTGTAACCTGAAGCATCTGTAACCTGAAGCGTATGTAACCCGAGGTACCACTGTATAGGAACATAGGAAGTTGCCTCTTGTTTCCAGTGAACATACATATAAATGCCAGTGCATTGGCAGGGGGTTGGACTAGATGTCCTCTGATGT